ATAGATGATTTCGTGTTACCAATTAGCTTTTAATCTATTTTGACCTAGCGACATTTATTTTCCCTCCCAAGAAAATGGCAATCAAGGTATATATGCACATTGTTTATTGATTGTTTGCGTACCTGACCCAAGACTGCCCGAGGGACTCGGCCCTTGAGCGCCTCCTCCAACTCCTTTCCCAGCGGCGCCGCTCCCGACAACACCACTCTAATCGAGCTCAGGTCGAACTGCGCCACCATTGGATTCTTCGCCAGTGCTATCACCAGCGGTGGCACCACCGCCGCCACCGACACCCGGTACCGCTGTATCAGCTCCAGCAGTGTCCCGATCTCAAACTTGTGCATCACCAGCACTGCCGCCCCTGCTCTTAGCGAGCACAGCATCACGCTGTTCAGCGAGTATATGTGAAACAGCGGCAGCACGCACAGTACCACGTCGTCTTCCTTCAAGTACAGGTTTGGATTCTCCCCGTCCACCTGCTGGGCCACGCTGGTGATCAAGCTCTTATGCGTTAGAATCACACCCTTGGGCAGCCCCGTCGTCCCCGAAGAAAATGGTAACGCTACTGGGTCCTCCGGATCGATCACCACCTCCGGAAGCTCCGTCTCGTTGGCCTCCGAGATCACCGAGAAATGCAAGCAATTCTCTGGAGGATCGTCCACTGTGACAACCTTAAAGTGTTCGCCAAGTTTCGGGTAGTTATTTTGGTCGGGGGCGGCGCCGTCGTCAGGAGCTTCTCGAAGCTTGTCGACGAACTGGGAATGAGTGATGATGAGCTTGGCATTGGAAGCCTTGAACTGCTTGAAAATCTCGGCGGCGGTGTAGAAGGGGTTGGCAGTGGTGGTGACGGCGCCGATCATGGAAGCGCCCATGAAGGCGAAGACGAACTCGGCGCAGTTTTGGAGAAGGATCATGATGACATCGCCTTTCTTGATGCCGAGGTTGGAGAGGCCGGCTCCGGTCTTCTGAGAAATGAGGTAGGTATCGGAGAAAGAGTAGGATTTTCCGGTGGAGCCGACGATCAAGCAGGGTCTGTCGGAGAATTCGGAGAGTTTTTGAAAGCAGTAGGTGTGGAGAGGGAGGTGGTTGGGGATGGGTATGTCTGGTAATTTTGACTTGAAGACATGGTTGTTGGTGTTGGTGGTGGTAGTGGCGGCGGCGGCGGTTGTTGGGGAATGAATATTATTATCAGGGACTTGGTTTTGTTGTGAAGAGGTAGGATGAATGTCAGAAATGAGATTGGGGGAAGATATTTCAGCAGGCTTTTGGGTTTCGACGGAATTATGAGAGGCAATGGATATCATGGTGTCTTAATCTTGCCTTTTCCCTCTTCCTCCTGAAGCAAAAGCTAGCTAGGACAAATGATGATGGAGAGAGAGAGAGAGAGAGAGGAGGAGGAGGAGGAGGAGGAGGAGGAGGGTATGTGCGTGATTGGGGTGTGGTGTTGATGAGGGAAGTAGAGAAAGTGTCAAGTAATAAATATACAGGAGGGAGGGTAGGTATGAACAAGGGTGCTCTTGTGTGTGTGGGTGAGAGAGATGGAGGGGTAGATTTGGTAGATGGAGTTGAGTTTGTGTTGGGGTTAGAGGGAAAAAAGGGTAGGGCGAGAACCCACATGCCTTACCTCACCTTCAAATTCAATCACACCAAGCCTTCCTTCCTTCCTATCTCCGTATCATATATATATTGGGCTGTTAGCCCTCTCCCTTTCCCTCTTTTTATAATTACTCTCTCTCTCTCTCTCTCTCTCTCTCTCTCGTCTCATCTTTACCAAAAAAAAAGGAAGTTTCACTAAAATACTCAAAATGAGGGTTGAAATTATAAAAAAACCTAATCACTATTTAAACATATAAACACACCCAAAATCCATCATTACACACACTCAAAACCCATTTATAAAAAAGTTGACTTTGTGGTTGATTTTGGGTGTGTTTCTATATTTAAATAGTGCTTGAGTTTTTTTATAAATACATGTCTAAAATTTGGTTTATTTATAAATTTGTAAAAAAATAAAGCCCTAAAAAAAACAATGCAAAGTTGAAAAATAAAGACATGACCACGCTGCCTTCCTCCCATCCTATCACTCCTCCAACTAATTATTCAGAAAAAACCCACAACTACTAATACTCATTTTGTTTGTAGGCCCAGCCAGTAAGTGATACAGAGACAAGTAGGCCAGACTCCTCCTTGTATTTTAATTTAATTTTACATAAAAACACACTACCACTACCACGCATTGAAAACGAGTTGCAAATGCACATATCAATATATTCTAACGAAATAATGACCATTTGATCTGGAGAGAGAGAGAGGGACAGAGAGTTACTATTTTGCAGGTATGTTAATGACCATTTCATCCTCTTGACATGAAATGCCGATCTATCTCTTCTCTATCTAAGGTCGATCGATCCACCGCCACTTGGATATCTCCACTGCTTCTTTCTTCATCTTATATTTTTTTTAAGCATTCTGATAGCAGTGGCGAAGTCAGGATTTCATGTGTGTGAGGGCCTCTTACAAATTATAAAAAATCAAAAATTCGAAGTCATAATACATACAAAAAATAGTGTATATATATATATATCACATATATCAAGAATTATATTGCTTATTGGTTGCAATTATAATTGTTCTCGACAAAGGGATAGACAAATGCATTCTAAAGAAGAAAAATTGCAAGAGATAGACAAAAAGTAGCAATTTATCAAATATCTTTAAAGATTTTTCCCCCATTAAACCCAATAGAAAGAAGAAAAAAAATCAAAATTTCCCAAATTAAAAACAACCTTAGGCCCCTTTATGCATTCATATCATACATGAAAAAATATTGACCAAGTATGAAAAATGGTTTTTCAGAATAATCATTTTCTCAAGATAATTTTTGGCGGCTTTTCTTCCTTACACATGAAATAAGAAAACTTGATTTTATGAGATTTTAGTATGAAGTATATATTGACTTAATGAGCCATCATTTTTAGCCTAAATCGTATTTTATACTAAAACCGATTTTTCATATTTTGATTTGGGGGGAATTTGATTTTCTAGTATTTTTATTTGAATCCAAATAGGGGGTACTTCCTTATTTACATTGTAAACTTAAGTAAATGGAGTAATATAAAAATAAATTAAAGTCAAAGGACAAAGACATTTACTTAAATGTTGAAAATGGAAATAAAGTAATCTGTACACCTGGAGTGCATCACTACTAGCTGAGTAAGGGTGCAATTTGAACTACCTCCTTGTGCCTTAATAAGTCCGCCACAATACATGTGGGTACATATCAAAACGTAAAGTATTAAATAATATACATATATAAATACATAACAGTATGTTACTTTTAAAATATAAAAAAACTTGAGTGGGGGCCCGGAACCACACTGGTCCCAGTGTGGCTCCGCCCCTGGATAGTATCTTATCTTGAGTTACATATTGCCTTATGTTTGAACATTTCTCTCTGTAGTATGTACATAAGCTTATTTGAGGGACATCTTTGTAGAGCTCATTCCGTATTGTATTTTACTAATTCAAACTGTCTATTTTGTAGATGCTCGTTCAAAAAGATAATCTCTACAAAAATCACTTGAATTCGATATCAATTGACTACTCAAATAATTATTGAAATTTTAGGACTTTCTTAAAGCATCGTGTTCATTGATTTTGTAGGACACAATAGAATGTCGAAACGGTTTTCAATTTGTCTAATTTTTTGCAAAAATGATCTATGAATTAATGTAGACTTAAAAAATAGACGATTTGAATCGTTGAAAAAAAATTTCGTAAGAAACCCTAAATGGTGTCTCTCAATAGAATATATATATATATATGTTTTAACAACAACGCATGCATCAAAACTGTACTTATTTGTTCATCATCTTTGATGTCCTGCATTATATTCATAAAATCATACGGTATTTGAATGGTGCAACTTCATAAGTGTTTATTGTTTACATTCCCCCTCCCCAACACTCACCTTCTCAAACCGCCGTAGCCTACCCACCTATAAATTAACAGCCCCAAAATTATTTTATTAATTTAATAATTTATCTTTATTTTTGTGTTCTACTCCTCTTTAATTTCTGTTGAAACTAATTGATAGAAGGGAAGAAGAGGGAGAGAAGAGAGGGTGTTTGTTGAGCAGTGGGTGGGGCGGGCTACCATGGGACTTGAGTGTGGGGTTGTTTTTGCTTTTAATTTCTTTTATTTTTCTTAAAGTGCATAGTAATTGACAAAATTGCCCTTACGTAACTTAATTTAATAGAGATTTTCTGTTAAATCTAACCGAGGTGGTAGACTTGCACTAAAGTTGAAGTATAGGCGGTAATCAGTCAAATTTTATTCTTTGGGTGGTAAATACGCACACCCTTATTAGTTCAGGTGGTATTTATACAAATTTCCCAAAGGAAAAAAAAACCCTAATATAATATAATATAATATCATAGTTTTTGGTTTCCTTCGTTACAAACTAAATGTTTCAACTATATTTATATTAATATTAAGTAAACTCACTTTGTGAACTATTGTAGAGGGTGACTCTAAAATTCTCATTGAAGCCATTAATGGGGTTATACAGATTCCTTGGCGGCTATTGGTTATCATATTCCTTCTCGACACGTTTGGTTGGATCAGCTGCCTTCTACTGCAGCAAGCGCTGCCAGTTGAAAATTTGTACTAGAAAAGCGATAAAAATTGGAAAAGAAACCTATAATATAAGCGCACTTGAAGCCCACCAAACCCACTTCCTCTAAGGCCCAATTTCTTGGGCTGCCTCCGTCATTGTGATCTACAATGTCTACATCTTCCTCTCCTCTCTGTCGCTTGACCCTTTTTTGTTCCCTTCCTTAAACCCTATTATATCTTTCTTCCTTTTGTTTGTTTTTTGGGCAACGTCCTTAAACCCTAAATTCACCTCCCACACAGTTGTGGTTTTAGAACCTATTAGTCTCTTGCAACACTATAATATCTCTCTATCTCTGGGAGAGCGGAGCTTCACCAATTCTCTCATGGCGTCTCTACCCCTGAAGAAGAACTACCGTTGCGTGCCCTCTCTGCAACAGTTCTATTCCGGCGGGCCCTTCGTGGTCTCATCCGACGGCTCCTTCATCGCCTGCAAGTGCGGCGACTCCATTAAGATCGTGGACACCTCCAACGCCTCAATTCGGTCGACCATTGAAGGCGACTCTGAGGACGTCACAGCTTTGGCCCTTAGCCCCGACGACAAGTTGCTCTTCTCCTCTGGCCACAGTCGCCAAATTAGGATTTGGGACCTCGCCACCTTCAAGTGTGTGCGTTCTTGGAAGGTAATTAAATGCCTAATTGAAATTGTTCTATTTGGTTCTCTCTTATATTACTAAGAGAAATGCAAATGACTGGCATTTTTGGTTGGAAAATAGGGTCATGATGGGCCTGTGATGGGAATGGCTTGTCACCCATCTGGGGGATTGCTTGCGACTGCAGGAGCTGATAGGAAGGTTCTTGTTTGGGATGTTGATGGTAGCTTCTGCACTCATTACTTTAAAGGTCACAAAGGAGTTGTTTCTAGTGTTCTCTTCCATCCCGATCCTACTAAATCACTTGTAAGCTCCATGTCCACATAGCTCTTACCTCTCATTTTTGTCTTTACGATTTCCAGATGAAATGGGTTGAAACTAGTTATTTTATTTATTTATTTATTCATTACGCTGATTGTTGGTCTCATTTTTTTAATTAGCTTTTCTCCGCAAGTGATGATACAACTGTGCATGTTTGGGACCTATTAGCCAAGAAGTGTGTTGCAACGCTTAATGGGCATCACTCGACAGTCACTTCTATGGCACTATCTGAAGATGGGACGACGTTGCTCACAGCTGGAAGAGATAAGGTAAGGCTAGACCTTATATTGGGTTTGCTTAATACTTCGTACCTCTATTTTAAGTGATATGTCTACGCATATGTGTGCATCAAGTTCTGGCTTGTATGTTTTCATTCAGTATCCATCTGGTAATCTCTTTAATTGTTCTGAGTCTAGACTTTGTAATAGGGGCAGCTAAATCTGATCCAAGTGTGCCAATTTAATTATGATTTGGGTGATTTGAGGTCAAGAACAAGTAGATCATAGGTAGTGGAGAGGTGAACCTTAATTAGATTGTCTATATTTATGTGATAATTATCAATTATTTGTTATGAATTCTAGAATGTTTATCTTCTTGACATCTTTTTTCAAAATCCTTCTTATTTTGCCTCACTGGGATGTTTACTGAGTATTATTTGTCATGCTCTTTTGTTTTCATTGCTGTTTATATGTCAGCTCGAAATTGATTGCAGAATGGTTTCAGGTTGTAATCTTGTGGAACCTTCATGACTTTAGCTGCATGAAGACTGTAACAACATATGAGGTCCTTGAAGCTGTGTGTGCAATCCATTCTGGACCTCTGTTATCTTCCTGTTTGAGTTCCTGCAAGCAGAAGAGTGGGAAGAAAACTGGGTTACCTGCAATATGTTTTATAACAGTTGGTGAACGCGGGGTTGTACGGATTTGGAATTCTGAAGGGTAAATCACAAGGGCTCTAAAAATATTTTGTTTGAAGTAATTCTTGGTTTTAAAGAATTGTTAGTTATGCGTTAAATGTTGTAAGCCCCTTGGAATCAATGGCTTGTATTTGGTGAGTTCGTTTACTGGTACTTTATTTATTTTGACAGTGCAGTTTGCCTATTTGAGCAAAAGTCCTCAGATGTTACTCCCTCCTCAGATGGGGATGAATCGAAAAGGGGTTTCACTGCCGCTGTCATGCTACCATCAGATAAAGGGCTGCTTTGTGTGACTGCCGATCAGGAGTTCCTTTTATATTCCCCAGTTATGGTTCCTGAAGGGACGTTGGAATTTGTCCTAAGCAAAAGACTTGTAGGATACAATGATGAGATTGTGGATATGAAGTTTTTAGGTGATGAGGAACAATTTCTTGCTGTTGCCACAAATATTGAACAGGTAATTACTAGATTCCTATCTACCTTAGATTAATCATATTGTTGGCTTGCAAGTAGAATTGGTTGGTTCAACTAAATATGTACATGCTATTAAACTCTGAGAAGATCAATTCTCTCCTCAAATGAAAATATCACATTTTAACTTTTCATTGCATCCTTGTTTTCTTAAATGTCTTTGAACTCAGTTCTTTGTTAACCTTTCATTGCTTCCTATGCACCATTTTCATTCTTGTACCATGCATCAACGTATGTTCGCGAAAATCCTTGCTTCATTGATGGGAATTCAAAACTTGTGAATCTGAATCTGGTTTTATAAAAATACTAGGTTTGACATTGCACACATGCACATTATTGGTTTTAGAGTGTTTATTTAGCTGAAAATCCATCTGTTCAGCGTCAGTTGTCTTTTATTTGGAAGTGTCATTAATAATTGAAAATTTTGATTGTATACAAATATACATTTCTGTGGTAATCCTGGTACTATCTATTTAAGTTGGGCGAATACAGCTTGATTGGGTCATGATACCATGTAGGCTAGTGCACCCATTAGATGAGTACATCCTTCAAGTATTCATGTGAGTAAAGTAATATGACGTCTGTTATATGGTTTGGTTATTGAAATGTTATTTAACCTGGAAACATGCAGGTACGAGTATATGATGTTGCATCCATGTCGTGTTCTTATGTGCTGGCAGGTCATACCGGAATTGTTCTATGTCTTGACACCTGCGTATCAAGTTGTGGAAGAACACTTATAGTGACTGGAAGCAAGGACAACACTGTAAGTTTCTGTTTCTCTGTCTGCCATAAGGCAGTTGTGGGCTTGTTTTTCTCCCTCTCCGGTGCTGTTAGAAACTTGATCTCCTCGATTCATATAGATTTCAAGAACTATATTAGGCTAAGAATCTGTCTGTTGTGTCTCCCTGTGTCTGCATGTGGCCTCTGTGTTTATAGATTATATATGTTGTCGTTTCTGACTCTATCCTCTGTAGGTTCGGTTGTGGGAATCAGAAAGTAGATGTTGCCTTGGTCTTGGCATAGGTCACATGGGAAGTATTGGAGCTATTGCTTTCTCAAAAAAGCGTAAAGACTTTTTCATTAGTGGTAGTAGGTGAGCACTTTGCAGGCCATCCATTTACCAAATTCTGTCTTATATTTTGTTTACAATTGCAACCTTTACTGGTGATGCTTTCAATAGTTAAATGATTACTTGGGTTGTGACCTCAAGGAGGATACCTCTATCGAGCTCTATTTAGCTGATTAAGGTGTTAAGGAACTGTTTAGTCTTTGTATAACCTATATTATGTTTTCGTCTAGTGATCGTACCCTCAAGGTGTGGACTTTGGATGGTCTTCCAGACAATGGGGAACAGCCTATAAATTTGAAAGCAAAGGCTGGTGTAGCAGCCCACGATAAGGATATCAATTCAGTAGCTGTTGCACCTAATGATAGTTTAGTTTGTAGTGGTTCACAGGTTTGTAGTTTTTTAAGGTTCTTTAATTCTTTTATATTTATCATATTACCTTAGTGAAACGATGGCACTACCATACTCAACTTTCTGGGTTCTCCTCATTGATCAGGATCGCACTGCTTGTGTCTGGAGGCTTCCAGATCTTGTACCAGTAGTTGTACTTAAGGGTCATAAAAGGGGCGTTTGGTCTGTAGAATTTTCTCCAGTTGATCAATGTGTTATAACAGCTTCTGGTGACAAAACAATAAAGATATGGGCCATATCCGACGGTTCATGCTTGAAAACATTTGAAGGGCATACAACAAGTGTATTAAGAGCATCATTCCTTACTCGTGGAACACAGTTTGTTTCTTGTGGTAATGAGGCTCACTTCACACTTTTGTTGTCCTCGCCTCTTGTAACTGTGGCTATATATGCATTGACTATATTATCATTTTCAGGTGCTGATGGTTTGTTAAAGCTGTGGATGGTCAAAACCGATGAATGCATTGCTACATATGATCAGCATGAGAACAAGGTACTGAAAATATATACTATCAATTTATTAGTCAATATAATGTATGTTAAAAGTTAGAAGTGAGGAGTCGGAAGGTTTGTTATTGTCTATCATTTACTCGTCTGTCGTTGAGTTGTGATTTATTGACCTGGGTCACACAGCAAAAGTTCTGTAGGAGATTTGATAATATACCTGAAAACATGTGATCATCAACATGGAGTCGTCAAAATGTAGGTTGAACCTTCAGATTATGGCAACGTAAATATGTTGGGTTTATGATCATCAACATGTAGGTTTTGATAATATACCTGAAAACATGTGATCATCAACATGGAGTCGTCAAACTGTAGGTTGAATTATGGCAACGTAAATATGTTGAGTTTAATGATTTGTTGGATGTACTGGAACTATCCTCTCATGGCTGAGATCTCTTGATCTTGGTTTTGGCCTTTGAAATCTGTTTTAATGCTTTTCAGCCTTAACCTGGCTGGCCAAGCTAACTTTTTCCTATCTTCCCTACCAAAGTAGATTTTTGCTCTCCGTGTCATTTACTGACAAGATTTAATCTGCAGGTTTATGCCTTGGCTGTGGGAAAGAACACAGAAATGCTTGCAACCGGCAGCAGTGATGCTGTCATCAATCTATGGTACGATTGTACTGCCTCTGATAAAGAGGAAGCTTTCGTAGAGGTTAGGTTAGTTGCTGTTTTTTTTTTTTTTTTTTTTTTTTTTTTTTTTTTTTTTTTGGGGTTTTTTTTTTTTTTTTTGTTTTGTTTATAGAGGTAATACAGTTTTATGGAATGCGAAATATTAAAATCTAAAAATAGAGCAAATTCATCCAAGACAATTGATTTCTGCCATTAACCAAATTTCATTAATAAGTCAGGCTATTGTTACCTTTGGTTCCAAGATCTATTGTTATATTGATAGGTGAAATCTTAAGATATTACATGTGAACAAATTTTTGTCAAATTCACTTTTAAAAAACATAGATCTATTTACACATGGGATTTTTCATTATGATTCAGGAGGAAGGTGTTTTAAAGAATCAAGAACTAGAAAATGCTGTATTAGATGCCGACTTTACTAAAGCAATCCAAGTTGCCTTTGAGCTTCGCAGGCCTCATAAGCTTTATGAGTGTTTTTCTCAAGTTTGGAGGTTGGGAATGATTTTCTTTTATTTTCTATTTATGTTTTTTTCTTTTCCTTTTACTGGTTCTCTCTTGAACTTTTGACATGTAACTCATACATGTTGTCTGCAGGAAGAGAAAAAATGAAAAGCAGATAGAGAAATCCCTTCAGACCCTTGGCAAGGAAGAGCTCAAGCTATTATTTGAATACGTTCGAGAATGGAATACAAAGCCAAAGCTCTGTCATGTTGCACACTTCGTGCTTTCTAAAGTTTTCAGCATCCTTAATCCAATAGAGATTACTGAGGTAGTTCTCTTTACTTACGTTTGTGTCGTCTTTTAAGGTTACAAAGAAAAGACTGTAGGATATTGTCATATTCACTAAATGTTGGTGTTGATACATTTTAGTGATTGTTTATCTGTCAACTGCATGTGTTGACAAGCCTCCCTTAGTACTGGCATTAATTCCTACAAATGGGTATTGAGCTTTAGATCTCTCTGGCGTTGTATGGTGTTCTGTTTGAAGAGGATCTTGTTTGTTCCTTGATCAATAATCGTGGTTTTGGTTAATCAATAATGAAAATTATTGGTTTGTCAGATCCGATCTGGTTAACTTTGTTTCACTAAAAACACTACTCCCTCTCCCCCTTTATCTCTTTGGTTGTCAAATGCATGATTAGGATGTTTGTGTTGGTGTTGACACTAGGACACAAATTGAAATGGTGGTCATTTTTTCTGGCCTGAAAAGAGCCTTACTGATTGATTTTTGGTCTTATCAGATAAAAGGCATTGACGAAGTCCTTGAAGGTCTCTTGTCGTATTCCCAGAGGCATTTTAGCAGGATGGACAGGCATGTAACAAGCACATTTTTGGTAAACTACACTCTTACTGGGATGTCAGTCATTGAACCAGAGACAGATACAAGAGTAATGGATGACAAGTCTTTGATGCACTCTGTTGGTGATGATGAGAATGGGACATTAATACAGGAACTTGAAGATGAGCAGCAAAAGCAGACCTCTCAAGGATTGAAAGAAAAAGCAGTTTCAAAGAAACGGAAATCAAAGAAATCAAAAGATGGTGTCAATAAGAAAGTTAAGGGGTCCAGCTTATAATAGGGTTTCAATTCTTGTATCAATATTGGTGGATGTTTTGGCCCTTGTAAACTGATTGAGCAGATTGTTGTCTGTGATTCAATCAGAAATTTTGGGATCATATTGAGAATTTGTAGCCATTATAGAAAATGCGCTTCTGCCCTGTCCTTTTGGCTTCCAATGCCCCGGTCTGGGGAAAGGTACCATACCTATTACCTCGTGTGTATTATGTTTGGTGTTCGCTACTGCTTGGACGAATTTACCAATAGCAATTCATCATTTTTTACCTTAGCACTCCCTTCTTGGAATCAAGGATTGAAATATCGGCCGATACACCGATATATCTGCCGATATATCGGTATTTTCAACTATCGACATCGATACCGGGGGGTAAGGCCATATCTTCCCCTATATCGACGATATATCCCTGATAAGTGTGATATCCTCGATATTTTACCGATATCCCCGATATTTCCCGATAGCCATAACAAAACTCAAAAAAAATTTAGAAGTTTTGAAGGCAATTGAAGCAAATTGAAACCCAAAAATAGCTAATCTTTGCCCATAACCCTATAATTTACTAATATGAAGAATCTATGCACAGTCCACTGCCCATATACCTCCAATCCATCTGAAGAGGACATGGCGATCAGTTGATCTATGAGCATAGGAACTAGACCTAGTACTAACTCAAATGAATCTTATGATGGTTATGTTATGTCTGATTATAGGGGAACTAGTTATGGAGCTCAAGATGATAAAAAAAGATTATGGACCTACTAGTTGGTTAATCCTAACTATCCCATATATGAAAGGACAATAAGGAGCTCAAGAGAGACCTATGTGCACCATGTTCAAACATGGCTTACAAACTACTCGGGTTACATGACTTGGTATGACTATTGTACGAATCTAGATGGTTGTTCCTCATTGTTTGAACCTCATAGGAGCTCTTCATTTATGTAAATGGACACTTATCTAAATTGTAATCCAATGTTTAAACAAACTACGGATTTATGCATGGTTTATTCATTCTAATTAATATTTTATTTTCGAACTTTTCATTAACGCGCATTACATACCATTTATATTTCATCATATGTATATCTTATTATTAGTAAATTTTGAGTTTCATTTGTTCAATACATTCATTGATAATGTACATAACATCTATGAAAGTTTTACACCAATATTATGTGTTTCAATGCCTATATCTGTCATTTTTGTTGATTTTTTTCCGATACCTAAAACGATAACGATATATCCTCCGAAATATCCGTAAATTGGAGGCCCGATATTATCTGCACGGCCGATATTTTAATCCTTGCTTGGAATTTCATTTACTTTCTCTTGTTATAATAGTACCCCAAACTCGTAACTTGTTTATTCTAATCAAGGAGGGGTCCAAAATGTATATTTGACCTTTTTCAACCAGCACTGATTCATGAAATGTCATTTAGTTGGTCAATATACCCTTAGTATTTGTATAAATATTTAGCTTAATAGTACCAGGCAGTACCCAAATATTCAAATTTTATAGCACAGTAGTACACTAGGACTAGATCATAGAGATGAAAATGGACAGCAATGTAGCACAGCTGGTCAATGACATCCTCAAACCATGACCTAGTTCATGAGACGAAAGAAACAGAGAAGAGGCAGCAGCTGATGATTTTAAATTTGCTGGGTCAGTTGAGGGCGAGGCAGGCACTGCAGCTGGTGTATTTGGATTATCATCAACGGGTGATGATGAGGCTGGAGGAGCTTTATCGGTACAAGAATCATCATCTTGATCAGGGGGTGGTAAAGGAGGAGGAGGAGGAGGTGCTAGTGGTGCTAGAACCCCGTCTATGCCATGGCATTGAATAGAAGAGGCCGATGCAGCGCATACATTTGGTTTAACAATTTTGACATTGTTGAGATAGAAATACCTCCCTGCATTGTTGCTGGCATTGTTGGAGACTCTGAGTAAGTAGCCTGGCTTTGAACTGGGAATTGTTGAACCTGTTGGGATATGTTCCAAATACTCGAAAAGCAATGGTGAAGGGATCGAATGACGAAGCAAGAAATCCGTAACAGCGTCCCCCTCCTCATGTGCCACTGCCACTGGCAACACCACCTCTGATAGCATCTGATCGTTGGGCATCAAGAAAGTGACGTTCTTTTCTAGTCTCTCATCAAAGGGGCCTACCATGTTCATCAGCATTACAAAGGTGAAGTAGTTGCCGCTTTGCATCTCTCCTATGGCAGTGACAATCTCTTCGTTTTGATTCCTTGGGCTTATAGGTGGAGGAAGAGAAGTATTTGTATTTGTATTTGTATTTGTAGAAGAAACTGATGAAATATTGCAGAGTATTATTATTGCAGCCATGATCAGATTCAGATTCACAAGTAAGGAGGTGGCCATGACTTTCAGGTGGTTGATTATGAAGGGGTGGGACGAGGAGGAGGAGGAGGAGAGGGAGATGTGTCTGTTTCATTCAATGTTTGTCTTATCTTTATATTATAGGAGGAGTAGGAGTCGGAGCAGAGCAGGACCATGCAACTCTGCTGCTTCAACAACTGAGTTCCACGCCTTTTGTGTTTTCTGAGTTCTTTAGGGATACAGTTTGCATGTGGGTACGACTTATGAGGCTTTTTTCTTGAATTATTCTTCTACTGCATTGCACCTTTTAAATTATTCATACCAGCGGCAAAATTTGTTTAGTTCAAAATTCAGATCAAAGTTTGTTTCAAACCAAAGTGGTGTCGGATCGGAAGCTCGACTGGTCAACCTTGCGTTTCGAAAACAAGAAATTTCGAAATGTCACTTTATCCGTCGCCCCAAAACCAAAATAACTAGTTATGTCAGCCAGACAAGAAAATATTTGGATTTCATGTCGACGACTTCACTTTATTCCCCATACATAAAGTATAAGCAAGTAATAAATCGAATCCTGATAGGCAACAATCAGAATGGAAGGAGACTGACAGAATTCATACTAACTTTCAAGTCGATCGATATCACAAAAGAAAAAAAAATCATAATCAATAATCTGAGCACCATAAACAATATAATTTTTTTTTAATAAAAAAATCCTAATCTTCCAAGTCAAAGCGAAACATTCAAATGAATTCTCCATCAAAGCATCAAAAAAATGCCGGGAAACCTACAACATCCCTATGCGGCTATGCTTTTGTTGGTCCCATCCCATGGCATCATAGTACACGAGTCATACTCAAATTGCTCCAAGTTACTTGATTACTGCTGGACAAAATTCAAATAGGAACAAGAAGCACAACATGCTAGCGTCATCACAAAGCATGATTTAACTTGTTCAGGTATGAAACAAATAAAGGAATGTAACTGAACAGATTAACAGCAAAGAATGACCTATTTATTAGGGGAACTGGAATGATCCACCAATTTGGTTGGTACCAGAAGGTGGATTGATTGCCACCCAAAGAAGAGAGATGGTAATCGCAATGAGCCCCGACCATACAAAAACAATGGTGGGTGTCCTCCCTCGTCTCCCCATCAACCCTTTGGCAAAAGGATAGAGATGAGCTAAAACCCAGAAACTGAAGAAAACCCCGCCAAGTAACCGGCTCCACTGTGGTATCACACTGTATATTGTTCGGCTAAACCCAACTGCTATTGCAATTAGGTTGACCATCATGATTGTTATTGGCGGGATCATCAGAGATGACCATTTCACAATATAGAGGTCAGCAAACTCATCATCCTCATCATCACCACCTGATTTTGAAGTTAAGGTGAAAGAGATTTCAATCCCTGCAATAACTTTCAATAGCCCCTGAAGCACAGCAGCAAGGTGGGCACTAGTCCCTCCGATCAACCAAAACTGCTCGTTTCTCCACCACTCTTCTAGCTCAATGCCAGACCATTTAATCTCAAGCACAGCAAGCATGCATAGAGTGAGGGTGATGGTCAAAAGATAGGTCAGGAATGTAACATTGAGGCTCTGGACAATGAATTGACCAGAGAAGAGGGAAAGGGCCGGGAGGAAGCAGTAGACGATGAGGAAGATGGAGGTAAAGGGGTAAATACCCACATTGAGGTATGCTATCCTTTGCAGAAGCTTCATTCTTGGGCTGGCTAGGAGGGCATTGTTGCGAGAGAAGAATATCTCAACTGAGCCAGTAGCCCAGCGCAGAACCTGATGCAACCTATCAGTAAGATTAATAGGAGCAGTTCCACGGAATGCATCTCGCTTGGTCACACAGTAAACTGATTTCCATCCTCTGTTATGCATCCTATACCCAGTGACCACATCTTCAGTAACTGATCCGTAAATCCACCCTACACGCTGTCCCCACTCAGTCTTGTCTTCATACCAGCAGGAAATGACACTGATCGCCTCTGCAACAGTAGATGCATCGAGAAGCTCACGAGGAATGGTCAGAGCACCAGGTGGGCGTCCATTCTTCACAGCTGGGTGATCTGCAAGGGGACGACCTTGGAACTCTGCCACTGGAATCGAATCAATGAGGAAACTTGAGTTCCCAAACCTCTTAGGCAGCAGGGAGAGATTCATCTCTTCATCATCAGAATCACCCATTCTTAAGGCTCGGTTTTCTTCAGGGGTGTTAGCTACCGAGGAATGCTTTCTGCGACGAGAAAAGCAGCAACTGCAACAACCTGGGTGATGTTCTTTTGACCGAGGTGGGTCGAAACCATAAAGGGAAATTCTACGAAAGAGACATCCAGTTCCAACATAAACTGGGCCCTGAAGCCCATCTAGAGCTCGCATATTGACATCAAAGAAAACAGTGTTGTGATTGGCATATCGATCTGAAGGGTCAATACCCTCAAATCTCTGAGGAAACTGGACATAACAAAGGCGGTCACCTCCACGATCCATCATGAAGCACATGCCTTCCCTCATTGCCTGAGAGTTGTAAATATAATGGTCACAGTCAAGGTTGAGAATGAACGGGCCATTGGACATTATGGCAGAGGCTCGAACGAGGGCATTCATGGCTCCGGCCTTCTTGTTGTGATCATAGCCTGGGCGTTTCTCACGCGACACATAAACAAGCATGGGAAGGCGGATATCAACGTCAGTGAGGTCGATGAGCCTAGCATCATCATCAGCTCCATGCAGCGGTTCATCACTGGGAGGTTTTAACATCACCTGCATCAACAGGGTGAATAAGTGTTCAGCCCTAACCTTTTTTTTTGTGGTTTAGTTATACATGCAAAATATGTAAGAACAATCCCTCTGCAGTTAAGACAGCAAAATAATATAGTTTACCAGAACTAGAGGAATACCTGTATAATACCAGCATGGTCACTCTTAGAATGCTCAGGTGAAGCACTCAACCAAGTCCCTGGCCAGTGGGTTCCATCAGCCATCCACGTTGCTTTGGGAACCTTCACACTCTCCACAGGTTCATCCTCTCTGTTCTCTCTTTGAAGCTTCATGGCTTTGATTTCTTCCCGAGCATGATAAGCATCTGACCGTCGGCGTATAGAGTCAGGCAGTCCATTAATCCGAACCTTGAACTCATCATATTCACGTTTTACCCTTCGACGATCCTTGACAAAGTCAGGCAGCACTTTGTTCTTGTATGGATCCCTCTTCAAATTGAAATAAGATTCAGGATTCCTGGGTTCAATCCTATGTTTACGGCAGAAGGGTACCCATATATTAGCAAAACTAGCAGCTTCTGCCATGGCCTCAAAAGTTAAAAGTGCACCTCCATCGTCAGAAACATAGCAAGCTAGCTTTTCAACAGGATAATCAGTAGCCAGAATAGATAAGATAGTGTTTGCAGTGACAAGAGGTGGTTCTTTATCCGGATCTGCAGTGGAGACAAAGATATCTATGCCTGGAAGATCAGATTTCCCGGTGGGGTTGTTGGGGCTAGGTGTTTCAAACTTCTCCTTCAAGACATTAAGATCCGTAGAACGATTGACTGGGCATAACTTGGGCAGTTGGTCAAGCAGCCAAGAAAAAGCAAACCAGATCTCACAAACTACTGACATTCCCCAAAGCCAGATTGCATCATTATTTGGGTGGTTGACCCTCCATGCCAAGAACAGCGCAAGGACAACCATACGAATAAATATTAGAAGCCTGTGAACACATAAGCAACAGAGAGCAAAAGGCAATTATTTTCAGGACAATGAAGAATGATCTCAAAAGGAATGCACCAAGTGTTCGCAGCTTATTTATAATCTCGCGGATCTATCTATCAGCAGGATAACATAAAGATATAGCTCATTGTAGACAGTTAAATTTGGTGTGGTGACAAATAGGTCCAATGCATTCTCCAATCTCAAAATCAACCGCTGAGCACACAGCATATGACTGTATATATGTATACGTGGATCTTCTTACCACTTAATTTAGAAATGCATCTGAATGAAATACGTGGAATGATGATGTTTTGAAAATGTAAAGTTATCATTTTGCAAATGAGATTGCCATCATAACATAGTTTACCTTCGGGGATACAAGGACTGGATAAAAGTAAGGCAAGAAATGTACCTATATGGGCTTAGAATAGCTGCAGGTATCTTTAATTTCCGTGTGAGTGGCCTCCATGGTTTGTTCATCAACTCTGTTGGTTCAGCGACTTCGTCATCTTTCCCATTTCCAAAACCCCCCTCCTTAGGCCATATGGCATTTCCATACCCATAAGTTCCCTTTGTTTCAAAGAGCCACCGGTTGTGATCAAAATCCCCAGTTTGACTCCTCATCAGCACTGACTTTGTTGACTTCATCAATGACAACCTCCTCTCATTTTTAGACATCCCGTTTGGAAGAGGAAGTGGGAGCGGTGGCCGTGCATTATCCACAGCCATTTCATCCAAATCTGTGTTTTTGTATGTTTCCTTGCATCCAGGGCAAATACTACCCCCTGTTTTCACAGCATCCGTATAGCAATCCCGACATATTTTGAAATCACACTCACAAGGAAGAATATCCACTCCACGTTCATCACTCATCACTTTTGCATCACATCCAGGAATTGCACATGATGACCCTTTAGCACCAGCCATCTGAGGATGGTTTGCTTCAGATTCGATCACCTTATCCATAAGATGAGCTCGCGTAACACTATTAAACCCGCCTGTAAAAAGTGAATTCGACACATATTGCTCTTCAACCTTCTGTGAGATGGATGGATCCATGGGTTGGTTATCTGGGGTTGGTGGTATGTGAACTGTATAGTTCATAAAGTCACCACTCCCGAGTTCACTATCAAGATCATCCCTTGAGTAGCTGATGTAGCGACCAGAGGAAGTTCTCCGGCCAAATGTCACAGTCGGAGGCACTGGAGGCTTGTCATGTGCATCAGGCATATCAGAGTTTGATGATAGATTCGATCTGCTCGCCTTAAACGATCTGGATGCCATACTTGAACCACTACCAGTTACTTATCCTTAGTTCCTGTTTTTTTTCACAAAACAAAAGAAATTCGAACTGAATTAGCGCAACTAAAATAAAATAAAAACGGATCTTGTAAAAATCAAAACTGAACTGAAAGCAACACGATGTAAAAATGTGATCCTCTGTCGACAAATTAAAGGACACGAAAATTAAATCTTAAACGTCGTCTATACACATAAACTCAACAACAAAGATGCCAAACTCTATCCCTTTTCTGTATTTTCTCAACAGACGGAGTCTAGACAGTCCTCGTTGCAAAATATTTAAAAGAGTAGAGAAGTAGCCGAGTAAGAAGGAAACAAATATCATCTATATGAATCTCCAGACCTTGTATCTGTCTGTTTGCGGAGAAAATGAGTAGAAAGAAAAGGGTATCAACTTTTCATTTCAAATTTCACGCCGACATAAGCATTTACTTGTATATCGCAAATCATGAAACACCAAGTATACACTGAAAAACACACATCGCATCAACTGAGTAAAACCCAAATCATGAAACACCAAGTATACTCCAAAAACCCACATCACATCGAGTGAGTAAAACCCATCACAAATCCAGTGTCACCTTTTCCTAAGCAACCAAACACAAACAAAACCTTTGTACCTTTTTATTTTCTAATGGAGAAAAAACCGGGCCATGTCTGAATCTCAGAGAGAGATCAAGCAGGGGAGCAAAAAAGGAGCTTACCTGTGTCTTATAAATGGTGTCCAAGTATGTATGTTTCAGATCTCTGGGGTCTGTGACGCTGAGGCTTATCAAAAAGCCCCAGCAGCGAAAGTGAAAGGGGTTTGTCTGAACATGGAATGGGGGAATTGTTCAATTCAAAGGTGGTGAGAGTCGGCTCTCCAACTGTCCCTTGCGTTATCAAGTAAAGAGCAAGAGGACCCAGTAAGCAGCAGCATTCAGATACAACAAGAGAAGAGAAGGAATGAAACAAAGAGATGACAAAAGTATTTGAGTAAGAGTTTGGGACTTAGTCAGTCGTGAGGAGGACTAATAACCCATGATTGAAGGCTCTCTCTATTTTTTAATTATATTTTTATATACCCTAAACATAATAATAATACTCTGTTTTGTTTTCAAAAAAGAAAAACAACTTGGTTAATAAAAATGGGGTTTTATACATGTAAATACGCGGTGGCAGGTAAAGAGAAGCTTCTGGGTTAGAAAGCGTTTCGTTGCGGTGGATATGGCCGGCTCTCTCTCTCTCTCTCTCACACACTCACACACACACACAGAGACACAGAGAAATCCTCCAATTGTGAATAGTGTTGTCATATTAATTCATTATGATGGGTGCTTAATGCTCGTCATGGTGTAATTGTGTGACAGTCTGAGTTTAGGTGTCGTCTTTCCATTTTATTCTTGTTTTGGGTCATTTTGTTTTTGCTTTTATTTTTATTTTTATTTTCTTATTAAGAAATGGGAAACCTCGTCGTCTCAGGGTAACAGTTACTTTGACTCGTCTTGAGGAGTAGTTGTTTTGGACAGCAGAGCAGCGTATGATACGAGTAAATTTAGGTTTATCGCTCGAAACTGGACAGGGAATATTTTATAGGAATATTCTACAAATATATACTATGTAATAAATAAATAAACATTTTTCACCTTCCAAATTTAAATATTTCACTAATAAAATATATAAATTATAAAATCAGAAAGTTCATATGAAGAATGTATTGTATTGGTGTGTGTAATTTCTGAAAGTTCATATCAAGACACATATTTTTATTGCTAGAGCTAGCTACCGTGGACTAAATCTAATTCAAATCAAAGACCAAAAGTGCATTCTAAAGCCAATAAGCTTTGAGCTTAATTCTACCCTCTTATCCTCTTTAAGTAAAAAAATAAAAATAAAAATAAAAGCATTAAACAATAAATTTAAGAGAGTGATTCTTGAGCAAAAGACCCACTAATATAGTGGTTTGGAACAATTATTTTTTTAAGCAAAGTCTTGGGTTTAAGTTCTAGCATCCGTGTAGTGTGTGTGAGTGTGAGTTTAGTATATTATTACTACTTTTAATAGAAAAGGTCCCTTAAAAAAAGCGATTCTTGATGGCTGTATTTGTTATTCGATGTTGTTGGATTAGTTGGGGTGCTGCTGACATGGTAATGGTATTGAAGTCGCACAAAGAACAATAACATAAATCTTTTTTTTTTAAGGAAAAGAATGCTACTAAATTGTTAACAAAAATATTGATTAAGATTAATTAATAAATAATTAGTAAAAATCCAAGGTACTCAATTCACCTATAAATATATCGGTACAGATTTGATATTATTGCACAAGGGAGGGTTATATGATCCAAGTAGAATTACCATAATAGTATGATGGAAAAAAGAGCCTTATTATTGCAAAAAAGAATGATGAGCTGTGTTTTGAGCATGGGTTGGTCGACATGCTGTTTACGTGTGAAATGAAAGTTGTGCTTAAAAAGAAAAAATGAAAAGCGTGTGAAATTATAGTTGTCATCCATTGTCTGTATCTCTCTCTCTCTCTCTCTCTCTCTCTCTCTCTGTTGCATTGCACAGCACAGCACCGAGGGATAGGGGTAAGGTAACCAAAGAGACGGTTAAACCGTGGAGCTGTCGTGTTGGTGTATCTTATTCATGTATCAACATTGACGTGTAGCATAACACGAGTCATGTTCTAAAAATAATAATAAAGAAAAGAAATCTCCATCAGATAAACTAATTCTTTATTTACACATATGAAATTATTAAATACATTTATTATTTGTCATGCTAATTTGTTAATATTTTGCCGTGTGTATTTACTCTTAACTAAATCACATTTTCACGCCCACAACAATGCAATGTAATAATGTGAATTTCTCCCATATCACCTTTCAAAAAGAGCCAAAGAAAATATAAATGTGTATTTGGGCGGACGAGACGACCATGGTTGTCAATGCTATCATCATATCATGGTCGTGTCGTTTTCTGTGATCATTACAGCAATCTGCTATGACAACAATAGTGGTAATAGTAGAGTAGAGGAGGTGGTGATATTTTTGCACATTGGATTGGTGACGCCATGGTCATGGACCTACGTACTACGTACAGGTGCCACTACATACGTGTATACGGGACTGAGTGAGGGGGGTTTGATTTTAGAAAATTTTACATTTTTATGACAAGTATGAATAACAACACATGTCCTAAAATAAAACTAACGGGAACCGTTTCAAAAGCAGGCAGGCACGTCCAAGATATGTCATTGCTGTTGGCCCACCCCCGCCGTGTGATCATGGAAGAAGATGGTGAACCGTGTGGGGCCCCACTCCCGCCCTCTACGGCTTTTCTTTTGAGTCTTTTTTGGCACTCCCGTTTCCTCCAACCCAACCCACCTCGCTCGTCGTAGGTACTAACAAAAGCGTTATATATTTTTAGCGTGATACATCATCCATTTGAAATTCGAATTTGAGAGAAAGCGAGAGCACGTCACAACACAATCAATCAACCCCCAATAAAGTTTAAGTCTGCTTTCTATTCCAACGGTAACGCACCAGCCTTTTAATTTTATATTCTAATATATGAGGCTGCGCTCATCAGGCACACCTCGCGTGATGTATGTACGGTGGATGTTGGGCCCAAAACTCGATTACATCCTCTATTTCAAATCACCCAAACAATTCCTATCTCTGTCTCTGACGAGAATAACGGCCCAAATATGCCGATATACAGCTCAGCTGACCCAGGTTCCCTCTCCATTCTCTATCTATTTTAATTGTTTCGTTTATTTTCTTTATCAGATGAGATGGATCCATTAACCATAACTTGAGTTTAACACCAACAAGGCATATACCAAGCAGCAATTAGTCTATTATTACATCTCTACATTAAAAGAACATAACAAGACCAGCAAGGCATACAAACAACAACTACGATATTTGTGTGTGTGTGTGTGTGTGTGAGAGAGAGAGAGAGAGAGAGAGAGATGTAATGTAACCAGTAACTAATTACCTAAACAATGGCCGACCACACCAATCCTATACCTTTGCTACAGAATCTTACGATTCTGCTTTTGTTTTGTCAATAATAGCCTTTTGCTACAAACAAATCATATAAATGGGATACAGAAGCAAATCGATTATATATGTATATAAGGGCAGAGTATTTCATAAATTCCACTATAAATAGATACCTTCTCACTACGGCCAAAAACACAAGAAGAATACATTAGAATCACCCTGCCCTACATCCATCATGCACAGAGGAGAAAGAGACACAGTAGAAAATAATTACAACTACAAGTGACCTGAGGAGGTTGTAGAGTTGGCACGTTTGCATTCACACATGCAGATGTTTCTCGACTCTTTCACCACACGTTGAGATCTTCGAGTGTGAAGTTTGATATTCACCAACTTACCAGCCATCTGTTGCACAACCAACAACGCTAAAATCAAACATTTCTAAACCACAGTTGGGCCTCTTATCTTTGTTTATGCAAGTGCATGTAAGTGAAAACAAAACTGGTTTGTGGGCCAACGTTTTACGGAGCAAGAAAATCATACCATTCGCCAAACCAAGTCTTCTGGACCCAAGGGTTGAGCTGGACTGGAGTATAGGAAATGCCTTGAGTACTGGGAAAGACGAAATAACAAAATCAGTGCCCACAAAGATGTAGCTCGCTAGCTTAGAAAACATCCAGAAGCACAAGATAAAGAAACAGCAAGTCTAGTCAAGCAGGGAAACTAGAAATGCATGTCTAGTACAACCCTTTGACAAGAAATACAAATACAAAACAATAACATTCACTTCAAATATTCAGTCACTTACCTTGGCAAGATTCTGACGGATTTCCTCAATCTGAGCAGGGCGAATATTTCTAAGAAATGTTAAAAGCCAACCAGGTTGTACGGCATCACTGGAAGAAACAAATAAAGCTATCTGTAGGCAAAGATAAAAGGCAACTGTTGAGAACATTGGGTATAAGGCCAACCATACATGCCATGACACATGGACTTCGGGGCAGGCATTAAGCTGTGAGCAATTATCTACCAGACTAATATATCCTATACCCAATATTTAGATATACATACCTTTCTATAATCTAGTATTCCTTCAAAAGGAAGTTCCAGTTCATCACTAACTATGACTGGTATGCAACCACTAACAATGGCATCGAACAATCTAGCGGAGGATGGAGTATCACCAGCTGGACTCAAGCAAAAGACAGACCTGACAGAGAAATCAACTCAACTAAATTAACACAGGAACAACGAAATTACATCACCAAGAAGAGCGAGGATCCAAAAAAGTTTACTTGCGCATTCCTTCTTGAGCTGCTGCTTTTCCTCCCTCTCCTGCTGTCCCCTCCTCTATAGCTACACCCTCAGCACCACTTAGTTCTGCTACAAGTTTTGAGCGTATTTTCCCTCCCTGAAAGTAGAACACAATAAATTTGCTACAAGAGCCTGAGATTCTTACGTGGAGAAATGGAAGAAGCTTTCTCCCGCATTGTTTCATTAATCCACTGAACGATGATATCGATTAACTACAACTAATGGCCTCTACATCCTATGCCCAGTTCTTTTGTCATTTAAGATTGTTTTGCATGCACCCAAGCCTAAAGTCCTCCTTTAGTGTACGCGCCAGTTGCTTTAATCTCCAAAGTAAATATTATATTCACTTCCAACAGGTTCAACACAATTCAATGGAATTTGTAGCAAAGAAATCCATTGAGAAATCAAAAGTCTTACAGCATTTCTTTTAAGCCGGCCACGGAAAAAGAGCAGTGTGGTTCTCTTGGATTGAGTCTCGGATATGCATCTCGAATCACAAAAATCAACATTGGGAACGTAAGGAAGAATTAGATCTTTCTCCAGAAAGACTTGTCCAGGTTTGTACCTAAAAGTAGGGCAAAGTAGAGTTAAACAGGTTGAATTTAGGGCTTTTTTTAATAAATAAAATAAAGATCCAGTGAAATAATAACCAGTTTCCGGTGGAGTCCATATCAGGAAGCAGCCAAATTGCATTCTTCATGAAGCGCCGAACAGATTTAAAAGACCAGGGATGGTGAACAGGAAGTATGTGATCCCTTCCTTGGGATCGGTTCCAGGCAGGCTGATCGGTGACCCACTTGAGAGCTTCCTTCATACACAAATAAATAACAATGATAATACTTAGATAAGCTAGCGATACGAAAGGGGATCAAAGATACAGCACTCAAAGACTCAAAGGTTTTTAAGCTTCAAAATAATCCATTGAAATCACAATTGAATACACCCCCCTAAGTAAACGGTGCATTAATTAGAGTGTAACATAATAGTAACAGTGTGAGATACATATACAGGTAAGTATGATCATACGATGTGCAGCAATTAGCAAGCAATTAAGGGAAACCTTGGAGGATGCAGTCAGACCCTGTAAAGTGCTTTGCACTGCTGTTTCTCCAATAAGAAGAAGCTAATGGTGGTGAAGAATGGGATGTAGAAGAGGTCAGCCTCCTCCTGCCTATGCACTCTCACTACGCTTTTCAACAGCCTCTCCGACTCTGGAGCAATCAAATCCGCCCACAGCCAGTAATCAACGGAATGCTGCACAAATTAGGCCAGGAATTAGGAATTGAAATCAGAAGATTAAAACGGAATCAGTAAAATGTAAAAATAAAAAGCAAAACCTGTTCGATGAGGCGGTGAACGGGGCTGCCATTAGAGGTGAGATTGGAGGTCTGCCTGTAAGAGTTTCTGAAGAGCCAGAGGAGATCGTAGGTGAATTTGGTGGGCATGTCGTAGACGTAAACCCTAATGGGCAGGCTGAGCGGGTAGTAGGGATCAGCGTACAACCTCTGGGTGTGGGTCTGGAAGATTAGATCGTCGAGGTGGTTGGGTTGGTGCTGGGGTAGCGTTGTAAGGAGGACGGTGTCATCGCGGCGGGATGATTTGTGGGCGAGGAGGAAGCGGTCGAGGGAGGCGACGAAGGAGGTTTCGGGCTTGTAAATGGGTTGGTGGTTTGGGTGAAGAAGAGTGGTGGTGTCGTCGGAGGGGGAGGGGCTATGAAAGGAGAAGAGGAAGAAGACGAGGGAGAGGGCGAGGAGAGCGAGAAGTAAGAGAAGCACCGGGGATTTGGATCTTGTCATTTGCTTTCCAGCTCCAGGCATTCTCGTTTGTGTTGTGTTGTGTGATGTTTTCGTTTTGTTTAAAGACGACACAACTAAACACGTTCACAATCACACCCACAAAATGTTGGCAATTGTCTTCGACTGCCGGTGCTCTTATACTGCTGCAATGCAAGTTGCAAGAACAGTCTTTGCCTCTTCAATGACATATTATTGAAATAGGATTAGAAGTATGCATTAGATTCCTATCACCGCTTGTATTGTATACAACAATTTTGCCTCTATTATGTCTCCTAAACCTAATGAATGAAAGAGGTACAACAAATATATTCTTTTTTCTTTTTTCTTTTTCGTGGACGCAAATAGAATAATATATTTTATTAGTGTCCATCAGATTACTGTGCATCCAAATTTGATAATAATTACTTTTACACAAAATGTTTGTGTGTGCAGGTCAATGAACAGAAGAAGGGAAGAGGAAAAAAAAAAAAAAAAAAAAAAAAAAAAAAAAAAAAAAAAAAAAAATATGTTCATGAAGGTGAAATTTTTCAAACATCAAACTTCAGCGGCGTCTCCAACAATCAACATCTAAATAGCCTGGTATTCACACCAGCAAAGCTCTCCAGTCCAAGTACATGGAATAATACATTTACACCCTCTCAAAAGCTGATCAGGTCATCCTTTGCTGCCGGCTGCTGTTTCTTCGGATCTTGGCTTCCTTCAGAAGAACTTACACCTTTCTTGCCAAATATCATCTCATCCAGATCATCCATCATGTCATCGTGGCTCCCTGCATGGACCAGACCTCGAGAAGCAGCTGGTTTTCTAATCAAGGAATCCTCTTTCCCATGACTCGGTGATTCATCAGCCTCCACAGCAACGGGTATCATTGCAGGTTCTGGCTCAGTCGGAACTACCAAAGGCTTCATCAGTTCTTCATACTTGGATAGAACTTTATGGATCTCATCATTCACATTCAGCGCTTCAAACAGCAAGGCCTCGTTTTCTCCAGCTGTCTCTATAATTCTCTGGACGGCGGATTGAGACTGACGACATTGTTGTACAAGTGTGGCTGTCAAGTCATCCTGCCAAAGGGACAACAACATTTAATCCGTATCGCTTTTGATAACACCAGATCTAGTTCTTAGTTTCTAAACTTAAGTAAATAACTAGTTATTCTTGAACAAACATGTGTAATTGCATCAGAGAATATCTGCCCTCATATAGCACTATAATTCCTTCAGGATTTCTTATTTGTTGTCGGGCTGATATTATACAAGAGTTAAATTAACTTTGAACTGGCTATCTCCATGGCAGATATTATCATAAAGTCAACCCAATGCCACTTGGCTCTAGATTGGATGGAACGTGGTCCTATGGAACAGCCTGGGTGGTAAATCGACCTATTCCAAAGGCCCATTAACGTTTGAGTACCGGTGGTGTCCTGAAATTTGTCTAGCCGACCCTCGCCCCAATAAATTTTAAAAAAAGAGTAAAGCATATTGGTCTAGATAACAAAGGAAAAAGGATATTGGTTTAAGAAACCCCATGTATTATCAAATTAGATATCACTCAAATAGGATATGCAAGCAAGAAAACAATATAGAAATCACCTGTAAAGCATCTTGTTGGGTTGAAGAGGAGAAAACAGTACTAAGAAGCTCAATACTGTTTCTTGCAACATCAAATGCTTCCTTTGTTTGTTCAGCCGTAAAGCCTTGCACAGGAATATCAAGCGGAATTTGCTGGGAAAGGCTAGCATCTGACTCTGAAGCTGAAACCGAACGTGGGGGAGTGAAAATTGGTGCCAAACTCTCATTGTCACGACCAGGGAACCGAATACCCCTTGATCTTAAACTCTGAAATTGTGATGGTCCAAGCATAAAAGTATAAATAGCATGAAACCACTTCTTTTAATCATCAGTAATATATAGATAACAAGTGCACCATCCAGCGTGATGAAAGCTTAAAAAACTGTAGAAGACATTAGCATAAAAGCCACGGAAATTCTGAAATACGTTATACTTTCAATTTTGGGAGTTCTTCAATTTATTTTCCAATATTAGCCTAGTGCTCCTTTGCACTGGTAAACTGGCTAAATTTTGTATTTCCTCATGAGCTGCAATTGTGCCTCAAAAGAAGAACCTTGGGCCAAATTGCGGTTGTATATTTTAAGTACTTCCTATTAGTCCAACTAAAATCAGGAGGAATAGAAGTGGATTTGGGTCTGTAACTATGTTTTAGTCAAGGAAGAACAAGATGTTATATAGATTTGACAAGATATGAAACTGGAACCAAAACTTTGTAGATACCTTGTATGTTTCCTCGTAAACAGGCAAATAGCGGAGCTCACCGGTCGATTCCCCCCATGCTTCAATCAGCATCAAAGCCTTATTGCGATTATTAACAACAGTCTGAGGATCGTCAATCAGCTTCACCATCTCATCAAGAACTCTTTCTGCAGCTATCTCTGAGAAAGCCTTCTCACAGTTCTTAACACATGTTTCAAGCAGCACTAGCGAGAGGTACTGGACCCTAGGATTCTTCAACATAATCCGCTTTTTTATTCCACGAACTAATTCGACACTGTTGACTCTTTCAGTATTGATCATGTCACAAATATCAAGATTCATAGCCCAGTCAGGCTCATCAAGTGCCTCTGATGTGGCATCTTCGACGATCTTATCTGCTTGGTTTGGGCCTTGGAAGAGCTCCTTCACCTTGAAGCTCACTGAGCTCAAGCCCGCGCTCATCTTTCGACCGACCTCAGACCCTTCGATCTTGAGGCGTTCGCCAAAAGCACTCACTTTCTCCATCAAATTGTCACTCATCTTCAGAATCCTGTTAACTCTAAAACAGAAACCTCCTAAAAGTTTTCCTGCAAATTTACCATAATGCTAATTAGTTGTCATCAAAGATGGAAAAGATACATAATTATGTTTACTAGTTGAGCAGATGTAAGAATTTCTTATTTTGAAACCCAAACAAAATTACTTTTCGGGACAAGCCTGAAGATTAAGCAACCTAAACATAATTCTGATTTCTTTTTTTCCTCTTATCTTTCTTCAGAAACTCGAACCAGGTTGTTGAAATCAAAACACCGAAAGAACCATAACTAAAGAAGTACCAAAATCACAACTGTTAAAAAAGATGAAAGTGAAAGCATAAAACTGTAGGGAAAAATCAACCTTAATTGGCAAAAGCTGAGAACTTTTCTTCCCCGAAATCCCTCCCTTTTCCGCCCCTCAATTTTCTTAACAACGAACTGAAAGAGATGACAATATAAGAAGATTATTTCAAAAGATATCTAGCAGTGTATATAACTAAATTTCCAAAAACCCTAAAGAAAGCAGAAGATGGAACCCTGATGAAAACTTTTTGTTTACTGAGAAAAACGGTAGTAGTACCCGTCTCATATGCCTAGTTCAGGTCAACAATCATAAATCAGTTTGCTGTTTTCTTTTTTACTATGATGACTTTTCTTCTGCTTTCTCAGCAACCAATCAAGTAAAAATAAAAAGGGAATCGATGATCAGACTAGGAATGGTTGTGTGTGATGAATGAAAAATATGCCCGATATTGGTCAAATTTTGATGAAGAAAAAAGGTTAAGAAATTACCTGTTGTCTCTTGAGAATTCGAGAATGGGAGCAGAGATTGAGTAGTGGGTTGAGAACTTGAGAGACGGCAAGGCGCAACGACTCAGTAAAGTGAATATTTTGTGTAGTCTCTCTCCTTACTTCCTTGGAGTTTCAGCCTTTTTCTTCAGGCACTTTTTTTTCTCTCTCTTTATACGTTAGCTTAGCCTTACCTCAATATTTATTTCTGATATTGTGTTTTTTTAATTAATTAATTAAAGCTGACGGAGACGGCGTATGAATTTGAATAATGGTACGAGTTTGATTGGCAATTTCTTCGTGATGTTGGTGTGGTGGTTATTACCCTTTGGTGCATGAAAATTAAAATCTATTAACCAAAGATTAACATACAAATTACACGATTTACTTTGACAAAAAAAAATTACACAATTTAAATTACATTAAAAAAAAACACTAAATAGATATTATGATGTAATATATTTTGTACTGTTATTTCTATTGATCTAATAAAACTTTATCGCTTTTTCATCAAAAACTAAGACTTTGTCATGGATAGAAATAATATTTCTTATTGGGAGGCAAGGTGGCATTCGTTCGGCAGGAGGATTGATTAAAGTGTTTAGATTATATTCTAGTATACCTTACATTACATGATGCAAGAAGAAGAATAATAATACTAAGTAGTAGAAGATGGAAAAAAGAAAAAGGAATAATGGAAAATGCTCAAACCGCGTGGACTGTTCTTCTTCCTTCCCCCAAGTCAGTAGTCAACGTCAAAGTTGTTGGGTAGAGCCTAGAGGTGGAGAAATCTATCCCCTTCATTTTATACCGTTCGATTTGGTTCCTAACCTTTGTCATTGTCCCAATTACACGCAACGTCTAACTTAAACCACCAAACGCAACGCCACACACACACTTGCATTAATATACACGCCCCTTCCCTCCTCCTCATCTCCTCATGGCGTTGTTTGTTGTCTCACATACATCGCGGTGGAGTGGACCACCACCCATACCACAATTATTTTTTAAGTTTTTATTTTAATGATTCGCTCCGCAGAATAAAAGTTTTTTATTATTTTTATATATGGTAATTAAATTACCTACCACTTCCCAATTTAAATGGATGATTAAAGGGAAGGGACAAAGGCCCAATCACAAACAGACTAAAGTCTCAATATGGGTCAATACTTTAAGGCCAGCAAGTGATTTGATCCATCTATTATCATCAAGGGCCCAGCAAGCAGGCGTTGAAGTTGCTCCAACGGCCACAATTGTTGTTCTCAATTTAGCTTAGTTGTCAACGTTCACAATACAGACCCAGCCGCAAGCAGGCAGCATCGAGATCGTTTTCGGTTCCCGGACTCAACTCACCCAAATCTCGCACGCAACGCCCGCCCTCACGCACTCACTTGTTCCGCTTCTCATGACCTCGTCCACTGCAAAACCCAAGGGAAGGATAAGTTACACGGTCATGGCTGCTTGAACGCACAACCGTCCGATCTAGGGTTACTAACTTCCAATAATACATTCATTCGCATTGACAGTGGCACACACTCCAGGTACCATTTTTACTCCCATCACTCCCTACCCCCAACCCCTGTTTGTTTCCACGCAAAATTTACTATGATAATATTAGGACATGTGTTTGATTTCGAAATTTGATTGGCAGCTATAAAAGAGAATTGATTGTGGGTGGATTGGATTGGATTGTGGAAGTACAGAGAGAGAGAGAGAGAGAGAGAGAGAGAGAGAGAGAGAGAGATGATGATGGGGTTGGGGTGGGTGGGTGCCATTTTAGTAGGAGCAGGTTGGCTTGCTTTGGGTTATTGCTTTGGTGCGCGTTACCCTCCCGCTCGCATTGTTTTGTCAGCTAGACTAGCTAAGAAAACTGCACTTGCTAATGATACTAATGGCAACAACAAGAAGAAGAAGAACAAGGACCCACTTGAGATTGATAACCTTGCTGACATTCTCCAAGATTTCAAAATGGTATTACTTCCACTTACATCTCCAACATTTCAAAGAAAACCAAATTGCCTATTCACTTTCTTCATTGGTTTCTTCAGGTTTTGGTGGTCAGAAATGATCTGAAGATGGGTAAAGGGAAAATTGCGGCTCAATGCAGGTAGCTGTAGATTTTTTTTATTTTTTATTTTTTTATAAATATTTTCCCATCACTTGAGCATTATGTTGAGAATGATTGATTATTTTGTCAAGTGAAACACGCTTTTTCCTTCAATAGTTTATAGAGTTAGTTTTCTCTCTTGTTTGAATTTTATTTTTGTTCAAATTCTTTGCCAAATGTTTGCCTTCATTTTTTTCAGCCATGCGACTTTGGGCCTCTATAAAAAGCTCCTCCATCGAGCACCCAAAGCTTTAAACAGGTACAGCAACAGACTACTCTGTGATTTTTTTGTCTGCTGAACAATGTGGGTATCTTCATCTCTCTCTCTCTCTCTCTCTCTCTCTCTCTCTATGTTTCCTGTAATGGTGTTATGTCAATATGCAGGTGGGAGATGTGTGCACAGCCGAAAGTTGTTGTGAAAATTGAAAGTGAAGAAGATATGCTAGTTTTGCAAGTCAGTATTATAATACCAACTTTTCTGGCATGACGTAAACATAATTATTTCTTGCATGCTCTGTTCAATCATATAGTCTCAGAGAAGATGCAAGTTTATTAAAAGCAAAGTGAATTCAACTTTATGGTTAATGGTGACTCTTTATTGATTTTGACAGGAGAGGGCAAAATCGCTGAAACTACCAACCCACATTACAATCGATGCTGGCAGGACTCAAATTGCACCAAGTGAGTTGAAACTTTCCTGTATATGAGGTTGATTTCGGTTTTGATAGTTTTGAGTGTTTGGTGATGTTAGTGTTAAAACATGGCACTTCTGTTTACCAACATTTCAAAAAACTACTGAGAAGTGGTGGTCATCACAACATGAGAAAGCTTGAATTAAATGGATTAGGCTGTTTTTGAAATGGCCTGGAAGAAAAAGCATTTCCAAGTTTTGTGTACCCCCCATCCTCTTTGAACACTTTTTAAGCACATTTTGGTATGACCTGTTTTCTGAAAATACTGATGCAAACAACTCCATTGTTACTTGTCTTATTCGTTCCCCATTTCTGCCATGAATTTTATATTCTTCACTAGATGCTTATCCATTTGACTGTTCAAAGTGACTTATTTGTCTCTATGTATTCTTCCAGATTCAAGGACAGTGATGGCTATTCTTGGTAAGTTTCTCTTCTCCATTATCTTCCTTTCAATGGGCCTTTTTCAATTTGTAACTTTGAAGTGGAGGACTCCATCAAGTATGAGAGGAAGTTTTTAAGCCTTAACTATTCCCCCTGGGGGGTTTTCCCTGGTTTAATCTTAGATTGGGAGGCCAAGCCCCAAATGTTTTTGTTGGAAGGATGGTAAGTAGGATTGGTTTTGAGCTTGTGAATGTAGTGCGTCGGACAAAATGTATAGAAAAGTCAAAATACCTTGCCATGGTGCATAGCTTCTGGTTGTATTAATGGATTCTTCCATGTGCAGGACCCATTGAGGTGGTTGACGATGTAACAGGTGGACTGAAACTCTTGTAGTTGTTTGATTTAGATGGTGTCTATCTTATATACGATGAGATATGAGTTGAATCATGCCATGGGCACTGCAGCATCAACCATATTGGAAGAGTATCGGTGCAATGTTATATTCGAAGATCCATTCTCTGAAGGGCCTTGACTTAGAAATCTGCTTGTATTCTCCGAACAATTATGATGATGACGAAAATCTCTGAAATGGCATCATTTATTGTTATGGAAATTGTACTGTTAATGTAAACGAGGTTCCAGGTTTCGGCATTGGCAGCATTCTCTCATCTCATGGAGATGTGACATGTGTTCTTATTTACTCTAGTTTCTTTGTTAAGTGTTTTGGGAAATGATTTGTAATGGTTGGCTAACGTTTTACCCTCAACAAACTTGGAAATTCCTTACTAATATGAGCAGCATTTGTCGTAATCAATGGAAAGGGGAAAAGAGAAAAGACATGGTGGTCGTGTGGTGGCACTACAATCAGGGACGGACCCACAGTGGGGTCAATGGGGTCAAACGACCCTATGGCCTTCATGAACGTAAGGTAGAAAGTCCCTTTGAACCTGTGTGTGACCCCATGAATGGCTGAAGAAGGAGCTGGAAATTTGAGGAAGAAGAAGCTGAACAGGGGTTCAGTATTTTTTTTTATATACGAAGCTGACCAAAACGGCGTCGTTTTGGGTCAGCTTCTAATTTTTTTTTAAAACCTGGCTGGCCAAAACGGCGTCGTTTTGGACCAGCCCAGCGAATTTTTTTTAAAACTCGCTGGATCCAAAACGGCGTCGTTTGAACCCAGCGAATTTTTTTTTAATGCGCTGGCACCAAAACGGCGTCGTTTTGGACCAGCAGAAACGAATTTTTTTTTAAAAGACCTGGCCAAAACGACGTCGTTTTGGTCCAGGTCTTTGAAAAAAATAAAAAAGAGAATAGATTGTAATTGAAACAGACCCTTCTCTTCGACCGAACAGAACAGACCCTTCTCAAAACTCCAAAACCCCCATTTCCTAAACCTAAATCCCCAATCTCCACCCGCCCACGAACCTTTAGCCCTCTACCCACCAAGCTTTAAGTCCTAACTCCTCCATTGCTGCCGCTGCCAGCAACACCGTCGTGGCCAATTGAGAAGGATGTTTTTTATTGTATTGAAAATGAAGCTATAATGCTACGTTTTCAAAATATGAAACCTCGTCGTGGCCAATTATAATTTGTAATGTTGTTTTTAACATGAATTATGAATGAATGTACTATTGTTTCATTTTCAATGTTATTTTAATCTTTAAAAAAAAATTGAACTTTTACACTATGACCCTACGAGTTCATAATCCTGGGTCCGTCCCTGACTACAATATCGGCAATTCCAAGTTGCGTTGCATTGCATTTGCACGGCAGCTGATTCACTCACTGAAACTACGAGTAGACTGTAGATGCTTGCTTCATGATTATTGGCTAGGATAACAAAAAACCAAGTAAAATCGATCGCCCGGCTTTCATTTTGTATAAAACAATCTCTTATAAAGCTTTTCTAGTACCGCACTTTGTATTTTTTTTGTTAAGAAAAATCCAGTGCAAAAACAAAAACAAAAATGTTCAGAAATACTGAATATCCCAAAATTTTAAATTGCTTAAATAAATAATATAAAAAAAAGGAAAATGCTAGCGTCGCCTGAGAGATTCGAACTCTCGCGGGGAAACCCCATGTACTTAGCAGGCACACGCCTTAACCACTCGGCCAAAGCGACGTTGATGACCTTTGATTGCCTTCCTTCTTTTTTATCTGGTTACTTTGCTTCTTTGATTAAGCAAGTGGTTATTCCTGTCGCCCATTAACTTGCTGTGGATGTATTATTGGATTGGAAGGACTTGAAAAAATAAATAAAAAATGAAGCTGTATGATTAACTTTATTCTGAATTTTATTAGTGCCGGCCACCCACCGGGCCCTGACGCCATGAGGTTCGTGGATTACTTACTTATTTGTTCTATTGTTTGACTAATGGATTGGATGAATGAATACATGTTCTTCGTCTTCATCATATTTATTAATTTGAAATTCTTTATTCCAACAAGTAATAACCAATAGAAGTTGAATAACTAGACGAGGATTCTTGTGATTATTGCTCGGCCAAAAAAGAAAAAAAAACAAGGAAAGAATCATGAAATACTAAATATATCCAGTCAAATAAAAAACAAAATCACTGAAAACCTACCTTTTATTGAATTTCTTTTGTTGTTGTAAAAGAATCCGAACACGACTTGACAAAACCTCTGAGCGGCTCACCACTCAGCTCAGCAGTGCAGTCCTGAAAACTAAAGGGGAGGTTGATGACAACTCCAATATCATTTTTTTAAACAAATTATAGTTAGTGAAGGAAAAGCTGGGATGCTACCTCCGACTGGTGGCGGCCGAATGAGTACTCGTACTAGTAGTACTAGTACTAGTGGGAGTCAAAGCAAAGGATATAAGACGGAGGAGGAGCAGATGGCGGAGCTGAGGGAGATCTTCAGATCGTTCGACGGGAACAAAGACGACAGCTTGACGCAGGTGGAGCTGGGGTCTTTGCTGCGGTCGCTGGGTGTGAAGCCCAGCCATCACCAGCTGCAGGCGCTGATCCGAAAGGTGGATACCAACCACAACGGACTGGTGGAGTTGTCGGAGTTCGTGGCGCTTGTGCAGCCGGACCTCAACCTCGTACAACCTCAAGCCTGCAGCTACCGCCAGGATCAGCTGAGGAACATGTTCAGGCTGTTCGATAGAGACGGCAATGGCTACATCAGCCCCGCGGAACTGACCCACTCCATGGCGAAGCTAGGCCACCCTCTCACGGCTGAGGAACTCATCGGCATGATGGACGAGGCCGATACCGACCGCGATGGCCGTATTGATTTTGACGAGTTTTCCAGGGCCATCAACTCCGCAGCCTTCCTTAATAAGTAATTATGTGTTTATTAATTATCGTAAATCATATATGAATATTGAAATTATAAGGAATTAGCAGCTGGCTAGGCAGTCACTCATGATCTGGTCATTAGATCATGCGAGTGAGTAAATTATGTTTTTATTAATTATCATAAATCGGGTTGAATTTCGCTTTACCCGTTTACTATGATATGATGATGATGATGCTATGTGGATTTCAAATATTATGTCTCTAATTTACCACGTAATACTCGTACATTCTGGTTTTTTATTTTAACCATCCATTAAAATTTTGCACCATCCATTAATAAACGCAGCAGGAAAAGGCTAAAGATAGAATGAATGGTTGATTATATATATATATACCCTGTTGTCATGGAATGAGTAGGTTTTTATTTTTCGTTGAGGAGTATGAAGTAGTTTACAAAATTCCAGTCTAATTAACAGTTGTGATATACCAAGGGGTTGGAAACATTGAAGAGGTGCGATTTGGGGAGAGAGAGAAGATTTACTCTTAGTGAAGATTTACTTGGAGTCTTGTAGATCTCGAGCCATTGTTTAGTTTCTCTGTTGAGTGTTGGGCCGTTTCTTCACCAAAAAAAATTAACAAGTATTATTGCCGTCCCATATGTATAAAAACATCTCATTTTATGATATGAGAAAAGTCAACTTAAACTTTAAGTCCACTCAAACCTGAACAGCATAAACATGTTTTTTTTCCTTCTGATTAATCGCAAGCATGTCTAACTAAGAATTTCCAGAGAAACAAGCTCATCATCTGAATAATTAAATAGGAAGGAAAGTAAAAGAAGAAGTTCATATACTTAGCTTTCTAGCTGTATAATTAAATTATCTGCAAAGATTAATAATCATTTTAGAGGTGTTGACCATTTTAATTATGTGTACGTAATAGTTTATTTCAATCTACTTTAGAAGAACATTTCAAAGTATTAATCTTTACTCACAACCAAAGGAAAGGAAAGGTAATGATTTATTTGTAAATTTAAGAGAAGAATAAGTTATTTTATATTCAAGTATCATTGTTAGAATAGAAAGGAATAATTGTTGAGCAGAAAGTCACAACATTAACATTTCGTGCTCTCGTCGTGCTTCCGAGTTAACTTTCTAATTCTTATTTCAACACCCATTTTTTGTTTTATTTATTCATTTATTTAAACAAAAAGTTAAGCTGTATTCTTTGATTCCCGTACCTACATCTTATATATAAATGTATGCGCGGCTGATTAATGAACCAAAATGAATATGAATATATTAGGTTCAATAGTGATATTGTTGTCATGGGTGTGTGCAGATGCTGCAGTGTTTCTGAGCATCGATTGTGGTGCTTCCGATTCTTACACCGACAGCCTTTCCATAAACTGGGTTGGAGATGATGACTATGTGCACAGCGGCGAGTCCCAGTTGGTGGAGTTGTCCAGCTCAACCCCTCATGTGGCCAGCACTCTACGAGTTTTCACAAGTCTAAGGAAAAACTGCTACACCATCAACAGCGTTGACATGATAGGTCAACGGCTTCTGGTGCGCGCTAGCTTTTACTACGGAAACTACGACGGTAACAACTCTCCCCCGACCTTCGATCTCTACTTTGACTCCACCTACTGGACGCAAGTCAACTTAACCGGGGTTTCCGATACCATTGTTAATTACGAGGTGATATACACTGTGAACAAAAACACCACCAGCATATGTCTTGCTCAAACCCTGCCTCGCCAGTTTCCCTTTATATCCGCACTCGAATTCCGCAGTTTAGCTCCTAAAATGTACACACGCGTTGGTTCTGATTATGCTTTGTTCAGGCAAAAGAGGTTTGCTTTAGGTGCACAACAACTCATTAGGTAACTTACTTGCTTTGCTACTATATATATATATATATATATATATATATATATATGCTTCTTAATAATTATGTATATAATATGCAGGTATCCAGACGACAGTTACGATCGGAGATGGGTACCCGGGTACGGTTTGTTTGCATATCAGGCGGAAGGTGAGGCGATAATATCCAAGATGGATGTGAGTGGTGCAGAAGATAATCCTCCTGCAGCTGTAGTGCAAAATGCAACCACCGGCAATAACACGTCCGAGTATCTTGAATTATATACGTACCTCCCAGACTTTCCAGTTCAAGTGTACATCACCACCTTCTTCTCGGAGGTGGATCCTGCAGCACTCACTTCACCCAACAAACGATCCTTTGAGATTTATGTAGACGAGCAGCCTTATTCCAAACCCATCGTCCCACCATTTGAGAGCGTAGTGGAAGTCGCCATCACCAACATCACTGCTTCTTCGAAAACATCCATCACTCTCCGCCCCACTGCTGATTCCACCCTTCCCTTCCTCATCAATGCCTTTGAAGTTTATCTCCTGTCTAAAGTAGGACCAGCAACTGATACCAGAGATGGTAATTAATTAATCACCTTTTTGTTTGAAGCTTATTTCCTTTAATTTCATTAATCAGCTTGTTTGTTTCTGGTAATGAATTGAATTAGTGGAGGGACTGGCGGTACTACAAGTGCAATTCGAGGTGTTAATTATATGGAGCGGTGACCCTTGCCTTCCATTAAGCTCTTCGTGGGAATGGGTTCAGTGTAGCACAGGCACCATTCCTCGTATAATTGCACTGAGAGTTTCTTTATTATTAATTATAATTAGGCTAGCTCTTTATTCTTATTCATTTTTCCTGTCAAAAATCAATACAGGAATCTGAGTAGCTTCGATCTGGTTGGTCCACTACCAGATTTTAGTTCCATGGATGCCCTTGTCACAATGTGAGTTTTTTGAGTCGACCTAGGCTATATATATATGGTATGCATTTTCAATGAATAATTAATAATCTTCTTTTTGTTCTCTGGTGGTGGATGGATCAGTGATTTGCACGACAATAGCTTAAATGGTCCTATCCCTGATTTTCTTGGCTCCTTCCCGAATCTAAAGCGACTGTAAGTTATAGCCCCTGCCCCTGTACAATCAATATTTTCAATGCATATATATATATATATATATATATTCATGTGTGTGCTGTGCACGCCCAGGGATTTGTCAAACAATAGATTCAACGGAACCATACCCACCTCCTTATCCAAAAACAAGAAGTTGGAGTTAGTGTAAGTGCGATCACATATTATTTGATTTTTTGTTCGTTTCAACTTGTTCAATTTGTGTCAAATTATTAAGTAATTAATTAATTTGAATCTTATATATAAATATTATGATTGCAGTGTGACTGGTAATTGTCTCTCTGGAATGTCTTGTCCACCTCCACCTCCACCTAAGACACCGCCTCAGACTCCACCGCCACCTACGACTACTAGTACTGAGACTACACCACCACCACCTTATAACAATGACAGGACACCGCCGCCGCCGCCGCCAGATGTATCCCAATTCGGTTCAGGTTCAGGTTCAGGTTCAGGATCTACCGATGATAGCAAGAACAATGCCCTGCTTTCTATACTAGTGGCAGCCACGATTCAAGCTCTACTGTTAATTACCTACTTTCCCTAATTAATCATTCAATGAATAAATGAATAAATGAATGTGATATTGGACATCTTAGCTTAGTTTCATCTTTAATTAATTAAGTTTCGTGTGCGCGCAACACAAACTAAACTTGTTCTACTAGTACAACTGGTTATCAATATTTTAAATAAGTTTCGTGGACTTAATTGCATGGTGCATGCTTTCTGCGTTTTGGTTTTCGGCAGCTAAACAGATGGGATGAGGGGAAGCCGCGACGCCGACTCAATAATGCTTCCCTCCGATTGATGAGTTAAGCCTTCTCTTCTCTTGCCTTAATCATGTATAGTAGTTGTTGATACTTGCAACAAGGGCTTGCTTAATGCAGAGACAGACACAGAATGACCGTCTCTACAAACGACGTGCGTTTTATTGTGCCTGGAAATGGAAATACCTTTTTATTTTTATTTCTCCATTGAAAAGTCTAAAAGACCCAACTTGAGCCCATGTCAAGCCAGATTCACTCAAAATAGCCACTCGACCACCACACTCGCATCGTTGTTAACGAAAGCAAGAGTCCATTCCTAACCCTAACCCTAAAATTTCATCAATGGACAATGCTCAGATGATCAGATCCAAGTGGATCCTTCGCTCCAACCACGCCCGATCTCCTCTAGTCCGAAATCGCCATATCCGATCATCTCGTAGAACGGATTGTTGTATCACTGACGCCTCACCAAGAGAGGCAGAAATCAATAATGGCTGCGATTCAATTCGATTCTCTGACCGGTAATCTTTGCTGATTGAGAATCAACACCTCAATTATTCTCTTACCGATAATCCTCGTTGGAAATGGGATGCATATTCACTGGCGAAGACCTCGATAGGATTTTCAGTGAACATGCGCGCGCCCGATCTGAATTACGCTGTTTCGAATCGCGTCGCGTAGATTCGGGCTGCTGTCTCGCGAGTTCGAATTCGCTTTGCATTTCAGTCCAATTCCATTAGGTCCCTCCCGTCGATGGACGACTTCTTCTAGAAGAAGCGGAACGCGTTGATCGCGTGGTGGGAAGCCTGAGATCGATGATTTTGTTTCTCACTCTTTCAGTGCTTAGTTTTCTTACGAATCTTCACCTTCGTGATCTCTATATGATGGTAATATTACGCTTCCTTCTATTTAGTTATGCACCACCGCTTGATTAATTTTGTGAGGCAAATTATTTTTCATTTCTGTCAATAAGTATGATGGATTATCTATTGACATGAATTCTACTTTAAGCAAAAATAATTGTTTAACGTCCATTGATTTTGTGGGCATGATATTAGGAATATATTTATCGTTACGTTTAGTTTTATAAAAAATATAAATAAAAAGTTTGGATCAGTTACTATACAATCTACTTGATGAACGTATTTCCTACATGTTCATCAAGTAGGTATTTCCGAAAACACTAAACCCTAAACCCTAAAATACCTTACGGAGTTACTTGTTCGGTTGCTGTTAAAATGTTATAAAGCTGCATTTCAGAATTACATATTAGTTGCCTTTTATTTCAGTTTGACACGTTTACTTTCATTTGAGTTAGCTTTCTTTTAATAGTTGGGATTAGCAATTTTCATCATGTAGGCTTTTGATTCTTGGCAGTGTCCCTTGCTTCATTTGATATCTCTTACTTTTCCCATGGTTGATCTTTTGGACTCATACCTAAGTGTTTGTAAAGATCATGTCATATGCATTAGCAGTGGTTGTCCGTACTATGTTTTCATTGCTGTTATTTAGGTTTAGAAATTATGTCACATAGTTAGTACCACCTTATAGAATTTCATTGGCATGAAATACATCCGGGCCTGAACTTCCAGGACTGAATTTTTTTTTTACCATCCACCGTCTGTTTCAGGGATCATCTGTAGTTTATTTGGTAATATAGTTTTTTTGGTCGGAGAGGTGAATGATGAATATCCATGCTAAGAATGTTGAAATGTCATACCTGCCTTATTTGATTCTTTAGAATATGGGAAATTTGGCTATAATAGTTTACTTTTAATTTGATTATATCAGTCTCAAGTAAGAGAAATGAGGCTTGCTTGACATCTCAATGAAAGAGGGCCTGGAATGGTACCATTTGATTTATCAGGATTCATACCTTGGGTTGACAGAGTGAATTGCGTTTGCCTACTTGAAATGTAATTGATTCTGTGTAGCCCCTCTCTCAACTTTTGTCAGGTTTCTGTCTGTTTTATTTTTCTAACGTAGTTTTATATATTGACTTTGTGATTTGTGCATTTAAAGTCCTCATATAATCAGGCATTTGAAATTGGGCTAGACTTAAATTCACCAGCTCTTATGAATCTGCTGATTCTGCTTCTTGTGTTGCTGTTTGGTTGAACCTTTTGTAAACATCAGTAAATTACTGAAAATGATGCCTTTGTAAAGTTACTATACTTATTGTTAGCTATTTTGTGTTTCCACTTCCTGGAATCAGGGGTGGACCGTCATAGAGACAGGGAATGTCCAGGGCCTTTGCATCATTTAAAGGGACCGCAATTTTTTACCAAGCAACTGGCCTAGAAATATCAAAAGGAAGTATTTTTATGATGCTAATGGCCCCTGCAAGGGTGCAGTAAATGCGTGTCAAGGTCTTGGGGTTGAAGTACCCCCATCCTTCTTTGTGTTTGTCTTGTCATGGGATGGGTTACCATGCCCTCCTGATAACTAGATTTGTTTCTGGCTGCAGACAGGACGTTATGTTATGCATGTGTCTCCTTTTCTTGTCTCAGCCGTTTATGTGTTTTTGCTTTGTAATTTAGTTTGGTTTTCGTTTACTTTTATTTCGCCCTGGTTTTTGTAAGTTCGTTTGGCTATGGCCTTGCTGTGTTGGCTTGGATATGGCTCTCTTGATGTGTGTAGTTTCTGCCTTTTTGGCCTGTTCTATGAAGTGTCATTTCTGACCCCAAAATAAAGAGAGTGTTAAGTGATGACTTACTAGATTATTAAGCCTTTCTTTGCTGGCAACTGGCTCCCTTGAGCTTTAGCTCATTTGTTTGCATTTTTTTCTTCTTCTCCCGTTTTAGTATTATTGGATAGGAATAGGCTCTAGCTACAATGGGTTTTATTAGAAGTGCTCTGAAGAACTGTTTTACAGTCCATTAGAATTTTCAAAACAATCAGAGTAGTTATGTAAAATTGGAAAATATGCTAACGTCAATATTGATCCATTTATTTTTCTCTATAATATGATGCATGCGTTTAATACGTTATAAGATTGGTAGATTAGAAATTGATCTGCAATTGATCTAGATGCACTGGAGCTGTGCTTCCCGTTATTGTACATCTATTTTTGTTTACTTTATCTGTATTTTTTTGCCAATACTTGATTATATTTTCTGCAGCTATGCTTCTGTTTATATGCCTTCATTTGGTTGTTAGCTGTCTTTTCAAACAGCCCTATTGTAAAAGTTTGAGAACGCAAAAAGGTGATAAAATAACAGCAATGGTTCGATTACCTCACTCATGGATTTGTAGATGAAGTGAAGGTCATGTTCGCCGCTGAGAAGCCTTGTGATCTTGAGATGATGATAATTTATAAGAAGGGAGTTGGAAGATGAGAAGAGAAAATGAGAAAAAGAAAAGATTACGAGGAAGATGACAAATCGAGGCTACTGCAGTTGTTGATGCTCTGATTGGGGATTTTTTGGGTGTTGTTTCTTGTTTTTAGGTTTTTCTGTGTTGGCCACAAATTTGAAGGCAATGCTGCTTGGTGTGTGTGTGCTCGTGTTTCCATTTTATTTCTTTTTCACTTTTTCAGATCATCTGATGCATAAGAGAACAATGGATCCACCGAAAAGAAATGTTAATGATTTAATCGGTAATAACAATCTGGGCCCAAGCCGATAATCCGGAAACAAGACATTAGAATATCACAAAATTCCAATATTGGGCTTAACAAGGGCAATCTTTTCAAGATGTTGGGTTTGAAATCGGGCCCATTTTCACATAATTGGGCCTAGTTGTGGGCCTACTTTCCTCTTATTGGGCCTGTTTCTACGTTATCGAGACGAACCATGGGCCGTTTTCAGATCATGGGTCTAGTTCTCAAGTAATTGGGCGCAATGCTGGGCCGTTATTACGTTATTTTACTGATTCCTGGGTATGCTGTCATGTAACTGGGCCAAATTATGGGCTTGTTTTCACAATATTGTGTCCAATTGTGGGTCATTTATACAATATTGGGCCGACTTTAGGCCCCTATTTATATTTCGGGCCAACTATTGGGCCTGTTTCCACTTTATTGGGCCACATATTGGGCCATTCCCTGACTATTGGGCCGACTTATGGGCCCATTTCAATATTATTGTGCCCACTTATGGGCCATTTTTCGCATGATTGGGCCGAATAATGGGCCACTTACAGTTTATTGGGCTGACTTCTGGGCCCGTTTTATTTTATTGGGCCAACTACGGGCCTGTTTAGGGCCTTTTTCCACTTTATTGGGCCAAATTCTGGGCCATCAAATATTATTGGGCCGACATCTGGGTTTGATTTCATATAATTGGGCCGGGTTGAGGCCCATTTTAATATTATTGGGCCTTCTTATGGGCCTTTTTGCACATTACTGGGCCGACTTATGGGCCATTTAAAGCTTATTGGGCTGACTTATGGGCCCTTTTCATTTTATTGGGCCAACTACTGGGCCTGTTTCCATGTTATTGGGCCACATTGTGGGCCGTTCTCAGATTATTGGGCCGATTCTAACATTATTGGGCCAAGTTCTGGACCTGATTCCACATAATTGGGCCAAGTTTTGGACCCTCTTATGGGCCTATTTGCACATTATTGGGCTGACTTATGCGCCACTTTCTGCTTATTGGGCCTAGTTTTGGACAAATTTTCTTGTTATTGGGCCAATTTCTGGGCCAATTTTCTTGCTATTCATGCTATTGGGCCAAATTTTGAGCCATTTACAGCTTACCTGTCGATTTCTGGGCCTATTTTAATTTTATCGTGCTGAGTTTTGGGCTTGTTACCACGAAATTTGGATTAAAGCTGTGCTGTGTTCATGTTATTGCCCAGATTCATAGGCCCGTTGAGTGGAAATTACTTGGCTGACTTCATGTTATCGGATCGACTTCCGGGTCTACTCTCCCGTTATCGGGCCGTATCCTAGGCCGGTTTTCACTCAATTGGGCTGTATGCGTGGCCGTTTTGACGTTATCAGTTGAACTTCTGGGCCCGTTTTCATGTTATCGGGCACAACTTTTCGCCCATTACAATCGTTTGGATATTTTGTCCAGTTTTATCCGACTTTAAAAAAAAAGAAAAAAAAGAAAAGAAAAAGGAAATACATGCTTCTTGTAAAATTGTAGTTAACAAAGCGGTGTAAAAGAGGATTGTCCTAAACGAGGACCCATTAACAATTGAAAAATCGAAAACTCCCAGAGAAACTAAAACAAGATATACCACAATCCAATAGGCTTTTAAATCAAAGAAATTAAACAGTAAATCAATTAAAAAAGGATGGAACAGAAACAGCTGGGGTGATCGATCATTGCAGAACATTGATTAGCATGTTTAGTTATTTGTCTTTTCTGGCCGGTGATGGACTTGGTTCCCCAATAGAAGGGGAGCGAGATTCAAGGGAAAAGAAGCAAATATAACACTGAAACATTTACACAATTAAACGAAACACATCAATTATGTCCACTATCAGGATGCAAAAGATTAAACAAACCTTGTATTTTGAGGGTTTGCGGTTGCCAAACTCACCATCAGAGTAGCTCAAACCTTTTATTCTGTGTAGCTACCTATACTTATCGACTTCTCATATGAGAAAAAGAAAAGAGATTAGAAAAACAGAAACTTAACATTTGCAATAATCCTGTTTAAACATTGAAATACCTTTTTACTTTTTATAGTCACTTCCATCTAAAGAAAAACAAGCAATGAACTTCCCTCAACAGAACTCTATTTTCACTAAAATCACATCCAACCTAATAACTGTTATTGGAGAAATGAGGTTTCTACATGTTTCGGTTGGTGTATCTCTACATGTGTGTAATTTACTGTATGCTGTGAATATGTAGCATTTAAAAAATAAAACAAATACAGAAGCACGACAAAATTATGTGACAAGGAAAAATATACAATCCATCAGGAAGGAAAAAGAACAATAAACAATGAATACCAAAAATAAAAATCTCAAAGTCAGCAAGCCCTATAAACAATGAAGTTTTATACCACAAACTTCCAGCATATAGGTTCCCAAGGTTTCTTTCTATAGCATCAAAAGTGGCTAATGTAATTTGAGAAAAGCTAGCCCCAAAGGCGAGCTTTTGACCTTTTTTTCTGCCCAACCCATACTGGAAACTCCAGGTATACTTTGTGTGCTTTACTCAAATTGATAGGTAAAAACTACAGGGAATTAAAGTAGCAAGACCTGATCGATACACACAAGAAATTTGGTGCATCTGATTTTCATTGCTGGTATCCAAGACTCAGTAATTAATGCGTCTGAGTTTAAGTTTCTAACCAAATGGTACAGTATCAACCTGAAATTTCAGTTTCTAAGCTGTTGCCATAAAGATAGGCATACATAGAAAGCAATTCAGCTCCTAATAGACAAACCTACATTGCCTTAATTTTCAATTTCAACAGAAAATGTTCAACAACAACATCAAAATGGCGTGCTTCTTAGACTCAGGCAACAACTATCTTCAAATTCCCTCAACGAATTGTCTTGGAATTATGATTTGGATCCAAAATGCAATTCCCAGAAATTATAAAATAAAAATCCAAAACATCCAGCGTAAATAGAAAGATCATTAACATGAAATGCAACTAGATCTCAAAACTGGATTCAAAGATCACTCAAATAAATGCAAGAAATTAGGGAAGAAATATGTCGGGGGAAACCTGCCGACTCGTCAGAGCCTCGTCGGAGCTGAAAACCTAATACGAGACGAATCAAGATCTCGGAGCGCGAGACCGAGCAAAAATTTCCCCGGCGATCCGATCTAAGAGGACGTACAAGGCTGGGGATCTTCGGAGGCGAAATGGAAACCCTAGATCCAGGTGCGAAGAAGAATGTGTAGAAACACATTCGGATTAGGGCTAAAGTTTGGGATTGTGTTGATGCAGAAGACGAAGAATGAAGAAGAATGCGTCGAACGAGGCCATGGCCATGGTAGAGTGATGGGGGGTAGGGAAGGGTAGGTTTAGGGTTTGAGAATTGAGACTTGGTCGCGTTGGTTGGTTCCGATTCTTCAACCGCAAGCTCAACTAACTAGTTTGTTTGGGGCGATTTTATGTTTGGGGATATTACTTAGTAATTCATCTTAGCCGTTCATGTCCTTGAAAAGATCTGACGGCTGAGAATACACCAAAACTATATATTCTAAAATAAACAAGTCATTTGAGTGACTTGAGTGACAGAAATCATTCATTCATGAAAATAAACATCCAGCAGCAATTAATTCCTCCTATATATTCTAAACAAACAGGAAAGCAAAGTAGTACAAGTTATACTAATCTTGTAGCAAATCAGAAGATGAAGACTCGTTGGATGTTGGAAGATTGCTTGCTGCTCATCACTCATCACTCATGAGTCATTAGTTTAGTGGGTAGCATCCTTGGGAGAATGTACTTGAGTGATCTGAGTAGTACTACTGCCTTCCACTTTCTTTCCACCCTCTTCCTCTGCTGAAACCTTATCCATGGTCTTCTGCCCTACTTCACCTGCTGCCTTGGCTGCCCTGTTATACGCACCGGTTACCCACGACGTCCCAGTTAGTATGTAGCGGTTTTTCATGATTGCAGATCCAGCACTGCTCACCGTCTGCTCTGCAGCTGAAAACGCATTCTTGGTCTTCTCAGAAACCTGAAACTTTTCATCCATTTCCCTCACCTTATCATTTACCATGCTTGTGCCAGCACTAATTTTCTCAGTGAAACCAATCTTTTGGTCCAAAGAAGTTACTGTGGCCGTTGCAGTTGAAGTAAGCTGGTGTTTCTCATCAAAGGCCTTTGCCTTGTTGATTGCATCTTTTCCCAAAACAAAGCCTTTGGCTAGCATGCTGCTCACAACATCCTCTGCGTTTTGGGCAGCACCACCAGAACTTACATTATCTGTTGCCTGAGGAGATTGAACATTGTCAGAAACAAACAAAACTATCGTATAATATATGTCGTTACAAGAAAAGGTGGCCCTTAGAAAATAATATTACAGTTGGAAGTGCTGAATCTGCAGCAGCTGGAAGCTTGTAATCTGGAGCCAGGTCTATGGTAACGGACTGATCAACTATAGTTGCTCCCTGAAACACACAAGCATATCAAATGAGATCACAGCGAAACTCAGAAATTATTATAATGTAAGGGAAAGAGGCCAAGAACAGTGAGAAGTGAACCCACCGAAAGAAGCACTGAAGTTTCTGCCCCTTTGGGGTTCTTGAAGGTAACATATGCAATCTGAGACCTCTCGTTGTCCCTTGAATAAAATAAAATAATAAAACAAAATTAACTTTCACCGTCCTGTTCAATTACTTAGTAACCCGAAACGAGAAAGAAAAGAAAACCAACCCTTGTATTTCAATGTATTCGATTTCACCGGAGAAGCAAAAGAATTCCTTTAAATCATTCTCCGTTGCACCCAGGGAGACATTGTTAACTTTCACTGTCCTTATCTGCCATTGGGAACAAAACCAACTCAGACTCAGAGAATACATATTACCATGGAAATGCAGTACAGAAATAATGACCAAATTGTTTTCCAAAAACACTCAAACTAAAAAGAAACTTTAGTACCCAAAAAAAAAAACATGTAGAAGAAGGCACAATAAACATCAAAGAAGAGATTGGGGGGGATCAAATATTCAAAACCACTTCTGATTTTGTAACGATATTTAAGCAATCAGATAAACAAATTTGGATCAGAATTCAGAAGGATGGTTATTAAAATAAAATAAATTGATAAACGAACGAATTAGAGTGAGTGGAGAACTGACCTCCATCAAATACAAGGCCTGTTTGGGTATGATGTGCACTGTGCAAAGAACAAATCTGTCTCAACAAGGAAGAAGAAAGAAACAGAGGAGGAGAGCAGAGGGAAGGCGGTTTTTGGGGATCAGGGACAACCGCCGATGTCAAATGCATTGAATGGGCTGAAAACCAGGCCCAATCCAATATTATAAATTGGGGTTATTATCCATGACAGGCCCACTAACTAGCAAAGCCTTCAACGGCAGTGCGACAGTTGTTGTGATTGTGAGATTGTCATATGGATGGACGTTAGCAACTTGGGTTGGGTTGGGACGGGAGGGGAAAGCATAGTTTGACCTTTCTAGTGTCAAGTTTGAAGCACAGGTGAAATTGAATTGTGATTCGTGGAGGAGGAGACACTTTCAAGGAACGTTTCAACCAACGAAACTTCCCTCTTGTCTTTGTTGTCTTCACCCACCAAACACCATAAGCCAAGCAACCCAAGGAAGGAACACTAGCAGAAACAGTCTTCCTTCTTCATCAACCAATCCGCACAACACAAGGAACAAAGAGAGAAAGAATGAGTTTCCAAGATCTTGAGGCTGCTACTCCGCAGCAACAACGACAACCCATTTACTCGAATTCAATTCAGAAGCAAAGACAACGAGCAGCATATCAATATCAATATCAAGATCAAGATCAAAGTCAAAATCTTTACGAGCCTTCTCAGGCTGTGTCTGCTGGGATTTTCCAAATCAATACCGCCGTCTCCTCCTTTTTCCGCCTAGTCAATTCCCTCGGCACCCCTAGAGACACCCTTCAACTCCGTGACAAGCTGTGAGCTTTTCTCTTCTTTCCCTCTCTCTCTCTCTTTTTATTTTATATTATGAATGATTAATTCGACTTCTAGTTCCTTTTCCCTGTTTATTTTGTTCTATTTCAGCTTTTGGCGCCTTAACTGATTGATTGTACATTGAGCTATAAGTGCGCGAATTTTTGTACATTGTCGGTGGGTTTTTATATGTTTGGGAAATAACATATATTTGAGAGAAAGTCCGCCTATTGAAATTTGTTGTCTGGTTTGCGCTGTTCCAGCTAATGCATATTATATATTTTGGCAAATGCGGATTGTTTGGTTGCGACATGGAAACTTGACTACTTTTTACTGGCAGGCATAAGTCACGGGCACATATTGGGGAGTTGGTGAAAGATACTTCAGCCAAACTTAAGCAAGCCAGTGAAAATGATCAGCATGCCCAAGTTAGTGTAAGTGCATATGCAAGTGTACTTCTCTAAATTATATAGGAGTTCAATATTTTCACTACTCCTAACTTTGTGTATGGGGCATTCTGAGACATTCCCACCCCCTGAATCGAAACAAGAAAATAAAAAGGGAAAATTTACTACTCTCAGTGTAGTGTGTGTGGTGATCTGGTTCTATTCTTCCGCTCTATATATTTTTATTGGCTTCATATGGTTGTGATTCCTTTATCATTTCTGAATGAATTAGCCCTGGGTTATCATATGTATATATCCAGTGTATGTTTCCTCTTGTGATCAGTGGAGTTGGGGGTTCTCACCTTTTCAGGGACACTTTTCGAAATGCAGGTTGTCAAGAAGATTGCTGATGCTAAGCTTGCAAAGGATTTCCAGGCGGTTCTTAAAGAATTTCAGAAGGCTCAGAGGCTTGCAGCTGAAAGGGAAACAACATTTGCTCCTTTTGTTCCCAAAGACGTTCTGCCATCCAGGTAAATTAGTTGATACCAAAAGGAACACAGGACACACTTTACAGAAGCATTAAATTTTCTGTAAAATGTAAACTTGTGTCTAAGTTGACATAATTGTTCTTAATGATTAAACTATAATTGCAAATGCCAGTAGTCTCCCAGAGATTGTGATAGTATGTATAGGTGCTAATTATCTCTCTTTTATTTAAACCTTTTACTCATATATGCCTTTCATCATATTGTGCAGTTATCTTGCCCATGAGCAGGAGATGAGTTCAACTACAAGTTCCAAACAGCAAGCTCTTCTGCTAGAATCAAGAAGGTGGGCAAACAAATATACATCCATAAATTGGCAGCTCTTTGCAGTAACTATTGAGAATGTGTTTGCAGCTTCTTGTTATGGCCCGCCGGGGGGGGGGGGGGGGGGGGGGGGGGGGGGGGGGTTTGGGTTTGGGGGTGGTGTTCGGGTGTCACAGAATTTGCCTCCAGGCCCACCACTAGACTTTGTGTAGTGGTTTTCTCAGTCTGTATTGGCTTAGTCAACCTAAATCTAACTAAGGAAGGTTTTTGAGTAATTGGGACATGCCTCTCAAATTAATTATTGCCTTTGAGGTTGAGTGCCTTGCATGATGCAATTTAGGTTCATTGATTTAAGTTATAAGATTGAATCTGTTGTATGCAGACAAGAGGTTTTACTGGCGGACAATGAGATCGCATTCAATGAAGCTATTATTGAAGAAAGGGAGCAAGGGATCCAAGAAATTCAACAACAGATCAGTGAGGTTAATGAGATTTTCAAAGATCTAGCTGTCCTGGTCCATGATCAAGGAGCTATAATCGGTTAGTCCAATGCCTGTTAGTTGTTATTCAAAAATTGAATTGGTATACGTTGAGTCATTTGGATTTTGTGTGCCGTACTTTGAATGATGCTGTACATGTGTTATTTTCAGATGATATTGGCTCTAACATTGAGAACTCTCATACTGCAACTGTGCAAGCCACCTCCCAACTTGTGAAAGCATCTAAGATCCAAAGATCTAATTCATCTCTGGTAATTTTTCCTTCAACACATGGGTTTCTTCAAACTGTCTCCCATTTTATCAGGAACACAATTTCACCTTAAGTTTAGCTGGATTGATTCATCTGTGACGTGACTGACTGACTAGTGATTTAACGAAAGTTTTTTATTTGAGATATATAACTCTTAATTTTTCTTTCCTTTCCCTGAAGAAGGAATTGATGGTGTAATCATTATTTGTGCATGCAGACCTGTTTGCTGTTGGTGATTTTTGGAATCATCCTGATCATTGTCATTATAGTTGTGGTCGCTTGAGCAGTGATTTCTTGATGCTCTCAAAGTAATGATCTTCTAAGTCGTTGGTGGTGTTTCCTTCCTTCAACTTCAACTTCAACTTCAACTTCAACTTGAGCTTGAGCTTGAGCTTTTGGTCTAATTATGTTACCAAATGACTCACCTCTCTAGAGCTCTTGATGTGGGGGCCATCATCCTCGTATGTAAATATGCACAGTTAGTAGTATATGTGGAATCTGCAACCCTCCCTCTCTAAGCTCTCTAAGGGACATACAGAAAACACATGTAATTATTTATTTATCAAAGTTTCGAAATTCTTTGCATCTCTACTCATCTGTACACGGTATCATGATTTTTTATATCATCCAAACAAAGTAAAAAGTAGTTGATCAAGATTTTTAGAAAATAATAAAAAATAATTGGTTTGCCTAATGATAATAATAGACCGTACAATACAACTTGCCTTTGCAAATTGCGTAGCAGGACACTTGCTTTAACAAAGAATAAGATGCTGCCTTTGTTTTATTTTCTTTCCATCTTTCTTGCGTGGTGGATGGAGAAACAATCTACCCAGGACAGGAGACAACAAAAGAAAAGGAAAACCTTAAGGCGCGTTTGGATACGTCTCAAACAGAACTAAAGTAGCCCATTCCAAGCTTCAGCCCAAGAAACTCAAGAATGGCAACAACATGAATCGTCATATTTAGCCCAAGAAAAGAATAAAGAAACTAGCAATATGTCCTTTTATTTTTATTGGTTCCTGAATGACACAGACAGCAAAGTCTTGGTCTTGGATGTTACCTTACTTGAGAGCTGGGAGTAGGCTACTCAGAAAGAAAGAGGGAGAGAGAAGTCAGTGGCACGAAAGCATAATAAGATTCCAAATCACCAGTATCCCAAGTTCCCAACCCAAACCCAACGAAGCGATTCCGAGAGAGGCATGGGATTGGCAACAACCTTTTAGTTTTTCAGGGAAAATCTGAAACTGCCCATTCCTATCCATCTCACCCACCCAACAAGGTAAAGCGGTCTGAGATCGCAGCTGGGTTTCTGTTTGCTATCAAATTCAAAACACTGTTTTTTGTGTGTGCACTCAAAGCTATCAAATTCTTCTTGTATTGAATGTTATTTTTATGGGGAATCAAGATGTGCTTGTTAGAATTTAATTGGTTGGTAATTTCTCTGTCTTTGCACTTTGCTCTCAGTTGGCGATGACAATTGATCTTATCCGGAAATTTTGATGCACTGCAAGAATTGAGCTTTTCTTGGTGCCTTGTGCGTGTAAGTTGCCCTCTCTCTCTCTCTCTCTCCTCTCTCTCTCTCTCTCTCTCGTTGTTCTTTTTACAAGCTGTTCCAATTCATGGATTCAATTCAATTAGACCATTATACAATTTGCCAATTTCCAATTACATTTGAGTTCATACAAAATCATGCGTTAGACTTGAATTTATCAGAAACTTCAACTCGGCATGTGTTACAATTTGCAAAGCGAATCACCCTGGACTTGATACCTGTAGGAAGAAGACGTGCATGGCTTGTGAGCCAAACCCATAAGTAATAATATGGTTTGGGGCAGAAAACGTGTGTTGAACCATCTATTTTTCTCCCACCTAATTAGTATCATGTCATGTTCTTAATTCTAAATATATCTTGTTCATTCTGTTGAACTTGAAATACCCACAATCCTTTATTATCTCTTCTAAACCTTCTCTGTTTTCTTGGATGGAATTTGCTTCAAGACTTTATTTATTGGTAAAATAAAAATGACATTCCTAGTTGACTCTGCAGACCACGTTTGAAGAGTCGGATACTCTAATTTGCCCATTCATTGTCAAGGAAAGCGTCGGTCGAGGTAAATACTTCAAGTACAAAACTCTATTTCACCCCTATTCCCGTAACTGTGCATAAACATATCGGATCTGTAATGGACCTTCTGCCTTTTTATCTTGGGAAAAAATGTCCTTGCAATCACCAGGTCAGGCTAATAACCTCTTAAGTTCAATTCTGAAGCAACCTAATGATTTTTGAAAGTTCAAAACAACTGCCCAGATGCCATTAGTAGAGGACAGAGAGTAGTGGATATCAGTCATTTTCAACTTTCTTAATTTCATATCTAACTGGATACTTGAACATATCTTGTTGTCACTCAATGAAGATGCTAATCTTCATCAGTTTGTGGGCTTCATAGACACATCAGGCTTTCAAAACTTGTGAATTTCGTGTTGCTTTGTTTATTTATGATTTGTCAATATGGATATTATTGTATGGCATCATTTCTCTTACAGTTGACAGAAACTACTGCATGGCTTTTGTGGCTGATGTGGCATAAATGGAAGGAGAAATTCATGTGCAAATTCTCCAAGTATATCAAATATTTGCAGGGGATTGACCGCACAATCCCAATGGTGAACCCAAAACTTTCCCGTCGTCCAACCATATCCTACAGGCCTATACAACCGTCTGACCTTGAGATCTTAGAGCAAATCCATGCTGATTTATTTCCCATTAGGTATGTAATCTCATTTGATACTTTCTTGTGGGTATGTTCTTTGCTACCGTAACACAGCTTCCTCACTAAAGATTTTGTCAATCTCTCCAGGTATGAGGCTGAGTTTTTTCAAAATGTAGTCAATGGACATGATATTGTGTCATGGGCAGCTGTTGATCGAAGTCGTCCAAATGGTCAAAGTGATGAACTTATTGGATTTGTAACCGCCCGAATTGTTCTTGCCAAAGAAAGTGAGGTGGGTCCTCTATATTTCTAGCATTCTTTCTTCCTGTGTGCATCTGTAGGGAGGAACCAGTACTAATTCCCTCAACCATAAAACCATAATGGAGAAAGGATTGGATCCTAGGTCTTTGGTATCTACCAGTAGCAGATTGGTAATAAGGAAATGGTTGATTAAAAAAAGTTATTGTGGTTATTATTTGGTCTTTCTGTTTTAATTGAAACCATGGAACTTGTGAGTACTAACGGAGGTTGACATTCAAGATATTGCTAGTATAAGAAAGTATAGGTTTGCTGTAATTTTCTTTTTATTGTTTAATTTCCTGAGTTACCCTCACTCTTTTTATGAACAAAACATTGGCCCTGTAGATAGGGGATCTGCTCAGTTACGAACCGTCAAAATCAGATCAGACATTAATCTACATTCTGACACTGGGAGTTGTAGAATCTTTCAGAAATCTTGGCATAGGTAAGAGTTTGTTTCTTGTTTGATATGAATTCTAAGACTTTGTTTCACTATATGACCATATATATAATTTGTTTCTCCTTGGACTTGCAGCTTCAGCACTTATTCGTGAGGTCATAAAATATGCCTTAAGTATTCCAACCTGCCGAGGAATTTACTTGCATGTCATTTCTTACAATAATGCGGCAATCCATTTGTACAAGAAAATGTCATTCATGTGTGTAAGAAGGTTGCAAGGCTTTTACTTGATCAATGGTCAGCATTATGATTCGTATCTGTTTGTTTACTATGTAAATGGTGGCCGATCTCCATGTTCACCATTGTAAGTACAAGACCCTTCATTTTTGGTTGATTCTGATATTCCATATTATTTTCTGGACAATTTGATTATGGGATCATGAGATTCTGTTCTGCGGGTCATTATAGATTAGACACACTTATGGTAATTTAACAATTGATATTTGATGTTGCAGAGAGCTTGTTACAGGGACGCTGAATTTGATGAGGAATGGGCTTAAGTCTGTGTTTGCAAGGCTACGGAAGAAGGAAGACAGGAGGGTCTCAAAATGGGGTAAATGTAAAGAAACGCATTGCCTTATATCGACTACCCAAAGCAGGAGAAACCTGACAACGGAGTGTACAGGGTATGAGTGTGTTTGATTTGTTTGTTTGTTTATATTAGAGGGCATGGAATTTGGATCGACAGACAGACAGACTGAGAGAGATGAGCCGCAAAAGTATTAATTAATTAATTAGCAATCCATTGTATTGTTATTGGTATACCTACCTACCCTATTTCTTGTGTTTAACCATGGCATAAATACCAACATATAATTACTTTTACATTACCATCTATTTTAATTTTTATGCATGGAATGGAATAAACGAAGTTGTGTTGTAACTTGTACCTGTTTGTTTGTTCTTTTATATTTTATTCTTTTGCCTTTGGAATCTAATTATATATATAACATACATACACCAAGAACAGAGCACAACGAGCTAGTAATCCTCCTCCTCCCCAACACCCCAACTCGAAATTCAAACATAAACCTTAAACCCTAAACCCATCGAGGTGCGACCTCCGATGAAGACCGAAGCTAGCTAGCAGCAGTGCCACCAGTCTTCAAATATTGGGGTTACAATTGGAATTAACATTTTTAAAAACATAAATGCGAATTCACACAATTCACTAATTAACTAGCCTAGATAACATCATTCAAATTTCAATATAAGAGGGAGGGATGGAGGGCCAAGAATCAAGATTCATTTTTGAGTTGACTACGTCTTCTCCTAACCTTACTAAATATAGAGAGCGTCTTGATCTTGAATCGAAAGGCTTTGATTGTCTGCCAGGTACAAAACTAGGTCATGTGATCTAGTCTTGTGGTGTGTCCGTTAATTAAGATAAAGAATTAAGGATTAGAGAGGGAGAGTTGCATGCATATGCATATGCACGGCCTTGATTTGTGGGGCGCCTCATCTTCTTAGGCGCGACTGCCATATATAAATAGGGTAAGGGTCAGACGCAGAAATCAAAAAGAAAAAAGAAAAAAAGGAAAAGGGAACAAAACAAAAAAGAAATGATAAAAGAACGGATATAGAGAATCCTCCTCTTCATCGTATCAAGAAAATAGAGTGAAAAGTGAGAAAATGGCTGCCTCATTGATGGGAAGTGGCCAGCGCCTTGCCGCTCTGGCGCTCTGCCTTATACTCCTCCTGGATATTACAATGCCTAGTTTGGTTTTGGCCAATAAGGCCAAAGGAGGAGGACATCATCGTGGCGGAGGTGGACGTGCACAAAAAGGTGGTGGGCATAAAGGAGGCGGTGGTGGACATAAAGGTGGAAAAGGTGGTGGGCCTAAGGGAGGTAGTGGGCCTAAAGGAGGTGTTGGGCCAAAAGGAAGTAGTGAGCCTAAAGGAGGTGTTGGGCCAAAAGGAGGTAGTGGGCCAAAAGGAGGTGGTGTAGCTCCAAATGTTCCTAAACCTAAACCTAATCCAAATCCAGTTGGCGGTGGAATTCCTAAACCTAATCCTAATCCTGTGATTCATCCTAATCCTAATCCTGTGATTCCTCCTAATCCTAATCCTGTGATTCCTCCTAATCCTGTGATTCCTCCTAATCCTAATCCTAATCCTAATCCTGTGATTCCTACTAATCCTATTCCAGCTGGTGGTGCACCTGTGGGTGGCGGCGTTCCTGTTCCTGAAGCTGGGAAAGGCATCCTATACCACGGAGGGCCTCTGCTCACCGGGGACCTCAATCTCTCCATCCTATTTTACGGTCAGTTCACGGCCGAACAAAAGAACGTCGTCCGGAGTTTCCTGAGGTCCCTCGAGAACACCGAGAACGACCACATAGCCGCCGTGCACAGGTGGTGGGACATTGTCGAGGCCTACCAACTATTCACCAATAAGCCCGGCCTGGACCCCACCGCTGCCCCACCAAGACTCCGGATCAAAGTGGGCACTCAGCAGAGTGACGACAAGTACACAGTGGGGAAGGTGTTGACCATTGACTTCATCAACTCTCTGTTCAAGAAGGCCGACTCCGGGAAGCCCAACACTCTTGTCGTACTCTTCACGGGGAGCCAAGTGACGGTGCAAGGGCTGTGCAGAGGCAAATGTTACGAGCACGGCTTGGTTGATAACAAACCCTATCTCATCGTCGGCAACCCCGAAATCGAGTGTCCCGGAGCTTGTGGCTGGCCCTTCAACAGGCTCGACTACGGCGTTTCAAACCAGGTCACCGTGAAGCCCCCCAACGGAAACGCCGGCATTGATGCCATGCTCATCAACTTCGCCTCCGGCTTGGCTGCTGCAGTCACCAACCCCTTCAATACCGGATTCTTCAAACCCGGACCCAAGGACGACCCCATCGAGGCCGGCACCGCCTGCGATAACATCTTCGGAAGTGGCGCAGTCCCTGGCCAGACCGGAAAGGTTGAGCTCGACCCCGCTTCGGGTGGATCCTACAATGCCATTGGAGAGAAGGGTATGAAGTTCATGCTCCCCTCCGTGTGGAACCCACGCACCAACAACTGCTGGACCGCCCTGTAACTGTAAGTTAACCCAAATGTACTCGTCATAAATATATAACAACAACTTAAAATCAAAACCAGTTTTCCAGTTTTACAGCAGCTCACCGGCCCCCGTGCATTCATGCAGCTAGATTGATGCGGAAAATAATCCTTATAGCAATGCTTCATCCATGTAATTTTCCCTTATTGTTTATCTTTTTTGTCTCCATTGACAGACCCCTCGTCATCCTGCTATGCATGACGTCATGTCTTGTAATTTTCAGACAATGAAATTAAGATTTTGTAATCTAATTATCTCTTCATTAATTACTTATGTTCTTAAGTCCCTTTACTAATTTGCTCGAAAGCCCAATTAGGGGTGGGCATGGGTTGGTTTTATTCCCAACTCATAACCCAACTCGATATATAGCTGTTTATAATTTTTTGGACCTAAGACCCGTTCGTTATTAAGCCAACCTAATTCAACCTAAACTTTTTGTAATTGGGTTGGATGGTTGAGTCAGGTAATTCAAAATTAAGTCTACTTTCAAGTTTTAATTCCAACACGTACATAATGGTTTATCATTTCTTAAACCTAATATCCATTCATTTTTAAACCAACCCAATCCAACTTAGTATGATCGGTTGGCCCAAAATTGTGCCCACCCCTATGCCCAATAGTTTTCTTTCTAAATCTGTTTCGGACGACTTTTGGGCCTGATTAAAGTTACTGGGCCGACCTCTGGGTCTCATTCCACGTTATTGGGTCGACTTCTTGATGGTCTTATGGGCATAATTTCACGTTATTGTTCCTTGTTCTCGGTCTGATTTCACGTTATTGTGCCATCTTCTGGGCCTCTTGTCATGTCATTGGGCTGCCTTGTCGGCTTGTTTACAAATTATTGGTCAATTGCGAATTTTTTATTGTCGCAGGCGAGTTATGACATCAATAATACGAAAGTTGAAAACTAAAAAGTTGAATTATACGTAAAAGATGCATTAATTTTATTTGAAAGGGCAAATGGATAGAGTTAAATGAGATAGGAAAATAGAAAGCTAAGTGGGCCTGGGTAGAGGTTGAGATTGTTTGTTGAGGAGATGGGTCTTTGCGGCCTCCGCAATGTTTTTGAAGGGGTCGATAGACACAAGGGAGGAGGTGTTGGGAGCAGCGTCTTCCTTGACATCAAACTCAATTGTGGTTTTGATGATGCAGCAGCAGGAGGAATAATGAGCTTCTACTTTGTCAATGATTTCGAAGCGAACTCTGTAAAGGCTCAATCCAAGCTCCAGAAGTCCACCTTCAATCACCTCTACTTCCTTGACCCGCTTTTCATGATCCACTTTTGTGAACTTTTCCTTATGCACACCAGACCCTGCCCAGTACTCCAATCAAAGCAATTTAAAATGCATTATTAATTCAGCAAACAAGTTTTGCATGTATTAATTGCCGCCTGCCTTGTCATAAATAATAAAAAAGCAAGGAATTATTACCAGATGCAAATGTTACTTTGAGAATAGTGCCAACCCCTCCATCACCTTGTATGAGTTCAACTTTGTCAATCAGATTTGGAAGTGCTTGTTCCACGAATTTTGCCAGTTCAAGTGAGCTGTAGAGATCCCATGCTTCGCTTGCAGACACGTTCACTTCCAACTCATGCAAAACTTGCGCAATCGCCATTTGATGATGATGAAGAAGATGATTTCTAGTCTAGGTAGTCTAGGTACCTAGCTAGCTTGCTTAATTTCTCTCTTACTTTTCTCTGATATATATTAATTGCTCTGCTTGCTTGGTGATGGTTTCTTTATATGTGTGTGTGACTGTGTGCCACGTGTGATAAATTACAAGGTAAAAACGACAAGGTCTCTCATCACAGAATATGTGTCAATATTCACATCACAAGATCCCTAAACCTGCTATATATGTTTATACGTATATACTAGGCTACTCTTTCTCTCGCTCTCTCTCTCTCTACCCCAAAACAAAGATAACTATATTTTTTAATGTACAGCCGGCGGGCATGTAATGTGTTTTATCGAATATATATAATATGCTCAACTAAACAACAAAACAGACTGCAGTATTCACAATAGCTGGCTTTGCATAGCTTACCACTCCACTACTTGTCTACTTTTTCTTTTATTTCAACGTTTATTATTATTATTATTATTATATTTTGTTTTCGAGGATCAGTTCAGTATCATAATTCTCTTTATATTCTATTTCAGCATAAACATAAAATATTTTATGTTTTCCTCGGGGTATACTGTCCTGTGTTAATATAAAGATATGTATATCAGAGACATCTATGCTCTCAGTCTCAGAGACCAACAAGGACTCATAATATATTTAACGGAGTAAGGACAGAGATGACTCTCTCTCTCTCTCTCTCTCTCTCTGTGCATTGCATTGTATTCGACCGGCCCCAAAGACCAAGTTAAGAAGATGCTTTATAAAGCAGCAAGGGATGCTTGCTTTATACGGCGGAAAGGCCGTCCCGTCGTCATGACCTCATGTCACAACATGGACGTTCAGCTGTCCATCGAATACGAATATGCCACAACAACAACATTCTGTGAGTTTTGGTATTTAAAATCCCTCAATATTCTGCACTTATATATAATAAAGGCGAGTTGATTGATATGTATAACGGCAACGCAAGCGTCTGTCATCTATGGGCTATTGCAATTTGCAAGCATCCAAACAGTCGAAAGCAAATTCTTTTGCTATTTCATATATGATAGTTTTTTCACGTACCATTGCGTTATTAGTCGGGAATAACAAAACAATGATATTCCCGTTATAAGTAAGTTTTTTTGAATTATATGAGCGATTATTGTCTTAGATGATGTTGTTTTTCATTTTCAACGTAGGAAATGAATATTACATTTCCAATTGGAAGTGTTAAGATAAATATGGATTGACTAAGCAAAATGGCATGGTTTGGAAATTGGAAAGTGGAAGTGGATAATGATGAAAGCTTTATTGTATTTCAAAAGAAGGAAACTGCTAGTACAGATCTGACCAACATAACTCATGATAACATATCTACTTGTGTCAATGAAGCTGACTAAAGCATGCTTTATTTATTCCCATTCGCAAACTTGATATTTTGAGCAAAATCTGTTTTGTTTTACTCCATCCTCGCACTCACAGTATATCCACAAGACAAGACAAGACAAGATTCATTCAATAAGCATTCACTAATGTCAATATTATACTTACTTATGCCAAGACGAGGCTTTACCTTGGCGGGATGAATTTTCATACCTCCCAAAATGTTTAAATGTTACTGCATGCATGATGCATTGCTCCGGATTTGCTTTTAACCTTTGCTACCTAGTAGGCCATGGCGTTACGGAACATTCTTACCGTTACTTCAGAATTAACATCAGTGAGAAAAAAAAGCCGGCCCTTCTCCCTCTTCTTCTTCTTTTATTGTTTTTTATTATTATATTTATTCCAACAAATCCTTTCTACTTGGTTTTTTCTGGCCAGTCTAAGCCTCCAAGAAGTTGAGGTATTAATTCTAGCCTCTTACTCACCGCCACCTGTACAAGTCCTTTCTCTCGATGGATCTGATCTTCTTCTTTAGCTTAAGTAGTTACAATTCATAGCATCTGCAAGCGTGCATGCTATGAGTCTATGACATTGACAACAAGGACAGTCGTCATGAGCGTGTCAAACAAAGGTAATGGTTGCTCTGAAAAAGGCACCGGATAGTTGAATTAAACGGCCCACCATTTTTTTGTACAATACCTTACTTATTACAAAACGTTACTTGCTTGAATATAAGTTTTACTTACTTTTGACTTTTGAATCAATTCCGTAGAATAATGTCAATATGGAAATTATAGTTGAAAAATATGAAGCGTGCGTTCAATAGCAAAAAATGATATTCCCATTATATGATCGATTCATGAAAAAAACGGAAGGGATCCAATGTGAAGCTCTCTTTTCTGCTTTTTTTGGCTTTCCCTTTCACAATAATCAAGATTCAGAGAGCTTAGTTATTTCAAGACATCATCATGCATGCACGCATCCATCCACAGAGACACAGTCACACACTACTCTATATATACTCCGTGTACATGTTCTAATATTAATCACCAAGCTGCTAGGCTCACAATTAATCATACATCTACTCCAAGGTTTGAATATTATAACATATTTGTTTTTGCTACTTAACTCGTATATATTTGTTTATGATCTAGCTAGCTAGCTAGCTTGCTGGGCTAATTGAACTATATATACTTTCATATTATTCCTTTAATTAGTTTCCCAACTTTTTTATTTTGGTGCAGAAGTAAAGGTAGTTGATTTTATTTGATTAATGATGGGGAGATCAGCATCAGCATCAGCATCAGGTTGGTGTGAAGAAAAGAGCAGCTTAGTAAAGAAAGGGCCATGGACACCAGAGGAGGATGAAAAGCTGGTGGAATACATAAAAAGATATGGGCATGGGAGTTGGAGAGCTCTGCCCAAACTTGCAGGCTTGAACAGGTGCGGAAAGAGTTGCAGGCTCAGATGGACCAACTATCTCAGGCCTAATATCAAGAGGGGAAACTTCTCCCAGGAAGAAGAGCAAACCATCATCAACCTCCATGCTCTTGTTGGAAACAAGTACGTTTATATAGCTAGTCTCTCTATATAAATTTCTTCTGCTTCTTATTGTCATCTCTCTATCTATATATAAAGGTTTAACTAATTCATGTACGTACATACAAATTTATGATTAATTCAAAACGCAGATGGTCGGCCATAGCTAATAATCTTCCAGGAAGGACGGATAACGAAATCAAGAACTTTTGGAATACCCATTTGAAGAAAAAGTTGCTCCAAATGGGCATCGATCCTGTTACCCACAGGCCAATCACAGCTAATAATAGTGATAATATTCATCATCTGTACTATCTCATGATCAATCATATTCTCTCCAGTTCGGCACCGCAGTTGCTTGCTTCTTCTTCTTTTTCTGGCACATGCGGCAGCTTGGCTAATAATAATTTGATAATGAATATGAATCCATGGGGCATTAATAATAATGCTGATCTCATGAGGCTCCACTACTCCGACGCCAAAATCCAAGTCCTGCGAAACATACTAGTACAACAATTCCTAAGCAGCACTAGCACTCCAAATGTGGAAGCAACTTTTAATTATCTTTTGCCCTCGTATTCATCATCATCAGTTCATGATCATATTGATCATGAATATTCAAGAGTCAATATTAATCATCCTCATCTCCAAGGTTTTGGCAACGGCGGCGCCCCAATTGGTTTTGTTCCACAAAATCCCACTCATGCTAGTGCTCAGCCGTCCAACTTAAATTCAAACATTTCAGGCCTACTCAAAGCTCTTCATGATCTTGATCATAGCCAGCCGCCACGTGCCCCCCCGGTACTAGTACCATCCAGCGGCAGCGGGAAGTCTGATAAATTATTGGGATATGATGATCATGCACCCTTCTTCTCTAGTACTACTGGCTCAAACAAGATTTTTACCAACAACAGCAACAACAGAGATCGTAGCTCATCATCATATGCAACTCCAACAGATGATCATGATCAAGTACCACTTTTGGTCAGCTCAGCTGCACCCTCTCCAGAAAGTTCCGCTGCCAATCCCACTGTGGACAACAGTATCTCAAATACTACTTATTCAACCACCTTTGAAGCTTGGGGGAATCCTCCTGATCCTATGGATCACGACGACGAAGCAACTAATCACTCCTACTGGAAAGACATCATCATGGAGTAAGTAGTAATTAAGTAGCTCGATCGCTAGTACCACTTCTTTTTCTTGATGATTTCTTATTTAATTTTGTTCTAATATTGCTTGCTCTTAATTGCTTTTTTTTTCGCTTCCTGAATTATGATGATCTAATAAGTTTTAAATTTGCAGCTTAGCATCTTGGCAGACATGGCCAATCCCGTAGAAGAGCTCTCTCAGTTTGATTTCAGACACGATATCTCCATTAATTAATACTAGTGTAGATCAAATCAACAAGTTACCATTATGGTTGATTAGATAGTTTCATTCATGTTGATCATGTAAATGTTTTCGTTTATTGCATTGCAGCATTCGATCAGCTTGAAGTGATTAGTATATATTTCTTTTGCTTTCTTTGAACTGTTCCAATTACCCTCCATGGCTCATTTAATTTTCCAAAGGAGCTCGAGCTAGAGGGGATCTTTTTGACAGACTGGTGATAGAGTTGTAGAGAGAGTTTGGAACACGAAATTGACAAGCCAAAAAGACCCATGGCAATGGCATGACCATCTTCAAGTGAAAATGTGCGCACTCTGACTGTTGATCTCGGACAAACTCATGTCAAACATCTCTAACGTACGTGGATAGTCACAAGACAAACCCTACAACAAAAATGCCCAATGCCGCTTTTCATTTCATAGTATTAATAATATACAAGAAGAGAAATGCTTAAATAATAATAGAAATAATAAAGAAGAATATATAAGCAATTTGATCAGAAATCCCAATTAGTTACAAGATTAGGAAACCTTGTCCAGCAAGGAACTCCGCCATATTTAGTAGGTAAGGTACCCTATTGACCTTTCAAAGTAACTAACCTACCTACCCTTGCCAAATATGTATAGATTCCATTTCCAACCTAAGTTGTGATGCATGTCCTTTTGTTTTTCTTTTCCATTTTTGCAGAGAGTTGTGATGCATGTCATGGCTCATGGGCATGACAATCAAACGAGACCCATCATACTTTAACGTGATTGTTTAATACATAGACTTTGAAACTTTATCCCGAAGAGGCTATAATAAAGAGTTTAAAGTGAGGAGGCTATTTGAGGAGGTCTATCTCACTATCAACAAATGTAAAGAAATCATGAGACTTAAATATTTTAAATGTTTTCATGGTGGGATCGGTCTCCTCAAATAACCTCATCACTTTAAACTCCTCATTGTAACCTCTCCCAATTTTATCATCGTGGTTGCATGAGGCATGGCCCATTGTTGAGGTTTGTTTACTTAAAAGCTATTTCCGATGGGCAACGGCCCATTATCTGCGGGAGTACAAATTGGTACAAACCTCAATGGCTTATATTATTATGGGTCACGGCCCATTATTTATTTTTCTAAAACCAGCGGGATCAACTATACCAATTATTTTGAATCCCCGTTTGAGATCCCCCATTAAAAGATGACTTGTACTAATAACTGCAGGTGAGATCTCTAACAATTGTGGACTTATTTCGCAACTTGGGTAATGCTTACTGTAACTCTGCATGAGAAGGAACGCTTCTACTTGTGAATTGAAATTGAAACATTGAAATTGATCATTTGTGCCTTGGTTGGTTACAACTTACAACTTAAAAGTAAGTAACAGCTGCTTGCTTACTCTCCATATACAGACACTAGTACAGTACAGGGAAGGTATGCAGCTGCTGCTGCTGATCAAACATTATTACTCACTGAGTTTTAACTCAAACAAAACGAACAGTCTGTCTTAAGTATCCAAATATCACCCATAACATATAACATAATGCGCTCTACTGCTCTACTGCTCTACTATATATATGAAATCAGAAGAAGGCCGAAGCCCTAGCTAGAAGAAAATCGGTTTATTAGCTAATCGCATCTCAAAAACAAACCCACCCAATAAGAGGGGTGGGAAGGAAGGAAAGCTTTTTCGTCACCAACATGGATAACCAATGAACCATAATAGCAGCACTGGCTCTGTTAGCTCAATGATCAATTCAAGAGTTAGGGTAGGAGCCGGAGGGAAGCATCTCCTCCCCCTTCTCCGTCTCCTAAGAGGTCATGATCAGACTCCTCCTCCTCCTCAGTGGTAGCTGGTTCCAGCTGGTGGTCCTTTTGGGTTGGAGTGGTAAGAAGAGCCAACAGAAACTTGGTCAAGACCTGCTCATAGGAGGGCAACTTGGCATAGCCAGGAAAGTAATTGATGTCAATGACAAAATAGGAGTGAGGGTTCCCAGAATCCCGAATCACATCAAAGTTAAAGAAGTTGAGTTTGAGGCCGAGGCGTATCCCCCTGGCCAGCTCCTCCACGAAGTCAGAAGGAGGCATTTCATGAGGATCATGAGCCAGACCCAGACCATGTTCATCCTCCTCCTGAGGCTGAGGAGAATTCGATATCTGCGAAAACGGCAACACTTGCCCTTCCGATGCGGTCAGCTGCCGCTCCGAAATATCGGGCAAGGAGCTCCGCTTGACGCACTGGACGTATTCGCCAATGACGTAAACCTTGAAGACGACCTCGCCGTGGTTCACAAACTGTTGAAGCAAAATGGGTTGGGTACTAGCACTAGTAGTGGTATTAGTGAGAAGAAGAGTCTGCAAGCCCTTGGGGTCAAAAACCAAATACATCTCATGCGACTTGGCGCTGCCATTGGCCAGCAAGGGCTTGGCAATCACCGGAAACTCCACCGCACCATCATTAGTATTATGATGAATAGAATCAGGCGACTGGGGGTTTTGAAGCAACACCTGTTTAGGCACAGAGACAGAGATGTTAAATTGGGAATTCAATTTGAGGGCGCTGACGACTTGGAGCATGGAGACCCTGTTGTGGAGGCGCTCAATGGAGTCGGGCGGGTCAAGTATGAGAGTTTGTGGATACTTGGAGGAGTATTGCTTCAACTGGTGGTTCCAGCGGTGGCCATAGAGCTTGTGGATGATGCAGTGGAATGGGCCTTGTTGGATCAAGGCCTCGGCCGCCTCCTCCTCCGACGAGGAGTCGGTTATTGAAATTGGGACGAAATCAATGCCGTTTTGGGAGGCATGGTCCAGGAGAGAGGGCTGGATGAAGCTCTGCTCCTTCTTGGGTGCAAAGGCGTACCCGATGCGGAAGCGTTGGGCTGCTGCTGCGTCTGATGATGAATCAATTTTCATTTTCCTTTTGCTCCTTCTTTCTGTCTGTCTGTCTGCGTGTCTTCCTTCCTTTCTCCTAGGTTATATGGTGGGTTCGGTTCGGGTCTACTTCGACGGTCAACCGTCGAGGGAATCCGAATCGGATGCCAATAGAATAAAGAGTTGAGTAAGAAGAAAGAAGAAGGAAAGTGGTGGTCCTGTCCTGGGCTGGGCTGGGCGACTCATAGACTCTGTTTCTCTTTTAAAGAAGGCTTTTAGGCATGGCCATACTCATTCAGGTCGGTGAGTGGATGGGTGGTGCAAATTCTATAGTAAGTGTGATATATCATATATATATATATATATATATATACACTCCTCATGATGTGGACCTTCATATTATCATTTTATTAAACTTAAGTGAAATTATTATTTAGATGAATCATGTGACTAATATGAAGGTCCACATTTATGGTCTCTTACCAGAGACTCTTAGGCCTCGTTTGGTTCATGAGAAAGGAGACTTGGGAATGAAAAATCAATTGCTTTCCCATGTTTGGTAAGTCTAGATATAGAAAATCGTTGTCTGGCTCATGGAAAAATAAAGGGGAAAGTGAAGTCATCCTCCCAATTTGGGCTTTGTTTTCCCTCATCATGGGAAAGTTTGGAAAAATGAGCTAACATTAAATACATATTTTTTATGACCCCCTACTCCACATAGATTCCAAAACAAATCAGGAATCAGAATAACCTGCCTGCCAATTTTGGCCATACATGCATACTAGACTAGTAACTCTCTCAAATTCCATTCCATAAACAAGTTAAGCCAACCAACCAGCCAAACGTACGTTAATAAAAACATCTCTCTGAGACTGACTATGAAAAGAGGAATCCATAAGAAAGAAAAGTGTTTTATTCTTCTTTTCCTTGTTTATAATGCAATCTCATATCATATGTCACCCCTTCTAATGAAATAATAACACAATCCCTAATGAAATAATAAATAAATCTCTCCAGAGTCCAGTTGGGGCGTGAGATGCAAATAGCATAAAGGAGTTCAATTTCCTGTCAAAACACGTGGTTTCAATTGGACTTGGAATCAGATTAGTGTTGTTCATTATAACATTGCACACACAAAATGAGACAAAATGAGACTTGGAATATCATTCCCCACACAAAATGAGACAAACAAATCAACTTTTTTTTCTTCTTCTTTTACCATATATTTCTCATTTTAGGTGAGGTGGGCGAAACGTAACCAATTGAAATCCAAATGCTGCACAACTAAAAATTTACCATCAATAGCACCTGAGTTATACTACAGTCCTTCCTTCAGCAGTTCGCCTGTACATGCATCACTCTTTTATCTGACAAGGTAAAGTTTGAGTTATTGAGGGAGATGATTCTCATGCACATGTGTTGATGCCACATTATGGAACTGTGCTGCTGATGCAACATTTTGAAACATTGTCGACGGCACCGTGTTCCGCAACTGCATCGCCCTTGTGTCAGGGAGTTGCTGCCACATGTAACAAGCATCTATTACTCTATTTTGCTCAACTTCAAGCCCACCTGAATTTTCTTTTTCCCAAAATTACAATTTCAATACAAAATCTCACCTTAGAGATCAGCATTAGATATTTTCAACTTACAAATGTTACACACGTAGGGAATTCTCTCACACACTAAACCATACTTGCAGTTAACTGCCTCACAGAAAAATGCTACACACGTATAATGATATCTTCAAATCAAAATTAACGGTGTCCATGATCATTCAATTTTGATTCAACTATTTACTAGATATAAAATGAAAAAAAAATACGTTACACTTAACATACATATAAGCATTGTTCAGTAACCCATCAAGTTTAAAATCTTCACCTCAAACATCCACCATCTAAGAAAAGGATACATATATTTCACATAGCATAAACATAAGCACTGTTCAATAAGTTAATAACCCATTGGGTTCAAAAGGTTTTCCTCAACCTGTTGGTATATCTACAAAAGGCTACAGAATCAATTATTCTCAAGTCAATTTATCAAAGCATGTCAGGAATCCATGATGGCCAGTGAAATCCTGCCATCCTCACTTCTAACTTATGCTAGCAGTATTAGATCCGTGATTTAAACTATGCTCATAATTAGACCATGGCCCCTTATCAAATCCATGTCCAGTATTAATGTTATCTTGTTTTTGGCACAGCGAAGTCTCTTGATTGGAAAGACCACAATCTTCAAAAATCATCGGTTTTCAGAGCGGAACCATATTTAGGAATACCTCTGTTAAAATTTCCCACAATTTACTACATCCAAATTAAATCAGAAAAGGAAGCAAGCACCCATAACTAAACTACTATTAGGATGAAATCATGACATACCATTTGGTAAAAGCCATCTTGTGTTCCAACACTCGTAGCTTCCAGCTGAGGTACCTGTTATGCCAATTAAGCAAACCTGAGCCATCAGTAGTTTTCTTTCACATTACATGACTCATTCATGTATCAGATTCAAAACTATATTTCAAATGAAAACCAAAAAATAATAAACAAAAATTGACCATATATAAACCGCCACCATCAGGTACCTTTCCTTTCTTGCTTGCAGTGTTCTCATTCCTAGCCACCTCCTTCCCAGACCCAGCTCTTCTAGGAGTCTTGTTGGCATTACTCACTTTAGGACCAAACAACTTGTCACCAGATGCTGTGCCGCATTGATTCTCTTCATCAACACCGCAAATACCATGTATTGCTGAGTCATTAGGTTTTGCATTGTTCTCAACAGCATTGTTCAAACTTGCACATTGCTTCAAAGCTTCTTTTATGGCACATAATGCTACATCATAACTCTCTTGAGATAGTGACCCTTCCTCACCCAGTATTATAGCTCGTCGACATAAATCATTGTAACGACGGACTTTAGACTGAACCTCATCCAATCTTTCGCCAATGGCATGCCTGCTCATAGCAGTATTTGTCCATCGTTGCAATATATATTTGGAAGGGATTGTGAAAACACCAGACATTTGAAGAACAACAATAGCATGTCTACACAGATAGCCTTTATATTCAAATGAGTGGCAAGAACAATATATATCTGATTTTGATTCATTCCACTCCACTACATAATTCTGATTGTCTTCAAAGTCTTTTACACTGTATGTTGTCGACGTGCCATCTTCATTTTCTTTCTTAAGATGACAAGCAGCTGCACCCAGAACCTCAACTTGGAAGTTTTTGAAAACCTCGTGCGTGTACACTAGTGACATTTGTTTCTCAAAAGGTGATGGAGACTTCAACTCAGGTGTTTCATGCCAAGCATCAAAATTTGATTTTGCTTCCTCTTCATACCTATCTTCAAGAATTACTCTGTATCTTTCCATAAACTCACGCAGTGAAGTTTCCCCGTGAATATATTTGTCAAACGAAGAGTTGAGACTTTCTGACCGTGAAGTTGGAGACAGCCCAGCAAAGGATATATCTCTCATGAAAGTAGGCACCCAATGAGTACGATCGTCATACAAGGACTGCATCCATTCAACCTCCCTGAGATTAAATCTATCAAGTAGTTTCCACCATCTCTTTTCAAATTGTTGTTCTGACCAGGACTTAAAAATACACTTATTAAATTTTCCCACAAAACTATCATGCCACATGCTCAAAAACTCGAGATGCCTATGTATCTTCTCCATTATATGCCATAAACAAAAGCAATGGCTTGTGCCTGGAAATACTGCTGCAATAGCTGCTTTGATGGCGTTGTTCTGGTCGGTCAGTATTACTCGTGGAGCCTGTTCCCCCATTGCTATAAACCAGGTTTGCATTAGCCAGACAAAAGTATAAACTGTCTCGTCTGCAATCAATGCACAGCCAAGTAATGTGGGTTGAATATGATGGTTCACTCCTATAAAAAGAACCAAGGGTATTTTATACTTGTTAGTGAAGTATGTGGTGTCAAAGAAAACAACATCATTGAAGTTAGTGTAATCTTCCATTCCTTTGGCATCAACCCAGAACACATTTCTCAACCTATGCTCTTCATTTAGATCAACTGCATAGAAGAATTTTGGATTCTCTTCCTGCATGCACATAAAATATTCAAGTAGCACTTGAGCATCCCCTGCTTCTAAAACCAAACTCCGTCCCTTGTCATGCTGATTTCTCAAGTAACTCTCTAAACAATCAACATTTTGATAGGCACTGAAGAGGCTGGATACTGCAGCTAAATTCTTCCGTCTCCGTATTCTAACATCATTGTTAAGCGGGTCTGTATTTCTGTGGCTGCGAAAGAAATGTGCTTGAGCTGGTAAGAGCTCATGGTTGTGCTCCTTTACGAAACTATAGACATACCAATTACCATTTGGCCTGCGCTTCACATGCATGCTTGCCTTGCAACCAATTTTCGGAGAAGGTCGAGGATTAATGGCATCATCAGACTGTTGCTTATTGCCATATCTAATGCATGAAAATTTGGCATCAATGAATTCCTTGGATGCTCTAGACCGACGACTGCTCAACTTAGCAGTGCCGAAGCCCACAGACTTGGCATATGCTTTGTAAAATGTATACGCGGCTTCATGGGATTCAAACTCCATGGCATCATGAGGCTCTAGAGTTGAAGTGGCCATGAGGGTGAGGGTATTAGAATCCATGAGGGTTGTGGGAAAATTCAAATCCACTCTGCATCCACCATGCACTTCACCTTCAAAAGCGCTCGCAAAGGATCTAAAGGTTTTCATAGGTCCCATAAACATTGACCACAAGCTTCTCCCATGGACATAAATTAAAATTTTGGCTCGGTGTTCCCATTACCAAGGCAGCCTGATGCAGGATATGATATGATACAGTGGTGTGTACAAACGTGCGAGCAAGAATTTTCCTAGTTATCTGATTCTCAAGTAGATGAAGAGATGTACCAAATAGGAAGTGATCAGTAACCCTAAAGTGAAGAGGAAAGTGGAAGCAAACACACAGAGATGATGAAAGAATATACTGCTACTCACTCACTTTGCTTATTGCTAGAGAGATGAGATCCACTGGACTTGAGGTTTCAAAACTTTGAACATGGAAGAGATGATAAGCCCTTCTTCTTCTTCTTCGCCAATTTCTCATTCAGGCAAGCAGCCCCTTTCTTTTGGGATTTTTACCTTTTTTTTTCTTTCAATTTTTTAAAACAATCAAAAACTGAAATGGAAGGTGAAATTTGCTGAAATTATCCAATTTTAAATTAAATTTTTATTTAACAAATGAACAGTACAGAGAGTCGGGGCCCGGACTTGAGCAGGACATGATTTGGCCCAATATGGCAAAAGGCCCATAAAGGCCACGTCACCGCCATTCCATTTTCCCACAGCGTCAGAGTCTCTCTCACTCAGACACCGGAGACGGAGTCTGTGGTGGCGTGGCGTGGCGTATAACGGTATATATAGGCCCAATTGATAATTGATAGCTCATCAGGAAGAGATTCAGAGAGAGTTAGTGAGGATGAAGAACTTCAAGCCCTTCTTCGTTGAAAGCTCATTCGCTCGCTCACGCCCAACATCATCCAACCCTTTCTTCCTCTCCTCCCAACGCGTCAGTCTCTCTCTCTCTCTCTCTCTCTCTCTCTCTCTCTCTCTCCCCATGTATTACACACAGTATTATTTAAATTGATTAATTTATTATTGCTTCTTTTCTTTTTACGTAATGGAAGGAAATGGCTTTCCTGAGCTGAGAGCTGACAGTTATTTCTTTGTTTGGAAACTATAGTGCGAGTTTAGGGGGAGGGGAGGGGAGGCGTACGGTACCTCCTTTCATATCATCATATGTTCTAATGATTATTGAACTTTGCAGAAGTTTGCAGCTTCAGCCTCAGTATCCCAAGACGAAGGTGAAACAGTTGCCTTTCCTAATTCCTAGGTGATAATGTCTCAATGCCTCAATGTCTCAATGTCTCATTGTCTCAATGTCTCGATGTCTCGATGCCTCAATGCCTCAATGCCTCAGCTCACAATATTTCTATCATTTGTCACAGACTCACAGACAGTCCACTTTTGGTATTGCCTACTACCATCTTCTTTTTTGCAGGGAGGGTTATTGATTATTCTTATGGCCTTAACTTGGCTTTGGCTGGAAAAGGTGTAATTGTCAAGGACCAAGCTTTTCTAAATTTGAACTCCTCTCAACTACAACACAAGGGTGCAACAATTGCAGGCATACTTTTTATCACCCTATCAGTTTAATATCAATCAATTAATATCAGTTGTTACATTCAGATTCAGTTACTTTAACTTTTTATTCCTCTTTTGTTTCCCTCGTAGAATCATTGTCAGGGCTTCCGCTTCTTGTTAGAGGACATGTCCCTGGAGGAGGACCTTCTGAAATTTCCAAGCCACACTTCACTAAACTTTTAAAACAGGCACGTTTAAATTTTTCCCTTTCTTCTTTCTTCTTTCTATTTTCTTGCTCGCCTTACATTTTCCACCATGTTTATTTCTCCATGATGCTTATTATACTGTCTTTTATTTTATCTTATCAGGTCACAAATCATATATCATCCATCTCAAACATTTTTGTTCATGACGGGGCTATTGGTTCATCACCAAAATGTGATGTGAAAGTTCGTTTAATAAGTGATAGTCCGTCTGCGATGCTGTCACTATCCCATATGCTCTGGGAGACTCCCACCCGTGCAGTTTCTCAGGATTCGTGTCCTTTGACAGTTTATGTGGCTACTTCTATAAGGTAATACATTTTCATTGCCTAATATGTGTCTTGTCAAATAATTTGTGCAACCAACTACAACATGCATAAATTTCTTATGCAGTCAATTGCTGAGATATTCTCTCTGGACTAGTTTTTGTTCTTATGTTCTAGCTGCTAGAGCTTTAGCAGATCATATCATTTTATCAAATTTATTACTCTAAATACCTATCCAATTTGTACTTTTGATCTTGCAGTCCAGGCATTGGGGAAAGTATTGGCCTTGGATCCAAAGAAAATGATGGATTCATAGCTGCTGATATTGAGCGCTCATCACTTATTTTATGTGGTAAAGCGTTCTCAGATTCAAATACAACTAAAGAAGCACTAGCTGCCTTGTCTGGGCCTGTTATATTTGCAAGAGGAGGCCTTCCATTATCTGCAAGGTATAGTTCTCTGTTCTTTTGTTGAGCGTTGTAGTTTTTATTTGTATGGCATGGGTGATTTACACTGGGAGGTTGCAAATTTTCAGGCTTTTAGTGTCTGGTGATTCTGTGGTTCTTTTATTTGCACCCAAAAGGACCTTTAAGAGTTGCAGAGATCTGTTGGTGCCTTCAGATGCAGGTGTAATTCTTTCTTCTAAAGGTCTTGCCTTTTTGTTTCAAACTGGTGGATCAAATCTATTCAAATTGCCAGCTTCTGTATTCCTTGCATCTTCTGACAGGTAATAGAACCCTGTAGTGATAGTGAATCGTTTGAATTCTTTTTGTCATGTATAGAATAGGTTTGGCTGTGCTGGCTCAACTGTTATCCTGTGCATATCACTACACCGTGAATTGATTGTGTCTTCGAAATGGCTTTTGGTCGTACGTGTCTAAAGAAGGATAATGTTAGCTGAAGTTGTAAATTTGTGTTTGACATCAACTGGAACTATTATTTTCCTTTATGGTGTACTTTTCTTTTCTGTCAAAAGTTGTGTTTTGTTCTCGCTGTTCATTTCTGAGTATGTTGTTGCATATCAGTAATTTGTCCGAATAATCCACACTGCTTCCTTTTCCTAATGTGTCATGTGTGTAAAGAACTTGCCTTATCTTTTTCTTTTTTTCCCACTCTGTAAAAGCAGTTCTGGTGTTATCCCTTCTGTTTCAAAGCTCTCCCCTGGCCAGGCAGCTTATCACTTCTTGGCTGGTTATCAGAATGGGAAGTTCATACCTGCATACAACAAAGGCACTTGGTCCATTGACCCGTTGGAACTAGCTAAGGCGTTTCTGTCCAAGGTCAATACTAAAACTAATTGTTTCTTGAATATTATGCTTTGGTAATAACTTGTTATACATTTATCATTTATGTGAACAATTTATCTTTCTGCATGGTTCTGCAGTTGAAAGATGACCAGATCTCATCTTACCTGTTCAATGTCAATGGAGGAGAAAATAATGTAAATGGTAAAGAGAAATTGGGACGAATTCAACTCTCTTTTGGATAGGTCAAAAGAGCGAGCCGCTTGATATAGTTACTCAGTTTTCATTGGCATCCTAGAAATCTGTTTTTTTTCTTTCTTTCTTTCTTCTCCCTGCCTGTTGTGGGTTTGTGTGGCTTATCTTCTTATACGTGACTAAAGAGTTTCTAGACTTAAAAATGTTGTTACTCTTTGCTTTTTTAGATTTTATTCAACTTAGTCCATTTGCTGATATCTATATTTATATATCAGGCAAGGATTTTGCTAAGGTGGTGCAATCAACGTTGTCCGAGAACATCCCACCATTTCGAGCTAAAAGTAACCTCGTGACCCTTTTATTGTCCTCCCCTTGTTATTTGGGAAGAATATATATATATATATATATATATCTTTTATGTGGTATATAATGTTAACTTAACTGGTTATATTGGAATACATCGTTCCCAGGTGGGGGGGATCTTGAAGAAAAGTACAAGAGCTTCCTGTTGAGCAAATTTCCAGACTTGCCAGAGGAATTCTCGTTCTAAGACATTAGCACTTTGCAGTTGCGTTATGAATTTAAACATTTTCCCTTGAAACGTTTGCAGTTGGAAGACACAACAGAGGTTGAACAACAAACACACTGAAGAAACTCATGGTGGACTTCGACAGTCGTCTTCAAGTCCACAATTAATTTGAATCCGATTATGCTTCTCACCCTTTTTCTTTTTCAAAATCTTGCATGCTTAGGTTTATTTTACCTCAGGCCTTGACCCCAATGCCAAAAGAATGGTTAATTTAATTGTTGTATTTTTTTATTTATTTTTTGTCTGATAATTTAATTGTTGTAGATCTAAGATTAAGAGGACTCTCAGTCGTTAACTTGCACATGATATAATGCCAAAATATGTTTGTCATCCCTCCCTATTAACAATTTAACTTAACCCATGATTCATAATAGTTTTAAGACAGTAACATAGTAATCTTATGTTCGTCATTCAGTTTCCGTATCTACATCACATCGCATATACAAAACTGAATACACAACTACTGTTTAGATAAACCTACCTGCCCCACCAAATACTAATATTAATAAATAATGGGCAGGATACCCGCAGGTACCCGAACATGTGGGTTCGGTATTTTACACACGGAATTAAGGCTACATGTCGCAACCTGCAGTGGTGCAATGTATAATCTCAGCAGGAATAATCTTTAAGCACTCAGTGACATAGAAACAATCGAAGAGAGCTTAAACTTGCGGAGTTTATCAGAACTTTCTGGCTGAAAGAGAACCTCTGTACTCGACCTTACAGTTACTTCCTTCCACTCAGAACCTGAAGCTCCTTCGCTACGATAATCACGAGGAGAGTACAAAACTTGAAGCCTTGAGGGGGCTGCCAAAAATAAGAGGGCCAATTTATAAACTTATATGCCTATATCCAATGTCTACTATTATAACGATTATAAAATTCCAAGTTACCAACCTAATCAGGATGCATCATTTATCATTTCGTACTAGTTAAGCTTAAGTAATACTCAGAAGTGAGAAAGATTATAACTCAGGGGATTACCAAATCCAAGCATGCTCGTCTTTTGGACAACTAGGCGGCTAATTTTTGATCTTTTGATATTTCTCAAAGCCTCAACATCTTCCTGCTTACCCTTAAATTCCAGAAACTCCCCAAGAACATACTTATTACCTTTGAGCTCCAACCTGCAGGCCAATCATGAAACAATTTTTATTTTTTTTCAAGTGGCAACCAATCTGCTACTCTAGGAACCAAAGAAATAAAAACACTAAACAGCATCCACATAAATGAATTCATTGTATACCAAACAGCCTAGTTCCCTGTGATTCCAACTTGTATGACAAGGAATGGCTTAATAATTACGCTCAGCATAGTTGAGGAGGCACCTAATCCCAAGTGACTTCATCTCAGTGAAGATTTAGATGACTTTGTAGTGGATTTGTTAGATGACTTCTATGTATCTGCTTACCCATATATCTATTTATAAGCATGTGTGGGTGTCTGGGTGTCTGGGTGTCTGTGTGTCTGTGTACTGTGTATATCAATATTTTACGTCAGATTAGAACTGAGTTGGCTTCACCAAGGCCTCAAAGATAAGTAGCAAGCATTCAAAATAAAGATGGCAACGAACCTATCCCACATTGGAGCCGTACTAAGGATGAAATTAAGCTTCTGATGTATAGATTCTTGCATCTCTTTCTTTCCACTATGGAAGGCACCCTTAATCCAACCAGAAAACATACTTTTTGGTTCTGGTTTCAGCTGTAACCACTGGTCATGGGTTACAACTTCTGATGGAAAATTGCTTGACTGAATGGTACTGCAAGAAGAAAAAAAATATGCGTGAGCAAATGCAGAAATGTTAGTAACAACAGAACTAATTAGATCCCACATCCCCGCTAAATGTTTTTCTTAAAGACCATCTGCAATACATAGCTTTACACGTCAAGACCTGTAAACCACATATATCCTACTCCTTCATGTCAACAACTCTCAAGCACCTCTCTCTGATAGTGTTTTAAAATCCTCCAATGGGGAAAGAAGACAATGTGCTGCCTTATGAACAACATCAAATATAGATTCTATGAATATCTCGATTGCTAAATGAAGATCCCGTTGCACATAAGTTGGAGATGAGAAGACCAGTGGAGAGAAAATAAATGATGCATGTGCTTTGCAAAATGGTACATAAAGTACTCTATGCAGATAACTCAATGATGCTCAATCACAATCACTAGTAATACTCAAAGAGAAAAAAAACAGGGCAGTAGCTATGTGGATGGAAATCGTACTGAGAAGTCCAAGTAAGAATAAGTAAGAGCAACAAAGAACAGATCTTATGTTGCATCCAAAAGATGAGAGGGATAATCGCAAGACATCCACTGGTTATCTAAAGACCAGAACAAACCATCACAATTTTCTATCAGTTAAATGGGTATAGAGTAATAATAATCAAATCATGAGAAAACTCCAGAACGTACCAAACTTTAGGATTGGAAAGAATTACTTTGCAAGACAAATATCCTTCTGGTAAAGCAACTCCTCTTTGTTCTAAATATGACTCAAGAATCGAAGCTTGTTTTTTAGTCTCCGCCACCTGAAAGGTATAACAATTGAAGAGACATAAGTAAGGCCAAGTTCCCAATTTCCCTTTGTGTGTTTTTTTTTCTTCGTCCCCTCATAGATATGACTGTAAATGTAGTAGTGCAAATCTGGAAAACCAAATAGAAGTGTATCGAGAATATCCACGTGATGTCTACGAAAATGGAATCTATACAGAAAAGGAATCAAGAATGTATAGTGTGCGTGCATTGGATAAGTCACGAATTTGTGAGTGGAAAAATAAGTGTTGGAATAATTGCCCTGATTAATGCTCACCTATATTACCGTTGGACCAAGGTTCTCAACTATACCATTATATTGGAATTGGAAGAGTCTTCTTGGGACTGCATACTAAGAGTGTTTTGCATATATATATATATGTACTACTGAACCTCTTGTAATTCTTATGATGAATAAGAGCAAGCAACTCTCTTTCAAGTGGATGTAAGCTATATCAAGTAGCTGAACCACTATAATTCTGTGTGTCTTATTCTCCTTATTTCTCCTTATCTATTTCTTGAATAAGTGAGCATAACACTATCTGAGTAGGCAGCAAAAGCAATGAACATGAACATGCTAGGAGTAAGACTTACAGGATCAGGATGGTGCTCCGTTTTGCGTTTACTGTAGCCCTCACAAACCCAGCTGCCATCTGGATTGACTGAGATCAATCCTGAGAAATTCTTGACGGCTATCACCACTGCCTCCCTTTGATTTTTATTTTATTTTTTATTTTAATTGAAAAACAAACCAACAAAAGCAGGAACAAGCAACAGATTGGTGAGGATTTTATCGTCTAATCTAATTAGAAAAAAGGCATAAATTAGAAGGAGAAAGAGAAGGATGTTGATGGACTACCCTTTGGAGACGAGAACCAAATCGATATTCTGAGGGGTAGCGGTATCAGCATCGGGAATCCGGAGGCCAGCATAGACCTTGCCGCCATAAATCTTGACAAGCCTCTCGCCGACGGAGAAGAGAGCCTTAGAATCAGAGGTCTCCACGTCCAAAACGTCGTCATCGTCGCAGAAGAAGCACCTATACAACCTGTATATTATCAGACCGCAGATGATCTCTAACCACATCCTCCTTTTTCCTTGATGATACTCTCTGGATTTGACTAATCCAATCCAATATAACAAAGAGTACTTGTAAATTTCTTCGGGTAGATATATAATATATATGAATTTTTCAGTCCTTGTTTTATCTGATTTTAGTGAAGGAAGAATCAAAAGTATGAATCTGAGGCCAATGCCATCTACTCTCAACCCTCCTTCCTCCTGGTTAGAGAAATTAAAAAAAAAGGACTAATGTGGTAATTAAATGTGTAGGACCGACCCACCAATGAGCCGGACAGAGAGATGCTTGCTTAACGCGCTCTTTTTTCTTTTCTTTTCTTTTCATTTTTTTTTAATTCATAGAGGACTGCTTTGATTATTTGCTTGATTTTGAAGTTTGGGCCGGCCCACTTAGAGTTGGATGAACTTCGATGAAAAAGAAAGGAAATATATTGCAACTATGAAGGTCCATATAACACCCTCGCTATAGAAAGACTTTATAATTACAAGCTGTAGCTGCAGCAACCCAGTCCATGAAAAGTGGGTGTCATTTTTTTTTTCAGCTCCTTCGCCTTGAAGATACAAACTACAAAGAACAATGATATATTTATATATCCCATTTGAAATAGATGAAAGCACATCAAGATACAAGCTCATGTCACCACTCCCTTTCATAAGATCTAGATTGGATGAGAAAAGGAATGGAGAAATGAAGGGTCAAATAAAAATCTCCATCACATACATGATACTGTCCAGATAGGAAATCACAATTTAAAAAATAAAAATAAAAACCCTAACCATAATACAAACCTCTTCATTTTTAACCTATTCTGAAAGCCATACTCCAAAAAATAGAAAATCAAACACATTTAGGTGCAAAACAATATCCAGTAAACATGCCTGCCTGCCTGCTAGTTGGGCACAAGTCGGGCAAAACTGGTCTCTCTACTTCTGGTTGCTTGTGCTCTTCTTCTTGAGTAGACTTCCAAACTTGCGGAGTAAAGGCTTCTTCTTCTTCTGTTGCTGCTGCTGCTTTGATGGAGAGATTCTGCCATCATCAATGCTTTCGGTTGAAGTAACTCCATTAATCTGATCCAACCCCTCCTCACCACCCCCCACCTTTGAGTCCACTTCCTCTTCAAAGGATTCCTGCTCTTGTTCCCTCTCCGGCGAGAATTCCTTCTTTTCAATCTTGCAGCTCTCCCACATCTTATATTCAACTTCTACAGAGTCATCCTCTTTCTCTTTGCTCTCATCTTCTTTTGGTTTCCCATTCAGAGTATCAACTTTAGCAAAATCCACTTGTTCGGCCTTGTCATTCATGACATTATTATTCTCTGGCCATGAATTTTCCCTTTTGGGTTCCTCACATTGATTTGGTTGAAGCTCCATTTTGGGTTTCTCCTCTCTTCCATGCCCATTCTCTTCAGAGAATTCAACTACCTTTGGAAGCAAATCATAGTCCTTCTCACTATCTGTTAGCTCACCATTTTCCTCAGCTTGCTTCTTGGCCACGGCTTCATCAAGTAACTTAGACAACTCCTCAACCTTTGTAAGAGAAGCAGCCTCCTTGTCTCGGAGCTCCTCATTCTCTTGAACAATACATTGGAACTCATTTTCTTTGTCCAATACGCTTTCCTTTAATTTCATGTTCTCAGCCTTTGCTTCTGCAAGAGCTTCCTGCAAACAGATAACTTCAGATTCAACTTCCTTCAGGCTCTCTTTCAATTGGGCTTCTTCGTCCTTCAAAGCCCAAGCTTCTTCATTAGTTTCTTTGAGTAAATTTTGCAGCCTGATTATTTCTTTTTCCCTAGAAGAGTTTTCTTCTTCTGAATGCTTTACACAATTCACCAGGTGAAGTTCTTTCTGCTCCCAGTCAGCCTTTGCGTTGTGGAACTCAGTCTTGCATTGTTCTAGGTTACTTGTTAGAATATCAATTTCATGTTTTGCATCATCAAGCATTGCTTCATACTTTTCGTTGGTTCCTTTCAAGACCATTTTCAGGTCTTCTAGCTGGGACTCATTATTATCATGCTCAGCTTGACTAGTTAGCAGCTTTTCTTTGGCTTCTCTTGCTTCTCCGGACACTTCATGTAAAGCTGAAGCTAAGCTTTCCATTGCTTTCTTGCTCTTCTCTTCTTCATCCCTGGAATTTTCCAACTCATTTATGAGTTTGTTTTTCTCTTCTAATAGGGTTTGAACACTGGATGCTGCAAGCTTCTCATTGCTTAAAGCCTGGATTTTCTCCTCCTTCAGAGTTTCAAGCTCCGACTTAAGTGACTCAATCATTTTTCCCATTTCATAATTTTCTTCCTTGGCCATATCAAGGCAACGTTCTGAGTCCTCAAGATCCCCTCTATGTCTACCAATTGTAATTTCCAGCAAGCTCACCTTCCCTTTAAGGGCAGAAATTTCAGAGTCAGCATCATGCAATAACTCACTGTTCCCCTCAAGTTGTTTCATGACCGAATCTAAAGACTCTGATGCAGACCTCTCCAACTTATTTGCTTCCTCAACCTGCATCTCTAATTCCTCAACCCTATTTTTCCACTCCTCAACCATACTACGTGCATAGGATTCAGCCATCTTGGCTGATTCTAGCTCGACGCTGAGCTGTTCAATGGAAGCCTCTTTCTCTATCAATCTCTCCTCATAACCTTTTGCTTTCTCAAGTTCTTGTTTGAGAGAGTCTACCTCTGATTTAAGGTTATGCACCATCTGGCTGTTTTCGCTAGCCTCTGTTTCAAGCTTTGAATCTAGCAAGGCCTTCAATTGAGTCAACTCAGCCGAGAGAATCTCCACCTTCTTGGCATGAATCTCAGCAATCTTAGTTGCATCATCAGCATGAATCAGTGCCTGGTTTTTTGCATCACAGGTCATGCTCAGTTCTTGCTTCAACCTTTGAAGTTCCTGAGTGGTAGAGAGTAGAGTGGCCACGTCCAGAGCATGTTGGTTCCTCACAGTTTCAAGCTCTTTCTCCCATTCCTCTTCCTTCTTTTGGGATGCTTCAATTCCTGCCTGCTCCAGCTCAACGGCGCGAAACTTCTCAATTTCAGAATTCTCCTCGGCTCGCTTTTGAGCCACCAAAGCCTCTCTGAGCTTCTCATGTGCCTCATCGGCCACTTTCTGTGCATCTTTCAATTCGTCAATTGCTTTTGCCTTGTCTTTCTCAATCAAAAGTATCTGCTCCTTTGCTTTCTTTAGATCTTCCTGAAGGAGAATTAATTGAGCCTGTATTTCTGATCCTTTTGCAATGCGTGTTGGTTGTTTCTGAAAATATTATAAATTAACAATTGTAGATCACAATTCACATTACTATAAGCCTATGACGTGAGAGACACTTGGTTCCTTTTCAAGAAAGAATCAGAAAAGGGAAAATGAAATAAAAAGTTCAAAATCCATCTCCAATAGCTAGTATTATATTTCTAAAGCATCATTAATATCTATGGTAGAATTTCATTTTCAATTTTCTGTCCAAAGCAGACTGAAACAATTTGTAAGGAAGTACATGTGCTCTAAATGACTGAAGCACTACAAGTGTCACCGGAAAAGAAAAGAATAATTAGTCAAAAATAAAAATAAAGCAGTAGAATACAAGTGTAGTTGCTAAAACTCACTTCAGGTGGGGTAGTGATCTTTGGTGAGCGGCGGTCAACTGTGGGCTTGGAGTTGACAGAGGCGGTCTTTGGGGAGCGATCAAGTGAAAGGCGAGAATTCTGCAAAGGAGAGGGTGAATCGGAATCTGACTTAGCGACTCCCCTGCTCAGTTTACTGACTCGAGGGGTTGCTGGGGATGCTTTTTTAGGAGTTTCAGATATAATAGCAGAAGATCTGTTCAACTTCAAACTGTCAGCACCATATCCATATTATATCAAACAAAACAATGCAGACATTATATAATATATATATATATATATGTATATGTATAAGCACAGCACAACCCTTGATCAAAAAATCAAACGGGGGTCCAAAGGAGGATGGATCTGGCACAAAATTGGAAATTTAGCAAGAGAAAAAGCCCAGAAAAGACAACAAAACACATAGAATGAGAAAGAGATATATATATATATATATATATGAATAATATGTGACAAAATTGTTCAAGAACAGATCCAACGAAAATAATGATCAAAATCTAAGAATTGAATGAATAACTCATATCAGAATCAAGAATCAAGAAAAAATAAGTAAAACCCGTGTGCAAAAAAAACAAATTCAGAATCAGAACCGACGAAAGAAAAAAAGTTGGAGAAAATATCAGGGAAAAAAAAAATCTAGTAGAGAGGAGATGATAAAAGCAGATCCCTCGCACGCACTAATTAGGAAACCGGCAACAAAATCCCAAATTGAAAATTTTCATACATATGTAGAATCTATGGACACAGAGAATACGAAGAACGAAATCTGATCTTCCTCTCACTCCTCCCGGCGGCGGCACAGTGCCAGAGTAAGAGGTAGAGAGAGGAAGGTAGGGGATGAGAGAGAAAGATAACTTACTTAGACTTGGAAGACATGGTGGTGGTTGAAGAAAGTGGAAGTGGAAGTGGTAGTGGAGCACTAGGTAGGAAATGTGTGTGTGTTATTGTTGTGAGATGGGGTTGGGCAGCTGTCTAAGATCTAAAGATGCTGCCATTGTAAGTGAAAATGTAATATGCAACAAAGTTTTTAGATGACAGATAACATGTTGCTATAATTCCTCCCTTTTATTTTGTTAAAAGAATAAAAATAAAAATAAAAATAAAAAGGAGCATAAACTAAATAAAAGGAGATGAAGTTGGAGAGAAACCAAAACAAGGAATTTACAGAAGAAGGAACGAAGAAAAGTATTTGGGTTGGTTTTCTTGTCTCTCAAATGGCCACACACACTGCACAACTCAGCTTCTTCTAGTATTACTACATGTACTTTGTACTCTCTTTTTTACTTGTTTCTTTCTGTCTGAGGGAGTGCCTGTATTTTAGGAACGAGAGCTCGTGAATAGACAAAAGTACCCCTAGTATTTCTTGCCTCTTTTCTTTTAACCTGTCAAGCACACACATTGCCAAATGCACGAGACTAAGCCAAAGAGTCAAAGACCTGTCTAGTCTACCATTGCTGCTGCTGCTGGCCCTGCTTTTCGGTAAAGGGAAAATGAGTCGTCATATTCATTTGTAATTCCCGTCCTAAAAATGTCTCCAATTTTACTGTGTTTTTTGATCTAATTTACCCAAGACATTGACCTTCTACGTCCCACGAGTCTCTCCGCATGCGCTTCTGCGCCTACGAGAGCTTCTCCGTAGAGCTTGAGACCACTCATAAAAATGTTTGAGAGAGAAAGAAAACTGAAAACAAATTATTAATGGATTTTCATCATTAACATATATATACTTTGTACAGGTTTTGCTATAAAACCTCCCAATGAACGTAATTAGATGAGCTTTTGGATCAGATTAGATTAGATAGGCAGCTTATATATATATATTATATAGTATATAGAATAGAAGGAGAAGATATGAGTGTTTAGATTACATGAAGTAACAGACAAATAATATTGATTAAACTGAATTGGGGGAGGATGGTAAAGAAACACCTTTTTTAGGCTTTTATTTTATGTTTTATGTTTTATGTTTTATGTTTTATGTTTTATGTTTTATGTTTCATGTAGGGTGGGAAGCTGACTAGCAAGCAAGCAACAAACCTTGATTAGTTCTTGTTGGTGAGCCAAATTTGATTGGAAAGGAAAGGAAAGGAATTATCATTAGATTGTATTAATTAGGTGAGATATCACCTTTCGAAACGTTGATCAGTGCCTGTGAGATTTTCACACATATCTTGCATACAAATTCAGAGACATGTTACTCTCAAGTCTCAATCAGATAACAAATAATTGAATATAATCGTACATACAAATCACGTTCTTCCCTTGATTTGAATGGGAGTTGAGGAAGCGGTTGTTTCTCTCCTGCACTGCAACTGCAACTGCAACACTTTTTTATTGAATATGTATTGTATTGGTACAACCCCGGCAACCAAATACATCCACAGACAGATGATACAATACACAAGCATGCCATGCCAGTTAATACATATACATATATAGCTTTCAATTCGTTGTTATGTTGACTTAACAATAAATTAAACGTGGATCGAGTTTGACCAAAATAAAACTAGAAATTAAACATAGAAAATATACAGATGCTGTAAAAAGAAGGAATATTGATTATTGATTCAAGGAGAACCAATACAAAGTAACGACAGACGTGAGAAAGGGAGGTTGGCTGCTATCTATTAAATTAATACGTTAACAACTTGTCTTGTATATGCTAAATCTTGAATGCGTTGGTTAATTGATCTCTGGGTGTGGAGGGCGAGCTCTACTTGTCTACCGCATCTGCATGCCATTGCCAGCCTTGGGCTGAGACTGGCCAGCTCTCACACACACTCCGCAGATTTCCCGAGCTGAGCTCTGCAATTATTTACAATAATAGAGTACAAGGCCGAGGCTAGCTGCTTTAACTTTAACCACCACATGTCATGTTTCAAGAAATCATATGCCTTTTTCATGAGAATTGAGAAAGGCATATGATCAAAGAGATTTATAATCATACTCTCTCTCTCCTCTCTCTCTCTCTCTCTCTCTCTCTCTCTCTCTCTCTCTCTACTACTACTGGATTTTTGTATTATTTGAAAATACTTCGCAAAAAGGTTGTTGAAGACTTAGAACCGTTTTCTAATCTTTCCCTCAGAAATCAGATGTTACTGGAAAATGAATAAAATGATAGTATACATAATTTGTGAATATATACGAAATAACAATTGCAAAGAATCATTTATCAAATGCTCCAGGGATGACAAACACACACATATCCATAAATTGGAATAAATAATCAGAGTTAGGAAAAAGAAAAAGAAAAAGCAAAAGCAAAAGGAAAGAAGATCCAAAATCTATCATACAAGAAATTAGAAAGCAAAAACAACAACTGTCATCCACATGGGTGGTTGGGTGGGATCAAATCAAATCATGAAAATCGCACAAAATTGCAGAAAAGAAGAGGAACAAAAGGTGTAGGTAGTTGCAAGAAGCAAAGACGACATGTATGAAGTACATCTTCTCTATGAAGAGAAGAGAGGAGAGGAGAGGAGAGGAGAGGAGAGGAGAGGAGAGGCGAGGCGAGGCGAGGAGAGCCTCAACTGAAGTTCCCTCCCTCCCTCCTTCCTGCCTGATGATTTTATCATATATTTTGCACTATCTTTTCTCTTTACATTACTTTGTTTTTCTTCTACCAGATACACAGCCACATGCTGCTGCTGATATCATCTGGGCCAAATCTCTCAACTGAAAGTTCTCACATTTTTTCGGCAGTTTCATCATAGAATAGTGACGCCTTATCTAACTTTATTTCACAACACAACTAGCCAGCGGCAATAAAATTGACGTGCCTAAACTACACAACCCTATGACTCTCATGAAACATGCAAAGACATTAAGAAACCCAATTACATATCAAAATTAGTATATATATAATGGAGGAGATTACTGGAGATATGCACAGATTTATTTTTACAGTGCAAGACTGAAATGAAGAAAGAGAGATATTACATCAATCATCATCATATGAAACATGGAAACTGGTAGTGCAACCGGATGCCTCAGGATCCTCAGCCCCACAACAGTCATAGAACTTGGCTGCGTATGGCGGATCTTTGGGTCCCAATTCATAGTACCTTGAACCAATAAGGAATAATAAGCATCAACCACGGAAAAAGGAATCATATCATAGGAAAGAGAACCAAAGTTAGAACCTAACAAATCATCTTCGTTCTGAACACAATGCTCGTACATACACAACACAAAAACACAAGTACACACCCAATCTTGTCACACAGCAATTTCTCTCCCAGACTCCCCTCTCTCTCCCAGCAATTTCTCTACCATAACCACTTTAGTGGCTCAAGACACTTCGAACCTTTGTATATAAATTCCCTCTGCAACAGCTTACAGTTGTTCATATCCACATCAATGCCCAATTGGATAAATATACTTTCACTTCATCCATATTTTTCAAGATGTGAAAGTGAAATTGATGATGTTTTTTGGAGACGTTCTCCAACCTCAGCCGACCCCAAATTTTTAAGATGAAAGCCCAGTTATGTACCCCAATCTCTCTCTCTCTCTCTCTCTCACATCCATTTAATCTTGAAGGCCAAGAACACATGAGTTTAGATTTATTGCTACCTGAAGCAGTATTCCAAATAATTCTGTCTTCTAACAACTTCCTTGAATATATTATGCAATTGCAATTATCAATAAGGAGATCATTGAAACATAGCCTGGACAGTGACCTTCTTATATATTGTCTTCATAGAGTGATGTATGAGCTTTTACTCATTATCAGAGCTGAAAAGTGATTAGATTTCTAAAGGAATTTATACATATAACTTAGCAGACCATATCAAATTGCTCAGTCATTAGCAAATGGGCAACCCCTTAAATGCTCTCTCTTACAAGAGTCACGGGTTATTTGTGTTTCACTGGTTTGAATACATATACATCCAATTGCTGTACCTATCCTGTGATATGCAACTTTACTTCCCTCAGAGTCAGAGCTTCCCTTGGCTTGGCACTCATAAATGTGTAAGTAACACAACATACGTATAAAAAAATAAGCTGAAACAACAACCACGGAAAATATTTTATTAAAGAAAAGAAGAGAAAAGAAAAAACAACACTCCTAATTTTCATACAGCCAACTGACAGCAACTGAGTAGAGGTAAAGACATCAAATTTAATTTTGGTGAGCATACCAGGGATCAACTAACTAAACCAGAAACATGAATTTCTCATTCAAAAGGTACAATCCAACATTTGCGTTTGGGGAAAGACAACATTGTAAGAAATTAGGACGAAAAGGACATGAGGGTTCGGATACATCTTTACCCTAAACGCAAGAAAATAAACACATGGAATCAGAAGCACAGATTAAATAAATGGGCATCTCTTAGTTTTATAAAAAATCGAAATTCAACGAAAATTATAGTAAAACGAAACTCAATAAATTGGAGGAGAGAGAGACCTTTTCTGGTCGTCATGACGGCGACAGACGAAGAAAGAAGGGTGGAAGCGGCATGAGGAAGGAGTGTTGGAGGCAGGACTGTAGCTTCGTTTGCACCTCCTGCATAACCTTCCCTTATTATCCTCCTCACTCTCTCTCTTTTTCTCCATCTCTCTCTCTCTCTCTCTCTCTCTCTCTCTCTCAGGCAATCAGTATTGAGAGACTACTGGAGACCCGTTAATAAATAGATTAAGGGTTTAGATTAGATTAGTTCTTTTTCTTTTTCTGGGTCACTCACCTACTCACCAAGAAAATGAGACGACACTAATATGCCAACGATCTTTTTTCTTTACTTGTTCCATATTCGTCGGCTTCATATCTTTGTTTTTTTTTCCTTTAGCAAGCAAATGCTTTGTTTTCTTCTAATTTTTAAATGCTCGATCACTAGAATTACAAGCCCCTTGCTGCCATGATTTTCTTATTTTCAAAAAATTGAAAAGAAGAAAAAAGATTCATAGTCGAGCGATTGATCGATCTATCGCACAATGTACATCGTCCAATGAACCCATTATGCAAAAGTTAAGGTGAGAAAATCTTAGCAACAACAAACATCACTCTACTGATTCTGATCGATAGACACTGACAGGCTAACAAAATATATATTTTACCAATGGGATTACATAATTTATTTATTCCATACCTCAATAGCAAGAATAATATTCCACAGCTAACACATAGCAACAAATCAAATTTCCAAACGTTGTTCATAACCAAGAGTCGTATAAAATGAATTACTGAAATAATAATAATATGTAAATCACTACTATGACAGTGACACCCATTCATTAACAACACTTTTGGACAATAAGATTATGACTCATTCGGTGCATCATTGCTCTACCATTGAAATGATCTAAGCCTGCAAAAAGCTCGCATATTTGGCACCTAGGAAAAGCCTCTGGATACATAGTAGTGCATTTTTCGTAACCTCGGCATTCTCATGATTCATCAGTTTCATCACACGTTCCTTGGCCTTGAGGTCCGTCACTATGATTCTTCCAGCCGGATGCTGCTGGACAAACTGTGAGATATCAAAGCAGGCAACAGCCAAAGCCCTAGGATCACTGGATGTGTCCAAAATAGTAATCAAGACTCTTAGAATCTGCAAGAGGAAATCATGCATTATTAGTGTCAAGGAAGCCACAAGTTTTTTCAAAAGATCATTCAAGCACGTTCACATCTGCAATCAATTTTAGTATCAGTAAATTACCACAATAATTCAATTCAATGCTGCTTTTAGCCCTACGAACAAGGCAATGGTGAAAAAGTACAAGGAAACTACAGCACAAGACCAAATTTACTACCACTTTTCCGTGGAAGCCAAGGCTGTCTTGCAAAAACAGAGCTACAGGAAAACACAAAGAAGTATAACACTAGGCCCACCTTGAGTAGTCCAGTAACCAAAATCCCTTAAAGCGTTAACGAGTGTCTTCAGATGCACACTCAGAGTATCTACTACCAAGTATTAGCATAATCCTAGGACTCATGAAAGGGGCCCCACTGGCACTGATGCCAACAAAACATGGGAGACACATCTTTTGGCACGCCCAAATAATTTTAAGGATCTTTTCAGTCCCACTGAATTGACTAAGAACGATAGACCAATAGACAAACTATGCAACACAACTGTTAAGCAAATAATCTAATTGAAATCTTGGGCAAACAACAAAAAAGTACCTGAAATCATTCTCTTCAAAATTGGTAACATTCTCGCGCCAGAATATTGGATCCTTGTGCATGGGTGACCAGTCAAGATGGCCAAGGAGGACTTCTTGCTTATACTTATCAAAAGAACTCAGTTTCTTGATGTTATCCTTCAGACCCTCTTCCAGTTGATTTAATCCCTCCAGGAGATCCTATGAGAAACTTCAATTAGTTAGAAAAACACATAACCGATGATCTACAGTTTAAAATAACAAATACAGAAAATTAACAAAAGTTACAAGGCCCCATAATTTAACTTGGTGTAACCGAGCGGCCCAAAAGAAGAGGAAAAGTAAAACTGGGTCTGAACAAATAAAATGCAAACTATCAAAAAAAGCAGTTTTAAAATTTCTCACCTCATCACTCCATGCTTGTGCTTTCAAACTCTGAACCATTTGTGGTAGTCCAAGGTCCACCATTTGAGCACCAAACGTCCCTTTGGAAAGCAAGTTCCTCAGGGTCAAAACAACAACTCTGACAACCTACCAGGAATAAGTAAATCCATATTACCAATAAAAGATGCATTTAACATATACTCCTCTGATACAAAGACAAACATTACTCATAACATGGACGAAGTCAGAAATGCAATGGATGGTGTCACATTTGTTCCCCATGGATGATCAATATCAGAAGAATAAAAAGTGTGGAAAGAGGCAAACTTATTACAGAAGGAATCAAGATATACACAAATTACTCTTGCTATGAAAATATTTAGCATCCAAAAGGACATGATCCTCACCTTTTCCTTTGTGGAACTCTTGACAACTTCTATGAGTCGTGGAAGAGTTCTAGAAGTGGCCAAGTACTCAATCGCAGGTTCATAATAGGATAGGAGCCAGATGCATAGACATGTTTCATAAAGAAGCTGTTTCAAACATAATCCATTGTCAATATAAAAATAAAAAAGTCAAGAAACGAATATGGAAGTTAGTTATTAGTTCCATAACTCGAAGCTTGCAGGTGATTAGAAGCACCAGATGATTATTTAGCCTGTCAACTGACAGGAATGGGCTGTGTAGCTTGGGTGTAAACATGTGTTTTTTTCTTTCTTGTTAGATGTCCAAAGTACAAAAAAAAGTTACCTGAATAGATTGTTGGGTGGAAGCTGGAGAAATTAAGGGAACAAGCAACTTCACCCCATCTAATTGAACAAAGGAAGATCTAACCACAGGTTCCTTTAATAAGGTTGCAAGGCAATTGACAGCAGTTGGGATGCCGCGACTAGGATGGGAAGGCTTCTTCAGCTGGAAAATACATCTACCATCAGAAAAATACTCTGACAACCAATATCATCCAAACTAAAACCACCAAGTGATAACTGTGATATCATCAAAATAACTGATTGAACTTGAGGACTAATAAGAGAAGGACACAATATGCACCACACAACTGTAATACAGGAAAGCATTTCTAAACAAGGTCACACATCAAAGCCAAGGGATAAATGTTATTTCTTTTCCATAATAACACACACAATAAGATATTTTTCTGCAGACTTAATTTCCTAATTTTCACAAAGCATGATCTCAGAACAGGAGTTCCATGATTACACATTCTGCATTTTGAATTTTGAAATGTAAAAAATAATGCTTTCATTTCCAAGGAGCTAGAAAAGAACAAGTGTGTGCATCTCATCAAGGTGGCCAATGGCCATGGAGTATAATTGAACTTTCCCAATTACAAGCTCATGATAAATGGTTTAGTTGACAAGGCCCAGAGATAGATGTATCTTTGAAACTAGAACGTTAGCAGTATGATGGAGACATTCCGTACACCAATCACCTTTGCGCCAAATGGCCTCTCCTCTAATATTAAGGAGTGATTAGGTTTCCAGTGCATTACCCCTTTGAGATGTGTTAACACCTATTCAACAACTACTAAAAGACTCCATTTCCAGGCATTGAAAAAGAGAAAGGCACCCAGTTGCATTCAGTAGAACTTATAACCAAAAGCTGAAAGCATACCTGTGCACAAAGCCATTCCACCAATCCTTTCAACACATCATCAATAGTAGTAATTTTTCTCTTTGAATTTGAGGCTTCTCCATTTGTAACAGTGCCATCTTGGGGTTTTGGCCTGGCACTGTATTAAAATAGAAAACAATAACGAATATAAATGCCGTTAATAAAAGTTTTAGATGGAGACCACACAAGAAACTGTGCTTAGTTGATTCCTTGGTTATTTGTATTTCACTTTTGAAATGCATCATGTATGAGTACCTCACTATTAGAGCAAGTATCTTACAGCTCTTCTCTTGTATGAACCAATTACCCTTCCAAAGCAACCTGAAAAGAAACTCAACGGTTTGTTTGTTTGTTTTTACATAGATAAAAATATAACTTGTATCACTGAATTGTAGAATCAGTGCTGACCTCAAGAAAGGCTCATAAATATCTTTATCGACAATAGTACCATCATGGAACAATCTTGCTCTTTTTGGGTTAGCTGGGACAAAAGGAAAGAAAAAGGTTATGTTTAGTTTTTGTTTTGCCAATGGGCGTGCAATCAGAAAGCCAGAAAATCTTCCAATTACCTGCAAGCATTTCATCAATTAAAGCAAGGACATATTCTACTGTTTCTTCCTTGAAAATATCACGTAAAATGCCAACAAACACTTGAACATAAGCAGGGCCGTCCTGCCACATTTGAACACCTTGTCAACAGCATTGTAAGATACACAGCCGAAGAAAAAGAAAAACAAATCAATCTTATCAGACAATTCAGAAGATATCTCCACTAAGATTAAGGTGAAGCATTATAAGAAGGCAGCACACAGCATTATGGCTTGGGATGAATGTACAAATCAAAATGTGTTTGAGTTGAAGCATAAGATAGAAAGAGGAGGAGGGCATAAAGTTGTAAATATGATAAAGAGCAGGAGGAATTACATCATCGAGCAACTGTGATCTGTGACTCTCGGATCTTTTATCGTAACGCCTTAACAGCTGAAGGCACGTTCCAGTGATGAGCTTAGTGGTCATGTATGTCTCCCAAGGGATGTCCCTTTTCAAAACCTTGATAAAGGAAGGAAAGTGGGACAAGAATGAATATTCAGATTTATGAAATGTAATTCCCATGGAAAGGGAGAAGAGGCAAATTCCAAACAATCAAACAGCATCATCCCCAATTCAAATGAAACCAACCTGTTCAGTGGTGAGCTCAGCATGGTCCATTACTGCTCTGATAACACAAAAACAAGTCCAAAATATCTCCCAATTTCACCAATTCGAGTACCTACAGATGGAGAAACCAGATCAGGCTCCACAACCCACAACTCAGATTCACTTCACTTTCATTGAATGGAAGAAAAGAGAGAGTAAAAGTAGAAGCTACAAATGAGAAACCAGATCAGGCTCACCTCTGTGTCTGTGTCTGTATCTGTGTGGCTTCGTCAGGAGTCAGGACGCACGCAGGAAAGAGATGAATTAGAGAAGGGAGAGGAGAGAGAGAGATGAACTGTTTTGTTTACGTGGCCCTATCAGACAGCGACTCGTGGTGGGTACGGTATCTTTACCATAAGGGATTATCAATGGGTTCTTGGGCCAAAGCCCAAATAACAAAGCTGCTACTTAGCATCCTATTGACTCATCTAACTTGAATCCTATAGAACCAAGCCCAATTAAATTAAATTGAGTTATTATTCCCTTTTAATTAATTAGAACATGTATGGAAAATAAAGTGTGAAGAAAGTTGAAGATTGATTTCATTGAATGAATGAAAAAGAAGCTGAAGATAGAGAGGCAGAGAGATTGAGAGAAGAGAAGAAAAGAGGCTCTCACGAGCATGTCTCTCTCCTGCTCGTTTGTCGTTGGTCCTATCTCTTCTCCTCCCCACAAAATCGCCCCCACCAGTCCGCCCCATGTCTCCTCTCCACCGCTCTATTCTCCTACTTTCCCTCGCATTTCTTTCTTTTTATACCCACCAACTACCTCTCCTTCTCCTCTACCACATTCACATGTTCACAGTAATAGCATTACCTCCACCAGTTCTGCCTCTGCCTCTGCCTTTGCTTTTCTCCATCACCCACCCGCCGCAAAGAGGCTAAGCAGTGCTTCCATGACGAGAGGGCCACATGGGTTTCTCAGGGCGTCTTCCTGCTGTAGCTTTAGAGGTGATACAGGTGCTCAATTTGAGACTGGGAGCGGCGCTGATGATGAACAAGATAAGAGTGCTGCTGATGAGGAAGAAGAAGAAGACGACGACGACGACGACGACGACGACTTAATAGTTGAAGAAGAAGAAGCAGGGAGAGATTTTGGGTCTTCTCTTTTGCCTGAGAGATGGGATGTTTTGGGTCTTGGACAAGCCATGGTAATTTTCATTGTATTTCCAGTTTTCTGCTTGACTGCTTGCTTGATTCAATATTACCAGTTCATCTTTGTTTCTGTTCCTTTTATGCCAAACTACGAATTTCTTTTCATTTTTCTTGTATAGCCCCTCTTTGTTTGATAATTGATATATGACAAATTTCTTTTAAGAAAAGAATAAGGAACATGATGATAATTTCAATCCTGTTTTAAAGCAAACAAGCTTACCCGACTAGGCCAAATAGGTCAGCTGAATTTTTAGTCTTGTCTTTATTTGATAGCCAAGCGAGTTATAACTCATGCTGTTCAAGTTCCTACTGGAATTAAAATGATTCTTCAGATAATACAATCATTTTCCTTGAATAAGTTGTATCACTAAGTTGAGCTATGTAGAGGTTCTACTAGCATGTTTGTTTGTACAAAGGAAGGGAAAAGAATAACCATTGATTGGCACGAAATTGTAGAGTAGCTCTAACATTTACTTCGACGATGTGAAGCTGGTTTGCAAAGATTTAAACTAATTCTTGCATTTCTTCTGATATCTTTCTAGGTTGACTTTTCTGGCATTGTTGATGATGAGTTTTTGGAAAAACTGGGATTAGAAAAGGGAACAAGAAAGCTTGTGAATCATGAAGAAAGAGGAAGAGTTTTGAGAGCTATGGATGGTTGTAGCTATAAGGCGGCTGCTGGTGGGTCTCTTTCCAACAGTCTAGTGGCCTTGGCAAGGCTTGGTAGTAGGTCCATTGGAGGCTCTCCCTTGAATGTAGCAATGGCAGGGAGTGTCGGGAGTGATCCATTGGGTGGCTTCTACAGGTCAGGCTCTTCCAACCCTAAACGCCCCCACCCCCCTCTTCTCTCTCCTCTATCTTCCTCCTCCTTTCTCCTATTCTTTTGTCTGGATGAATTCAACAGAGATGACACCTGTTTAGAAACATGTACCATTTTCCTTTGAATTTTCAATGAATTATAGGGATTAATTTTTTTATTATTAGAATCTGCCTATAATATGGCAATCATCACATAACTGAAGGTTGTGTTATCAGTGTGCTCTTAGGGTGTGCCCTCATATTTTATTGGCCTCCCATCTCTGGCACTGTCAGAGGTATTTAAATTGATCATAGGGATTCTACTTTGTCAACAATTTGGAAATTTTGGTTCTTGTTCTGCAGGTTTTCTTTCTCTTTTTTTTTAAAAATTTCTTTTTTCTTTTGACTGATCTGACAAAATGTGGATTATTTCATAATGTATGTATAGGTCAAAGTTACGTCGGGCAAATTTGCATTTTCTTTCTGCACCTATCAAGGATGGGACAACAGGGACAGTAATAGTCCTCACAACTTCAGATGCCCAGCGTACAATGCTTGCATATCAGGTCAGATCTGTTTTGGATGTCTGAAAGCTGTAAGATTTTGTGATGTGAATCAGGGTTCTGTTTTCTAGCTGTTATTTGTTTGGTCAGTATTTGTGATTTCTTCATTTGGTCTAGTCATGTATATGGTCTTTGAGATAAATCAAATGAGACCCCTTATATATATGTCTTAATGGTTCCAGGGTACATCTTCGACTGTTAATTATGATCCATGCTTGGCTAGCACAGTTTGCAATACAAAAATACTTGTAGTTGAAGGGTATCTATTTGAGCTTCCGGATACAATCAAAACAATTACAAAAGCATGTGAAGAAGCACGCAGGAGCGGCGCTGTGGTTGCAGTAACAGCGTCAGACGTCTCCTGCATTGAGAGACACTATGATGATTTCTGGTATTGTTACTCTGTTTACCGCATTATACTTTATACATATGACATTGCCTAGCATATTTTTCTTTTCCCCTTTATAATTATAAGAAAGTGAGAAGGAACAATTTCACTAATTCTAACTTGTTTCCAATAAGGATTATTTTAGTTAAATAATGGAATCTATATAGTGGCTTACATGTTTTTTTTCCACAAATTGAATGCAATGTTATGATTTCTGTTTCATTATATATAGGGGGGAAAAAGTTTTGAAATGATGAAGGCATTACAAACTTGATGATAAACTATCATTTGTCATCTGGTCTGTGTGAGCTCTTTGAAAGAATTTCTTTCCTTATTTGAGACTGACGTATAAATTCCATTTACGTCATTTGTGACATCCAGCATGCACGGATGGTGGTTAAGACTTGGAGTGTTCTGCTTTACATTTGTGACGTGAACACTGGTTTCTATCTCCTGAAATTTATATTAATTTTATTAAAATTTGTCCAGGGAAATTGTTGGAAACTATGCGGACATTGTTTTTGCAAACAGTGACGAAGCAAGAGCTTTCTGTCACTTTTCCTCAAAGGAGAGCCCCATTTCAGCTACGAGGTATCTGAGCCATTTTGTTCCCCTGGCATCAGTTACTGATGGACCAAGAGGCTCATACATTGGTGTAAAAGGGGAAGCTGTATATATCCCTCCTTCTCCATGTGTACCAGTGGACACTTGTGGTGCCGGAGATGCATACGCATCTGGAATTTTGTATGGTATTTTACGGGGAGTGTCAGATTTGAAAGGAATAGGTACATTAGCAGCTAGGGTTGCAGCCACAGTTGTGGGGCAACAGGGCACTCGGCTTAGGATTCAAGATGCAGTAGAGTTGGCAGAATCATTCACATTCAATCTTGATAGTTCCACTATTAGGTCAGACATTGGGTCCGATCACATATCGAGCTTCTAATTAGACCCTTTGTTAATTTCCCAAAATTCTTTTGTTAGATGTACCTGTTGTTCATATGTATGTACATTATATAAGATAATTATTGTGCAATGGTCCAAATCTGATGGTGACTGACTTGGTCTCGTGAAATTCTATCTTCTTCAGTAGAAACTGTCGTAACAGAAGGAAAAAAAAAACATATTTTAAAATACGGCATTCTATTTTCTTCAGTAGAAATGAGAATGTCCGGGAAACAACTTTTGGTTTGGCTATAAATAGTTTAGTTTACGTAGTTTGGGCAAAAAGAAAAATTATTTAGTGTCACAGTTTCAATTTTGGCAATTTTAATATTGTAGTTTGTTTAATTTTAGTATCAATCGCTAACTCCGTTAAAGTTGACGGCAACAATCTCATGCTGTCGTATGTACATAAGTGCGATGAATTTGTGATTGAAACCAAAATTACAAATTAAACAAATTACAAACTAGAATAGTAAAAATTGGAAACTATGAGACCAAGGTGGAAAATTTCTCATACTACAGGGATAAAAAGTGTAATTTGGCATTCATACAAAACTAAGTTGAAATTTGATCTTAAATTGTTCAGTCAAAAAACAAATATGATAATACCATTATAAAAAATGAATAAATAAAATACAAATTTATAAATAAAAAGCAAATATGATAATAGCAAAGCAGAAAAGAAAAAAATCCGGTTAAAAATACCAAGTTAGAGTCCTTTTCTAGTTTAGTTTGTAATCTAACCTTACCATTGGGCCATTGGCATTCCAAATTCCAATTCCATCCATGTCCCTGTCCAAATCCAAACTTTGAAAACAAACAAGTGAGAAAAAGAAAACAAGAAAATTTAAGGAGAGGAAGAAGATGGTTGATGACGAGAAAGGTAGAATAAGGCGAGTGTTCACGTACGGCACCCTGAAGCGGGGATTTTGGAACCACAGCTTAATGCAGGAGCTGATGAGAAGCGGAGACGCGGTTTTCTTGGGAAACTACAGAAGCGAAGAAAAGTACCCGCTGGTGTGTGGGCCCTACCGGGTGCCCTTTCTCCTGAACCTGCCAGGCTTGGGTCAGCGGGTTATGGGCGAGTTGTACGCCGTGTCGAGTCACGGATTGGCTCGCATGGATGAGTTGGAGGGCACGAGTCGCGGACACTACGAGAGGCTCCCCATAAAGCTAGAGGCTGAGGAGGAGGCGGCGAATGCTTATTTTGCGCACAGCAGCTACGCGATGGAGCTGTGGATCAAGAATGGGAGGATGGGTTTGAGCACTTATTCCGAGAAAGAGGCGCGGGGATACGTCAAGCGCCAAGATAGGCCGCAGCATCTCACCTTTCTCGACCACATCCATCTATTTCTGTCTTCTTCATCCTCATCCTCCTCCTCCTCTTGATTGATGAATTCATGATTGTTTGATCATTTCATTGGCTGCTCACTCATTACTTTTGACAGACTCGGAGTCTAAAATAAATAAACAAATTGATTTTGATTTTCTTTTATTTTATTTTCTTTTGTTTTTAACTAAATTATGAATTAGGAGGCGAGCAGGCCATGAATCTGAATGAAATGCTTCCAATCCAAACGAAACGCCGACGGTAGGTAGCAAGAACATAACATTTTAACAACAAGAAGGCAACATGACAAAAACATATATCAAAACATTTGACCATCCACACACGAACCATAACCAAGATGGTTGTGTTGTGCAGCATTAATACAATATGAATGCCGTTCGTATTATGTAACAAGTATACACTTGTGCATCATATTTTTACGTTTAGAAAGCGTCATATTTTACTTTTAGAAAGATCCACAGACGTACGATATTACTGTTCAAATCAAACTGGCCCGAGCCTACACTAAACTCGTGCCATGCAACTTCATTCATTATAGTGATCCATTAACAAAGCCCCATTACACTGTAGTAGGTATAAATTCTACTACTTGTCAACCTAACACTCTCAGATTCTCAGAAGACCTGTTCAAGTAGCTGCACTGCAGTCTGCACCATACCTTAAACCTTATTTTTCGCTTAAGCCATCAGTTTCCATCACTTGTTTTGTCCTGCATCGTTATGGAAGCAAAGCAATTATACATAGCTTGTCAGTTTTTTTTCCTTCATCATATCATTTCATATGTAATAATGTAACTCTGTCAAAATTTTACTACAGAAAACTGCATTTACATTACCATGTTGATGTATGGCCAATACCCAGCCCATTGCACGTAAGTATCATTCCTTTAAATCTGGCAAGATATTCCTGAATTGCCATGCCATATAACATCATCTATATTCAGTAATATAACCAACTATCCTGGTCCCCAAAGAAACCTATCAAAACTGAGATTGACAATGGTAGAGTTGATGACATGCAAAGGGACAAAGGTTCATACCCGTAAAGTGTACTTATCAATCTCATAAGTTCCAGTTAAATCATAGTCAAGTCGCTTAGCAGGATCACTTAACACTGCACAAGAATGAATAAAGGGAAAAACAATGAGTGAAAATCCATAGAGTCGCTTCCATTCTAGATTAGCCACAAAATGAAAATACCACCTATTCTAATAGCATAATACACAGCTTTTTGGCAATATATAATTTGATTCATAAGAAGCCAAATGATTGTTTATGAATCCCAGGTTTTTAAAATTTTAAGATGAGAGTCCAACTACAAGTTTCAAGGTTGCAAATTCTGTACTAGTCAAAGTCACCAACTGAGCAGAAAGGGAATGACGAAGAAACATGGAAACAAACCTTCACACTTTCTACAAGGAAAATTACCTTCATAAGCTTCATTAATCTCTTGAAACTTTGTCGTAACGTCACTGTCACCCTTGTACTTGTCAGGATGCCACTTCTATATTTAGCCAGAAGAATCATGTAAATTTCCCAGAGTTCAATTGCATCAGATCAAGAAACATTCACAATCAAGTAATGTTAAACCCCATCCAGGTATTCCAGGAAAAAAAAAAAAAAAAAAAAAAAAAAAAAAAAAAAAAAATATGTTACAAACCAGAGCAAGCCTTCGGTAATTGAATCTGATCTTCTCGTCATTTGCATCATAATCAACCTCCAAAACTTTGTAGAAATCCTTGGAAAAAGTAAAAAGTTGCTTATCAGGTTTAGGTTGAGGAAGTGAAGTGAAATGTACAATCTCAAGGTCTGAGAAATAAGGGATACAGATTTGTGCCAAAAACTCATTCAATATGAACAAAAACCTTACTACAACAAACTAAGCAAGAGCAGAAACCATGAAGGGCAATGATAATATAACTTGGTACACTAAAGTACTAATGCCAGATTTTGTTTTATTTCCATAGCATTAACCTAGTACGCGGCCAAACGGCTCAGGCTGAGATTATGCCTCCATGGACCCAATGCAGAACATGATCAGATTTTGATTGGTCAGGTTATCCATTATTGGAATGACACGACTGAAGCCATTGAAAAGCCCCTGTTAGGCCAGAAGGGAAGGAAAAAGTATAAAACAATTTTGCCTAAATTCCATACGCTGGTCCTAATTTCCTACACCATTTGTAGCAGAAAAGTGGGAGAACCGGACCAGTAGGGTTCACAAAGCATGTAACAAACAATAAAGTCAATGCCCCATCAAGCACGCCTCACTCTTGACAATTATTAGTTCCTGCTCCTTCACCAGATTCTTTCTTATTGTGTTTTAGATAGTACAAAGGATGGTCACTATGCGAAGTAAAAACATTGTAAACGAGTGATTCTTCCGGTCCAACATTGTTAGTTCGTTGCGTATATCGTTACAAGAACAAGAAAAGGGAAAGACAACAGGGAAGGGAATCTCTAATCAAAGGGGCTCAGGTCAGGCACCAGACTCATGCACACTAAGAACACCACCATCTCATCCATCCTAGTCCTAGTCCTTGAAATTGAAATTAATTAACGCGCTTCTGCAGCATGTAATCCTACTATCCTCCTCAACATCACAATTCCTCTGTGCTGCTTGCGGCTGCTACTCAATCCTAACTCTATCTCATTCCATATTTACACCAAAATCTGAAGCAACCCAACGAAAAACGATAAATGAAAAATGAAAAACGAAAAACGAAGAGTCGTGCGTGATGGGATGGGACTAGAAATACCTTGTGGCTGTGGGTGCTGATATTATCACTGCCCGCCATCTGCTATGGTACTGAGGTTGGTGCACGGATGTTTGTCCGCATACTTCTTCATTTGATAGAAGAAGAAGCCACAAGGCAAACGCAAACCCAAGTTGTGAGAGGTCTTTTCTTTAAATTTTAGAAAATATATTTTCCACTAAGACTACTTAATAGGAAAGAAAAAAAAACAAAAGAAACGAAGAAGAGAAAAGGAAACCCGGAAAAGTTTGTTTTGTTGTGTGGTGGGATTATGACGGATGGAGAAATAAAGAAAAACTCGGACCTCAAAGATTGAGTGTCACAATCCGTCTGTCTGTGTGATTGATTCTACCATCCATCTATCTAGTATGAATCAACTATATGAGCTGAGCTGAGACTGTGAGAGTACCCTAGAAAAATCGTTGAGGAAGAGAGATAGATAAGCTGAGGAATTTTGAGAGGCTACGTTGAATTGAATTGAAAGGCTTGCTTCTTCTTTTTTTTCTTCTTTTTTTATTTGGGTCGAAAGGATTGCTTTAAAGTTTAAACATAGGTAGCCCATCTGTGAAAAAGAACCCAGCCCCGTTAAGGTTGATAAATCCAAAAACTCCAATCCAAGGAAGGACCTGGTTCGTTAATTTATGTGGGTGTGGGCTGCTTTTCATTTTTGTTTGGGCTGGACTTTTCATGCCTTCCATTTTTAGAATTACTCTCGCTGATTAATTGGTCCGTTTGGGGAATTGCTTTTCTCTTATGATGTGTTTACTAATCAGAAATTGAATTCCACCTATGGAGGATTCCTGTTTTTACTTCACATCAATGAATTAAAAAGTAATTGGGGTCCACACAAAATTAGGAATTGAATTCTTGATTTTGAAGAAATTCAATTCTTTGGTGGGAGGTGATATTCTAATTCTTGGATAACTAACCCATTAGGAATTCATCTATTTTACCCATTATATCCTCATATAATTTTAAAAATTCCAAATTTGACATGTACTTTAACCCAACAAAGAGGACATTTTAGTAATTAGCACCAGACCTACCCCAATTCCATATAATTTAGTAAACAACTTCAATATGAATCCAGAATCTAACTCTCCTCAATTCATATGGTTTAGTAAACAACTTCAATAGTAATCAAGAATCTAATTCTCCTCAATCCAACTCTTCATCAATTCAATTCCTCTTAATCCAATTACGGATTAGTAAACATGCTATTATAGTGTTTGATAAAAATAAAATCTTTTGATTATTTTAAAAGCAATGGTCTTCTGACAGCAACTTTTAAAAGCAGCATCTAGGTTGCTTTTCAAAGCTACTTTCACAAGGTTTTGACACTACTTTTTATACTAACATCACTTTAAAGATATTATTTACCAAATATGGAACTGCTTTACTTGACAGCTGATCATTTTCAAAGCACATCAGAAGTAACTTGTTTAAAAAGTGACAACAATTTCAAACTGAAGTTGAAGGGTTTAAATTCCTACCATCTTAGTTTTGTACTTTTTCCTTTTGGAATATATATATATATATAATGCATATAAATCAAACTTGGTGAGCCATTTTTGTATGTCTGCTAGGTTTTGATATTGAAGGAATCCGGGATGATATGGTTGGTCAGCAAAAGCACATATGTGACTTTTGACTAGGGTTCTCTTTGGGACAAATCCTTTAATTTCGAACTCGATCTTGTAAAGTAAACGACGTCGAAAGACAGCACGTAGTCAATGTGGGAACTCACACGCAGTACAACAAAAGAAAAAAATAAAAATAAAAATAACTCACGCACATGCGTGCATAAGTTTTTCTTTTTGTGGTTTTGATACACAAGTGTTAAACTATAATTTACAAGAAGGAATATTTCTTTTCCTAGAAGGTGACAAGAAGTATCCCAATAAATATCAATTTGCCACAAGTTAGGAAAAAAGATTTGAACAAAATTAAAAAAGATGGCCTGGCACCGACACAACAACTACGACGTGAGATGAGCCTCCATATGCGACTATAAATCGTAAAGTAAGACCGACCGTGGAGGCATGAAGGGAGGGCGGCATCCTTTTTTTCGTTACTATTATTTTTATAAAAGACAAAAATTTATGCAGTTTCATTCCCACCTTTCAATTGAAGATAGGAAATAAAACAACTTGATTGTATCTTTCTTTTCTTTCCCAATCCCAATCCCAATATATATAGTAGCTGATAGGCAGGCTGAGGCTGGTGGTTAGTTATCTTATTTCCAGAAATTGATATAATTAATGTCAGAGACAGAGAGCAGCTGCAGCTCACACTCACAGGTCATAACATGCAAAGGTATGCGTGCTTGGTGCTTGCTAGCTAGCTGGTATGGTTAATGTATGTAATTAATATAATATGTGGGATTGAGCATGAATGAATATTATGCATAAATGCATGCAGCGGTGGTATGCTGGGGAATAGGAGAAGCATGGAAGGTGGAAGAGATACAAGTAGAGCCTCCAAAAGCGTCTGAAGTTCGGGTGAAGATGCTCTACGCCAGTCTCTGTCACACTGACATCTTGATTTCCAAAGGCCACCCAATTGTTAGTACATAGTAATAGTAATATTATTACTTATTTGTGATCTGAAATAAAAAAATTTGTGGATTGATTATTATTTTCATCTTTCTTTTATCACAGCCTCTCTTCCCTCGAGTTCTTGGGCATGAAGGCGTCGGGTACGTACTCTCACTGTGTAAAGTATTATGTATCTATTTAATTATCTGGATCTGGATGGAAGAGTAATGGAATTTTAAATTGCGCATGCGGCATGCCTAGTGTGGTAGAGAGCATCGGGGAGGAAGGAGGAGATATAAAAGAAGGAGACATGGTAATTCCAACGTTTGTTTCAGAGTGCCAAGAATGCGAGAATTGTGTGTCGGGAAAGACAAACATGTGCCTCAAATATCCTTTATCGTTCACCGGTCTCATGCCGGACGGCACTTCAAGAATGTCTGCCAAGGGACAGAAGCTGCACCATGTATTTTCTTGCTCAACATGGTCAGAGTACATGGTTGTGAATGTTAATTACCTTGTCAAGCTTCCTCCCACGATGATCACTAGTGGTAGTTTTCCTCTCCCCCACGCAAGCTTCCTCTCCTGTGGATTTTCTACCGGATTTGGGGCTCCTTGGAAGGAAGCTAAGCTTGAAAAAGGATCAACTGTCGCTGTTATTGGTCTTGGTGCTGTAGGATTAGGGGTATGTATATATCTTGCATATATGTTCTTTCTACTAGGACAACTGGTACTACTAGCTAGCTACCTAATTAATATACTATAATTAAGTAATTAATTCCATTTTTGTATTATTAATTATAATCTAACAAGGGCAGGCAGTTGAGGGCGCTAGAGTGCAAGGTGCCGCTAGGATCATCGGCATCGACAAAAATGACAAGAAAAGAGAAAAAGGAAAAGCTTTTGGAATGACTGATTTTATAAACCCTGATCATCATCATCATCATCATCATCATAAATCAGTTTCTCAGCTGATCAAGGACTTGACAGCTGGAATGGGTGTTGATTATTGCTTTGAGTGCACCGGCTTTGCACCCTTCATCAATGAAGCCCTTGAGGCCACAAAATTGGTATTCATATAATGTACCTTTTTTTCTGCCATAATAGACAGTATGAATTAGGGAAATATAATACGGAGTGGACTACATAATGGTGTCCTTATTTGAGGGATCTCTCAACTCTATGAAAGCTTATATATTATTCGAGGGATCCCTTATATATATATATATATATATATATATATAATCGTGTAGCAATTAATCTTATTTTGTGTTGATTAATATTGTGCGGTTGTTGTGTCAGGGAAAAGGAACAGCAATAGTCATTGGAACCTCAAATATAACAAGCGTTCAAATTAATTCCCTTTCCCTATTGTGTGGCAGAACCTTGAAAGGTTCCATGTTTGGAGGGCTCAAAACCAAAACCGACTTTCCCCTTATAATCCAGAAATGCATGAATAAGGTGAAACAACTCCTCCTAGGCTCCTAGCCAAGCCAACCTAAGCTTTTAACTCAACGCTAAAACTTCGTAAATTAATACTCCAATTTTGTTTTTGTTTTTGCCCCACAGGATATGCAACTTGACCAACTTTTGACTCATCAAGTTCCTCTGGTAGACATTAACCAAGCACTTGAGCTTTTAAAGCATCCAGACTGTATCAAGGTTCTTATCAAGATTTGATTTTGATTGTTTGTTTCTAACTTCGTAAGAAATAAATGATGAGATTCATATTATATAATATATATATAAGGGAATAAACCAAACATTTTGATTGGTTTTAACACTCTCATCTCATGTATCATGTATGGGTTCTGTTTAATTTTTGCTAGTTTCAAAACCCTCAATTTCCATGATTTTTTCTGCGCGTCATTTAATCATTTCTCTTCTTAAGTTACCGAACAATGAAAATATCAACTTTTCCTCTTCAATTCCTGACTTTTAACTAAATTATGAATTATTTTCCTCCATCCAAATGGATGGTAAATTAACACACCCCATTAGAAAAGAGAGGGGTGCCAAATTATTGATTTTTTTCAGAAACAATATTGACAAATTATTGATTTTAAACTCATTGTTAAAGATTCATTTCATCCGAGAAAACAAAGGGATTTGGAGGATGAAAGACAAGATTTTTCCTACAAGAAATATTATTACAAGTTTTCATTTTGTTCCTTAAAAGAAACAATCTTTTATTGGTACCATACCAAGATGACATTACAGAACAAGGTGGACAAAGGCTTCCAACAGGGAACAATGCAGAGATAAGCACAAGAAGCAGGCAGAAAACTCCCAAAAGAAAGAGCCCCAACTCAACCAAGCAAACATAAGATCGAATCCAGTCACAGCCCTAACTGCTGCTCTCCTCCAATCTAGCCAAATAACAGACATAATCAAACTTTGCCATTCAATAATATATAAAGAAAACCACACAGCAGGTGAAATTGAAATTGACCCCATGGCTGGCTAAAAGGAAGGAAACCAGTCTGATCTGATGTTGAACAACACTGTTAAGTCTACAGACACAACTCTAAAACACTACTAATTAAGGCAAGCTGCCTTTCCTAAAGGCCTGTTTTCTAATCATGTCCAGAACCTTGTAGTGAAATGCAAGCCAAACCAGATGATATATATGCATGGGACTATTTTAATGGAAGCTGACTAGCCTATTAACTGCGCTTCTGTACTTCAAAAGAGCAATCAGGTGGAACAAAAGACACCAAATTGTTATTCAGCTCTGTCCAAGAGTCTGAACCAGGACTTTATCCCATTACCAACAAATCTCAAAAGGCTAGAAATCCATTTATTAATCCACTAGCTTGTAATCAAAATAATGAACCGTATGGTAGCTTCAGCAAAGCCTGAGCACTATAACCAAAGTATTGAAATCACCATCCTCCAAAAGAAAAATATGGCAAGACCACATAGTTACACATCCAATTTTAAGCATACATCTGATCTCCAAAGTTACAAAGTCCATTCATAAGCACCATAGGTACCTAAGAAACTGAAATGAATCTCACATGGTTGCTTCTACTTCAGGATCACTTTTAATTGGCACCGTCGGCACATTGTTCCCACCTCTCAAACGCGAAGAGACATTGTCAATGGCCGAATTGAGCTGGCTTATTTTTGCATTCAAGGTCTGCCTGGTCTTCTGCTTCCCAGGGAAAAGGAAAAGGAAAAGGAAAAGTCAGATCAATTGTCTTTGAGAAAAATAAAAAGAATACATCGCATCTCCAACAAGTGGGAAAGGTTGGATGTCCAGTCATGAAGATGTATTACCTCCAAACCTTCATCATAATATATTGGTCTTCTGGCCTTCCGGAATCCGTATTCATCTTCATTAAGTAGAGATCTTCTAATCTGCATACGACAAAAGTGCAAACCAGGATCAAAACCCAAATGAAATAACATATGATGCAGAATAATCATCCTATGCCTTTAAGGATCACTGTGAGAAGACATGTAGCCAACAGGAATCAAGACCATATACAGAGAAAGGCAGACAGATGATAGGAATTTACCAACAAGGAGTACAAGCTTCCAGTCTTTGTGAACAATAAGACTGGCAATGTCATGAGTACAAAGTAGGAGCAACAAATTTCTACATTACATGCTACAACAGTCAAAAAATAGACGGCAAGGGTAGAAAAATGGAAGTTGATTGCAACATACTAACATGCTACAACGGTCAAATAATGGATTTCTTCTACAAAATAATATCCTTTTTCTTTCATTTTGCTAAAATATTAGCAAAATATATTCACAAAGAACACTGATTAAATTGAAGCAAAATTAATCGCAAGGAAGCACGGTAATGCAATGAAAACAAAAATGGAACCATTCCTCTTTGTTGTCTTGACAAAGTATAACAACGCCCTTGATGTACAATTGAGAACTGATTAAAACGTAACCGCAACTAAACACAACCTCTTTTTGTAAGCATAAAGCTGGCATGTGTGAAGAAGAAAGATTAAACCATATGAGATGGATATGATGAACACAAGTAGAATATAGTGCATTGGAATACTGAAGGCAAGAAGATTAATAATATTTAATATGGAACCACCTGTGGAGCAAAAACATAAGCTAAAGTCCCAAAGACAGCACCACCTAAGACAAATCCAGCAAGAAAATCAGCACCTCCACCCCTACTATCATCACTGCTGCATATAGAGGAATGAATCAATCAACGTTGATAGATTATACAAAAACAAAAATGGTCTTGAACATCAACTCATCACTGAACTGAAATGGAATACCTGTACTCAGCACGAATAGCGAAATTGCGTCTGGTTCGCAGTTGAATATTTTTCCTTGGGCTTTGGGTAGTGAGCTTTGCTGATTCTGCCCGACTGTTGCTGGACCACCACATCTCACGCGCCTTCAGCTGACATCCGCCGCCTGCAGAGATTATATATATACAGTCTAAAGACTCTGAAAGTCTAAACTGGAGGAAACAACATACGAAATTACAATTACTTTTTCTTTCACTCTTTTCTTTGGAAAATTAAAAATAAAATTGGTCGAAGAAATTGAATTTTTTTTTTTTTGGTTTAAATAAAAAGTCCTAAGCTTTCTGAGGAACCGAACACGAAAGCAAGATGAGAACCTGAGCTGAGATTGCCGGTTGAGGAAAGACATACCTGAAAATGAGGCGGATAAAGGAGAAAAGCAGATCGCCATTAGGGGGAAGAGAGAGATAGAGAGAGAAGCGGAGGAAAGGGCGATGCAAACTATTTCACCAAACCTGGAAATGAAATGATTTGCCTAGTTGTAAGCCTGTAGCCTAGGATAATACACATATACGCAAATAGTTTTAACTTTTTTATATCTCTAATTAACCCCTGATACCTTTTTTTTTTGGTCATGACCCCCTGATACTTTGAGAAGGGAATTTGGATGTAGTGGGGTTGGTTGGTAATATAGCAGTGCAGACCTAATTCAACAAAGGAGTTTGACCAAAAAGGGCAATACAGGAATGTTATTTTTTTGGTTTGGAGACGTTCAGTTCAGCCTTTGGTTCTTCCGCCCCCTTTCACTCCACCGTCCATTACTTCGGACTATCTCGACAAACCCCACTTCCCTGTCCGTTTACGTTTGTGTAATGCATTTATGAATGTGGATCTAAAAATACAAATAATAACTTCGGAATTATCTAAATCTTAAAAAGTCATTTTTGGACCTTATAGTTTATTATTTTTATAAAAAAGTTAATAGAGGTCCAAAAATTCAACCAATAATTGGGTCTAGTCCTCGAATTATTGTTTATTGATACAAGTCCCTTGACTAGTTTGCCACATAGATTACATTCCATCTTTGACATGTTGATTTAAATTTTTGTATTTAACTAATTTTTATTTAAATTTTTTTTTTTGTATTATATCCCTATTGTCTAAAATGAGTGAGATGAGAATTTATATGCCATTATTTTTATTTTTGTTCAACATATGGTAGAGGTATAGTATATACTCTTGTAGATAAATTATCCTATGATGTAGGTATATTGTCATATTGCCTATTGCATAGGTATATATTTGTTTTTTATTTTATTTTTATTTTATTTTATATTTTAGACAATGAATAATAGTATTTTATATACATTTTTCTTATAGGTAACATATAATTTTATTTGTCTATTTTTGTATATGACTTATAAGTAGTCTTCTAATTTATGTTCCTAACTTATTGGTAGTATTCTAATTTATGTTTATGACTTATAAGTAACACGATTTATCACTAAGTTTTTTTCGTTGCTAATAAGAACACTATTTACCTGTATGTTAGGCATATAATTTAATGTGGGTGCTTGCCTAATTGATTAGTATAATATGTGGGCCTTTACTTCAATTGATTAATTTTTATTTTACCCATATATTAGGTAAATATTATCAATGAAAGAATTCCAAATTTAAATTTTAAAATTTAATTACAAGTAAATAATTCATTAAATTTAGATTTTCAATGTTTTCCTTGTGTACCTCAAATGGTAAAATCGACACAATAAAAAGAGTAATAAAAGTCAAAAGACCTACATTTAAAACCAAAAACGCTTGGACTAAACTCAATGGCAACTAATCGTTTTGAACCTAAATCTAAGAACCCCTTATTTTTATCTTCAAGGTATGTGTGGTTTCAATTTGATTAATTTTGTTCATGCAGTTTGAATTTCAAGCAATTCAAAGATAATCTCCAATTTCTATCAAATTAAAAGGGGCATTTCGGTCCAATCTTGCAGCGCCTCCCTAACCACTTCCACAACCACCCCAGTAGCCCCCATGTAACTTTTCCTATGCTTTCCCGACGTCTCAAAGTCTATTACTTTCAATCTTGAATAAACAATTGTGAGACTTTTTAAGTCTTAAACTCTGACTTTTGTTTTTGGAAATTTGGGTTCGTGAGGAGAGGTTTTGGGCAATACACGGAATTAGATTTGGCGTTTGATAAAAGCAAGGAAAAAGGTGATTGTGGAGGGAGGAAAGCATAATGTTGGCCCAGGAGGGGAGAAGGGAGGGGATATGGTGGTTGTGGGGGTGGTTGGGTTGTGGCTATAGGGTGGGGAGTGGGTTGAGTTAGGAGGAGAAGGTTGGGTCAGAGGGGAAGGAGGGATGAGATCAAGTGGTTGTGGAGGGGTTGCTGGATTGTTGTGGGGTGGTTGGGGAGGGGCTGCAAGATTGAACTGAAATGCTAGTAAAAGTGATAAACTAAAAGGACCAAAAATGACTTTTTTTTCCATATAATGTCATAGTCAAAAGAAGAGCAATGACGGCAAAACCACACTTATGTACCACATTATGCATCACTTCATCTCTTACATTCCAAAAGTTTGAGCATTACCTGTCAATACCATATGATAACAGCAGCTAACCATTCAGAACTAAGAGGACTTGGGCAGCACGTTGTTTGCAAATTCCTAATGACATCTCCAAATTATGGTGGCTTATATATATTCTCTTTATATACAAACGGCCGTAATAATAACGCACTCAAAACTCAAAGGGCTACACAATGCACAAAGAAAATTATCAATAAATCCTATATGAGAGATGAACAAGAGGAAAAGGGGGGTCTCGTATGGCACCCAGGCAAGATCATCAGACATGATTGCCACATGCAGTTGACGAAATATAATGTACACAATGCAACAATTCATCTTCTCGCCTTATTTGTCTGGAAGGCGCCCAAAGAGAAGCAGTGATGTATTCACATGATGCCTTTCAGGCAGACGCTGTTCCGATTTTGAAACAGGTTTCACAGGCTGTTCCTTGTCTGGGAATGGGAATGAAAGGGAGAGGGAAAGGGAGGCAGAAGCATCATCATCTTTCTCATCCACCACGGCATCCAAAGGCTTATCCTGGTTATTTTTCTCGTCCGCTAATCCAACAAAGAAGGGCAGGATTCCCTTATTTTGCGGTTTTGTTTCTGCCCCTAGAGCAAGCTCGAGACTTGGGAACCCATCACGAGACTTATCCTCATCTCCTGATGAGGAACCTTTCCAAGGCACAGAGTTGTCAACTGTGTGAAAATGCTGAACATGCCGTGAATCCACAGGAAAAAAGTATCTCTCAGTAGTTCCCAAGTCCTCTGGAATAACTTTCTCCTCACAGGCTTCAACACATCTCTTCTCAACCAAAGAACAAGGACCCATATCATTATGTGAGACAAAACCATCATCAACAGCATTTGTACCCCTAGATGTGCTACAACCATACAATCCACTTGAACCAATTTTTGGCTTCTTACTATCACCCTCACCATCTATCTGTGTACTATTCACCTCATTCCATGACATTTCTTGATTCGTGGCTGCAGAAGCTGCTGTCTCTGAAAGAGCTATATGAGGATGTTTTCTTTTACTAGACTGAAAAGAGTTGACTTTTGCTGTCAAGTCTCTCACCAAAGCTGCTTCTATTTCCTTATATCCGTAATCTCTCTTCAATTCCTTATCTTGTTTACATTCAACACTCTCTATGTTTACTCCGTCCAGAATCACCTCCTCAACACCTCCTGCGAGACCAACCCTTTTCTTTCTATCTGGAATTGTCTCCTCAGCAACACTCCCAGCAATGGCTACCGCTTGATTGGAAATAGGTCGAATCTTCAAAGACTCAGCACCTTCTCTATCACCAGAAGTGACCCAATGCACTTGCCTCTTCTCACCTTTGTTGGAGCTATTTGAGCCAGTTATTGGAATAGAAGATTTAATTTCTGTGCCAAGTCCACTCCCTCGAAGGCAAATTTCCTGCTGCTGCAGAATGAGAGAGCATTGAAACAGATAATAACCCTTTAGTAATATATAGAACCTCAATGTCAAAACAAAACTGACCCCAAAATATATAAACATCAGGTACCTATATTTCAGAAATAAAACAAAAAAATTTACTAGGAAAGTAAATTGAACCACAAGACAAGGGCCAAGCTTCAAATATCACACCTTCCTAATATGTTGTCCTTCTACAACACAGTTCATTAGTAGAGTACAATACATCATAGGACATGTCATTCAGCGATTCAATATATAGCATGGGATTCAATAAACATTCTAGTCCAATGCATGATCATTGAGGAGTCAAGTATTGTGACACCAGTAATGCCATCTGCGCCAAAGTGCAGGTGCTAAGCAAATAAGGATCTTTTGACTAAGCAATAATTTTTCAGGTTGTGACCACTATTGTAACATTAGATAAAAATTCAAGTAGCAACATATTCCACTCATGATACACAAAAAAGAAATGAAATGCAAGCCACAACAGTATATATTGAAAATCATAATGTAAAAAAATATCTCGAACAGGGGAGCAACACAGGTCAAAATTGTCAACCACACGAGTATGTCACATATTAAGATATGTAAAAGAGTATGAGACATATGGAATGAGAATAAGTGCTGCAAACCATATGGTTCAAGAACATCAAGATGTCTAGTTCAGAAATTAAAAATATATAACCATGGTGCAAAAAAATGCTGACTGAAATTAATGTCAGCTTGTATCAAGTGTGCACACATAAAGCAGAGGGGGGAGAGAGAGAGAGAGAGAGAGAGAGAACTCTTGTTTGAATGTGAGAGTATTGTAGAAACATGTCAGCCAAGCCACAATATAATTTTACCCCAAATGAACTGAATAGAAACATCAAGGAACAACAAGAAGCACCTTATCAAGCCATATACATTCTGAAAAAAATAAAAATTACCAGGGAAGCGGTGCATGGAACTCCTTCAGATAAGCCTGCATTGTTTGTTGTGTTGGAGTCAAGCCTACTATTCTGTACCATCAAGTTCACTTTTGAACCTGAACGTACCTCCTCAGGATAAGTATCTTTGCTCACATGATCCTTGCTAACTGTGGGACCCATATGAAGAAGGGAATTGGCTGCAGACACTACATCACGACATTTGTCAGAAGCAGAGAATTCATCTATATGGTTAGGTATGCATAGGTTCTCTGACAAAGTTCCGTATTTATCCAATGAGTTGCTCAAGCTGGGAACACATGTCTCCTTAGTAAAATCCAAACGATGCACCCTCGTTGTCCTGAAAACACCCCATAGGAAAAACAGCATATTCCAACCTGCCAATAACAGATAATAAATTTCAGCAGATGGCACAAAAAGTTAGCAAACAAAGATCAATTACAGAACAAATAACCAACAACATCAGCAAGAAGAGCACAGCCGCCAATGATTTTAAAGAAGGCACCCTCATACAACATTAACCCAATTTTATACATTCTTCATAAGTACAGGCTCACAATATCAGCATTGGCACTTGTTTATGCATTAAGCCGTATGAGCCAACTTGCACAAAACAGAACCATATCAAGCATATTATCACTGGATAAAACACCTAACCCCAGAAACTTCAGAATTCCTTACGTTGTGATCTCTCAGGAAGCTGATTTGATGGGAATATCAGAAGTTCAACACCATCGAAATTCCCTTTGAGGGCTAGATCATTCTTGATCATAGCCTCCAACAGGATCTTGTAGTCTCTTTCGTAACTGCATTGAAAATTGAAAAAGATTGCATACTAAGCAATAAAGAAAAATATGTTTTGCAGAAAGGAAAAATCCCTCAAAATATAAAATGAAAAAACAAGTATGCTTATCGTTACCTCTCAAGATCTTTGGCAAAGAAGTAAAGTGCAATGTTATCTTCTTTAGCACCACTTTGATGGAAGTGTGAAGGCCATACACTCAGGCGAGGTACTTCACTCAGAGGAACTTTGAACTGAAATTTGTTCACCACTTCAAGAACCTTTGGCGATGCACAAGTTGACAAATGAGCTTGAACTCCACCACATAAATCCAAATAATTTCCACCTCTCTGCACTTCGAAACTCCCCCTGCATGAAAATAAGAGGAGCCTATCTCGTAAGAAATTGTCAAGATGAAACATAAAGAAGAAAAAAAAATGCAGAGTATGAAGCAGACAAGACTGATAACAAATAGAAACCACGAGACCCTACTGCCAGATGTATTCATATTCTGGTATGGCTGTTGTCTTTGCAAGAACATACATCGCCACTGAAGCATGACTATGCAAATCTTTCACTGTAGACTTTCCAAGATAAGGAACAACAGAAACAGAGTCTGTCAGTTTGGAAGGAAACACAGAATCAATGGGCTGCACTGTATGCTGCTTTAAATTATTGACAGTTGTATTCTTGTAAGAGTCAGAAGTAGAAGTCCCAAGAACTGTTTGTCCATCATGTGATCCTTCACTACATGTGATATTATTCAACTTATTTGAAATCAATGATTGCTCTTGAGAAGCTACTTCATAACTTAAGTCCACATTTGATGTGGACAACTCATCAGATGGATCGAATACTCTCTTTTTTCTGTATATTTCAGGCTTTCTAAGCAAAGCTGCGTGAATTGCATCTTTCAACCTATTACCTCTGGGCATATCCTCCCTAGAACTTATTGGAGTAGAAGCATCAGTACCAGAAGTCTGTGAAATGCCAACTCTGCAAAATTCCGCAGTATGACCTATGTCTTTACATTTTGGACTAGCTGTAACAGTAGGCCTACAACGAGCAGAGCTCTCCCTGGTTTTATCAGCCTGACTTGTCATTTCCACTGATTGCGGGAACACATCTTCTAATGTTTCGTCAACATTAGAGCATGGTTTCTCAACAATCCCAGAATAGCTGGATAAGGGTTCATCCTTAGAGCTAACTTGGTTTGACTTTTGTTCAGAAGCAGAATTACATATTCCATTCGTAGACGAACCTCCAACTGCAACAGCAAACACATTGGTCATACCTTAAATTAGTAACACCAACTACTTTCAACACGTACCAACAGCAAACAAATTATAGAGAGAAACATAGGACACAACCACAAGCTTGAAAAACATAAGTTCCACCATCAAGAAGGCAAGAAAGCTACCTGAAGCATTTTGAGGCTCAACACCTTTACGAGTCAGATTACCAATAGATTTTGCTATAGTACTTAATTTTCCATCAGGTAATACGACCTTCGACTCTCGATTGTTGCTCACAGATGAAAGCAAACTAGTTTCACCACGAGATGCTGGGTCAATCTTAGGTGTTGAAACAATAGGACTAGTTGCGGGAAAACTAGCAAGGGGGCGGTCTAGTTTGGACAAATTTTTTCTTTCAACTGTGCTCCGCTCTTTTGCTTGTTTCAATCCTTTTAGATCTTGAACATGGCTAAATTTAGATGAAAGCATTTTAACTTTTGATTCAGACACATTTGAACGCCCTGAGTTCGCAGATTTGAATGACACAGATTTGCCCATCATTCTGGCCACCCTCTCCTTCATATCAAGGGAAGAATGTTCTTTAGATCCCTTTTGCTTTTGAGGAACATCATCTACAGTCTTAACTCTTGGTTTGGAAGTTAAGGTGTTGAACGAATTTGACTTTAACAATGTACCTGCAAACAGAATACGATGAACTGTTATTTTTTAATATAAAACTCTACAAAAACGTTAATATGAAAAATAAGAAACCCCACCTACACATCACAAAGCATAAGAACTACCATACAATAAAAAGAGAAGGATAGAGATGGAGCATGTACCATGCAGCAATAACTACTCACCCTTGGTTGTTTGAAGCCGTATACCACTAGAAGGAGAGCGTGCAGTTTCTGATATATCATTAATGGACTGTGAGCTCTGATAAGTTGACCTCAATCTATCCTTATCTACGCTCTTGAACGAAGACTCACGTGATAGAGCACCCATTCTCTTAGGGCTGGATGGCCTTGGTGATCCCACACGAATTTCAAGAGCCTGCCTTTTCGCAGCAGGAGCTACTTCTATATTTTCTGCTAGTCTCTTATTAGAGAATTGTGTATTCAAAATGGCTTTATCCATTTTTTTTCCCTCCATATCTGAACCTTAATAATTCAAATGTCGAAAAAAAAAATCAGTGCATTTCACAAATAACAGCACGTTAGCATCTGTTTTCAGAAAACTAATATAACTCAATTTGCTTTACCTTGCTTCTGGTTGTCAGCTTCCTCAGCAAACTTGCATTCCTCACACAGCCATTGAGCTTTAGGAACTCTCCGAAGCATCTTTCGCATGCAATAGCTGCTTTTAGCAATAATAATGTTAACAAATTTTGATCACAGGCATGGGATCAACATAAAATATCGCCATCAAAACCTGACAGCAGAAAGTATGGCGAAAGACTATTACATGTGTTCTGCACCATCGCTGCACCTACTACACATGGCAAGCATATCTTCGCGACCTGCATCCCCACAAATATCGCATACTTTTACCTGTTTATAAACCCAAAAAAAATAAAAAGGAAAATTTTTAGTTCTTCAGCTAAAGAAATAAGAGGCTAAAGTTTCTTCTACTAAAATACAGATCCTCCAGAACCTAAAGTAAAAAGAAGCCATTACAGGCCTCAACACAGTTGAATACATCAAGCATATCATCCTTCAAACGAAAATGTGAAGGCATCAGTATCTAACTAAATAGCAAACATTTGACAAATTCTTAACAAACAAAGACGTATGTGTTCCTAATCACACTGACAAAAGCTGCAAATACCTGATTGCTCAATATTTTCTGACAACATGTTAATCAACATTAGGCTTGATCAATCAATTGAGTGCTAATGACAACAGACAATTCATGGGACCACAGTTCTGTGAACCATAAATCAAGAGGCTTATATTTACAAACCTTCAGAACTAACAACTAGCAAGAAAATATCATTCTATCCGAAAACATATATAGAGGCACTTAGGGGAAGCCCAAAAAAAAGTCCAAAGAACACAGATAACAAGAATTTTATGCAGACAAGTCATACATACAAATTTTACTTTGGGGGGGGGACTCACATCATGCTCCACAATGTCTGATTCATCACTGTCATCTCCAGAAGCAGATTGCAAGGGCTGCTTCTCAGCTACTGCGACCAACTCATTTGACTTCAGATCTTGTTCACCATGATCCAAACATTTCAAAGCTTCATCATTTAGGTCTTGGCCATTACCATTGATCTCAACTTCTGTCTTTGGACAGATTTTTGTAGAGGCCCCCAAACCTTTATTAGAATCAAATTTCTGGCAAGCGACAATATCAGATGGTGACTGTTTTATTAATGATGAATCCGTATTCCCAGAGCATTCTGGCAGTTTTCCCTGCAAATGAGAAGACGCATCCTCTCCTAAATCAGTTACTAAAAAAATAAAAATAAAAATAAAAAGTTAAAGGAACATGATGCACCAATTTGTGAGTGGGAGCACGACTTTGCACCTTTGTTGCGCTATCACCAGCATCTGCAGCTTTTACCATCTCTGACAAGACTGACTTGTGTGCCTTTTCAACTTCTTCTGGATCTACACTACCAACTGAAGCAAAACTACAAGACAAATTCTTCCGTTCTACATTTCTGTTATGGTGATTGACTGCTAAATTTGCATCATTGACTCTACTTATACATGAAATGTTATCGTCATTGACTTCAACAACTTTAGAATCCTCAAACGTATTTGTAAGCATCTCAAACCCTTCTACAGCATCAGATGTATCAGAAGACCTTATGGGTGCTTTGCTTTCAGCATTTTCAGACAACGAATCATGACTTGAATTAACACTAAGTAGGTTACTAGTCTCACTGGTGGTATGTTGTAAACTGTCACATGCCTTGCTCTTAAAAGAGGCTGAAGTATCGCCCACATTGATAGAATATTGACTAGCCGCATTAACACGACAGGTTTCATCAGAAAATTCATCAGCCTTCGACCCCATAAGAGCTCTATTAAAATGCACACAAGATGAACAGGGAGCAGAGCACAGGTTACAAGCCCCAGACTCGCCTCTCATATGAACTTTCCTACTCATAGAATGCTTACCAAATTCTTTTATAGATTGAGATGACACCTAATAAATACAATAAATCAATTAGGAACGGATACAATACAAAAATTAACAGTGGATAATTGAAAAAGAAAAAAACTTATGAAAGATGTACAAACAACTCCTGAGTTTTCAACAGTGACCATATTTAGGCATGGAAAATGTAAAAATCAGGTCAATGAGATAAAGGCAACACCAAAGGTCACTCTCAGTTTAAGGGAGTATTGATAAAAGAAAATAACACACTAAACCAGATTTCAATATGAGAAATAATGTTCTCATGGTCGTTCTTTTATTTTGAGTTGTTAATGCTCATTATTACCAATGTCCTCCAAATGCACCTGAATAACATCCTCCACTACTCCACTGGCCCGTCAACATTCTCACAAATAAAAATTACTTTCAGATTAATGTACAAGAGAAATTCCTGCACTGTTCCTAGAATGGATTTAATCAACCATTACAGCCACACTCCTAGTCAGCGAGAAGTGTCCAATGAAGTTATTAGCAAGAAATGCATATGGTTTGCAGCACAAACTAATTCCTGCACTGTTCCTAGAACCTGGATTCAATCATCCATTACAGCCACACTCCTAGTTATTCAGAAATGTCTATTGAAATTCTTACAACTCTAACGTTGTTCCTCATAGTCAACAAAAAAACAATAAACTCCCAAAAGCCTAATTGTCTATTTCTCTTTTTCTTTTTTTTTCTTTGAAATACGCACTACTGCATGATACAGGAAAAGACAGCTGAAAATTAATAAAAAGAGAAAGAAAGAAGGCAAATTACCCTGTTTTCTCACCATATTCTTCTTAATATCATGATCAGTCTCATCAGCAGGCCCTTGCATACGATGACTCCCTCTCAAGACTGGTGTGATCTAAAAGGGGACACCAAAATTACATTAATTCCAATCTCCGGTAGCCAATTATGGAATATTCTGGACTAACATTAATGGCTGAAAACTAAATCCATTTAGAGGCAAAGAGACTCATATCAAGCTAACAAATTTAATATGCATATATATGTACAAAGTGATGCAATCAAACCCAGAATGAAACTTCACAAAATATAGGCCCAAAAACCCTAACCATGAAATCAACACTATCATGAATAATACAACCGTTTGGCAATCAATACAGCGAGTAATCCGATCATACTGAAGAAAATCAAATTCTTCCAAAAGAGAAGGGGTTAAAAGAACCAAGTCGGCTAACAATTACGTGCCTCTGGTTTCATAACAATCCGCGTGGCGTTGTAAAGCTCATCGACTGCCCGTTCCTTCCGGCAGGACATCATCAAGATGACAACCAGTCCCAACCCTAATCTAATCCAAACCCAAACTCCGCTATTCCAATTGCAGGATTCCCTCACGGTTGTATTCAATTCGATTAAAAACCCTAACTTCCCAGCAAATGGTATCCAAAATCAAGTTCTCAGACAACAACCACATGACCATCTACTCTATTACACCACACAGAATCTGATTAAATAAAATGTTGTGTTTATTTATATATAAAATATATATCTCGCTTTCTCTCTCTACTTTTTTCTATCTCTCTCTGTGATCTGGGAAAAAAAATCCTGCAATGGAATCCATCTACATATTAAGCAGCTTAAATCTCGCCAGGAATTTTATTTTTTACGGAAAATGAGTAAATGAGTAAAGTTTCGTATATTTCGAATTTAAATGCGGGCCTAAAAAATTGGGGGTCCTGAAAATTTTTTTTGCTGGTCTACCATATTACAGCCTGTCTAGTTTTTTATTTTATTTTAACGAATAATATTACTCTTACTACATTATACTGTATTCTCATGGTAATTGAGGTGGACATTCATACATCAATAAAAATTATTTAATAATTTTCAATATTTATTTTTCTAATTTTCTTAATTAAAATATACTTCATGAATTTAATTGATGTGACATATAATATGTGACATACTTCATGTGGTATAAAAATATAAGATAAAAATGTAGTAAGTGTAGTATTACTCTTTTTTCTTTTTTTTATAAAAATAATTTGACAATTAAAAATTTAACATCAGGTTCCTCTAAAAACAAAACATGACGTTTTATTTTGGTACCATATATGGCCAAACTCAAAAGAAAAAGGTCTTTGGTTTATTTTATAAAGTTACACTTCTTCCACACTAGTCTAACTTATTTTCTACTACGAACTATATCATTTTAACTTTGAAAAATTTAATCTTGTTGTTGAATTTGATTTGGAATAAAGGCTAAATTATAAAATTGGTCAAATTAATAGATTAAATTTGACATAGATCATAGAAAATAAAAAGTTGAATTGTAAGGACAAACAAGAAATATGACACGCGTAAAAAGACATATGTCGCGGACCTCCTTCGTAAAAAAATTATCTTTTCAGAAAAAGTGTAAATAGAGGTATTATCTCTATTATTACAAAGTCAACCATTCTTTTTTGGATCATAAGTTTCACCCATAAAAAATGATCTCTACTATTATTATCTCTAATAATAATAATAATCACGAAGGCTAAGGCTCGGATGGATATTGATCTGCATTCATCTTTCCTTGTGGTTCAAATCGTATTATCTTCCTATGCGGACAAGCGAAGATGATATGCCTAACAAGTGGCATGCTACAAAATAAACAAATAATATGGGTACCTACCACGCAAATCACTTCATAGTTAAGTTAAACCACCCGCAATTTCATAATAAAACCTAAAAAATGCGTTATGAATCAAATCATTCAAATCGCATTCTTTTTGGAATTTTTATGAAAAGGTTAAGTTGTTAGTTACATTACATAGTTGGCATTAAACTACATTAATCAATCGGGTGTTTGTCAGCCTGCCGAGAGGTATAATGTGCAGAAAGCAAAAGCAGAGAAAGAAAAGCACTGGCCACAAAGATTGCATCAAACCACCGGTGATAGAAGTCAAACTGAATATCTCCACCCATTACATCTGTTATGATCATCCTGCCAGGAGATAAAAGCTCAGGCAACAATACTCTACCTCTATCCAAAACTCGTTCAACATGCAATCAAGTTTATATGACACAAGACCTAACAAAGTTTGACGACCATCATTTGGAAATCTGCACTTCTAGACAGACAAAACATGGCTAAAGTAACAATTTCAGTCAATAATCAAGTGTAATATACTGTTTTTATATTAGTATAGTTCTCTCTTAATTTGTGAGTTCAAAATTTCAATTTATTAAATAATAAGGTATTAATTCCAACATACTGTAAATGTAGTTTACAATTACAACAAGAAATATTCCTCGCACCATTACTGTTGTCAATACTTGGATGCATCTTGTAAGACAAAGTATTTTGGTCGGTTACTATTTTTCCCCGAGCCCTCCATACTTATGAAGTATAAGAAGAGGACAATGTTTTTGTTCTGAAACTGAGAAAAGAGGCAACTTCTTGTTTGTAAATGTGCATCAAATTCATTTCAAAGTTTTGAAGCATGTTTTTGCCTTAACAAAATACAATAATTAGGAAATTTGGGGTGCGGTATGCACACTAGAGTGAAAATAATTAGCACTTAAGCTCAATACAACTGACCAAAATTCATAAACATAACCAGAGTCCAGACCATTCAACATCAAGGAAAGAAAAACCAAAAACAAAGACGAATGTTGACAAACATCAATTATCCGCATACCTGTACTCAGTTGCCAAGCTTTTTCTTATCAAAAGAATAGAGGACAGGAAGTACATTCCCATAATTTCAGACAGAAACAGTACAACATTGCTAGAAGATCCACTCCCAACTCTTGATACTGCAAAAAAGAACTGTGCACAGCAAAGACAGAAAGCTAAGCCATAGGATATCAGAAAACAATGAAAAAAGATGCTCCATTTATCCTTCCACCAGTTTCTCGTTAACAAAGATAACAAAAAATGAAAAAGCTTGAGGGCATTGATGTCATTGATGTCATTGCACCAGGCATGTATATAAAAAGGTCATATAGGTCATATCAAAATACTATGCCACTTAATAATCCAAAGACTGGTAAAAGAACAACCAGTGTATTCCCAGAAAACGACTTAAAATGGGATTAAGACCTGGTTAAGATCAATTTATTTTTTATTCATGTAATTGTAGCACTAGCATGTACAACCTAAAAAAAAAGAAGTATCTGGTTATAAACTCCAGATTCAAAACAACTGTGTTTTAACTTTCTGCTATTTAGCCTTGCCGGTTTGTCTGCAACTCAGTCAAAAGTAAAAAAGCAAGCATTCAGAACTCTTTTTTTTTTATTTTTCTAAAAAGACTGGACACCGCATTTTGGTAATCAATCTGAAGAAAGCAAATCAGTGCATTGTGGTTCTCCAACTTAAATAAGAAATAAATGAAAAGGCAGGCATAAGAAGGATTACCTTCATTAAATTTGTCAAGAATCCACGAACTGATATAACAATCAACATTCCAATGAACAAGAGTGAAATATACTGTCAACAATGAGAACAAAAGAAGCGTCAACAACATGTTCAATAGTCTAACCAATCAAGCATTATAAGTACATATCATTCAGAAACTAGCACATATTGGAAATAAGGCCAAAGTTGGGAGTCTAATTGTTTTAATGACTGTGAATTTGCATATATTTTGTGCTACTAAAATCACAGGACTGCCACCCATTTCTCGTAATCCACTAAATTGTTGTGCTTCATCCAAAACAGGAATAAGATCGAGGTGGCTGTCTAAATTATTGCAAAAGGTAATACATTAAATAACTGCAAGTTTGTCCTTTGAGGGGGGAAAAGACCACAGCCATGCAGCTTCAGATATAAAACCAAAGGGTCAACCAATATAGGTGTAAATGTTAAGCTGCCTAACCTGTGACAACAATGCTGCATTGATACCAATGTCAAAGAACTGCAAGAATATGCTAATTGTCATTGTAACAGGATCCACAGAGCCAGCCTGTTAGAGAACTTTTTATTATTTATCCAATACAAAATTGGAAATTAATAGCCAGAAAGCAGAAACATACATATAAGCAAGTGTCAAAAGTAATAAGTGAGAGATGAAAGTAATACCTCTTTGAAAACAACGCTTTGCAAAGACTGCAGAGAGCAATTAAAAGTAATCAGGCACTTTTCAAAAATCAAAATCCAAAACTAGGAAGGAAAAAAAATGAAGGACGTTGCTTGCTTAAAAAAATATGGTAATACAAACCCTTTCTGCAGACACAATTTTCTTTTGTATCCCACAGATGACTCCCCATATTTTTCTTACAAATGGGATGTAAAAATTCTATTAAGTGAGAAAATTTTAAGTGGGAAACTCTTACATTGGAGAGAGAAACACCACAAATTCTGGTGCGAATTTTAAAGTACTTTTGTATACCGAAATTCAGAGTAACCTAACACGTCTTAGATTGCATGTCGGCCTACACTAGATAGTATAATTATATCAGGGATTCATGCATTAAGAGGCATCAAGTCCTTATATGTTGTGTGTGTGTGTGTGTGTGATGATATAATTTTTATGACATAAAACTCAAGATTTAAGATTCAAATATCTTTAGTATTTGACACAAGACTCAAGATTCAAATATATGATAAGATCTCATAATCATTAAAGAATAAACTTTCCAGGAAAATGGAACCGATAAGCATATAATATAAAAATTGACCAGCAAAAGGTTCTGATGTGTTTGAGAGCTGTCCACAGTATATGTTAATGTAATGTCCAAAACTTGTTTTACTCAAAGAAGAGAAAAATAATTTTAAATTTGACATGTGTACTTGTATCTAAACTGACTTTAATTCATACCACCTCCTTGGGCTAAAAAATGCAACCCATACCTTAATCATTTTATATACACAGTAGATTGAACATGCATAACCAAGTAGATTCTGCATATGACCCTTCCAGGTTCGAGAATAAGCAGCAGCTTCCTGTAAAGTAATAACAATTTAAGTTTATATGCCACTAATCAGGCACAGAACAGGTTTGGGCATTAAATATAGGTAAGCATTATGATGTTCTAACTTTAGTCAACTGGATCATTTCTATCATCCACTATACTCTTTAATGGCCCATGGAATTGTTTTTTTTTATAGCCTGCACAAATTTTCCACCCAGTACATAAAAGAACAGATGCATGGTTCAGTACACGCATAGAGCAGCAGTTCTAGAAAGGAGACATTTGAAATTAAATAGTATAAACAATAATACATAATTGGAACTGAACCTTTGCTTGACGAAGCTCATAAATTTCCAGGAATAGCTGCTTTGAAAGCTCTTCTAATGCTTGCACTTCTGCTTCCATGTTTTTAATATCTTCGTAACCCAAAAGAGAATGGAAGGGAGGGAGGGAGGGAGGGAGAGAACATAGGAGAGAAATAAGTGAAATAAGACAACAACGAAATCTTTACAAAGTAAAGGCACAATGTTGATAGTCTGGAAAGCTCAATGAGTCAACATATTTAATAGTTCTCGATGCATGCAAGTAACATGACAAGAGAAGTAGTTAAGAAAAGTAAAAATTAAAAAAATCATCGATAAAAGACCAAAAACAATCTTTTAGAAGGAAAAATGCAGGATTTTATCCCAAGGAAAAACATCAAACAACACCAACCTTGCTCCTTTTGATCCTCTTGCACAGATCGCACAACAGTGCCAACAATTCTTTTAAAGAAAGATCTAGCCTTTAATTTCTGCAACATATAACTTTAATTAGGCGCAAGTCCAGATTGGGTTTATAACACTGCTAGTAACTAAAATCTTATACATATGCTAATACAAACACAATTTCCAAGTAAAATCATTTTGAACAACAGAAAACGATTATAGTAGAGTGTCCATGTTGATGCAAGTAATAGTTGGAATATACAAATCAAGATCCGCATGTATTTATACTTGAGACAAAATTGAACAAGTGTAGACTATGTCAAGTGGATGTTTAACAAGTGTCAATCGCATCAAACAGATGATGAGCTCCAAATTTTAAGACAAGAAAGATAAATTATAGGATTGCTAAAGGGACCTCTTCTGATCCATGAATCCGTTCCATCTCCATTTGAGAAAGAATGATCTTCTTTTTCTTAGCAATACAAGTCTCGATGGATTGCATTAGCTGTCTTTCCAAGGACTTGATCTCTGCTTCCTCAATCTCTCTGATAAAGAGAGATAAGTAACTGTAGGGCAAATTGACAGCTCCAAAACCAGACAAGACAGCCATGACAGTAACGCCAATGACCCCAATCCGACTGACCAATTGAGGCATGGTGAAGAAGCCTTTATCGGGGGAAGGCATAGGGAAGTGAATGCCCATGCGCCAGAAAGCATAAAGGAAGGCGAGCAAGAACAAGACGGATCCAAGAGCAGCGCGTTCCTTCGGGAACCCTGAGATGAATAGAGGAGGAGTTTGAAGTTGGAAAAGAAGAAACAGATGAGCATTCATTGTCTCTTTCTTTGTTAAAATAACATAGTGCCAGACTTAGACGTAGGTACGTACCATTGTTGCAGAGCATTAAGAAACAATGATAATAAGGCAACATGAAAACCAGTAATAGTATGAGACAAAACAAATCGAGCTTCCAGTTGAGCCATCGTGCCCTGCAAAATACAATTTGTTGCAGAAAGCAAATACAATTTGTTGCAGAAAGCAAATGCAATTATGAAATGGCACCGAACCGTATATAGTTATGAATTATTATTATTATTACAATCCTATTCGGATGGCATTGGCATTGGCAATGGCAAGCAATTAGGGATTTAGCATACCTTTGGGAGAGAAAGGGGATGATCTCGAAGAGGACCAGCTGCAGCAGATTACAAGAGAAGGCGAAGACCACGCTGAATATGATCTGAACTAAGACCCTCTTCTCTTCGTACTCTTTGTAGAGCCTTCGGTTCAAGAACCACAGCCCCGCCCATCCCAGCAGCCCCAGCGATCCCAACGCCACCACTCCCTCGTAGATTGCCCAACCCCAACCCATCTATATATCTTCTGCGACTTTTTTTTGTTTTTGTTTTGACCGACTTTGAGGAACCAGATCCTGACTATCCTATTTGCAATGGGGTGGCTCAACTTTTTTAACTTTTTGATTCACACACCAATACTTCACGACGTTACTGGCAACTGCGAACGATTTCTCTTCTTCTCGTTTCTCTTATTCTTTTTAACTGAGGGTGAGGAGTGCTGCTGAAGGAAGTATATTTTTCTAAACTTCTTGGCCTGTGAGAAGGGCCTGTTGTTTTGACCAAAAAATTAAGCCCGCCGATTCCTAAAATACTTACCTTTAAATACAAAAAATAGTTGTTCGAATTACAAGGGTAAAATAAAAACTACATTTTGGAGGAGGAACTTCTGGAAACCGAGATTATCTCTGCCACTAACTTCACGACGTCATGAATTTACACCTTTCTTTGATTTCTTCAATTTTATGTAGTTTTTTTAATAATGAAGGGTGCCAATTTGCAAGTTCAATCTGTCAACTAAACAGATGAGACCTCAAGTCAAGTTCCAGGCATGCAATGCATACAAGTTACGGGAGGAAGGGAGGAGGAAGGGAGGAAGGAAGAAGGGAAGGAAGGAAGAGACCTCCATTCAAATCACCGGACTATAAATTCTCATTATTCCACGAGGCTATGAGTTGATAAAATTACGACAGTTCATTGAATATATATCAACAAATCAAAGCCATGACCGACAAATGTTGCTCTTTCATGTTCTGGATATCCTTATCCTACATACATACTTGTGAATCATGTTGTTTGAATTATTCAGACCTAAACTCGAGTCTGCAAATGTACTTTTAAACAAATATAGGTAACCACCAAAGCTTTCACAAACACTAGTGTTTCTTCAAGCACTCTCTGAAGCATATCATACGACTTTCCCAAGCCTGGAATTCCCAAAGCATGATTCTCCTCTCAACTATCTGCAAAACATTACAATTTAACCACAGTATTTAGAATCATCAATTAATTCGCACGAAACCCTCCCAAGTTGAAACTCACCACGTGGGGATCGAGAACTTGTTGCAGAGATGTCAGATGAAGTCATTGGAATTGATATTGAGAGCTGGGTGGTAGAGAATGAGGTCTGGTTGGATCTCTCATCCTCAAGACCAGACCAGGAATCCCTGCCTTTAGGCCACTCGTCAAAGAAAGGTCGGAGAGATTGACCTTCCTGTTTCACAGATTCTGAGGGGAATGCATTATTGAAAAATGAATGCTGTGGATAATTATGATGCAAAATGGAGCCATCACCCGATTTTGATGCGGGAAATGAGCCAACTCTGGATGGCATCAGAGGCCATGTGCTGTCTAGTGGTGAGTCCATCTGGAGACCCCTGTTGCTTCCTGAAGCATCAGACAAGAAACTATGCTCACCAATCTCGGGTTTAAGTCCTTGAAGATACCTGTAGTAAAGTGAAGGGTGATTCATTTGCTGTTAGATGAGGTGTTCCCATCTTTTGTCATAGTAAATAACAGTGAATGATGTGTTTACAGCTCTATGGATATCTCATATCTAAATGAAAAGGAATCTCAACTACTTCTGATATATCACTGAATGAATAACTGTTTGAAAATTTGTTCCTTAAAAAACTCAGCTTGTTCTCATATGATCACATCTCTACACACCTTCAGCAACTTTATCATCTCCCCATGTTATGGCACCAAACCACTGCATTCAAATGCAAATGATATTGTACGCATCATTTTAAGATATCCAACATGTCCTTACAGTTGGTTGTACGGTTCAAACTGATTCATGTTGGTGTTGCCAGCTTATGTGCAGGAAAAAAAAACTTCCACCAAAAACACTATATTGATCACGTAAACACAAAGATGCACGGCCACAAAGTGTAGTTTTTACATTTTTTTAGGAAAAAAACTTAATTAATTTTTCCCCTGAATTGTTAGAATACCATCTTTCTAATCTCATTTCCTAAACCTAATAAACCCATCCTCTACATCACAGTGCAAGTCCCAACTCCGTTATTGCATCAGAAAAAATGGAAATTGACAGACAAGTACTACAGGAGTTACAGAAGATCTTAAGGCATCCAAAGCGCAAAGGAAACAAGCAAGTGCAACCAGCAAAAACAAAAGGGCAAGGACAACAGAATATCAGGTACAAGAAATAATCTAAACATTTTTAAAATTAAGAGAGGAGCGACAGCGTAAGAGAAAGCCCATGAATTCATGAAATAGTTTCAGATGATCAATGGAAACAAATAAAAGGTCAATTCTTACACAGCTATAGGCATAGATGCTGCAGGATGCAAACGGCATAATATGTATATACCATGCATTCTTACAATATTTATATATTCTATATGGTTTATATCAATATATTAAGGTAAGTAACATGAACTCCACTCAATCCTTTCATCAAAAGATGCAGGGGATCAATTCCTTTGCCACTGTTGAGAATCAATACATAAAATCTTTTGACCAAAAAATTTCTGCAAAATTCCTTGTCAATAGCTACCGTGCATGGTGAATAAGATGCCACTAACTCAGCACAATTTAAATGCTGTCTGATTTCGTCCAGGAATTAAAAGAGAATGCAATCTATAGAAGCAATTGCAAAGGATGGCTGTCAAAAGGCCCTCACTGGAAAGACATCAGACTTCTGGGCCCAAGCGTTGACAGGAATTCACAAAGTTTTTGCTAGATTCAATATAGATGTCAGCAGTCTTTCCATATCAATTCCACCATACCATTTCATAAATGGATAAACAATCCCGCAAATACTAGATATAACAATAAGCTTTCCATAAAAAATTTAAGATACTCGACTTAGGCACCAATATAAGATATACCAAATAGCAGCTAACATAATTAGAAACAATAATAAAGTATAAGGCCATCTACATATATGAGAGTCTGATCTGATGTACTGTATGTGATGCTCAAATGATTAAATATAAAATTATAAAAATTTAACTCTTTACAACTACTTTTTTAAGACCAAAAATATTTAGAAACTGATACATGCATTTCTTAAACAGATTTCAGGCAACCTATTACCCCAAAAAATATAGAAATTGGAGAACTGGTAGGCCTACCATTCCTATCTTTCTGTTCAGCAGAAACTTAGGATAGTATATAGTTTTTCACTTATTAGACTTCTGCAGAAAATTTAGCAGAGAAAACAAAATGAAAAATGATCAAGCCAGAAAGAAGACTGCAAAAAGGCCTAGACTTTCAGTGAAGACATAAAAAAATTAAGCAACTATTCTAAGCACATCTGGGCCCAGAACCTGGATCTGACAGAAATCGAAAAGTATCTATCTGCAAGAACCCCAATACCTACATGGCAGGAAGTCACCAATACTGCTGCTACCACACAATTTTAACAATATGGGCCCAAGCAAGACTAAAAACATGCGTATGCATCCAATAGTTTGCATCACATAATACTCTCTCTCAATGCTGGAAATAAAACACAAGGAAAGACGATTATCATATCTTCATTTTCTTTCTCTTCATGTTTCCATTTAATCAAGTTTCAACCTGATAAACTTATAGTTGGACTAAGAAACATAACTCTACCTAGGAATCACCTCTAGGTAGGATAAAGAGCATGCGATAAGCGGGAAAATAAAGGGATGGGGAAGTGAAACCCATCATCAAGTGGGAAAGGCCAGAAAGTCGTGCACAAAGAGAGAGAAACACAATTTTAAAAGTAAAGGGATGGGGAAGAAAAAAAAACCACAAAAAAGAGAAGAAACACTTGCCAAGTGAGACAGAGAAAGGAAAAGAGAGTGTGGGCAAAACACATAGAGTTAAAATCTTTTCAAAATAAAGATGGAAAAAAAAAGAGAGAAAGAAAGAGATGAGAAAAGGTAACACCCATCAAAAGGAGAAAGTAGGCAAGAGAGGGAGAGAGAACAAGAGGCAAGAGACAACCCATGAAAAGGAAAGGAAACTCAAGATGGCAGAGACAACCCATGACAGGGAGAGAGACAACACAATTGAAAAGAAGAGAAGAGAATACCCCAGTAACATAAAAGAATTATAAAGAAAAGAAAACAATACCCTTGTAACAGAGAAGAAGAAAGGCAGTGCAAGACAACATTGAAGAAGACAGAGACCAACAGTAAAATCAAAGAAAGAGATTGGGCTTAAGAGGGGAGAAGAACACAGGTTGAGCATAGATAGAGCGCGAGAGGCCGATACCACAAAGAGAGAGAGTTCAAAGGGACTAACGATAGTGAAGCAAAGGGACTAACGACAGTGAAGCACAGCAGGACAGAGACAAAGGCCGACTAGGATAAGGCTTGGCGAGCGAGGCTCAATCTTCAATAGAGAGCATAAGAAGGAGAAATGGCTCAATCATCAACAGAGAGCTAGACACGGAGAGAGTGAAAGATAAAAGCTCATCAATGAGCAGAGAGCTTGACAGGGAGCGTTGAAAAATAAAAGGAAATGGCAGCGGCAGAGAGAAAGAAAAAAAAATTACTGATTATAGAAGGGGGGGGAAGATGGAGAACTATACATAAGCAAACACCCTTTCAGGCGAGGAGAGCCAACGACTCTCAATGTTGGCAAATGAAGGATCGCTAATTGGTGTTAGCCGTTAGCTCTGATACCATGTAGAAACTGATTTTCCCTTATATTATTCATATGATCATTATACAGTATATATAAAGTCTGTAGAGAATAATCTACAGTTACAACAAGTCATTATCACAAACATAAATATGGAGTTATGGCCTAATAACAACGTAACTGACAACTGACCATTTCCTATCATTAGTAGGATTAACTATTGTAACTAAAATACTATTGTAACTCCATAACATTTTTAACAATGAACTGAAGTAAAAGTGAATTGCAGAGAATGAAATACCTATAATCTTTGTTTGGGATTCCAAAAGGAATGGAGTCTATCTGATAATGAGACTGATTGGTTCCGGAACTAGTTCCTTGGGTGTTACCAAAGGCATTCAGTGGAAGGTTCTGGAAGCTCCCAGTTCCACTGCTGCTTGCAGTGACAGTCAATGATGTCACAGTGGACGATGACTGTGTCATGGTTTGTGATTCCACAGGCTTTCTTGAACGGTTGCGGCCACGGTGCATGTGGCGCTCACAGTACTTGGAGTCCGGGTATGCATCCTTGGAGCACCTCCACTTCTTTCCGTCAGTCCTTCTACAGCGTCCCGGTTCGGGGTCCACCTTCTTCCCGTAGAAGGAACAATAACCCACTGCAAAATTTATCCAGAATCTATTAAGTGATATGTTTACTTCTACTTCATCTTCAGCAAAACCACAATATTGACTGTCTTATGATGTATTATCAGCAACAAAGACAGAAGGAATATATATATCATAGAAAACAAGGAATATGTAATATGGAATTAGCCAAAAAGGAAAGTAGCGAATTTAGAAATTTCAAAACCAGAGGAACAACAAGAAGTGTTTGTTCCAATGCAGGATTTTTTTTTATTTTTTTTTATTTTTTTTGGTGGTAAATAAATAAAGGATGAACTTGAAAAACTAGTGTAAGAAAACGTGTAGAGTAAAGAAGCAAGGAAATTCCATTAAATATCAAAAGGTGACTCCTGAAATTAAATTGAACACATCCAGGCATAAGTCACAAATCCTAACCGCATTTCAAAGTCAAATAATTTCAGAGTCCAAAGGGCGAGGCGATTCCCTGTCTATTCATTTGGAGTGAAAAGAAATATAAGATCCCTGGTTGATTGAACCATAGAGAAAAACACTAGTACAAATAGTTTTAAAACGCATTTAACAAGTATTACACAACTTCATAATGGGCATTTACAATCCCCCCAAAAGAAGAAAAGAAAGAGGTGCTTCTCAAAATAAATATAAACAAAAAAGTATAAACATATATATCCCTGGTTTCTTATTTGAAGAACTGGAAAAGCCAAAAAGAAACACCGAGGAAGAAAACATATTTTCTTCAGATCAAATCGTTTAATCTGAAGAGTAAAAAAATAATCATAAATTAAAAATGAGAGAGAGAGAGAGAGAGAGAGAGAGAGAGAGAGAGCGAGCTAGGCTTACTGGTAGGATGGTGGAAGAATCTTTGAGAAATGGACTCAAAACTCTTCTGAATAGGAAGCACGAGATCAGGAGGCACGGGCATGCCTGCCATCATATACTTGAAGATCAGAGCCTGATGCTCCAGCTCTTGCCACTGAGACACTGTGAAAGGTGACCTCATCCCCGTCATCCCAGCAGCCCCACCTCCACCTCCACCTCCACCTCCAGTAGCACAAGTATTCATCTTCGCAACCCCCAACCAACAACTATTCACCTCCAGCTCCAGGACCCAGGCAGGAGGAGCTCAAACATTACCGACGACGAGGACGACAGAGAAAAACATGGGACACACTAGATCAGCCTCAGTTTCGACTCGAGCATGTTGATGTTGGGTTACTCACTCTCGCTGTCTTCTGTTCTGTGCGTTTGTGTTGAGAAAGGGGGGCAGCGTCTGTGACTGTGACTGTGACTCTGTGGAAGGAACAACCCCAGGGACTAAGCTCTGGTCTAATTTTATTGGGGGAGGGAGGGAGGCTTGTTAATATTAAGTTTGCTTATTGTTATTTTTTATTATTATTGGGGTAAGTTTAGTTATTATTAAGTAAAGTCTACAGCTTCATTACAATTACAAGGCGGACATGGTGGTGGTGTCCCAACTCCACTCTCAACTCTCAACTCTCAAGTAGGTAGGCTTGTCTACTTGCCGAAAAGTTGTGTCTGAGTGCGAGTGCGAGTGCGAGTGCGAGTGCGAGAAATGTGTTCCCCAATGCTGTTCCACTCGAGAAATTGTAGAATGTTATTAGAGTATGGTTGGTATAGTTTGTAAACGTGTAATAATATGAGTTGATGATATAATTTGATATATACCCTATAATTATAGTCACGTGAACAAATTATATCACGTAATTATACTACTGTATTACACTACATTTCCTCATTCCAATCAATTTTGAGCGAGTGTAAATTTGTACACCACATTGAAATTTTCCTATGTATTTTTTCCTTTTATGGTGACCACGTTTTCCTATATTATGTATGTGTTTGGAATAATGTATTTGAAGGGGCTTGGTCCCATCACAAAGTTCAGTAGTTTGTCCAAGAAAACAAAGTTCAATAGTTCAGTAGAGTGATTATAGAATATAGCAAGACATGAGGTGGTTTAATTCTGACTTCAATCCTTCTGTTCGCCAGGACCCATTTGGTATCCTACTTTGATTCAATTTTTCAAATACAAAAACAAGTTTTGAGTCCAAAATATATAATTCACATTTGGTAAAAACTAATTTCTCAAAAACTCAACCCTAAAACAACTAAAAAATACTCATTTTTAAAAAACTAAAAATAGTGAGGTTTTGCAATTTTTTTTCTCTCTCTCTCCTCCCTCCCTCCCTCCATGCTCTCTCTTATTTCTCCTCCCTCTCTCCGCGCCCTCTCTCTCTCTCTCTCTCTCTCTCTCTCTCTCTCTCTCTCTCTCCTTTTCCTTTGTCACTTTCAATTTGAGAATTTAGGGATTTTAATTTCAATTTTTTTAGATCTTAAAAATAGTTTGGACTTTAATACCAAACAAGTTTTTAGATCTTAAAATCAATATATAAAACTCATGTTAAAAAAATAATAATAATAAAATTTGAGTTTTTTTTTAATAGATATGATGCATTGCTATCTAGAAAACTGTACCAGGTTTCATTTATGCAATAAGTGGCATCTCATGTTAACTTGTAAAAAAATAATTTTATTAGATGGTTGTATCATGCATCACTTGCCATGTTATAAGATATTCAAATATAATCTCTCTATGTTTAACAAAAAAATATATAATCTCTCTATCGTTAGCATATGAATTCTGTTAGTAAAAACGACAAGTAAATTAAATGATTTAAACAACCAACTATTTTTTACAATTATTTACACACTCAACATCTCCTCTCTCTCGTCACCATTCCTTTCATTCCTTTCCCTATTCCTTAAAAATCAATATTTATGAATTTTGTTTCTTTCCATCCCTATCTCTATATATAGTCCGTGTATTTATACCTCATAATCTCCTCTCCACCCTCTGTTAAGATTTTTATCTAGTTACAACAGTTGTTTTTAATTAAATAAATTGACTATCCTATTGTGTAGGAAGTCATGTTGCACGTTGTTTTGTTTACCAAGTCTTTAGGAGTCTCCCAGTAGTTGAGTAGTTTGTTAGTAGTGTCAGTAATGGATTAATTTAGTAAGAGTCATGTCATTGAATTTAGCATAGTATGGTGATGTAACGTTCTATTTAAGTTCAACTTTATCAATATACAAATTACGCTTTCCAGCACCTCTTCTCACCTGTGTTTGGATTTTGAGTTTAACTCTACACCCTCCTCATGTCAGTTGTTCCTCTTCTTTATCAGTCAACATTGTTTTCATATATGTTTTTGTTGATGCCTAAATTTGATCTCAATAGCAAAATGACTTATGGAAATAGATGTTTGACAATTTGTCTAAACTTAGTCAACGTGACCAACCAAGTCGTCATAAAAAACATACAAAAGGGAAGGCTAACGGGGAATCTTGGTGTGATGTCGATCAAAATCCCTATGATGTTTAAGTCAGTCAAGTGTTTGAAGGTAAATTATACAAGATATTAGAGCATCTCCACAGGGCTAAGTCTAGGAAAAGGGCAAGCAAGGGCTGCTACTATTCATGTGAATAGTGTCAGCCTTGCCATTTATGATTTCACCCATGAGAGCTAAGTCTAGGGCAAGTATAAGGCAAATACTATTCATTGTACTTTATTTCCTATTTTTTTATACTTTAAACCATTAATTTTGATAATCTTTTGTAATTAAATTTTCAGATAAGATTTTTGGTTGTTACGTGTCCATTATTTTTCAGAAAATATTTTCGAATGAGAATCTCGGTTGCCACGTGTCTTATTCCAGATAAAATTTTCTGATATTCATTAAAAAAAATTATAATATTAGATTTCAGATAAGATTTTCACCCTCTAAAATTGTGCCACATGTCCCATGTCAGATAAGATTTTCAGATATTTAAAAAAAATTATAATCTCATATTTCAGATAAGATTTTCACCCTATAAAATTGTGCAACGTGTCATCTCTATATTCTAAATCCCTCTACAAAACTATACCATCAACTCATACTTTTCACACCATCTCTTATCTATTCCTTCATTTATCAGATTTTACAAAACATTTTCTACTCTCAATGTCAAACTTGAGGAGAGTGTTGGAGAGGCATCAGAAAGAAATGGAAGAAATTCGACGTAGACGTGCTGAAGAAGATCGGGACGCTGATGAAGAAGAGGAACAAATGCTTGCAGCAGCAATCATGACTAACGTTCACCCAAGACTGACACAACGCAATATCTTCCTGAGTTGCCCACAAGCCTCCGGCTTCGACAGAAGATGCTATTTGTTTTTATTTTTTATTTTTATACAAATGGAAAGTAGTAGAAAAATGTGAGTGGAGAGTAAAAAATATTGGAAGGAGAAGAGTTTTTATGGAGAATTGGTGTGGAAAGTGAATAATGTGAGTGGAGAGTAAAAATAGGGAGTTTCACTAAAACACCCAAAATGGGGGTTGAAATTATAAAAAAACCCAAGCACTATTTAAACATATAAACACACCCAAAACCCATCATTACACACACTCAAAACCCATTTATAAACACACCCAAAAAGTTGACTTTGGGGTTGATTTTGGGTGTGTTTTTATGTTTAAATAGTGCTTGGGTTTTTTTATAAATACTTGTCTAGGATTGGGTTTATTTATAAATTTGTATAAAAAATATTGGATGGAGAAGAAATTGTATGAAGATTTGGTGTGGAAAGTAAATAAAATGGTTAGGTATTTATAGGGAAAAAATATATAATTTTTGGTTTTTTTTTATAAAAAAAATTCAGAATGTTTTCGATTTTTTTTGCAATGACCGTCGAATTTCTGGAAAAAACCGATCGAAGAGGCCCGGTTGTGACACGTGTCAAATGCCCGTTGGAGTCTATCAAGGGCGACGTCAGCGCGTGGAAGTCAAATTTTTTTACCGTTGGCGCGTGTAATTCACACGCCAACGATAACAAAAATTGGAATTATCGTGAGCTGACGTCACTGCTCTCGGGCTGAAGCCCAGGCGAGACTTGCCCTTGGGCCTGCCCGGGTTGGTGGGACCCAGCGATTGCCCGGGCTCATTCTTGCGCGCTGGAGCTCATTGGGCTTGTGAGGGTAGCCTTTTGCTTGGTTTTGGATAGAGCGCTGGACTTGCTCTTATGGTGCTTAGAATTGCATAGATTGAAGAGGAGTCATGTAGCCTTTAGATAGTAGTTTGAGATGACCTAATCATCTAGGAGTAGGATTATAGGATGACCTCATCCTAATTTTTAATAGACACGAAATGACCTAGCCTTCATAGGACTAGGACTCTTTTTAGGTATATCGACCAAAAAAAAGAGAGACTCCTTTTGGTTGGATCACGGTTTTGAGTATATAGACTAATTTATCGGCTTATCACTTCAATAGATAGAAAATCAATTTATCGCGAGATTGTGATTCTTTTATTTTCCCGCCAAAAGAAAGAGAGTCGGACATCCCAGCATTAAAAAAAAGTAGAGTGTAGAAATACCGCCAATTGGGCGGGGTAGGAAGGAAACCCTAAAATTGGCTAATTCTGTAGAGTGTAGAAGAGAAAAGAGCATTAATGGCGCATTCATCTGCAAGTGCGGGTGATTCACCACCTCCCTCAAGCACCGATACAACCCAAAACAACCTCCAGGTCCCTTGCGTTCCTATTTTCCGTTCTTGTGCTTCGATTTCTATATCTTGTAATTTTTGTTTAATATTGGTCTGTGGTTGGGGCTTCCTCTCTAATTTGTAATTTGATTTATAAACAGCATTTTTTTGTTCTTCACAAAGCATCTGAAAAGTTAACTTGTAATGGGAAAGCCCGAAAGAGGCTTGATCTAAGCCCAACAAAGCTTAAGCCTGAGAAGAAGGAATGGGATGAGCGCTGCTTGCGAATGGAAGCTTTTCAGTTGGTTTGGTCTGGAATTGACTCCACTATCAAGGACGTTCTGAGGAATATGAATGCTCGTGTATTTAATGACATACACAGCTGGGTACGGGACTCCTTCAATACGAATGCTATCAAACCATTTCCGCCACCTTCTCCCATTGTCACCCACCAGCTCTTCACTGCGCTCCTTCTCACCAGTATGGTCTCCAACATCTATTGTTCAAATTGAGTTGAGTGAGTTGATAATGTTAGTCGTCATCAATGATCTAACTTGATTGAATCGTTACTGGCAGAGAATATGGAGTTTGTTGATGATTTCTTGACATTTCAAGAGCTTGGCCTCTTCTTGAAATCTCATGGATGCCATGTGGCTAACCTTTCCTCCTTCGACTTTTCTCCCAAGAATGGCATTGCTGGTTGTCTCACAAGTTTATTGAGACAGTTTTTGATGCGGACTTTTGATGTATTTACATTTCCTTGTTCCTTCAGTTAAAATTTCAGAAGAATCGTATTCTTATTCAATTTCTTAGAATTCCATTATTGCTTCTAATTCTGCTTTGCCTTTTTATGCAGGCAGCTGATATGTCCATATTGGCATCATGGTACAGCCAGCAGGGAAACTATGGTTCTCCAGTGGTTGTCATTATAAACGATATGGAACGATGTTGTGGTCCTGTCTTGTCTGATTTGATTCTTATGTTGAGGTATTCTAACCCCAACCCTCATATGTGGCTTAGACAACAAGTTTCCAGGTCTTTTCACACACACACACTCTCTCTCTCTCTCTCTCTCTCTCTCTCTCTCTCTCAGAGTACAAGATTATGCTTACCTGCGCTTGTAACTTGCTCCCTTGTTTCTATCAGTGAATGGATTGTCAAGATCCCAGTCATTTTAATCATGGGAGTTGCAACAACATTGGATGCCCCAAGTAACATACTTCCTTCAAATGTGCTCAAGAAGTTGCGCCCTTGCAAGTTCACATTGGGATCACCGGCTGAGAGGATGGATGCAGTTGTTGAGGCTGCTCTTGTGAGGCAGTGTTCTGGTTTCGCTGTTGGTCAAAAGGTGGCTATTTTTCTGCGAAACTACTTCTTAAATCAGGATGGTACATTGACATCTTTTTTTAGAGCTTTGAAGGTTGGTAATTAAGTTGTTTTCAGATTTTATGAACACATTGTCAATGTTCTCTACACTATGTTGCATTTCCTCTCATGTTTTCCTGCCAGCATGACTAGATCCCTGCTGATGTTACAGAGTGTTTTTCAGATAGCATGTGTCCAACATTTCTCCACGGAGCCTTTAAGCTTCATGCTTGGACAGTTGCTTGCTAAAGAAGACAGCAAGGTAGCATCCATGAACTTTATCTGTCCTCTTTGTGGCTATCATGTTTACAATGCCATAGGTAGATTGCATTCAAGTCAAGGTGCATAACTCATGCCCAAATTTATATTCACATTCATCTTCTGCTATCTTTTGTTCAGATTTTTCATTTAATAAAATAGAAAATGATTTTCCTTTTTGTCGTCTACTGAACTGTAACAAAGTCGTTAGTTGGCAACTGATCCTCCACCCACCCCCGCGGTCCCCTTTTTGGATTTGCCACGAAAATTATTTTGACGCAGAACATTCAGTTTATGCCTTGATGTATATACGTGCAATCAGATATAAAGCAACAATAATAACTTTGTCAATTATAACTCCCTGTTTGCTTTTTTTAATTTTTTTTGCTAATATATGCATCCTTGATAAGCCTTCTCCTACCTGCCCCCACCCAATCCCTAGCAGTGTTTGTCATAATTTACTAAGATGTTATTTGACCATTGAAGGGATTTCAGAGTGAGAAAGTGGTTAAGGGGGCATCCGAAATTTTACTTCATGCAAGGTAATCGTAAAGGTCAACGATATTTACTCATTTTGTTTAAAGGATGAGTTTAAATTTTTTTAATAAAAATAAAATATGATGACATCTTTTGGAAAATCTGTCATCAGGGATCAAATGGCTGAACAAACTGATATCCCTATAGCTCATTGTTTGACAGAGTTGAAGAGATTGCAGATGGTCTGGAGCTCTATTGTTCTGGTGACTGCTTTCATTTTCTTATACAGATGTTAATTATTAGTGAAAGAACACAATTTAACTTTTTTCGTCTTCTTTTTATGTTTTTAAGGCCTTGTACCTTTATTGTTTCATATCATCAAATTGGCCTTTCCGCATCTTGACACACAAGTGTTTTGCAGTGCTTATATGAAGCTGGGAAGTGTGGCAAAATTCAATTGTTAGACTTATTTTGTGAGACACTTGATCCAGATATTTACACCTCATTGGCTTCTGATAATCCCACTGGAATTGGAGAAAGTTTGGCTACATCTTTGTCAAGTGATCGCTATATGCTTGAACAAGATTTGAGCTTCCAGAAGGGACAAACTATTTGTCAGGTAGTACGCAAAGTTAGGTAAGTAATGAGTTTCAAAGAATGCAGATGGATTGAAGTGGTGTGATGTTTTAAGGTAGTCTTAGGGACAGAGTTCGTGGAACCAATCAAGGCCATCTCCTTATAGAACTCTGGTTTGTGAGGACGTCAACTAATGAAAGAAGGATGAAGCAGCGACCAACTAAAATAGAAATTTCTGATAGAAAAATTAGACACCTCTCTCAGTCCCAGTCTCGAACTCGTTCAAGTTATTGGCTCGTCAGAAAATAAAGAAACTCATGTCAGGGTTTAGGGTTTAGTGGGGAAACAAGAAAAAAATACAATGATACAGCATTACCTTACCTTCAACATGATACAGACTCTGGTCTGGGTTCGTTCTCCGAGCCCTGCCTCTACCCTCCCCCTCTCCTCATCCTACCATCCAACCTGCTGAGACTTATTTCCTCTCAACTATAGTTTTGCACACATGGTTTAGTTCTTATGTTTTCTAGTGTAGTTCTGATTTTAATAATTAATTTTATATTTATTCTTATCCAAGCTACTTAGAGTCAATTTAGATGAGCAACACTTTTGATGTTCCATGTTTTTCTAGATATCATTTAAAATTTATTTTTTCCATTTATGTTCATAGAAATACTAAAACAAGAAGTTCTGCTCATTAGTTAACTTAAATTTCTCTGCTTCGCCCATAAACTGTTTTCCGAACTGTCTAAACTTTGAAATTGACCAGGGATCTTCCTGCAGCATTGCTCTGTCAGTTGCTCAAAAGTTGGGAAGTTCTCACCGTGGATGTTCCTGAGGTATGACCGCATTTTAGCCTCAGGGTTTGCTGAAATTTTAATACGAATTTTGTTGTGTTTTGCTGTTATTTATATAATATCCTTTTAAATACTTTACTTTTTCATTTCTGTAATTGGAGATTATCCCTGTTAGTTGAGTGGGCATGAATACTTTTCTTTACTAGATTTTGCTTTAGCATATGGGTAAGCCTTTTCAATCTAAAATTTGCAATAGGGTCTTTTTGTTGTCACACATTTTAGTGTTATGCAAATACAGTTTTTTTACAAAATTAAAGACATGAGTTTCTTTATTTTCTTATGAGCTTTTGATAGATTTCTGTAATGACTAGTGAGCTTGTGGATGATCTCTAATCAATTGGTAGCCCAAATTTGTAGGACCTGGTCCTTGTTTTTGTTGTTTCCATGGCCTAAGTGATGGTTAGATATCTTTGGGTTGCATGTGTGGTTTGATGAGTACTGTAGCTTGACAAGAGCTATGTTGATGCTGTGCCTTTAGGAGAACAGAAGGAATTGAAATTTTGTAACTAAACCTGAATTATCAACAGGACTCCTTAAGGAAAATATTCTTTCTTTTATCAGTGAACACCAATCAAACAATTGAATATGCACAGAAGATAATTTGGAATTCTGATGTACATCTCATCATTTGTCTTTTCCTTAATTCAATATATATTTTGTGCCTAAACCCTTTTAAAGTATTCAATGGTCTATATATGATGTACCCTGTGTGCCTTATAGATGCTAAGCTTTGTTGTAATTTTGTTACCTTATCATCTAGCTGTTACTTTGACATGTTTTAAGCAGTGATAGTAGTTGATTACTAAGTCCGTATAATATCAGTTGAGTGATCATCAGTTATGTGCTTGGAATAGATTCACGACAAGGTAAAGGAGTTGCAGGCCTTGTTGAAATTTGAGGGAGGAAGTTGTAAACCGGATTTTACAGACATATCCAGGTAATATCTTTCTCTCTCTCTCTCTCTCTCTCTCTCTCTCTCTCTCTCTCTCTCTCAATAGCTTTGACCCACCCATGTTATATTTTATATTTTAAACTTGGTGGATCTCAGTTTCTAGTGGCTTGGTTTTGACACTGTTCATATGACAGGAGACATACATCTCACAGTCCCTTAAAAATTGGGAAGTCACAATCAATAAATGGAAAAGCTGCTATACTAGTTGATTGCATGGTTAGGTAACTACTATAATTTTGCCATTGCCTTCTTTCAAAACTTAGTGCTTATTTTATGATCAGCATTGGAACAAAAGTCCATACTCTTGACTCAATGGATAAACTCTTCTGCATAACTTGTCTCAATCTTAAGCTATCCTGGGCAAATATTTTGAAGTTATATTGCCAATTGGCTTTGCTTATACTACGCGTTCATATGAAGTGACTTGGAAGTTGAGGCTAGACAAAAGCTTCAGAAGATTATTTCACAAGTTCTGAGCTAATTGTTGTATGGAACCAAAATGCTTTGGTTTTAACAATTGTTTTTCAACCACAGCAATTTGTTTTGTTTAAAAGATTAAAAAAAATTGCAGAGGTGTTGAAGATCTGAAAATTTCTTCCCCTTTTTCCCAAATTTAGCTCAAGCATATAATTTGTCTAGATCTGAAATTTGAAGACAACTCACACAACTTAAAAAGAAAATGGAAATGATGGTTCTATTCTTTTAGGATGGGGTCAGCAGGCAAGGTTATTTTCCTTATTTAATTTAATAATTCTAAAAGTGGGTCTTTAAGTCTACATATTAATCAGTAACAACATAATTAGTAATGAAATGCTTCTTTTTACAGCAAAGAATTTTGTGAATTTTACTTTTCCTCATGAAAGATTTAGAATGAACAACTTCTCATGCATCCTTGAAGTATTGAGTCTATTGACTTCTCTGTTCGCAGTGATAAGGTTTTGGCAAACACACATGACTCCTTTTGTGTAAGATCACCTTCACGCAAATGAAATGGAGTTTCTTAACACCTATTATCTCGTATGATTTTACAGCTTAATATGGTTATTGAAAAGCATCCTGGGTTAATATCTTTTCCTTTTTATATTTTATATTTATTTCTCCATGACAGGTATTTCATGAGGCCGATTGAGTGCATACAATGTCACGAAATTGTTTGCTTTAGAAATGTTGAAAAACTTCAATCGGTAAGCATTGCAATGGCTGCTCTGACTAATTTACATATACCAGCAACTTATCATGAAATCTGCATAGGATTTTATTATTACCTCTAATTAATCACGGAAACTCTTGGATGTTTGATATTTAATGTTTTGACAGGCTACTTTTATCAGATTAGTTGATTAGCATGCCCGCCACTTATGAAAGTTTTGTAACTGAATCCTGAAACTCAATAAATCTCCTTTCAGTTCTTAACTTCACACTTATTTCAGGCTTTGATTGGAGATTCAAGAAAGAGGATTCAAGTGGATCTTTTGGAGTTCCATAAAATCCTACGATGCAGTTGCTGCAGCAGGAGTGGCAACATTCCATTGTCATCCATGCCCGATACCTCAATTGTGTGAGTATAACCGTAGCTATAATATTGAAATTGTTTAACGCTGAAGGAGGCTAATAGAAGTCCCAATTCAAGTTTTCACTGTACTTTCTTAAAACTGATGGTAAGATGCGTTGGCTTTCTATTCAATTACTTAGTGGTCTAGACTTGGAGGGATTTTGCCTTCATTATCAGACGCAAAATCAGATTGTCTACTGGTTTCATATCATTGTGTTTTTGGAGATCTTTCATTTTTTTCCCATTCCTGTTTGGAGGTTAAAATATATTTTCTTCCGAAAGTTTCTTTTCTAACAAAGAATAACTTATTATCTCTGGGTAATATTTTTTTCGAATTGCCTTGTGGATGATCAAGAGACCAAATATTAGATAATAGATAAAATTTTGGTTATCCATTACCAGTAAGGGCGTACAATACAAGATAGGTTTAAATCATAAGATCGGTAGCTGGTAGTTGATCATAATTCCAATGTGATATACCAATGTGGCTTAAAACACTGGACATGAGTAATTTGCTTCATTCTAGCTGTCTACTTCTGATCATAGTTCGAAGTCTGCAGTGGCCGCTACTTTAAGGTTGAGTTTATTACGTTAATTTTGTCTTGTAGGTATACCTTGGCTCAAGAGCATGGCGATCTTATCAATCTTCATGACTGGTTCCAGTCTTTCAAAACAATTGCCAGTCAGCCCAGTAGGAAAGGGGAGTGCAAGTTGAAGCAGTCCCCACTACCGAAAAGACGAAAGGACGTGAATGAATCTGAAAACAAGAGCGAAGCATCTATTCAGTATCCTTTTGTTTTTTCATACTGCACAGTGCACATCTTCGTTTTCTGTGAGTTGACCATCTTCCCAAGTTGCATGCAAAGATCAAATTACTAGTTACAAACCAAGTTTCGAGTCAGAGAATTGATGAAGTCCCCGTGGTTTTGCTGTGTTATAGGTGCATATCGTGCATTACATCTGCCTGCATCAAGCATTGTGTTTTCCTTCTTGTTTTTCCCCCATTGAATTACTGCCCAAAATTAAAAAGTCGGATGTGCATCAAGATCATTAACTTTGCTTTTCTTTTTTCCTTTTTTGTTGGATCCTTAACTTTGCTTTTCACAGAGCCCGATTTTGCAGGGCAATTACCGAACTACAAATTACAGGCCTCATTCGGATGCCCAGCAAAAAACGTCGTGACTCTGTGCAGAGAGTGGCCTTTGGCCTGTGACAAGTTATATAAGTTTGGTTGGCTCATAATTTTCCCCTTAATTAATACTTTCGGTTACTAATGTTATAATTAAATATGAGGTTGGTAATGGGTTCAAATATGCTTTCATATGTTTTGAGACCTAAAAGAGTTGAGATATGCGGCATCCAAGAGAGGGCCCATCGTTTTGATGTTGGTAAGATGACACATGATTGAGTGACCACATGAAAAAGAAATGTGCATATGAAGGAGTGAAGTAGGCTACAATATAGTTTTCAATTTCCTCTTTCTTTAGTATATCTTGTGCTAAACAGAAAGGTAAGCAAAGGCAAAACAAGGAGAAATTAATATGACCAAACCAATTACCATATAACTGCCACTGGGTGGTTTGGTTTGGTATTTTAACTAAAATTACGGATGAAAACGAATCAAACAAACCATTGTTGTGTGGTTTAGTTTAGCAGTTTGGATCTAACCTCAACAATCCTGTTCATTTTTTTCTTTTTCTATTTAGTTTGCCCAACTCTAGAACCAGCTAACGTATTTTCCATTTTACAATATAAAATCACCTTTTTCTAATTTCTAAATCTCTAACATACTAAAATTCATCATTCCATCAAAATAACAAACTAATAATTTAATGATATCATTAATTAGTTGCAATCCAACATTTGCATGTAGGCACGTATAGAATTTGAGACCATGTAATTTTAGTTATTGCAATCCGAAAATTGCAAATAAATACAAATTAAAAAATAAAATAATAAATAGATAGTTTAATTCGGTTTGGTTTATAGCGGTTTATAGATAACCAAATCGACCAAACCAAACCAATACCTTTTAGTTTGATTTTGGGGTTAATGACCTAAATGGCCCCCCAACTATCGCTCGATTATCATTTTGGTCCATCAAATAAAATTTTCAATTCAAACGTTCTTAAACTTTTTATATTGTACCAAAATCGTCATTCCGTGACAGATTCTGTCATTTTCGATCACGCGATGGCCACGTGATTGAGTTTTGAAGGGTATATGTGACTTTTTGAGAAGCCCTATTGCTCAGAACCAAAATCCCTCCAAAATACGTCCACTTTTTGAGAAGCCCTCTCATTTCTCGCGAAAACCATTAAGTGAAAGGGATTCTAATGCGAGTTGCTAAATTGGTCGATGCTGTAGTAGTGTGAGAGTCGCTGAATTGGTGAAGTTAATGTCCATGGTCCCTTGGTTGTGGTTCCTGTATGTTGAATATGGTGTTTTTTTTAAACGGTTGTGGTCCTTGGTTGTCTGGTTCACACCCAACTTAGTAATTGTTGCCCTTGTCATCGTTAGCATTAACAACAAAACTATGACTTTAGAATAACATATTGTTGTTTCAATTTTGCAGCTAACAATGGAATGTGCACTATAGAATTACATCATGGGGGCTGGTTTGAAAATGGTGCTTATAAGAAGGGTAAGGTCTGTTATGTGGATATTATAAAGGATTTTCTGTCCTTGTTAGATTTACTGAAAATTGGGAGAGGTCTTGGGTATGAGGTTGACATTTCTCTAGTTTAGCAATGTTTGGAAATTAGGTGTAAAAATTTTGATGGTGGATTGGAGCTTGTTACATCGGATGCTACAGTGGTTGAAATGATTGGTCACATACCATCCAATAAGGTTATTGTGTTATACTATAGTGAGATTGAAGACTATGAGTATGATGCAGATGCAGAGAATTGTAATGGGGATTTGACTCAGAATTACCAAGTGAATGGGGTGGATTATATTAAAGTTGAAGATGAGGAGACTTTTGAGAATGTTGGGACAAAAGTGGCAAATGAAGATGCTGTCAAAGAGGTACCAAATGAAGATGTAGGGGCAGAATTACCAAATGAAAATATAGGGGCACATTTCACAATTGATAATGAATGGGCAGAATTGCCAAATGAGGATATAGGGGCACATGTGACAATTGATAATAAAGGGGCAGAATTGCCAAATGAAGATGAAGATGAAGATGCAGATTCAGAAATTAAAGACAGTGATTATGAGTTCAGTGAAAATGAGGCAGAGGATAGACCAACTGTTGGAGAGAATGCAGCAGATGAGGGGACTAGTCATGGTGCTCCAGGAGAAGTGTCATCATATGGTGCTGACACGTTAGAATTTGATAGTGGAAGTGAGACTGATTCTGAGGGTAATGGTAGAAAAAGATAAAACTGCCAAAGTTTAAGCAGTATAGAAGAGATGTGGATTTGAAAAATCCTGAGTTTAGATTGGGAATGAAGTTTGCAAACAAAAAACTTCTTATATAGGCTATTAAAGAGCTTGCAATTATAGAGGGGAGGGAAGTGAAATTGAAAAAAAAGACAACAAACGAGTTTAGGCTAAATGTGTGAAATGATGTTCTTTCCAGGTATATGGATCAAAGATTAATAGAGAGGAAGGGACATTTGCTATAAAAACTTTGAGCCTAGAACATCAGTGTGGAAGAGTGGACAAGCTTAGGCATACTACATCAAAATGGCTTTGTGACAGATATGCAAACAAGCTGAGGCGGAACTAAGACTTTGATATGAAATCATTTCAACAAGATGTATTGGAAGTTTACAAAATAAATGTCACCAAACTTTAAGTTTATAGGGCAAAGAGGCTAGCCAGAGATTTAAATGAAGGTACTTTCAAAGAACAATATGCTAGATTGTGGGATTATACAGAAGAATTGAAAACTGCAAACAAGGGTAGTACAGTGAAGATTAAAACTCAGATTGTGAATGGTGAGACAGTGTTTCAAATGATATATGTGTGTTTGGCTGCCTGTAAGAAGGGATTTTTAGAAGGTTGCAGACCTGTTATTGGTGTTGATGGCTGCAATTTGATAGGGCCTTATCCTGGACAGATCTTGATGGCTGTTGGGGTGGATGGGAACAATGGTATTTCCCAGTAGCTTATCCAGTGGTTGATATTGAGAGTAAAGACTCTTAGATTTGGTTTTTCAATCTTCTTATTGAAGATTTAGGGATTACAAATGGACAAGCTTAGGTAGTGAATAGTGACAAACAAAAAGGACTTCTACCTGCCATTGAGAAAGTACTTCCATCATCAGAGCACAGGATGTGTGTGAGACACTTGTACAGTAACTTTAGGGCATCACATATTGGTCTTGCTCTGAAACATATATTATGGGCTGCAACAAGAGCTACAACTGTGCCTTGGTGGGAGGCAGAAATGGAGAAGATGAAAAATGAGGATGAGGAAGCATGGAAGTGGTTGAAGAAGAGACCTGCAAAAAATTGGAGCAGATCTCACTTCGGATCACATTTTAAATGTGATCTTTTGTTGAATAATCTATGTGAAAGTTTCAATGCAGCCATACTAGATGCAAGGGATAAGACAATTTTGAGTTGCTTGGAGAGGATAAGGGTGTATATGATGCTTAGGATGGCTAGTAAGAGGTCTGCATGTCAGAATTGGAGATACTCTGTTGGGGCCTAGGATATTCAAGATAATTGAGAAGAACAAGCTAGGTTCATCACAATGCATTCCTAGATTGGCTAGTGAGAAATTGTATCAAGTGAGCCACATTTATGGTGGAGAATTTGTTGTAGACCTTAGAGCAAAGACATGCTCTTGTAGGAGGTGAAATTTATGTGGAATACCATGTCTCCATGCAATCTCAGCAATATTTCAAAGATGTGAAAACCTAATTGCTTATATGGATGATTGTTATAAGCTGGAGACTCATATAAAGGCTTATGAACCAGTGATTCACCCAATCCTTTCAATGGACCAATGGAGTAAATGTGGTCTTCCTCCAATTAAACCTCTACTTTATAAGCAACAACCGGGTAGGACTAAAAGAGTTAGGACAAAGGAGCCTGGTGAGGTTGAAATACCAGCCCTCATCCCACCAAACCATATGCCTCCAAATTATCTTGCCCCACCAGCCAAGCTTAGAAGGGTTTTCATTAGAATAAGATGTCGTGGACGCAGTCAAAAAGGCCATAATAGAGCAACATGTGACAGACAAAACAATGAAACCCAACAGGTATGACTGTGAGACACCTTGTTTAGTTCTATGTTATGACGTACTTACATTAATAATTTTGTTATACATTTGCAGGTTCATGCATCTTCAACCCAAATGGAGCAAGGTTCTTCTTCTAACACAGTAAAAGGGAGAGGCATAAGCAGAGGGAGAGGCATAAGTAGAGGAAGCGGAAATGTTGCTCAAGCTACTACTAACCCTAATTCTCTACAAAGTGTAAGCTTTGGTTGTTCTTGTGCTTTTAAATTGCAAAAGTCATTAGGAAGCTGAAATCATTTACTTTTTTTTTAGATGGAAAGAGGTAATAGAGAAAGAGGCAGAGGCATAAGTAGAGGAAGATGCAATGTTGTTCAAGCCCATGATTCACAAGAAAGTGTAAGCTTTATTTTCTCATTTTTTTCAATTTTTTATTGCTGATGTCATTGGAAAACAATAAAGATCAGTAACTTTTCCAGGTAACAAGAGGTAATGGACAAGGAGTCTTACCAGCTTCACATATTGGCTTAGCTCCAAAGCTAAGTGCAATTAGAGGAAGAGGCTTACCATCTTCACGATCAACTGTAGGTTTTTGTCATTTGGTTCATTTCTTACTCATTTCACTAATTGCCAATTTTTCAATTGTTTTACATATGACATTACTACATTGTTTAGGTGGCAAGAGGAAAGGGACAAGGAGGACTAGCTTTGGACAACATTTCCCATGATAATAACTTGGCCTCAATATAGGGGAAATTCTTGCTAAGGTTGTTCGATTTTGTGTATTTTGGGATATGTAATTTTCTGGCCAGAGGGATTTTGTGACAAAAGGGACTGATTCTGACTTTTGACTGTGTATTTGGTTTTGAGTTTGAAGGGCTAAAACTCAGTAATTGCTTGGCTATTTTAGGTTAGGTACTTTTTGGGCATGAGGATTTTGTGTAGTTTGTGTAATTGGTTTTGAGCTAGAACAACTCAAACTGTGTAATTGGTTGTCTATTTTGGCTTATGTACTTTAATAGGCAGGTGCATTTTGTAATTGGAATTCTGTAATTGGTCTAACTGGTCTTCAGTTTCATGGGCTCAAACTCTGTAATTGGAATTTGAATGTTTATATGGATGTTCTTTTGTAAAGGCTTATTTACTGTAGTGCCCCCTGAAACTTTGGTCAAATCTCACTTTACCCACTGAAAGCCCACTTTGCCCCATTGGCAGATGTTTTGCATCTCAATTTACCCCCCACCGTTAAGTCAGTCAAAAGCTCTGTTAAAAATGTCAACGTGGCATGAATGGGACCCACAATTTTTTTGAATTGGATAGGTGCCATAGTGTGAAAAAAAAAAAAAAAAAAAAAAAAAAAAAAAAAAAAAAAAAGAAAAAAACTTAAAAAATCAATTATTATTATTATAAAAGAAAAACAAAAGAAAAATTAACATGAAATTAAAAAACTAGCAGCACCGTCTTCTCCACACCACGTCACCCCTCCACCATCGCAACTAACAGATCTCCTCCCTCACCCCATCCCCTCCCTTTGTACCTAGTATCTATAAAAGGTGGTCTCATTCTAATAGGGAATTGCCTTAAAATATTGCCTAGACCATGATTATCCTTCATGATTGTTAGAGCATTTCCAGCAAGGGGCCTTAGGAAGGGCGGGGGGGTTGGGCAAGCCCAAAATGGTGTTTCCAGCAACAAAATTCTGCTAGGGCAAGGTGTGGGCCCTAGCAAAAAAAATCTGTCTGGGCTAGCTCTTGGGGAGGTTCAACCCGAGTAGAAAAACTCGTTCACGACGACGTCAACGCTGATGTTTAAAATTTTTTAACTTTGGTTTGGCGCGTACAACGCACGCGCCAACCTTAAAAAAAAATTGACGCGTGCAACTGCCCTAGGGCTCCCCTTGCCATGGTAAGGGGCTAACTGGTGGAAGTGCTCTTATGATTTTGATGATGATGGTGTAAAAGGTTGGCTGGACTTTCAAGGCAGAGGGGAGAAGAAGGGCCTCCATCCCAACGCCCTCCTACCCCAAGCCATCCCTTATTTCTCTCCAGATCCGACAAGCCTGAAACTCCAGATTCGCTGAGGATTCAACCCAACTGCCATCCCAGATCTGTCACAGACTCAACCTATCCGCAATACTAGATCCAACCCTTGAAGACCAAGGCCATGCCACTGTCTTCGTCACCAAGCGTTTTGCCCCTTGTAACCCGAAACCCCATCCTCACCACAAATCTATGCGTTGTTCTTTATTTTTTTATTTTTACTTTTATTTTTATTTTTGCTATGGGAATGGCTTGTGGTGGGTTTGGGTGACGATGGATGATGATGAGTGGTGGTTGGTTGCAAAGGGAGGCGGAAGGATGATGGGGGCAATCATTTTTCCCATTGCGGTAACTTTCAAAAATATTGTTGATGGATTGACTGCGCAAAAAGTAATTGACTCTCCCCTGTTGACCCAAAAGATCAACACCAACCGCACCATCAAGGTCGATATCAATGGCAAGGGAGAACGACACAGTTTTTTTTTTTTTTTTTTTTTTTTTTTTTTCTTGGGGTAATTTTGTCTTCTTTAATTGATCATCAATTTCATTAATTGTTTTACTTGTAAGTTTGAAATTATTGTTAATACGTATTGCAGTTCTTGGTAAGTATGAAATTCGATTTTTAACTTTGTAAGCTTCAAAACCTAAACTCATAATAGTGTGGAGATAATCCGGCCGCTAATTAGCATTTGGTGAGGTTAATTTGCTGAAAAAACAAAGAGAAGGGGAAAGCTTTGGCTTTCTGTTCAAGCTGCCATTAATTCTGTTCCTAAAGGAAATCGTCATCCATGTTAGGAAAGGGGTGTACAGGTAATTCACCATCAATTAGAGCTTCTTTTGGAATTAATTAATAAGTTTTTTTTATTTTTAATGTATTACATTATCTAATGCATTATATGTTTTTTAAAAGAAAATCTTTTTTTAAAATTTTTTTTTCACACATGGCACCTACGTGGCATCCAATTTAACAAAATTATGGGTCCCATTCGTGCCACGTTGGCATTTTTAACAGAGTTTTTGATTGACTTGACGGTGGGAGGTAAAGTGAGATGCAAAACATCGGTCAAGGAGGCAAAGTGGGCCATTTTAACTTTCAGAGGGTAAAGTGAGATTTGACCAAATTTTCAAGGGATGCTATAGTAAATAAGCCTTTTGTAAATTGCATGTGTGGTCAACAATGGAATGACTTTTACTTTCTTGTACTCAATGGAGTGGCATCTCCCAGATATTCAAATAACCTCAATTCAAGAACATTTCAGAACACTAATGCACATTCAAGGGACACTAATGCACATTTCAAAACACTAATGCACATTTCAGAACCATTACATTCAAAAGGAACAAACCCCATAACAATTACAACTTCCCACTCATCAGAAATGTTATAAACAAACCCCAAGACAAAATGAAGGAAACCCACATTATCAATTGTCTTTGCCCATGACCCCATTCTAAAACCTTTTTTTCCTGAACCATTTCTTTCAATTTCTGCTGCAATTCTTTCTTTTTTGCGTCCACAGCTCTCAATTGTTCTTCCTTTGCTCTACCTTCCTATTCCATTGCTCTAAGTCTTCTAAGCAAACCAGGGACCACTTGTTTTCCTCTTGGACAAGTTTCATTATCCACCCACTTGAAATAATGCATACCTCTTCTGCTATTCTGGCAAATCAAATCTTACCCAATTTCAGACCTCATCAACCAATTACAAATGGAAAAGAACAACTTTTGCAACACAAATAATAACTTGCCCAATTTTTATCACAAGCATCGAACCTTCTTCCCGGGTTCAAATCTGTCCACGAAGTCCGACGAATTATCTTCGTCCCACAGGTTCAGTACCGACTCGTCCCACTTGATGTCGTTGACATCTCTGACGTTGAAATCTCCGACATTGCAAACCTAGGGTTCTAATTTGGGGGTTTTGGTAGAGCTTCTAACAGAAATGGGAGGGAATGCGATACTATAGTGGCCAAGTCGTTTTAGAAGAGGATACTCACCTAAAAATACGGTTTTGTCCCTCGATTTAACGGAATAATACACAAACTTTGACGGAAGGACGATTTTGGTACAATATAAAAAGTTTAAGGACATTTGAATTGAAAATTTTAGTCGATGTACCAAAATGATAATCAAGCGATAGTTGGGGGACCATTTAGGTCATTAACCCTTGATTTTGAAAACATCTAACTTTATGATTGGCGAAAATCAAACCAAGCTGCGCATAACTGTTTGAATCCACCAATTTTGACGATCTGCCGGTTTAATTCCCACCCTTTGTGAAAATGGGAAACGCGGGCAAAAGATGAAACAATTAATAACACTGGTTTGGTGATAAGTATTTATTGAAAAGAAAAAAAATTGTAGCATGAACCAACGGGGCAGCTCCCACATTTTTTAATTTTATTTTTTATACAAGCGGTGGTCTAAATTACAAAGGGAATGATGATTTTTCACACCACACTACCAAGGTGCCATGGACAGTGGCAGAGCCACATGGAGAGTCAACAAGGTCAAACAACTCCTTGGCAGTCATGGAAATATACATAGAGGTCCTAATTTGCAGGAGGTGCGACCCCTTAAGCTGCCCACCATCTGCTCAATGAAAGACCTAAAGAGGAAGAGGAGCTGCTCGCAGCTTCTTGTAATATATATTTTTTAAACTGCCTGGGCAGAGTTATGTTTCTTTTTATTTTATTTTTTTCCATTAATTCAAGTTCTTTTTAGGTAATAAATGAATTAAAATCATCATATACTTATTAGAGTATCAAAATTTTGAATTCATGTAGCAAACTATCAGGAAGTGTACCTGCTTTTGTCCCCTGAAATATCTATGTGAGCTGTTCTAGTATATACACAGTTTGGTATGGGAACTTTTAGTTAAAGGTTGTTCTGCTCGATTTATATTGTTGTTTTTGTTATGAACTATCTTTCTATTGTTTAGTGCCATGTTCATCTTTAAAAAAAATTAGAACTTTTATATGATGACCCCTTGACTTGAAGTCAGTGGCAGTTCTACAGTAAGGGCAGGGTAGGCAGCCTCCCCAATTTTATTTAAAAAAAAAAAAAAAAAAAAAAAACTATATATAAAGTAAAAGCAATAAGTAAAAAGTAATCCTACCCATCCCATGTAATGGTGTGAACCCATGCCTATCCAAACTTTAGAGCAACCCACGTGTTATATGGCCCAGTCAAACTTAAAAAAAGAAAAGGGGGGGAAGCAATATAAGTAAGCAGCCAATTCCCTTTTGGCTGTGCAATAGTCGACAATCCCAAATTATTATCTTTTGTAGTTTCTTCTTGAGTCTGGACATTATCTCTTGGTAGCATTTTCTCATATCTAAGGCCAATAAGTATTCTTCTATTGGCTTTTTCCTACAATAAATGTATGCATCTTAAGTTTTTTAATAGTTTAATTTAGTTTTAGATTTAAATAGTTTAGTTTTTCATTGCATTGCATTAATTAGTTTTTTTTGGTTTTTTTGTTTGTTTGTTAAGTTTTTACATATGATGGTAAATCTCATTACGCTCTCCTTGACCAGGTGTATTTTTTTATTTTTATGAATGAAATTCACTCATATCGTCGAGTTTTTAAGGTAAGTTTCGCCTATCTGACTTTTGAATCCTAGATCCGCCACTACTTGAAGTTATAATTCTGAATCCTCTACTGGTCATGGAACTTCAAATCCAAGACTACTGGTAATCAAAGTCCTTTTTCACTGGGTTATACCCCATTGGCATCCACACTTGTTTTTTATGAAAAGAAACAAACTCTTTTGTTTTTGTTTGTACTCGAGAGATGAAGCAAACTCCTTCCACCCTGTTCGGCAGGTGCACTTCCTTGTTTTGAAATTAAAAATCATATTCCTTTACTGGCAATTTACCGCATTATTATGATAGGGAACTGCTATTTTTTCCTTTAATCTACTATACTAAATTGCTTAATTTAAATATTTGGAATTTAGGCTACAATAATAAAGTGATTTTTAATAAAACAATATTCTAGATTACTCATAAAAATTTGAGTGCAAAGAGAACACACAGCTTTGGTCAACTAGTTTAACTCACATATGCTCGTTGGTAATTTTAGCTAAACTTGATTAATGAAATTAGGGTAGAAATTTATTGATTATCCATAAGAAATTCTCTTCAAATTATATTACTCTCTACAAATTTATGTTTTTCTGTGTAGAAAAAGAAGTCTCCTATTTCTATGGGAATTTTCAGAAAATTTTGTAGCTCCAAGTTCCCAATCCCGGAGATGAATGGGTGACGTGGCGTAAACCGTTTGTCGAAAGAAAAATAAAAATAAAATAGAAACCATAGATAATTACTTTTAGAAATAAATATGTAAAAGCCGCCATTTCAAAACCCTCACTAATAAGTCTGTAATCTGCATTTTCTTTTGTTGTGGTTCTAAAGAGGGAAAGCGAAAAAAGGGTTAAACGACCCAGTGACTCAGTCAGTTCTCTAATTTTTCGAATCGAATGAGCGAATATCAGAAACCCTAATGGCTACCATGAATGCACGAATCGCATAAGCGAGGTAGGTTTCTTTTGCTTCGAATGATAGTTATCTCTGTGCATATTTTTTTTCTTTCTTCAAATATAACCACTAATCTCTCTGCGTCCTCTTTGTAAAAAGAAAATAGAGAACCCTTGGGATTGTTTTATTGTACTCCACAGAAAATATATCTCTACCAGAACCCTTGGGATTTTTTTCAAAATTCCGGACGCCTGGCTGATAATGCTGGCTAATTTTAGCGTGTGGAAACCGTTTGAGGCTTAGGGTTTAGGTTTTAATGCCCAAGCCAAGGTCCTAGATAACGTCCAAAGTCCAAGACTTAAAACTTGAAACCTAAACTCTAAGCTCTAAACGGGTGCATTTTGACTATCATTATAGTCACGATCAATCGGTGTACGCATTTGGACGATCGGAGCCTCCAGTCATCTGGACTCTATATATATATATATATATATACACACACATATAATTCTACTTCCAGCCATCTTAGTAATTCTAATTGCTCCATGTCCAAATCTTGGAGCTTACTGTATTTTGATTTGTTTCGGTTGGTATTCATGCAGCAGTGATTTTATTTTTCTTGTGAAAATCGATTTATGTTCTCTTTCTTGATTCAGTTTGACCTAAGATGTCTTTCATATGGATAGGATGGACTTTTGGTGTATTGTTGATATAGGTCATTCTTGGATGATTCAGAATTTTTTCCTTCGACGTTACACTAGCTCTTAAAATGAAACCAAAAACAACTGCTGTACCCAGAGCTCAGAAGTCCAAACCTTTTCAGGGCGATGGACCTAATTGGCTTCTTATTGCTGGTGGTGCCTTGTTAAGTACACTGTCAATTCGTCTTGGTTACAAGCTGAAGCAAGCACTTGACACAAAGCACCAGGAGAATGCTAGTAATGGTTTGAATTGTCTTTTACTATGTATAACTTTATTTCTTCAAACTGCCTGCTTCTAACTTTTGACATTGTGATCAACTTTAGGAAGTGGAAAATCCTCTGACAGAAGGAAGTGCCGTGTGCACTCAAATGTTTATTCCTTTACACAACAAAGTGATGGCAGTTGCTTTAATTGCATGTCAGGTATGATTAATACTTCATATTTTCTCGAAAATTTCTGAGAGTTAAACCTGTTAGTTTCTGTTCAGGACTCAAAATTAGTTTTGGGCTGATGGTTGATCACCTTCATTGCCCCTTAGGGTGTTGGAGCTTGTATGATATATGATGACACGTACAACTATATTGAGAAAATAAGATAACGAGGAACTGAGTGTTCAGTTTTTGAAAGCTGCACCCTATTCTAACTTGGTTTTGTTGCAAATGACAGCAGTTGAATTTTCTCCAAAGAGCGAGACTGAAAAACTTAAAAAGTGTTCTAGATTTTGGCATGACCTAGAAGTTAATTATCTGTATGAGCAGTCTTATTGGGAAACAACTATCTGTATTAGGATTGATGCTAGTTGAGCTTGATTTGAATTGTATTATACTTGTCGCAATCTATTTGCTGTTTTCTCTTACTTTTACTAACATTAAACATAATGTAGTTAGTGATACCATTCACTAGATAATTTCCCAGATTCTTTTAGTAGTCTTATGTGGTCTTCTCATTCAAAGACCTCGTTGACCGGGAAGTTACCTTGGCCCATTACTTTCTTCCTCATTGCTTAGTTTCACTTCTTTGGAGTCTGGATGAGCCATAGCATGATAAAAAATTTGACAGTCCATTTTTTATGATGATAATCTCGTTGTTTCATATTTGTACTGGATTTGAAATAGGAACTGAGGCCATGATGGAGATGAAGTGCCTGCCCAATGGCCAGATGCTGAGTGAATCTGATGGAGCTCTGCCTCTAGTTACAGTTCCCACCCCTGAATTTAACAAGGAGAATGGCATTGTCTGGGCATCTTCTCCTGATCGCCTTGAGTTGCCTCCAAAGCCATTCCTCCACTATTCAAACTGCTCAGATTCTCCATGTGTTTCAGAGTCTGGCTCTGACATCTTCAGTAAGCGGGATGTAATACAAAAACTAAGGCACCAATTAAAGAGAAGAGATGACATGATACTAGAGATGCAGGATCAGATTGTAGAACTGCAGAATTCACTGAATGCTCAGCTGGCACATTCAACCCATCTGCAGTCACAACTTGATTCAGCAAACAGGGACTTTTTTGATTCTGAGAGAGAAATTCAAAGGCTTCGGAAGGCAATTGCAGATCACTGTGTGGGACATGCGAGCCCCAACGGCAAATCATCCCCAGTCACTATTTGGCAACCTGAAGCAACAAATGGTCATGCAAATGGGTATCTTGATGGGGAAAGCAATTTTGATGCAACCGAAAAAGGAAGAGGGGATGGGGAGAGGGTTGAGATGCTCAAGAGGGAAGTGGGAGAATTGAAGGAGGTGATAGAAGGAAAGGAGTACTTGCTGCAGAGCTACAAGGTGCAAAAATCAGAGCTCGCTTTGAAAATCAATGAGTTGCAGCAGAGACTGGATTCTCAACTCCCCAATATTTTGTAGGCACTTTTAGTTCATGTGTATTCTTTTGCTTGTTTTTTTTTCATCTTCTTTGTTTGAGGCTTCCTGCTCAGAAGCTTCGTTTTCCTCCTTCCTCTCCTTACCATACCTAGTTTAGCTTTATTTCTTGATGATAAAGTCTTTGGTGATGTAATGCAACTCGGGATGAATATGAGAGTTGGTGTTTGGGTAGGGCCATTTTCTCGGGGTGTACTGGAAGTTACTTTTTCAAGCAAATGTTTGAATTGCAGCGTGAAAACATTGTTATAGCATTTTGATTTTGGACTGATAAGCGAATCCTGCGAACAACTGGAGAGAAATCCAAGTTCAGACTTTAAACCCCCACTGATGGAAGGAAAACTGAATATGGATAAAGTAATTATTTTTTTAAAGTCAATAATAATAGGAGGTAATGCTAGGGAGACCAACTTTTTTGTACCACAATTGCATACCATCTGATCATTTAAAGCACAAAAAAGATGGTATACAATTGTGGTACAAAAAAGATGTTCTCTCTAACATTACCCATAATAATAACCGTTCTTCATGCTTGGAGGGACTATAAGCCTCTGATTCTTCTGACTCAAGGCCACACAATTCCAGATTTCAATGGCAGTGTACAAGTAAATTCGTAAGCTTAACCAATATACAGAACAGTAAGAAATGATCAAAATATAAAAACTTGAATCTCTCAAAGGAGAACCTCTTGTACCCACGTGCTGCTCTAAGAGCAACCCCGCTAATATAAAAGCTATCCATCTCACGTAGTAACTGCAGTACGTGGCTTCAATGATCTTTTCTTCTATTTGTGATTTTAATTTCGATAGGAAGCATTTTCCCCAATTTCATGCTGCACGAAATACACAACTAATCAAAGACAGGCCTCGGCCAATTCACTTTCCATGTAACGGGCTCTCCAGTTTATAAACAGACTTTCTGTCCATGATCTAGTACTATTCGCCAAGACCTCTAATGTTTAACGCGTGTTCAAATCAAACTCCCCAACTTCACGCCAGCCATCCTGCATGCCCGTGGATCCATTCTCAGTCTCTTCATCATTCAAAAAATCTTCAGATGGTTCCTTCTCATCTCTTTGCATATTATTTCCCCATCCATTTATCATCTCTTCTGGGTTAACCCCGTGTTCCTGCTCTCTCATGTCATGACCAATAGCAACATCATTGCCTTGAGACCCAAGTGCACTTGCCCTTATTGGGGCCCGAGCCAACATTTCAGCATGCGCTTGTGACTCAACCCTAGCTTGCTCTGCCTGAACGATTGCTGCCATTCGTAATTTAGCTTCCCGGCCAGCTTTCTCTCTTGAATCAAGCTCTGCTTTCAATTCCAGACACGTTCGTTTTTCTTCTTGGCAAAGTGCCTGCTCAACCATAAGTCTCTCTTCAGAACGAAATTCCCCCAAAGCTCGTTTACGAGAAATTATGTTAAAGGCTAGTGCCTGTTTCTCAAACGTTGCTGTAAACTCTGCAACTTTAGCAGATATGTTGTGATCCCACTGCTGAGAGCGAGATGGTATCAGGCCTGTTGTGTCAGAGTCAAGGATTCTGTCATCCTCCTCTGCCTCATAATCTGCCACTACATGATAAGGCAGTAACCTGCCATATGGGGAAAAAAGGTAGAAGAAATCCTCAGAAGTGCACGAATACTCAAAAGGTCAAGCACAAGTAATTTAAATAAACACACGGAGATAAAGCTAACTACTTTCAATAAGCAACTGGGAATAATTCAAAGGAGAAGTTGGTACCACTATCTTAAAGGTAACACAGCATACAATCATAGATTCATAATTAATGTATTGGTGTATACAGAAACATCAGACTATATTGAGCTGGCAGCCATGTGATCAACACTTCAACTAATCAGTTAGAAAAACCACAGTTCTTGATGAGATGAACAATATGCCTTCTACTTGATTTCCAGAAAAGATGGCTGTTTATAAAATACAGCAAATTGATGTGTCATAATGCTTCTTAAAGGCCATATTGACTTTGGATTGATATAATGGTATTCTGGACACTGTACCATGCATCCTAAACTACTCAAACGTTAACAGAACTTCCAAACAACATTTATATAACGGAATGAAATCATATCAGTGATTTCTCATCACACTAAGACACCGTAGAATGCTCACCGGTTAGGTATCTGAAATTAAGGTATATGTTCATGTGGTCTATTTAGCAATAAGAGGCAAAAGAAAAGGTCCTCAAGAAACACAAAATGTAGAACAGAATCCATCAAAATCTTAAGGTATGTGAAATAAGCCAGCTAAACCTTTTAAATCAAGAGAAGAAAGGACAAGTCATCCCTCAGATCATGGTAAACTACAGGGAAAAAAGACTTATATGCCACCTGCAATCATATCCCAACCAACCTCTTTGACTCAAATGATATTTTATCAACTTCATGTAGCAGTATGCAGTATGCAGACTAACAGATGAAGGATAAAATAAATATAAAAAATGTTGTCACAATTTGCTTATTCCATCTATCCTATAAGAGGCAGTAGCTGTAAAGAGTAGCTTTTACATGACATGGGACACACAAGACTCCAAGTCTTTATATTTCATTTCCTAATCTAATATTCTTCTTGCAAAAATTATACCCCTCCCACTTTCAAATTAGTCCAAGGTTTGGTTCTGTTATGCAGTGGAGGATACAATGGCACTAGGCACACAACTCCTAAAAAAGAAATCATACAGAAGTTAAGAAAATTAAAATGATTGGGAAGTTTAGACACAATGTTCAATAATCCAAAAACTTATACAGAAATATCCACAAGAGATAAATCAAATCATAAAGAAAAAAATATAAGAAAAAGAAACCGTACAGAATGTACGAGAATTAAATAAGTGGGACATCAGTTTAGAAACAATGTACAATCATCCAAAAACCTATACAGAAATGTCCACAGGACTGCACAGAATATTAAATAAGTATTGAAGTATCCTTTAGCTTAGGCATTTTAAAGAACTTTCAACATAACTTCCATAGTGGTAAGTCATGTTGGTTCCTCATCCACTAATGATACCATCCTTTTGAAGAGAGAGAGGTCATGGGTTTGACTTTTAATGAAGTAGGTTGCCAAGCTCCCCAATGGTGGGAAGGGAACCTGGAAGAGGAAAACTTATGTTGCACAAGAACTGAATCAAAGAAATCAAAATACTAACTCTTTATATGGTGGGAAGACAGTATATCTTAATGAAATGCCTTGGTGGTGAAATGGTAGACACGCGAGACTCAAAATCTCGTGCTAAAGAGCCTGGAGGTTCGAGTCCTCTTCAAGGCATAATATACTGTTATACAAAATACTAACTCTCTTGTGTGGATAAAAGATGAAGCACTCGAACTGAATCAAAGAGATGAAAAATTGTACAACTAGTTCCTCTTAAAAGCAAACTACAAAAATGACAGTTAAGCTTTGCTGCAGTGACATGATACTGAAAAACCAGAACTACAAGGGCTATCTCATACAGTTAATTTGGCATAATGTTAATTCTACCAAATATCAAACCAAGGCATAATTATGGATATTAAGAATGCTTTTTTCTACTAATAAAAAATTTAAAATGGAAGAAACATAGGTGTTAGTACACGCCAAAATACGACTATGACGCATATTTTAGCAATTAGCATGTAACTTAAAATGCACTGATGTAGTGCAACGTTAGGTACCTGGTATGAAGAACGAGAGGGTACATGGAACGGAAACGGGGTCGGGGTAGTTTCCATGGTACGGGATTCGAAGGGGTAAATGAATTAAGTCAGAATTTTCAAAAAAAATATTGTATGCAAAATAAGGATATATCGTATGTGTACATGTATAGATCTAAATTTGTAAAACAACGTAGAATAAAGCACACGAAGCCTACTCAGAAAATGCAACCGAAACCAAATGAAAATTGAGTTTGATATTAATGAAATGGAAGCCCTAATCAGTTAAATACTTAACCTCTCGCAGGCGTCTTCGAGGGAAGAGAAGGCACGCTTGAAGTCGGGATGACAGACCCGCCAGGCGTCCTGGTACGCCATCTGTAGCTCCGCCTGGTTCCCGGGTCGGATGGCCCTCTGTTGCTGCTGTTGTTGCTGCTGCTGTTGTTGGGGCTGTTGCTGCGGGTTCGCAACAGGATTTTGTTGGAGATTAGGAGCAGAATTAGGATTAGGGTTAGGGTTGGGGTTGGGGTTGGGGTTGGGGATAAGGTTAGGTTGGAGATTGAGGCCTCGGAGTGGGCGCAAATGGGCGTCGATGTTGGAAGGGAAACGGGAAATGGCCGCGGCCTGTTGGGCTTGTTGCTGTTGCCTTTGTAGTTGTTGTAAGAGCAATAACTGTTGCTGTTGATGTTGCTGTTGCTGTTGATGTTGATGGTGTTGCTGCTGCTGCTGCTGCTGGTGTTGCTGCTGCTGCTGCTGGTGTTGCTGCTGCTGCTGTAGCATTAGTTGCTGTTGGTGTTGAGCCAATGCCTTTGCCTCTTCCATCTTTCTCTCTCCCTAAAACAAAACTAATCTCCTCTTTTTATTATCTCTGCCTGTGAAGACTTCTGCTGCTTCTGCTGCTTTTTGGCTGATGATGTCCTTTAACAGGCAGAGCACAGAAGGAGAGAATATGATCCCACATCCGCAAAGTCAGATCATATAGGTTAAGAAAATGTTAATCATGTAATCGACCTCAGTGGAACGCTGCCCTTCCTCACGGGACTCTCGCTATATCTAAATGAATCGAATTTGTATCTGAATCCGATCCGCATCCGGTATAATTAACTGGGTATGAATTTCAATTTTATATATTTTTTAAATTCATTAACCTAATCCATATATATAAAACAAAATACAGAAAATGGTGAAACATTCAAAATACCAGAAAATGCAATTGGTTAATTCAAATATTAAAAATCAAAATTATTAATTAAATGAGAATAATATAGTAAATTCACATTTTTTATTAATTATCAATTGTGTCTCATGTGAATAGCAGTAATATTCTCATTGTATTTTTTACTTTATAAAAATATTATTAATTTACACATGCATTTGCCAATTGACCTTTTTATTTATATTTTTTTTCCATGTGCAAATATATTTTCTTTTTTACATCATGTAAACATATAGATATTTAAAAATATAAATAAAAAAAACAGAAAAGAAAACAGAAAAAAGAATGTGGGTGGAGTGGAGTGGGGAGTAAAATGACGATTGTGGATGGAGTGGGAGTAACTTCCTCCATATAATTACTTAAGGTGCAATTTATTTTAATTTTATAATTGATCACCTAGGGCAACCTTATATAGTGAAAAATAACTAAACTCTAATCTCAAAAGGTCTGGAAAATCTCTCTTAAAACAAAATCAAAACCAAAAACAATTAAGGAAACAAACTAGGAAAAAATCTTTTTTTGACTGAGAGACACGTCAACTGACTTGCACGAAATCTTTGGGGTTGTTCCACTTCCTAAAAAAATCTGGAAAAATATTGGAAACTTAGCTTTATCTCTAAGCTTTCCAATGATATATTAACGTCACTTAGAGAAATTGGGAAGGTCTTCAAATGTTCAATCTCACATAGCAGCACATTTCTGACGGGATTACAACTTTGGCTTTCTTGACTTGCAATTCTGGAACAAAAGGCTTCATAGAAAATTATGAAAATTTGACACAATGATCTTCAATGTCTTACCCTTCTTCTCCAATTGGCCTTGTACTAAAACTCTTTTGAAAAGTTGATTTTCCTTCATAAACCTTCTAAGAGCGCATAAAAGCTGAAAATAAGGAAAGTAAAGTGATAAGACTCTTTTCAATCAACTTTCCCTACAGGTCTAAAAATATAAGAAATAAGGCACTTATCACTCCTCGTATAGTATTTCGTGGGCTGTTAACGTGTATCTTTTTTTAATGATTTTTTTAGTGATTTTTAAATGCAACAGTTAGGAACTGTTTCATTTTGTGTGCTGCATAAAGCTATCTGAAATGTTTGTTGAGCACTTGGAATGCCATAACTTAGAGCTCAATTAACCATTTTGCGAATGCGAGCACTCATTTTGACATGTTTTTTCATGATCTATACACTAGGAAGGAGAAGAATTATTTTTTAGGATAGGTTGGTAGATGAACTGGCTCCCTAAAGTTGATGTTAAAACGAGTTCAAACTTTGAAAGGTCATAACTTTACGCTCGGGTGTCCATTCGGGGCAATTTTTTTTTGATTAAATGTATCTTTTCAAGATCTAGAATGTCCCAAGTCGCTAGAAGCGGCATGAGTTCTCCAGACCCCCAAAAAACATTGTTTTCTGCTATAAAACTAGATTACATCTTCCCAGTGTAACATCACAGACATATTTTCCTTACATTTTCTTAATGTCATGCAAACAAAACTTCAATTTTGAACATAGGAGATAGTAAGTGATGGGCGGACTCATTTTTTATGGGTTAAAAAGTTGTATTACAGTAGCAACATAGAATGGAGAGTGGTGTTCAAGTACATATAATGAGCAACAATATTGAAATGTTTCATATTAGATGGGCTGGTTTTTGTTTTAATTATTAACTTCAGGGTCTAGGGTTCAATCAGAGAGAGGGCACACTTGGGTTTTTTAAAAATATTTTTTTATTTTTAAGTGTTTTCACTTGTTAATTTTACTTTGATGCTTTTGTCATGGCACGTGTGCGCACCCTGTTCGACAAGCCTCCCATAGCCATGTTGATGACAGATGTTGAAGCAAGATGTGCACAAGATGTGTTGTGGACAGATGTCGAAGCAAGCTGCCCTAAGAATTTCTTGGGCATGTCATGGGCACTTCTAGGGAATGCGTTAAACAGGCACTTCTTGGGCATGCGTTGAAAATTGCACGAAATAATTTAAAATAATTAATTACTATTTATTGAACCATTTTTGAAATAAGTAACATATTTAAATATTCAATAAAGAAATAATAATTAAAACATAATTACTAATTAAAGTAATTCAAAAAGGATAAGATATTACTTAATTACATATATTAAATTATGGCTAAAAGAAAAAGTAAAGAAACTAATTTTATATTTTTAAAATTAATTTTTTTATAAAAAATAAAAAATAAAAGAACACTTTTCCCAACGAAATTTCGTCGGCACACAAGTCTATGCCGGCAAAATTTGCCGGATTAGGTTTACCCCGACGAAAATACCTCTGCGGACGAAATTTTGTCGGGAGAGGTCTTTAAAAAAAATATATATATATATATATAAACTTAGGATGTTTAGGTTAATTAAGTTTTTAAAATTTTATTGTTAGTAATTAAATAATATATTTGCCTGATTTAATTAGTGAAATTAGTAATTATATTTTAATTATTATTTATTTAGCGAATAATTAGTATTAATTTTATTAATTAACTTCATGAATTATATTACTTAATAAATAGTAATTCCATTTTTCGTTTTTCTTTTTTCCTTTAATATTCACTAAGTAAAACATAACTACTAATCAAAATAATTAAAAAGAGAGCTACTTAAAGGGCATAGCCACGCGGCTGAACTTTTAAAATATTATATTATTCGGAGTACAGTCGCACGGCTATACTTTGAAGACATTCTTTTGAGGTGCCCTTTGTGAACACCCCGCATCGAAAATCCACAATCCTATAAAGGTCTTTATAAAAAAAACACTACGATGGTTTGGTAAGTGTAGTTAACATTGGAGAGTTGGGGTAATGGGCTTGGCTATAGGCTCGGCTTTGGATTTGGCGCTGATTAATAATAATTATATTAATCAAAGACTTGAGCCTTGGGGCTCTTGGGATTTAGAGAAATTTAATTAAGACACCCAAACGAGAATAAGCAATTAATTTTTTTTCCTTTTTGACATATCCTTTCAATATAAATTTGAATGAAATTAGGTTTGAAAATTGTACAAAATAATTTAAAATACTTAATTACTATTTATTGAGCAATTTATGAAATAAGTAACATATTTAAATATTCAATAAAGAAATAATAATTAAAACATAATTACTAATTAAAGTAATAAAAAAAGGATAAGATATTACTTAATTACATATATTAAATTAAGGAAGTTGGCCCAAAGAAAAAGTACAGAAACTAATGATATATTTTTAAAATTAAATTTAAAAAATAAAAATAAAAATAAATGAACACTTCTCTTGACGAAATTTCGTGAGCACAGGTCTATGCCGGCAAAATTTGCCGGATTAGGTTTCCCTCGACGAAAATACCTGTGCCGACGAAATTTCGTAAGGAGAGGTATTTTAAAAATATATATATAAAATTAGGATGTGTAGGTTAATTATTTTTTTAAAATTTTATTGTTAGTAATTATATAATATATTTGCCTGATTTAATTAGTGAAATTATTAATTATATTTTAATTATTAATTATTTAGTGAATAATTAGTATTTAATTTATTAATTAACTTCATGAATTATATTACGTAATAAATAGTAATTCAATTTTGCCTTTTTCTTTTTTCCTTTAATATTCACTAAGTAAAACATAACTACTAATTAAAGTAATTAAAAAGAGAGCTACTTAAAGGGTATAGCCGCACGGCTGAACTTTTAAAATATTCTATTATTCGGAGTACAACCGAACGGCTATACTTTGAAGACATTCTTTTGAGGTGTCCTTTGTGAACACCCCGCATCGAAAATTCACAATCCTATAAATGTCTTCATAAAAAAAGTACTACAATTGTTTTTATTTAATTTTTACCGATATAGATAATTTTTTTATTTTTACCGATGTCAATAATTTTTTGATATTTCCATAGAAATTTCCGTGTTTTCGGACCACTGATATTTCCAAAACCATTGATATTTTAGACCTTGGTTGTACCCTAGTTTTCAACCCATTCCCATCCCACACATAATATGCATCATCATTCGTTTATTTAATTGGGAATGAACCCTAATTATAATAATTTGATTAAAAAGTATCCAAAATTATTTGAAGAAAATCGACCACTATCCCTAATTTTTAAACTATAAGTTCCTACAAAACCAACGTAAAGATAAACGATAAACTATTATTTAATTGGATTAATTTGATTAGAAAAACATTTAGTAAGAAGAAAATGAAATGAAAAGGAAAAATAAAATAAAAATCAAAGAAGTAATCTATATATATAAAGCAAAAGGCAAAGAATGACAAAACATTCAAAATACCAGAAAATGTCATTAGTTAATGCAAACATTAAGAATTGAAATTATCTATATATATAAAGCAAAAGGTAGAGAATGGTGAAACATTCAAAATACTAGAAAATGCCATTGGTTAATTCAAACATTAAGAATTAAAATTATTAATTAAATGAGGATAATATGGTAAATTCACATTTTTTCATATTAAAAATATTGAAATTAAAAACAAAATCAAATTATAGGTCATACTTTTATGGAATATAACTACCCATATTATATTTTCTTAACTCTGAAAATAAAAAATAAAAAATAAAACCAATTGGCACATGTGTGAGTATGTGCCATGGGGCTAGTTAATATATAAAGCAAAAGGCAGAGAATGGTAAAACATTCAAAATACCAGAAAATGTAATTGATTAATGCAAACGTTAAGAATTGAAATTATTAATTAAATGAGGATAATATGGTAAATTCACACTTTTCATATTAAAAAAATTAAAATTAAAACAAAAATCAGATAATAGATTCAATTTTTATAATACAAATTTATAAAACACAACTACCCATTATCTTTTTTAATTCTAAAATAAATTTAATTTTTTTTTAAAAAAAAACCTCTCACATGTGCTGAGAGGCTAGTGGAGAGAATGGAAGAAAAGCCAACTGCGGCGTAGTCCCTTCTTCTTTACTTGTTAACTTTACAATTTACAAATATTGAAATAAAAGAATAAAGAAAAAGAAAATCCGAAACTCCCATTCGGAGGAAGAAAGACGGTGGCTGTCCCTCACATAACACAAATTCCTAATGCCTTGTATGCTATTTGCTCTTGTAAGCCCCAAATCGCAATTCCGTCTATCTTCTATCCTCATCTTCCTCTATCTATCGACTATCGTCATCTGTCTGCAATAATCTATCTGACCGCTGCTACTAATATCTTGTTGTCGTCCGATAAGTAAATGCATTCATGTATAACGTATACAATTAGGGTCAGATTGTACTCTTAGAAATCCGATTCGTATTTACTAGCTCTATTCGTATATTCCAATCCAATCCCTGAGTATTCATTGCAACTCAGAACAATCAGAATCATCTGATAATTTTTGGGTATGTTGATGGATCGTCTGGTGATGGGCTGGTAATGTTGCGGGATTGAGAAATGAAGGATGGGATTGGAATCGGTTGGTGGGGTCTTGGGCTTAATTGGAGCATCCAAAAGGTCCGTCCAATTGCTGATTCAACATCCGTAGCACAGTAATAGACTAAAAGTGTGTTTGTTGTTGCTGTTTTTGTATTGTGTATATGTATATGATATCATCACCATCACCATCATCATCATCATCATCATCTTCATATTGATCAATGGAGGCACTGGGCATGGGCGATTTCTGGGTCGGCGCTTGATTTTCAATTTTGGACAATGGATGAGCTCAGCCCTAGTCCTCAGTCCAAAGACTCGGCTGCCTCTTCGTGGCGTCCCAGCCAGCTCGTCTTTGGTCCCTATTCCACGCAGACGCAGAGTGAAGCTCCCAATAGCAAGTCCCAAACTTTGCGTGTCGTTGTCACAAAACCCGTAAGTATTTTTTCCCTTCTTCCTTGCAATTTTTTAAGTGGTGCCATGAGTCGTTCACTTCATTTCTTGCTCTTTGCTATAGAATTATTCATCTTCGGAAGCTTTTGCATCCTGCAAACTCCCGTTCATACACATACATACATGTACAATTATATATTTACAAATTGAGCTTCCATTCTTATGGGTGAAGAATTAGCCTGCTAGACAACCGTGTTTTTTAAATTTTGTTTTGGGTGGAGTGGGTGTACTGGGAAAGTTTAGGAGGTGCTCTGATTCTAATAATGCCTTTCCTGGAAATGTGAGGATAGTGCGTTGCCTATCATACCAAAAGGAAAAAGTAGAATGCAAAAATACAAGTGAAATAAAAAGAGAAAATAGGAAACAAACTCGCAGGGAGGAAAAGGAGTCATAATGTAGTTGAGAAGCTCAAAGGATAATCCTATGCAGAGGTTTGGCAAATTGGCAGGCATAGCAGAGATGCCATTTTAAATGCTATGCTGCTTTGTTTAAGGTGTTGTATATGGTAGGAGAGGAATTGATTAACTTTTGTGTACCTCCCTTGTCCTATTCTAGTCCTGTAGTATTTTTGCTTTTAATTATGTGATGGGATACAACTACCTATGTTTCCTCTAACTTGTTATAATTGCTGAAAGGAAGTCTCAGATGCTGACTTGTAACACAATTGTTGATGCTTAAATCAGTTATCTTATGTACTAAGTACATTCCTCCCTTCACATTATTGGTCCTATATCACTCTGTTAAATTAGATTCTGTCTATCATAAAGAAAAAGGTATTCTGTCTCTCCTTCCCCCAACTACAGAAATTGTTGGTCTTATCACTCTGTCTCTCCTTTACCCCAACCGCAGAAATCTTTAGAAGGTTCTTTGTTTGTTATACTCTTTGAGTAGGTAATAAAATAAAAAGTAGGTTGGCAAATGTGTTGCACAAGTTTTGTACTCACCTTTTAATAGTATACCATTGCTATGAATAGCTGTGAATTCCGTATCTCTTTTGAGACACGGACCTTCATTTTTGGCCTTGGGTTTGATGCTAACACTGTAAATGGATCAGATTGGTTGGGTCAGGGTGCATGTGAATTTATCGAAGTAAAAAGTTTCAAGGCTGGCATGATCCTTCAACAAATTTATTTTCATTTGATAGGACTGAAAAAGTGCCAACTCTGATCTTTCACTTGATTATAACTTTTGATAAAAATGCTGAAGATTCTTGAACTATATTTAACTTTGGGTTTATATGTACCTTCCCCCAACTAGAATTGTTAATGTTATTCAGTCATATGTATCAAATAATTACTATTTAAGGGGGAAAATTGCATATTGAATTCTTTACAGAATCATGTAGGTATTCTGCTGCAGTGGTGCATTCTTTGCAAGAACCGTTTAGAATCAACTGACCATCTTTTCTTACAGTGCCCGGTGACTTTGAACCTAGGGTTTTGCTTGTTTAGGGAGTTCGGAGTCAGTTGGGTCGTGCCCAAGGACTAGCAGTCTTTCTTGTCCGATATGCACAGAATCCCCAGGAACGGGAAGAAAGCCAATGTTTTATGGGTTTGTAATGTATTAGCTGTTCTTTGGGTGGTTTGGTTAGAACGAAACAGATTAATTTTTGAGGACCGAGCAGGTTGCGAAACAGAGGAATTATGGGAGAAAGTTAGACTATGTTCTTCACTATGGACCTCGACTTCTTCAGTCTTTAGAGATATCTCCTTTAGGGTTATTTGGCTGGATTGGAAAGCAGCCATTTCCTAGCTATAGGTTGTGTGTGCGCTACTGGGGTTCTTTTGCTAGTAGCTTAGGGTTTTGTTCAGTCTAGTTGCTCTTTCTTTGTGGCCACGTTGGCCATCTCTGTATTTTATTGTCTATTGCAATAAAATTTGTTTCCTTTTCAAAAAAATGTAGGTATTCTGCTGTTATACTTAAACAAGGATAGCCTCTGAGTTCTGTTTATTCCTGAGGATTGGTACCTTCAATGCGAATTCTTTTTCAGTGGCCACATTGTTTTGATATAATTTCGTACAGCATGTTTTGATGTATTATGTCATTGTATCTCATTCTCTGTACATGGGTATATATGTCTCAACTTGAAATTATTTGAAGAAGATTTTTGTGCTGACACAGAACATTGTATTATGCAGTTTGTGGCTAGGCTAACCAAGGACATAGTTGAAACATACCATATATGCAATCCACAGTTTAAGTATTCAGAAGAATTGAATCCAAAGAGATATTTGACCAGCCCATCAATTGGAGTACTCAACGATGGCTATGATAATGTTAACTCGGATCTTATTCTGACTGTAAACTTTGTCCTGGTCAATCTAGACACGCAGCGAAGGTGCGTTCTTATCTGTGTTTTTTCTTTTCATGCTATGTTGACTGACTTTAAAGGAACCTGTTCCTCATTTTTGCTTCACTGCTTTGTGTTTCAAGGTAATTTTTTTTCTTTTCAAATTTAATCCCTTATTTGATCTTGTTTTTTGGTTTTCCAAAATGGTATCAGAGCAACTTGTCTATATAGAATTATAGCATCTTGTGTGCTTCACTTCTTTTCTTTGTAATTCAGTTTAATGCTATGTTTCATGGTCCATGTGCTATTTCGCGCTGCTTAATATACATTGTTGAGCCCATTTCCTTTTAGACCAATCTTATGGTGCAATAAGTTATCTAACGCGCTTAGCATGGTATTATTTCAAATTTCATCAAGCCTTTGTGCTTGTAAATTCATCAAGTTTGTTCTTGTGATGTCTCACAGTTAAAAGTTAACAAAAATGGGAACATGTAGTTAATTATAAAAGAATGGCAGAGATAGCAAATGTATTTACAAATTTATGTTGTAATCTGTACTTCCCATGGTGGCCCAACATCAGACTAACTTAGACCTTTTTAGTTAGTATTTAATTTTTAGGGCTTTTCCCCTTGCTCTTTTCAGATACGTTGTCAAAGATGTTCTTGGCCATGGGACATTTGGCCAGGTTGCTAAATGCTGGGTTCCAGAGACTAACAGCTTTGTAGCTGTGAAAATCATAAAAAATCAACCAGCATACTATCAACAAGCCCTGGTTGAAGTATCCATTTTGACAACGGTAATGCTATTCTCTTTTTTCAGTCGGTCCCTCATGTTCACTTCCTTACTATTTGCTTTACTTTTTTCTTTGCAGTTAAATAAGAAGTACGATCCTGAGGATAAGCATCACATAGTTCGTATTTATGATCACTTTGTATATCATCGTCATTTGTGCATTTGCTTTGAACTGCTGGATACGAATCTGTAAGTCACTGGCACTACCTATTTAGTTGTGAGTTGAACTCAATCTAACTTGATGCACCATTTAACCCCTTAATTATTGTAATTGTTGTTTTAGTTTTTCCCTGCACATCGTTTTGACATTTTGCAGTTATTCAGGTATGAGCTTATCAAGATAAATCATTTCAGGGGACTATCCCTGACCATTGTCCAATTGTTTTCTAAACAAGTATGATAGTTCTTGCTTGTCTTTGATTTTGAACATTTTGTCTCTTTGACGTTACTATATCTTAACCCTTATTTTCTCTCTTTTCCCTTTTTGGTAATATTTGCTTTAAAATAGATTCTACATGGATTGGCTCTGTTAAAAGATGCTGGGATAATTCACTGTGATCTGAAGCCAGAAAACATTCTTTTGTGCACAAGGTGAGTTACTTTTAGTAATAAATTTGGGACTATTTTTCTTATAGATCTGTTTCATTTTAATCTTTGCATATTTTCCCTTGATGCAACAGTGTTAAGCCAGCAGAAATTAAAATTATTGACTTTGGATCAGCATGTATGGAAGATCGAACTGTTTACTCCTACATTCAGGTTTGCATTAGTGCATACTCCCCAGGCTTATTGAAGTCTTATCTTTCATAGAAGGGTCTCTTAGATGCTACTTTTCATTTGTTCTGCAGAGTCGTTACTACAGATCTCCAGAAGTTCTTCTTGGATACCAGTATCCTTGAAAATGAATTGACGCTTTGTAATTAATTTACTAGTTATTCTGTCTCTTTGGTTTTGATCTTGATTGGGAAAAATCATAATCAAACCCATCAGCAACCTGGCTATGGGTTTCATCTAAGGTTGACCTTTTATTTTCTGTTATCAATTTTTATTTATTTATTTTCCTAAAGGTAATGTCAATGCAAGCCTGATAAGATCACATTAGTAGGCTAACAGTGTTGTTACTGCAGTCCCAACTGAACATCTGGTCTGGTCTAAGTTGTTCCAGCTGGACCTTGGATTGCCGACTTCTGGAGTTGGCTTAAGCTTTGTGACCCTTGCGACTTTGGCCTCAAAAATCATCTGAGCTGCATTATTACTATCTTGCCTTTATATTCTTGATTTGTTTTGCAGGCTGCAACTTTCCTAAGAATGTCTAAACCTAGTGGTCCTGAAAATGTAGAGTGATGGTTGTATCTGTAGATAATATTCTAACTTCATATTTGATGGATTAGATGTTTAAACTTGGGTCCAGTTTTTATACTCTACTTTTTTATATCGGGATTTTTGTGGTACTTAACCCCTTTCCAGATATACCACTTCTATTGATATGTGGTCCTTTGGATGTATAGTTGCTGAATTGTTTCTGGGATTGCCATTATTCCCGGGAGCTTCAGAATTTGACCTCCTAAGGCGAATGATTGAAATACTTGGGTATGCCTTTTTCTTTCGTGTTAGTAATTTAAGGAAGGGACCTAATTTCATTTATTTATTAGGTAGGATTATGATATGCATGATTTTTTACGTTTTTATCATTATGATTCCCCTTGTTTTCATGAAATGCTGTTTAATTAAGGGCTTATTTAGCTTTTGCAGGGGTTTTAAAAATATCCAATGAAAAATTCTGATTCTTTCCTATGAAATTAGTTCTATTGAGTATTGAATCAAGATTTCACCTGAAAGCTTTATCTCTATGCCTAATATTAATAATGCTCTTTGTTCTCCTCTTCTTTCTTTGTTATTCATCTCATCTCAACCTTGACCTCTGACTGGAGTTTCCGTAGTTAATATTTTCTTGCCATATGAGTCCCAATCAAATAAGATTTCTCCTATTTTCTATTTGAAATCCTAACCCCCATGGTTTTCCCTAAATTTTAGACCAATAGATAATTTTTAGATTACAGTTTGTACTTTATGTCCAATTTTAGCCTCCAATTCATTATTGGCTGGGATTTCGTCTGGGAGAAGAGACCATTTAATGACTTTGGATATTGTTTAGAAACCAAAAGAGAAAGGGGGTTAGCATGGGAAATTATTAAAAAGGAATAATGCATAGCACAGTTATTGGTTATCATTTTCTCAAAATTGATATTTTGTATGGTTGTCATATTGTAGAGGACAACCCCCTGATTGTGTACTTAAGGAGGCAAAAAACACGAGCAAGTTCTTTAAGTGCATTCGGAGTGTGCACAATGTGGAGAATGGGGAACTTTCTGCAAGTCGAAAAAGTGCTTATCAAGCACTAACAGAAGAAGAATATGAAGCTGTAAGTTTCTATAGTATAGAATTTTTTTGGAAAACGAAACTTTTGGTTAGGAGAAAAGGATCCTATAGAGAGCTAGAGAAATGAGAAACAAATGATGAACTTTACACATGTATTGGTTTGATTCATCTATGAGTCTAACTCATATTTCTTTTCAAATTTCTCTGAATTTACAATGGTGGAACCATTCTAAGATTTTAGTAATTCTTGAACCCCCCTTTTTCTTTTGTTTCATAAATTATCATAATATAAAATTTGTTTTTTAAAATATTCTGAATTTTAATATTTTCTTTTTAGTTCTTATGCTCACTGGTTTCTGTTCAGAGAGAGTTGAAAAGACCATCAATCGGGAAAGAGTATTTTAATCGTATGAACCTCGAAGAAATTGTTACAAACTATCCGTATAGAAAGAACTTACCTAAGGAAGACGTGGTTAAAGGTTTGCTTTATGCTTTTGAATATTTAAAGCTGATGAAACTGAAGCAGTTCTACTTAATGCTTAACTGCTTTCTCTTATTGAAGTTAGTAATGCTGTTGCATGATATCAAATATGTGCAGAAAGTCAAATACGACTAGCTTTGGTTGATTTTTTGAAGGGACTTGTTGAGTTTGATCCTGCAAAACGCTGGTCGCCTTTTCAGGTTGCTAATTGTCATCTCTGCTACTTTATTTCTGATACACTGTAAATAATTACACGCAAATGGATTTTGAGTTGGACTTGTACCTGCAGGCTTCAAAACACCCTTTTGTTACAGGGGAACCTTTTACACGCCCTTATAAACCTCCCTTGGAGACCCCTCGCATGGTAAGTGGGCCCATTTATGAACTATTTAAATCTTTTCAAGCCACACTCAGATATCAAATGTAATTGTGCTTGGTTTCTTCTTAATTGATACATCGATTAATGTGATAGGTTTTGGCATAATCTGATATTGCTTTAGTTCGTGAGTGAATGTAATTTGTATATATATGCTTGTTAATGAAATACGCAGGTAGTGATGAAAAGTTGATTTTAAATTGGTTTTATATTCTAGCTGTAGTTTAACATCTGTAAATATGCTTTTGAGTCTCATACTGAATGAGTGAGGATAGCCTCATCCTACATCCTGAGTTTCAGCCATACTTATGAAATTTGTACCGGGACTAGGTTGCTTATTGCAGTAGTTAGTTATTGGCTGCGTTAGAAGTTCCGCAGGATATAATACGAACCTGCTTTTCTTTATCTCTCTTCTTCTTTGTCTTTGACCTCCTTGTCCTCTTATTTTCCCATAGCCTGTTGCTCAAAACATAAGGGTGGATCATCACCCTGGTGGGGGCCATTGGTTTGCTGCTGGTCTCTCTCCTAATGTAAGCTTGCTGCTCCTAAAAATAAGCCATTGCTTTTATTTTTAGCTTGTCTATAATAATCATCTCAGCTATAACTGTACTTTGATTCTTCAGATTCCAGGCAGAAATAGAGTCTCCATGCATAGCAGCCCTCATTTTCAGGTGGTGCCATATGCACATGCTAATAGCTACGGCAGTGTAGGAAGCCATGGTAGTTATAATGATGGTACTGGACTAGGAAGCAGCTATGGAAGTTATGGAGATACTAGTAATGTGTTCGCTTATTATTCTCCAGTTGGCCCATCTGGGATGAACATGCATGCACAAGGCAATGTGCCGATGCTCGGAAGTAGCCCGGATGCAAGACGGAGGATTATTCAATATTCACATGGAAATGGACTTGGTATGAGTCCTTCGGCAGGAAGTTTTGCTCCTCTGCCACTAGGCACTAGTCCTTCACAATTTACTCCACCAAGCTCCTACAGTCAAGTTTCTGCCGGCTCACCAGGACATTATGGTCCCACTTCTCCAGCAAGAGGCAGTTGTCATGGTTCACCTTTAGGAAAGATGGCTGCAGTTAGCCAGTTTAATAGACGAAAAAGCTGGGGATATCCTGGAGGTTCTCAAACTCAAGAGAGTTCATCTTCACACTGGCAAGGGCAAGCAACTGACGGCACCAGTTCTAACCAAGCTGAGGGAAACTCTCAAATACTAGGTAGTTCACCATCACATCTGCATTTAAGCGCTAATGCTGGAAGCTGGAAGCAGCAGCGAGGAGGCAGTGGTATTTCTCCTGGTTACTTAGCCATTCAGAGCATGCCAGCTTCCTTCGCAGTTGGTTCCAATATGCAATTCCCAAATACCACAGGAGTGGCTCATGAAAAGCCCGAGGCTAGCCTGTCATTGCCTGATCCTGGGGATTGGGATCCCAATTATAGGTAAGTGGGCAGTATATCTTCTAAGGGGTTTTAGTAGTAAGCCCCAAAAAGGAACACTATTTTAGCAATAAACCTCTAATGGTTTAATACTTATTTCTAAGCCCTCATCTTTTTCTATTTTAAGACTGGCCTTTCTGGGTAAAAGTTTTATTATAATCCCCATTTAGGGCCTAAGAATAAATATATATTTTTTTGGTAACTAAAAGTTAAAAATTGACAGTGTTTTTACTAAGTTTCCCATCTTTTAGTCGCTACAAAGACATGATTCCTATGAGTGTGCTGCATGCTTTTCTTTCATTAATAGATGTTTGCAGTCAAAATTTAGGTATCAAGCATACAGAGAACTTTATTTGTGAGCCTCAATAAGAGTAGGACCCTATATGATGATGGTTTTATGACTCAGCATGACCCAATTTTAGCCTTTCGCTGACCCCTTTCTGAGTTTGTAAAGGCGCTAGACCAGATAACTCAAAGACGTAGGGCCAACTGTTAGTTCGATGAAGCTTACTGCATGGTTGGGGAATGAACATAGCCTGGGTTCTCTTCATTGTATGTAATTCATTGTGACCTATAAGATCCCCTACCATATAATTAAGCCAGTCATGGTAATCTTTGACTTTTTCAACAACATGCATCTTAATCAAGAATGATATAGTACAAAGTTATTGCATTGTTTCCATGGTTCAGCAAACCTTATATTGGTTTATCCATAGATAATTTTGACCATAATGGGAGTGTCTACTACGTAGCAAGAATGTTAAAGTTGAATGCCAATTTCATTGCTAACCATTCGTTGGGCTTCCTCATTGGTTTTCATCTAGGCTCAACTCAAGCAGTTGGTTTACTTGTTGAATTCTTGAATCAACCTCGTATTTCTTCTGAATTTAATGTGTATTCTTCTTTCTTCTGTCTTTCCATTCTCATTCCAGTGATGAACTTCTTCTACAAGAAGATGGTTCAGATGTAAGCTGCATTACTACTGAGTTCAGCCAAGGCATGCATCTTAATTCTGCAGAAAAATTGGTTGGGGTGGGAAGATTTAATCGTGTGTCAAATACGAGCGCAGGCCTATCCTTTCAAAGGTAAGTTGTATCGTCTATCTATCAAGCTTATTCACTTAGTTAGTCTGAAATTACGTGAGCAAGTTTATGTATACAAGTATTTGCCACATGACTGATGCAGTCTGTAGAGTCTGCAATAACACTAACTCATGTGGATTGATCTGCAATGAGATAATTACTTGCCTTGTTTTCCTCAGCTGAAAATTATATGTATACAAGTATATTGCAAATAACTGATGTAGTATTCGGTATTCTTTTAAAATGTGGGGATGGATCTGCAACAATATATTCAAATGTTTCCTCCTGCAAAATGCTTTACTGTGCTATTTGCTATTAATGGAGGTTTCTAATGATGAACAAGTTTCCTAATGAGAAGAGGCAGAATGTTACAGTTGACACATTTCCGTACTTGTCTTTTGGAATAGAGTTCTTTCTTCTCCTATTCTTATTTCTTTGGTCCCTCTGCATATTGATTACAATTGTCTACCATCTCTTCAGACAAAATGGGCCCATTCAATCGTATTCACATGCAGAGGTGGGTAGCCCTCCTTCAACTAATGAACCACTTGCTGGATACACACGCTTGCCAAAACCTTCTCATTTTCCACATATATCACAAAATTCTCCAAGCCGGCTGGGACAGCAATATCAGCGGTCCAGTCAAGGAAGACCCACCAATTCTCGTGGTGGTGATTGGAATCATATGAAGGTGCAGGCTCCTCCTCCCAATTTTAATTCTGGTGGCCCACTTTCTCCGGGAAATAGCTCATTCAGCAACGGCATGTCATGGGGTACTTTCTGACTTCACATCATAAGCCATTCTACCCTCCATTTTCCTTTGTCTGCTATCATCCTAGTAAACAAAATCTGTCAAACTATATATTGTGTTTATGGGAGAAAGGGGATTGAATGGAGGGTTGGGGAGCTGAGAACATTTAAACTAATTGTGGCACTCTATTGTAGGGCGTAGAGCCAGTCATCCTGTCACTAGCATTCCACCTGCATCCCGAGGAAGAAAGGACTATGGAAGGATTGCCTAATGTTGGAATTAGTTTTTTACTGTGAACAATCAGATCCTGAGAGTTGGCAAGAACATTGTACAACTTGTACTCAATAGTTCACATGGGTAGTGGGCTCATGCTATGAAAATCCACATACAGGATCATGCTCATTCATTGTGCTTGCACAATATAATTTGTGGTTAATGATTCTCTTGGTCTTGTTACATTTCATGCAATTAGTATTGCTTTCCTCAATGGCTTTAGTCTTCTCATATGTTTATCAAATGCCAGAAATTTAATTTAGATATTGTGCTGATTCTGAAATGGATTTTTATGTGTTTGAAGGAATTTAACCTAGTTATTGAGATAAACTGCAGCAGCTGAAAAGAATTTCAAGAGTTCGTGTAAATTGATGAATGAAGTTCAGAATTACCATGGGTTGTTGGGGTGTAAATTTGATCTCTCTCTCTCTCTCTCTCTCTCTCTCTCTCCCCCCCCCCCCCCCCCCCCCAAAAAAAAAGAAAAGAAAAAGAAAGAGTCCAAGGTTAACTAGAGGTTTCTGTGAGACTAGCTCGCTAAATCAGCGTTGTAAGTAAGTTAAGCTGAAATTTGTTTTTAATTATATATATATATAGATATATAATATGAACAATGCTGAGGATTTGTTCAGTTTGAGCAAAGGAGATTGTAAGAAGCTTAGAATTTAGTAATTCATGTTGTGCAAAATTGTGGAGAGAACAGTGTTGTAATGCAGTGGCATAATAGTGCTCACTTATGTATTTATTAAACTTTAAGTGGTTACTGGTTCGTTTGTTGTTTGAATAATAGTGACTATTATTCATTTTTTTCTGGTACGTTTCTTTTCCTGAATTATCTGTTAAATGGTTCTGATATTCAGTTCTTATCAAATTGACCACGATGCATTTGAATGTTTTTTTTCCTTCGTATTACACCTGCTTCATAAGCTGGGCTCCAGCCAGGTCCCAATAATCTGGGAGGCTTGCTGCAGAACGACAACTGTAGCAAGACACCAATCCTTCCTTTGCATCAATAAGATTTTATTCTTGTTTAGCATTTCCCGCTTGTTATTCTCATCTTTGCATATGAAGATAAATACGATTATTATTTAGTTTTTTTTTCTTTCTCTGGTGTTGTTTAGTTGAATGACTCTGTTTATAACTTAAACTAGTTGTATTTTACGTAATAAGAGTAATGTGAGCTTTTCTTATTTTCGTCTGGCTTGCTTGGCTTGTATTCATATTCAGGTGTTGTAGTGCCCAATGTTTTTGTGTTATGTTTTAAACCACGACTCGAAGTAGAAAGTTGAAAGGGCGTATGTAACTGGAGTTATAAAATAAGTGAACTTTGTGGTGGTATTAGCAGTTCGAAATCTTACTAAACTTTATTCTAGATAGAAAAACATAAAATATATTATTTCATTTAAATTAATTGTCATAAGTGATCCTATGTACGACTTTGTTATTTGCTTTAAGGAAATGATTTCTATTCCTCACTTTCCCCATGTTTACTTGTAATCATGAATGAAAAAATGTATGGGTTCCACCTCAAAATCCATAATCAGATCCCCTCAAAACCAGGAATCGGATCAACTACTTTTTTACCTTACTACCTTCCAAAAATACTCTTACCACTTTACAATAATTCCAAAACACCCCAAACCCTAGAAAAATAAAAACTCACACCAAGAAAAATGAAGAAAAAGCAAAATTTAATAGCTGTTTATTAATCATTGTTGGAAAAAGCATAATTTTTCCCTTTTCAACTTGGTTGCTAGCCTCCATTTGTCTTGTTTACTACTTATCACTGTGTCATATTTGATTTTTTTTTTCCTATTATATTCTTTATATTATTATACGCTACTTCTTTTTTTTCATCACTCGTTATATAGTATCATATATTATATATTAGTTGTAAAATAAAGTTTTGTCAATTTGCTTTTTTACAAGTTACTTAGGTGAAAAATATATATTTATATATGCATGGCATTTTAGTGATCAATTTAGTTTAGGTTCTCATTCATGAAAATTAGTAAACAATAACAATTTGAATCAACTCCATTCATGTGCTGATTCTATATGGTTAGTAAACAGCTTAATGAGAATAGTACCGAATAAGGTTTTTTAGGTTTTAGACATAAAAAAAATTTCACTTTTGGAAAAAAGCCAAAGCTTTTTTTAAAAAGACAAAAAAACCGCTCAACTTTCAAATCAAAGACATGCAAATGTATTGGATTTTTTAGGAAATCTAAAAATAAATAAGGGCATTTTTGTCCATTTTTGCTTCTTTTAAAATTTTTCTCTCTCCTTTTGCTTTTTCCAAAATGTCCCATGAGAATAAGTCTTATCATATGGATTCCTTACTTCCTCCATTCTTGTTAAGTAAACAACACCAATAACTTATTGGGAATCATTCTTATCATACTGATTTATGTTTTAGCTTTAGGGCATGTTTACGTATCAGTAATGGAGAAACTAAGGAATCAAAGAATTTATGAATCGGAGAACTACTGAATCGGTATGGGAAGAATCATTCCCATTAAGCTGTTTACTAAACATATGGAATTAGCATTGGAATGGGATTGATTCCCATTGTTATTGTTTACTAATTTGCATGAATCATAATCCAAATTAATTTTAGAATTATGGTAAAGTGATAAGGGTATTTTTGGAAGTTATTAAGAGAAAACAGGAATGAGAATCGTATCGACTACTCCCCCCTAGTTGATATGATTCCTAGTTTTGAGGGAATGTGATTACGGATTTTGAGGTGGGGCCCACTTATTTTTTCATTCATGATTGCAAGTAAACGCAAGAGAAGTCAGGAATGGAAATCATTCCCTTTCCTTCCATACCCATTACTGATACGTAAACATGTCCTTAATATTTAAACAATTATTTTTTAAAAGTAATGAGGGTTGAAGGGTGGGGATAACTGCCGCATCTAGTGAGTGGGTTTTGTATTTAAATGATAAGTTTCGTATCTAAACCTTAATAATAAATGGTGGTCTTTTAGCACTTTAGTTAATAAATGGTTTTTTTATTTATAAATGTTTCACCATATAGAAGATATAGATAGAAGATAGATAGAGTCATTATATTTGAGGAGTTGCTATTGGTATTATGAAAAGTCATTTGTAATGTAATTTCTCATTTATGTATTGAAAAAAATTTTTTTTTTAAGGCTACGATGCTAGCGTGTGAAATGTAAAGCATAGTTGGTTAACATAGTTAAGTGGTGACGTGTGGAGTGGCGGGTCCATCCATTTTTCACATATGCAGTTGTTATACTCCATGTTTTTGGCTCTTGGAACGTCAAATAATCATGGGCATACACAGGAACAAATTATGAACAAACAAAAAAAGAAATATCAAAAGTTGAAAAAAAAAATCAAGAGAGAGAGAGAGAGAGAGAGCAGAAGAAGTTGTGTCTAGTCTACACATAAATCAAATGGCAGGTCGCTCACCACACAAAGCCGGACCCAATCTCTTCCAACCAATAGCATCCCTCCATCCCATATCTCTAAACCCCCTCTTCCGCCCCCTGTTTTTTCTTTTTATTTCTATTTATTTCTGTCTTTAGCAATATATCGAATTTCTCTAATTTGTAAACTTCAAACTAAAAAAAAAAGAAAAAAAAAAAAAAAAAAAACAAACCCATTCATTTCCATATCAGAGTTTCAGTTGTCAGCCTCCCCACTCCACCCACCTGTTATGCAGTTGTGCTAACTTTGGGTTCACCGTCATTCTCTTGTTTCGGTGAGCTAATAATACATATATAGAAACAACATTTCCTTCCCCTACCTGCGTCTACTGACTCATTCAATTCAGGTACGCTTATTTTCATTTCAAACTTTCTCATTTACTCAAATCCTTCCTTCCTATTCGAGTCGAGATGGTCTAAAATTGAATATTTCTCTCAAAGTTTTTTTTGGGTCTGTTCTCTCTAAGTCTATGTGTGTATATGTATGTCGAGACGTAAAAACACTGCAATCAAAATCAAAATCAAATCAAAAGCTGATTGATAGCATGAAAGTTTGAACTCCTCATGGCTTGCAATTTTAATTTCTTTTCTTTTTCAAACGATAAGATTTGAAGCTAGGAAGACCTACCACTTTCCCACCCATCAATCCCAATGCCACTTGAATGAAATCGAGAGATTTCATGAAATGTTTTGATATTCTCTTCACCTTCATATGGCGCCTAGAAATTAGAATGGTGTCATGTTGTACCTACCAAACCAAGTACCAACAGCCAACACATAGTTACTATGGAATCTGGTTGAATTGGATACAGTGAGTTGGGGCAGAAAATAAAACCATTTCATGAAATCTTTTCCCCTTCATTTATGTTTTTTTTTGTTGCTTCATTCTTTTGTTCCCGTTTTACTACTTACTTATGCTTTTCTATAACTAACCGCAAGTCTTACTAATTGATTTGTGGCAGATCCTAGAGCAACTCAACCAATCCACTTGCTTTGCTTGCGTTAGTGTAGTGAAGCATATCTATATATATATATATATATATATATTTATCATAAAACAAGAGAACATAAGTTTTGCTTGGGTTGATTTCTTAAGAAATTGTTATGGTAATTGTATAAACAAAAGAGGAAGCCATATGATGGCCACAGCTGCTGTTATTGGGCTTAGTACGGGGAAGAGGCTGTTGAATTCTTCCTTCTATTATTCTGATATCACAGAAAAGCTCTTCCATCTCAATGATCATCATGGGTTTTTACATTGCCATTTATCTTCAACAAAGAATGTTGTCACTGCCAGAAAGCCTTCCAACTGCAGTTCCAGATTTCCATCTTCGAATCGACCTCAACAGTCCATTAGGGCTCTGAAAGAACATGTACATACTGCCTCTGCTCCTTCATCAGCCACGCAGCAATGGTTTCAGGAGCTCAACGACTTGGAGGAGGAAAGCTCTGATCTTGAATATTCAGTGGAAGCACTTCTTTTGCTACAGAAGTCTATGCTGGAAAAACAATGGAATCTTTCTTTTGAGAAAAAAGTATTAAGGGATTCAACATCAAAAACAACTGACAAGAAGATACCGGTCACTTGTTCTGGGGTATCTGCTCGTCAAAGGAGGATGACTAGTACCAAGAGGAAAACTTTTAACAAAAGCACTTGCGTAATGCACCCTAGCACCAATAAGCCTTTGAGAGCCATTGTCAGTCCGGAGCTGCTTCAGAATCGTGTAAAGGGTTATGTGAAGGGTGTTCTAAGTGAGGATTTGCTGACTCACACTGAGGTTGTACGCCTGTCAAAGAAAATTAAAGTTGGTCTTTCCGTAGAGGATCATAAATCAAGGTTATAACTGTTTCCTTTCAATCATGTGAATCATAAGTACTAAAGTAAGTGGGTCAATATCCAGGAAAAGAATTTCAAAGTGATCATAGGATAAACGCTGAAGCATTGATTTATTGTTTAAAAACTAGATATACTCTAGGAAGTATGCTGCTTTTTTCATGAAGCAAATCCCTTTCAACTTGCTAAGTTGTCAAACTTATCCACAAAAAGCAAGTAGTTTTTCTTTTACAGGGTGAGGAGTGTGGGTGTGTGTGTTTCATTTTTCTGAAACTTTTAATTGATTAATCTTCTGAGTAAGTTCACCCTTACGGAGATTGGTTCCTCATGCAAAAAGAAAAAGAAAATCGTTGTTATCTGGCGGTTTTTCTTTCTAATCCTAATCCTTGCTTTCGGATCTCCAGACTGAAGGAGAGATTGGGATGTGAGCCCTCTGATGAACAACTTGCAACTTCCTTGAGGATTTCCCGTGCTCAATTACAGTCGAAGTTGATTGAATGTAAATTGGCAAGAGAGAAGCTGGCAATGAGCAATGTTCGTTTGGTCATGTCCATTGCTCAGAGATATGATAATATGGGCGCTGAAATGGCTGACCTTATCCAGGTTATTTTCTGTTCTTTTACTTCAACAATGAGGCCCTGATATTTATCCAACAAATGAACCAAACTACTGTAATTCGAACAGAACGTGATTGGAATCTCATAATCTCTCATGTAGGGTGGGTTAATCGGACTACTGCGTGGGATTGAGAAATTTGATTCTTCGAAGGGGTTCAAAATTTCTACATATGTTTACTGGTGGATACGTCAGGTAAGGTTAATGTTTTGCCTTCAAATGGTAACTATAGTGGGTAGCAATATATAGCAGATATCATCATGCAAAACTGACTGATTGAAAAAACTAACCCTGGATACTTTTTCCTTATATCCTCAGGGTGTTTCAAGAGCACTGGTTGAAAATTCCAGAACCTTAAGACTGCCTACACATTTGCATGAGAGGTTAGGTTTAATCAGAAATGCAAAAATTAGATTGGAAGAGAAAGGAATAACTCCATCAATTGATGTAAGTATTTTTGTTATTATAGCAAGCAATTGTTGATTACCATAAATTTCAATGTTTCTTCATTTTTAATTACCACAATATTGTTGATTATCACTCTGCTCTTGCCTGATATGTGCTTACACTTCATTATCAGAGGATCGCAGAAAGCCTGAACATGTCCAAAAAGAAAGTTAGGAATGCTACAGAGGTACTAAATGCTTGTGTTATTCTGTTTTATGCATTCCTATGTTGTTATCTCCACGCTCACCATGCAATTTTATAATATGTAGGCAATCAGTAAGGTTTTCTCACTTGATAGGGACGCATTCCCCTCTTTAAATGGCCTTCCAGGAGAAACTCATCATAGTGTAAGTGTTGATTACATCACCTCAATTTTTGCAATTCCAGTTTAGTAAATTTTCATTTCCATGCATGCCAGTTTTCAGCCTCGTAATTGACCTTCTCCTTTATAAATCTTTTACAGTACATTGCAGATAATCGCCTTGAGAACATCCCATGGCATGGGGTGGATGCGTGGGCATTGAAGGTAAGAAGAGGAATACATGAAAAATGTAAAACAACATGCCAAAGTGTGACCATTGTAATCAAAAGGAGATAGTTCAAGCATATCACAAAAAAAATCCCATTAAAGGTCCTTAAAGAAAAACCACATTGATTTGATCTTATAAAGTTCATTAAATTAGTGATACTTTTATCTTAAATGTTAATTATCACCTTTTAGAGTGCAGAAGCTTTCAGTTTTCAATTAAAATGGGAGTTAAAAATAAAAATAAAAATAAAAAGTGACTATTCATCCTTTTCTTTGGTTGGATTCCAGCACTGGCACTGGAGCTGGTATATGGCACTCATCCTTTTGTTTTCCTTCAGAATATGGGTGGTTGTAAACACACCGTTTAAAATGCACCCTTAAAAGAATTATTATTGCGTTGACAGAGAGATCATATTTCGAGTTACGTGTGTGTGCACATATGTTGTGTGTGTGTGTGTGTGTGTGTGTGTGTTGGAAGATTGGGGAAAAGGGCAGTGAATGTGTGTATTACATTTACGTCACATGTTTGTTTCTGAATTGTGAATTTTTAAAAGATTCTAAATTCTGTAGTTGTACTCCAAGAGTAGTGGAGAAAATTAACTGTGCCAGTGATATATATTTGCAGGAAGAAGTAAGCAAGCTCATAAATATGATGCTTGGGGAACGGGAGAGAGAGATCATACAGCTTTATTATGGTCTGGAAAATGAATGTCTTACTTGGGAAGACATTAGTAAACGGTGAGTCCAAACAAGAGCCTAAATTCAGATGTTAATATTTTGTAGACAAAAGGGCAAAAGGGAATGAAGTGCACATGATTGGAAACACCTATGGTCTCTGTTCTGTGTGCCATAAAATCAAAACAATCAGATAACCTCTAGCTCTCTCTTCAAACTACCTAAGTCTTAATGCTAGTCATGTTTGCAATCTCCACTTGCTTCTTGCTTGCATCTAACTTTTCCATCCACTTGATTTGACTATGTTATTATGTCAATTCTTCAGTATAGGATTGTCCAGAGAAAGAGTTAGGCAAGTTGGACTTGTTGCTCTAGAGAAACTGAAACATGCTGCGAGGAAAAGAGAGATGGAGGCCATGCTACTGAAACATTAATTTGGTCTGTTGTATTTGAGACACCACAATGCATGTACATATATACACGAGAGGACGAGACAATTGTACCTTGAAGTTGTTTTCAGGTTTGAGATAGTATAGAAGGAAGTAGAGGGTCCATGACCTGACCCTAAACGTTCTGTAACAAGACCAGAAATCAATCACTAAGAGCTCATAAGTTGGAGCCCAGAATTTTTTGCATGAATTATCTTTGGAGAGAAACTATCTATGTGTTGGTCATGTTTTTATTAGTTATGATGATAAGGATTTTCCCCCGCGCCTTGATCTACAGGCCTGCTCATTTCATATATACAAGCAAGCAATAATGTTTCATGATAAGTCTGACCTAGATAAGTTTTTGTAATTGACAAGTTCTATTCTCTCTCTCTCTCTGCATGCACATACCTGGGAAGAGTCCGAGCCAAATTAGCTGCAACAGTTTTTTTATATTTTATATTTAATAATATTTTCTTTTTCTTTCCATTTTCTACCCAAAATGGTAGTAAACTCAGATAAAAGAAAGAAAGGTGCAAGGATGTATCTCAAATTTTGAATGATGTGTAAATGTCGAAAAAGTTTCACCTTCCACTTTCCAATTCATGTTCCTTTTCCTATTCTAATTCCTAAACTTCTGGATCCGTGAAAGTTTTTCTCCTGGTTAAAACGTACGTTTTGCGTTAAATATCTCATACACACATGGACAACAATATCGTGTTATTGCGATATCAAGTACCAAAGCCCAAAGGAGGAGAAAAAGCAAGAAACAAATATCTATTTTCCACGTGTCGTATGGAGATACGCACATCTGACACACCCCCAATCTCCACCTGCAAGTGTTGGGTTGCTCTTTTATTTTCCGAGCTCAGTCATTGAGTTGAGAGTGCAATCTCACCTCTCTCTCTCTCTCACCTCTCTCTCTCTCATCAAATCAAAGAAATCAATGGCCAAGTGTCTAGTGGTGCCCTATTCCTGTTCCTCTACTGGAACTAGAAGTAGAACAAGAAGTAGCGGTAGCGCTAGCACTAGCAAGCCACCTGGACTGCAAGTACAATTGCAACATCATCATCTCAAATATTCCTTGATCCAACAAAAATCTCTATCCGTCTCCGCCCAATGCTACTATAAAACCCACACCTTGCTTCGCCGCCGAATTCTCTGCGCTCTCGACTCTGACGTCCCTCACCCTCTTCATCATCAGGTTCAGGTACTCTCTCTCTCTCCCCCCTCCATACACAAACTACGCATTTCAGCAATGCATTCCTAATAGTAATCCATAACAATTGCACCTTGTTCACTACTTTTCTGCCTATGCGTAAGCGTATTTATGTAAAACAATATAAACCGTTATTTTTTTCCAATTTCAAACTTCAATTAATTATTGCTATCTTTTTCTTAATTTATTTTCTCTTTTAAAGAAAGTCAACATATAATTTCAATTTCTTTCAGATTCCTATGCTCTTCCCAGTAACCAAACATATACACAAACAATTGATGTAGTGATTTCCATTTAAATTTCATATGAGCCCTTAATTTGGGTTGAAAATGCTGATGTTTCAAAATTGTTTTTTGGAATCTCTTCAATGGATCGGTGAAATTCAAGAGCAATAAAAGTTTCGAGCAATGGGACTCCTGGACAGCAAAATTCTCTGGTGCATCAAATATCCCATTTCTGTTACTGCAAATGCCTCAGATCATACTCAATGCCCAAAATCTTCTGGCAGGAAATAAAGCTGCACTTTTGGCAGTCCCATGGCTGGTAATACTTTGCACCGGCTTACTTGTTATAATATAGCAGCGCCTTTTCTGATTTCTATGTTCTTGGCTATTATCTTAGATGCCCTTTACAAGCTGAAAACTTGTCCCAGTCAGACCAAAACAACAATAAGAGGAAGACAGAAACAAAACTGTCTCAATAACAATATAACTATATTCCATTTGGCTAAGTTGACTAAACTCTAACACTTACAAGCTCTATGTGCCTAAACGTGCAAGATTTGAACATACTTATTTCTTTTCTTACACATCTCAGCAACCAAACAGCTCATAGGCTTTTAATTACCTAAGGGAGGGAATGTTGTAAATGCAGGGAATGTTTACTGGTTTGCTTGGAAACCTTTCACTGCTTTCATATTTGCAAAGAAGAGAGAGAAGGAGGCGATTGTGGTGCAGACATTGGGCGTAATTTCCTTATATGCGGTTTTTGCTCAACTTTCTATGGCAGAAGCGATGCCTCTACCTTACTTTGTGATCACCTCCGTGGTTGTGGCAACTGGTCTTGTTTTGAATTTCTTGAATTACTTTGGTCTGCTTAATGCTGGAATCTGGCGCTTCTGGGAAGATTTTATTACTGTTGGCGGGCTATCAGTTCTTCCCCAAGTGATTCTCTCTCTCTCTCTCTCTCTCTTCCCCCCCTCTCTCTCACTTGATTTTCTTGTTAATAATTTTGTTACAGATTATGTGGTCTACGTTTGTTCCGTATATACCCAACAGTATCTTGCCTGGTGTATTTGCTTTTCTTGTTGCTCTGGTGGCTGTTATTATGGTAAGTTTGGCCCCATGTAGAGTTATATTTTGACTTTTGGTCCTTTGATGTATTAAGATATAATTCCTCAGAAATTGTGTGATCAACATGTAGATAGTGTGTGTTACACATAAAATGTGCTTGAACTTCCTTGTTTCTGAGATTAAATATTTGTCATTTACTGATTAAATAAGACACTCATTTGAAGTGATCTCTCATATGCCTTATATGTAAATGCATTTCCTAGTTTCATCAGGTGGAGTAGATCTGTCAATGGCCTCTTTTGTTTCTGGTGGTTTCTAGGTCTAAATACAATCTGTTAAAATCAAGACTAGACCAGAAAACGCGGGGATGCAATCATTGTATGTATGCCAAAAAGAACCAGAAGTTGTTTTGAGGTCTCCTTATTCGCTGTCTGTTAGTAATACGGATTGCAGTCCTTTGATCATGGAATTAAATATCTTTTTTGTTTTATATAATGATTGTATGACAACTATATGAAAATAATTAATCACAGACCTTTACCACTTAAATCGTTGTAGGATATAATCATTTGACTTTTGCTTACGGTGTAAGATTGCCTTTTGAGAGGACGCATTAAATGGGTAGGTCTTAAAAATGCTTATTTTGTTTACTCTTAAGTCAAAGAATCTTATTCTGTTACTTGAATCGTGGCATAGTCAATTGATTAAAGGGGACCTGCTTTGAAGTTAACCTCTTGTCTTTAACATGAGTGATGCGTGTTTGTTTATCATCTGAAATGAGAAAAACTTTTAACTCTTTTTCCTTTTATTTTCTCAATTTTCTTTGCAAAGCTAAGATAGAAATACAGGAGGACACTCTATCGTGCATCTTTTTAGAATCTGCTTATTTTTGCAGGCGCGATTGGGGAAACTCTCTGCAAAAGGCATCAAATTTGTTGGAGCTATATCTGGATGGACAGCTACACTTCTTTTCATGTGGATGCCAATTTCGCAAATGGTACTGTTTTAAAATTTTTAGTGTTAATTTTTGTATACATCTGACAACAATTGGTGCTTTCTGTTCAGTGGACAAATTTCCTAAATCCTGACAACATCAAAGGTTTATCAGCTTTCTCGATGTTGCTTGCAATGATTGGAAATGGACTTATGATCCCACGTGCCCTTTTTATTCGTGATTTTATGTGGTAATTATCTTTCTTTTTTTTAATTGGTAATCTTTTTCAATGTACTTCTTAAACTGCTCTAGTGGTTGATCTATCTGTTGATTTAATAATGCGTTTATATTACTGAGTTTAAGTAAGAATAACGGTAAACAATGACTGCAGGTTCACTGGTTCTACCTGGGCTTCTTTGTTTTATGGATATGGGAATATCGTGTGCTTGTATTGGTAATTGTTCCTGATTTATGGTTATTCATAGTTTCTGATGTTCTTTTGGTAGAAAGTTTGATCTCTACAAAGAAACGGTATCTTATTTGTAATTCCAGGTTCAACAGTATCAGCAAGGAATTTTTCTTAGCAGCAACAGCTGGTTTGATTTTGTGGATAGGTTATTTCTTTTCCAGTATTATCAATTCTTACATCATCCCCCTCTGAAAAACGATAGTATTGGCAAAGAAAATAATCAAATCTAATATGAACATTTTCTCACTTTATGCTTAGGCCGATTAAGCATTCGGCATAACGAGCTCTGATATTTTTCTCCTTACAGGAATGGCTCTATGGAGAGATGCTGATGTCTACGGATACAACTCACCTTTCACATCTTTGAAAGAGTTAGTTTCTGGATCCTAAATTCAAAAGTCAGGTGATACTGCCAAAAAGCCCAAAAGATCTTAAAGCGATCTGGTATGGCAATATCAAGGCATGAGATATAACAAATCTTCTCCACTGCAATGTCAATGCTTGATTCTTGTTGCGGTCATTGCAGTTGGGCAAGAGTTAAGGACAGCTGCGTGGAAATTTATTCCTCACAGTGGCATTAATAATGCGTCTGGTAGAATGTCTGATGATGTTGTGTAGTCTAATTCCAATTAATAATGTAAGTAAAACTCCATGTCCTATCTTTACAGTGGCCTGCTTGGTAATGTCCGAGAACACAACTCCAGCAACCTCACATATATGCAATCACACCGTTTTCTGCCTGGTTTGCAGCCCCCCTTTCTTTTGGGCAGCACAATTGTGTCGATTATAAATCAGGCTGAATTAACCAACACATTTATTTAGAAATTTCCAATTTAAGCTTCTTTGGGTAGAAATTCTTATGTGGTGCTGCATCTCCTAGGAGTAATTTTTCGATGTGACAGTCATTCCGTCATATTTGTATTACAATACACCAAACTCATGCAGTTGTTAGGTCTAATTCCGATGGCAGAGGAGAGGTTGGTGCCCCTAGCTCCTTCTCCTCATATTTATGTTTCTTCATATTTTTTTCATTCTAATGTTTTCTATTTTTTATTCTCTTTCACACGGGTTTTGATGGCAAGTGGGAGGCACTCTTTTTACTTGTGTGGATTTTCCTCTTCTTTGGGGTTTTTTTATTTTTTTATTTTTTTTATGTCAGAGGTTTTAAGAGGCCTAAGCTTGTACATCTTGTTTTCCTTTTTTCATTGTATTATGCTGTTTGGTTAATGAATTAAATTCATTTTGATTTAAAAAAAGCCTTGCTCATTTTAGACTTTTTGCAAAGGGGTATTGTTTTCATTAAAGAAAAAGGAACTTAGAGCATCCACAATCATGCTCTTTATTTTTTAGTTAAAATTTAGCTAAAAACACTAGAAAGCTATTTTATGAGCTCTCTATAAAATTTTAACTCCAACTATACTCCTTAGGCCCCGTTTGGGATTGCTTTTTTTGGACAAAAGCCTGCTTCACTTTAAAGTTAAGCAATTTCAGGTGTTTGGTAAAAATAAAATATCTCGATTATTTTAAAAGCAGTGACCTTTTGACAACAGCTTTTAAAAGCAGGCTACGGGTTGCTTTTCAAAGCTGCTTTCAAAAGAAGCAGAGATGAACCTTTAATGAATTTTTTTAATTCCCAAAATACCATCATTCATTTTAAAAAATAACACCACCTCCACTTCCACATCCAACTCCACCACCACCACCACCACCACCACCACCACCACCAACTCCACCTTCACCTCCACCTCCACCACAACCACCACCACCAACTCCACCTTCACCTCCACCACCACCACCACAACCACCACCTCCTTCAAAACCTTCACATCCACCACCATGCTGTCACTACCACCACCTCCACTTCCAAATCTGCCACCACCACCACCTTCTCCACCACCACCACCACCACCACCACCACCACCAACTCCACCTTCACCTTCACCACCACCATCACCACCACCACCACTACCACCACAACCGCCACCACCAACTCCACCTTCACCTCCACCACCACCATCACCACAACCACCACCTCCTTCAAAACCTCCACATCCACCACCACCACCACCATGCTGTCACTACCACCACCTCCACAAGCGCCATCCCTACCACCACCACCTCCACTCCATCACTACCACTACTACCACATGATTAGTACATAACACTTTTAACATCATGTCTATTTTAGTCATTATTTACAGTTACAACAATTTTATATTAAAACTTACCAAACGGTTTTGACACTGCTTTTTGTATTAACAGCACTTTAAAAATATTGTTTACCAAACACGGACCTGCTTTACTTTACAGCTAATTATTTTCAAAGCACAGCATAAGCAACTTTTTTTTAAAGTGACAGCAATCCCAAACTAGGCCTTAGTTTAAAGAGTCATAAATGTTTTCAAATTCAATTTTTGAATAAAGTGTAGACACAAAGGCAACAATAAAAAATAATTTGCTTTAAATAATATTAAATAAAGAAGCATTTAATTATAGGAAGTCACTAAGAGTCATTTCTCTCTCCTCAGATTTAGAAGCTTCTTCCCTATTTTAAGAGCTGAATATGGAGCATAGTTGGAGATGAGTTTTTTCAATTCCTCCCTAAATTTTAGCTAAGGAGGTGGTTTAGGGAGCCCATTGTAGACGTATTTTTGGGACAAAGAACTTATGCACTGAAGAGAGTTGGTATCCAAACACTCCCAAATAAGCTATGATAATTATCATCAAACAATTTAATGTTTATAAATAATACTATATGTTCGTGTATATATTTTCATCCACTTTTCTTCTTTAATTTAAAATTACAAATTTAAAAAAAGTTAAAAAACTGAAGAAAAAAAAATTCCAAAATGGAGCCATTCCTAGCTAGACTTGTAAATGGATCGGATTCGGATTGGATATACCTCAATTCATCCAATCCATTTATAATTGAATTTTCAGATTCGGACCATCGAATTGCATTTATCAATCCATATCGGTTAAGCATTGGATTCAAATCGAATCAGATTATTATTGGATTTAGTTTTGAGATGTATAAAAAATAATAATAATAAAAAAATTCATTAGTAGCCTTGTTCTTTTATTGTATTTATCTATTTCATTCAAGGCCAATTTCTCTTACCCTCTCCGAGAACTCACCAACCCTCCCCTGCCCATTAAGGTTGTCTGGCCATTCATGGTCGTTCATGCAGCTCAGCCTGCCAATCGTGCCCGTTGTTATATTGAATTTATAATTTAAAAATTATTTAAAGGTAAAGTATTTTTTACTAATTTTTTAAATCCATGCTGGAGGTGGGTAATGCCACATCACATGTACGAAATTACCTTAGTACCCCTGCCACTCATCAAAATTAACAAAGTTATGACTGGAGATGAGGACATGGGGCAAATTGGAAGAACAAACCTTGTCAAGGGGGTAATGTGTACCACTTTGACTTTCGGGGGCAATGTAGGATTTGACCATAGTTTCAGGGATACTACAGTAAATAATTTAAAGGCAAGGACGGTTGGCTTTTTTTTAAAAGTTTAATCCTTGATTGACTGAAAACTATAGTAAACGAGGTCTAGCCTAATGGAAAATAGTTTTGACTTGCAGAATAGTGGTCTAAGGTTCGAATTCCCTATGGCATCTTAGTATTGTGTGTGAGAAACCCCCTCATCTTTTAGTTTAGATTATTGTGTAAATAAAAAAAAAAAAAAAAAAAAAAAAAAAAATATAACGGCGGCTGAACAGACAGAGAGGGATAATAGATGGGCCGCCCGTTGTGGCCCATTAGTTGTTGGGCTTCTGGACGGCTAATGAAAATGGAACAAGCCATTGTACCAATTAAAGAAGGGAATGGAAATGAAATAACCCCTAAACCCTAGCCTGGGTTGTCACTGTCGAAGATTTTCTCTCATTTTCTCTCTATATGGGTTTCCAACATTATTGAAAGAGTTGTTGTTTCATTTCGCTTCCTCGTTATTGAAAGGAATTTCAGATGAACAAGCAATGAACAAATCACAAGCATTCTCGTGGTCGCGTCTCATCCTCAATCAAGCCATTAAAAATCCAACCAAAGCCCCACTCCGCTTCTCCAGGAAAATCTCCACTTCCCCACACTTTCTCACCTCTCATGCGCCCAAGCCCTCGTTTTCGTTTTCTGGGAAGACCCATTATTCCACAGTATCATCCAGAGCGGCCCAAGACCTTCTTGCCGAGGTAGAGAGAGAAAAGCAGAGAGAAAGAGAGCAGCGGAAAAGGACTGGTCTGGACACCAAAGACATTGATCAAGAAGATGAGGAGGACTACTTGGGTGTTATACCATTGATTGAGAAGCTCGATAAGGAGAAGCTCAAGGGGGATACTGGGGACTTGAACTTGTATGAGGAGCCTACTGATTCTGATAGCGACGAAGACGACGAAAGGTTCACGCCCGATGCCGTCAAGAAGAGGTTTGATGAGTTTCAGAAGAAGTTTACGCGCCACGAGGAGTTGCTCAAGAACTTCACCGAGGCTGGTATTCAGTGCTCTTTTTTTTTTTGCTTGTTTGGTGGCTTATTTTTATTTATTATTATTGACATTGCTTGATTGGATGGCTCACAATTGTGGGTGAAAAATATGAGAATGCAAATTTTTTTAATTACTATTCTTAGATTCCGAGTAAAACATGATGCTTTGTTTTATTTCTTGTTTGATTTAATATATACATACATGACAACATATAGTAATGCTTTTTTGGTTTCAATGAGACCCATAACACTCCGGGTAAGTATTTCAAATGCTATAATGGACATGAATTTATTTCTGTTGCAAAATTAAATCAAAGTTATGAACACTCATGATTGATTTATTTCAGTTATTTTGAAGAGCATTTTATCAGCAACAAGACAGAAAGCATCCGTGCACTGTTCAGTTTGATTGGTATTCCTATTAAATTTTTATGTCAGAAGTTCAATGTGCACATTTCATAGTGCTCCTCACAGTTGCTCGGAAAAAAAAAAAAATATGGACTTTCATGGTTTCTAAATGATTTCCCATGCTTTGTTTCTTCACAACTAGATTGGGGATTCAGGGTTATCTTATGTAATACTCTTCAGATTTGCACTGTACTTTTTTGTTTCTGAGATGAATTCTTATGTAAATCAGTGTAATACATTTTGTATTCCTGTAGTACATCATGACATTTGTTTACTTGATTTGAAATTTCTGGCAGGAACACTTGATGATGCTTTTAAATGGATGAATAAAATTGACAAGTTCGAGCAAAAACATTTCCGGCTTCGCCCTGAATATAGGGTCATCGGTGAGTTGATTAACCGTCTCAAAGTAGCTGAGGGCAAGGATAAATTCATTCTCCAGCAGAAACTAAACAGGGCTATGAGATTGGTGCAGTGGAAGGAAGCCTATGACCCAAACAATCCTGCCAATTATGGAGTCATTCAGCATGAACAAGTGGAGTCCTCAGTTGATCTCTTGGAACATGCTGGATTTGAAAAAGAAAAGCAAATTATACGAGGAGTTGATGACGATGACGATGAAGAGTTCAATGACATGAAGGAGAAAGATGACATACTGTTAGAGAAACTTAACGCGATTGACAAGAAACTTGAAGAGAAGCTAGCAGAGTTGGATCATACATTTGGGAAGAAGGGTAAGGTTCTAGAGGAAGAGATCAGAGATCTAGCAGAGGAAAGAAATGATTTGACAGAGAAGAAGAGAAGACCCCTCTACAGAAAAGTAAGTACATTTATCATCAAGTGGACCTTTTACTGATTTTAATTCAGCATAGGCGACAACTGACAAACTGATTGTAGTAAGTATTCAGAAGTTTCGAAATTGTTGTGGGTTAATTTTGATGCATTTTCTTTTCAATTTTCTATCCAATGTTTTTATTCTTGTTATAACCTTCTCTCTCTCTCTCTCTCTCTCTCTCTCTCTCTCTCTCTTTTTGTTTTTTTTTGGTGGTTTTGGTTTAATGGTGTATGTAAATGATTCATTACTTGAGAGTACACATATCATCCATATGATGCCTGTAGAAGAAAGATTATATGTTGATTGTTTCTTATATGGTTAGCCATGTGATACTTTGAAGTTTGAGTGGAGTTTCCACAACTTTTGTTCTGTGTTTTCCAATCATTCTTACTAAAGTATGTTCTTCGAAGAGTTTTATGTTGTTTTGATCACCATTGCGTTTTCCCTTCCATTCGCATACATTTTTTTTTTGCGTGCAAACTCCAATATTTTTGACCATTCTATCCATTACATGCTGGCAGGGCTTTGATGTTAAAATAATCAATGTGAACCGAACTTGTAAAGTTACAAAGGTATTCCCACCACCTTGCATTTTTTTTTTTTGCAGTACATACATTGCTTTTGATTTCTCGTAACAGAGAATGATGTTTCCACATTTCTATTTATGGCTTATAGGGGGGTCAAGTGGTCAAGTACAGTGCCATATTAGCTTGTGGGAACTATCATGGTGTTGTTGGTTATGCTAAAGCAAAAGGCCCAGCAGTCCCTATTGCTCTTCAGAAGGTATTTTGTTGAGAGCTATGAATTTTACAGAATTCCATATATTTACACAGTTTTAGCCTCATATTTTTTATTTGTTCATTTGGTAATGATTCAGGTTGCATGTCTTTGTGTGGTTTGGTTTGATTTTTTTTATTCAAGTGTTAATATTTTAGAGGTAGCCATTGTGGTCAAAGTAATAGAACTGATTATTTTAGATTTAAACTGGATCATATCATATATGGTGTTGTAATATATCATGTATGTGATACACATTCTATGTAGGTATTAATCATATAGGATTGGAAATGAGAATTTAATTGAATGTCTGCTTCTAGCAATATTTGTATTCTGACTTAAAAGGTCTACCAAGTAATTTGGTTGGATCTATTTGGATAAGTTTCCAGTGGTCGATATTCGGATATATCCTGGTATAATCTGAGATTTGATTTTATAATAATAATAATAATTATTATTTTTACAAGATAGGCTTTGGTAAGTTCAATTCCTGCAACTTTATGTATCAATGGTTCACCTGCGTTGGTACTCAAATAACAAAAATGCTTTTCTATTGGGGAGAACAAAATGTGGGCAGATCACCCTAACTAGCCCTGGTAATTGTTACCCTTCTGGTCCAATGAAGCATGAATACTCCATTTTTTTTTTTGGTGGAGTATCGACACCCCTAATATGTGCCTAATGCCGTGTGGATAGTTCATTGTGTATCTAGTTTGACTTTTCATACGACATTGATACGTGAGGAATCCAGGATGGATATATGAAGGATTATTTTTAGAAATTTGTTAGGAAAAAAACGGATTGGTTGATTTTAAGTAGTGTTGGAATTATTTTCCGAAAAGAAGGGGAGATGAGTGGTATTTCAAAATTTTAAAGGCTAATATGAAAACAAAACATAACCTAACATAAATAAGAACCCTAAACCCTACTCAATAGAAGAGGATGGTACTGATCATTGGAGCACAATGAGCGCATCTTAGTTTCCAGAGAGATGTCATGTCCTTGCATTGTACACTGCATGTATATGCATGCAACATATTTGTCTGTCATTCTTCTTTTGGTTAGCATCCCCGTTATCTATGGGCAAAACGCCTTCTTCCATCTCAATTATTAGAAAACTCCTTTGGAAATGGCCATCTATGAATAATACTACTTGTTCATCAACTCAGGGAGTATGACCAGTTTTTCTATTATCTAGGACCACATGAGGAGCATGCAATTGTACATGTGATACAAACAGCATATTAAAAGATGGGAAGCCCACCATAGTTTTTCAACTTAAAGAAATTAAAAACAGTTTTTCTTGTCAGTTTGGTGACTGTTTTCACTCTTGTTTCCTTTTGTCAGGATTTTGAACTTAATGTAAAGAGATTCTCTTATTCAAATGGCAAACATTATGGGTTTTTAAGTGTTTCCTCTTTTGCGCATAGACTTACTGGCAACTGTCATTTGTGAAATATTTACCTGAGTCATTCATGTTTCTTTTCTTTTGGTGATGCACGCATTGGTTTTACAACAATCAGGCGTATGAGAAATGCTTTCAGAATCTACACTACGTAGAAAGACATGAGGAGCATACAATTGCACATGCAATACAAACAACTTACAAAAAAACGAAGGTGATTGGCTCGTCTTTCTCGTATTGATTTTTTGTTCTGGTTTAGTATTTTCTTTGTTCTCCTCTTTTTCTTGTTTTTCCTCCATGATATAGAGCCTACCTTTAACCTGTAATTCTTATTAGGTGTATCTCTGGCCTGCATCCACTAGGACGGGTATGAAAGCGGGAAGAACTGTCCAAACCATTCTAAACTTAGCTGGTTTCAAAAATGTCAAGTCTAAGGTAATTGACTGTCAAAAGGAAGTCATTTTTACCAAGGGGTGGCTCCTGCAATTTGGTTTGTTGGTCTAACGTCCACACTCTTGTCAGGTTGTAGGTTCAAGGAATCCTCATAACACAGTTAAGGCTCTCTTCAAATCCCTTAATGCGGTAAGTAGCCCCTTCAAATGTTATGTGATTTTCTTAAATTCATTCACTTTGAATTTATATTCACTGTGTCAATCTGTGCACTTTGCAGATTGAAACTCCAAAGGATGTTCAAGAGAAGTTTGGCCGCACTGTTGTTGAGAAGTACCTGCTGTGATAGATGTGTTTAATCTTGCTTGTTTGCAGAATTCTTTAAGTCCTGTTATGTTGTTCTGAAATAAGCTTGTATTCACTTATTAGATAATGTGATAAAAATGAAAATTTATTTATATGTTAGTTCTGTACTTGGTTAGTCTGGTTGGGAGGGGAGATGTGAGGAGGAAAAGCAAGTGCTGCGTAAGTTGAAACACAAGGTAAAGGACCAATTCTTTTCTACCATAATTTTTCATTCAAGAGATATGTAATTCAATTTGTTCCCCCTCATTCTGCCTAGCACTTGCTACTTTTTTTAATTTTTAATTTTTTATAACAATTTTTTTGAAAGGTTGCTTGGTTTTTTTGTTTTTGTTGTCTTACCCCCTCCCTATAGTTGCTTTGTTTCTTTTAATTCAGTTCAAATGAGAAACAGAGAAAAGGGAGGAAGACCTTCGGTTTCGGTAAAGATGCATGTGTTTCAACTTCTGTGAGGTTTTATATTTAATTGATTTTCTTACGCGCATTTTTATTACTTTTTTAATACATGAAAAATGTAATATTCTGCTTTATTTTTTCTTTTTCTTTCCATGTTTTTATATTGATAGAAAAAGTAAATTACAAGGTAGATCCATTAAGCATCTTATGTTCATACAAATCACAATGTATTCTAAAAGCAACCTCCCTCAGGAATTTTACTAAACCATTTACAATTGGAAGAAACTTCTCGTCCCTTTTTAGAGAGTGTATTTGCCACCATATTTGCTTCTCGATAAATATCCACTTTCTTTCTTTGCTTCGTTGCTTTTAGATATAGTGTGGTTGTTTGCGTTTAAAAAAATCGCAGCCATTCAATTTAATCGAATGGAATGGAGTCATTCTCTTTTCTCCTCTCTCAAACTGACTTTGCCCTCTTACATTAAATTACAGAATTTATTTATAACCAAACGTGAAATTCTGAGTAAATCTTTGAGGAAGAAAACATACATAACAGTAGTTTCTTCCAAAAATTTACACAAACATAAAAAGCATTTTTCCATGATAATAATTGATAAACAGTAAAAAAAGAAGAATCGTATTATAGTTTTCACCGCAAGTTGTTCGTTAAAATCGAACCATTTTAGTTAAAAATTAATTATAATTAATTTGCTGTGTAAGTGAAAGATGAAAATTTTGAAGATACAAGGTAAGTTAAGGTCCTTGGGACACCTCAGCGGTGAGTGCAGGTGTCACGGACTCACGGGATCAGTTCATCATGAGTCATATGATCATTGACATGACATTAATCGGATCGAACCACACACTCCAACCAACGAGCCGAATACCCAAGAATTTTCTCAAGACAACATAATTGAGGTGAAGATAGAATTTGACAGTGTGGAAAATGGTAGTGTCATCGGAGGAGGGTACGGACAAGATCCGGAAGGTGGTGGGATTTGGGTACTGGGTGCAGGGCTTCAGGTGCTTCCCATGGATGGCCGTCAACTTCTTCCTCAAAGACGGCCTCCGAGTCGATTCCTCCACTCTCCAGCTCCTCCAGAACTCCGCCAACCTCCCCATGGTCGCCAAGCCCCTTTATGGTGTTGTTTCCGACGCCGTCTACATTCGTGGCCAGCACCGCATACCTTATATCGCCTTCGGAGGTACCTACTTACTACTTACTACACCACACCACACCAATTTCTTTTTTCTTTCTTTCCTGAATTGGCTTCATCTTCGTCACCTTTTGGAAAACCTAATTTTGAACTTCGTTATGAATTATCATTGATTAATTATTCCTTTTGTAAAACCTAATTTTGAACTTCGTTATGAATTATCATTAATTAATTATTGTAAAGAAAAATAAATTTTTTTTACAGGATTGGCCTTTTTTGTCTTAAGCTTCTTTTTTATTTACTTTGTCGGTGTCGATGTAGTTTTGAATTAATAATTTGATCTAAGGAATCAGTGCAGTGCAGAATACAACAGGGAGTGCAGTGCACGCAGTCAGGGCCCGGCTCCCTTTTTCTTTTTACATGGAATTTGGATTAGAATTTGAATAATTCAAACTCCTCATATCATAAGCTTCAATGCTTTCGTTTGCTCAAAGATTCTGGAGCAGCAAAATAGCCAAATAAAAACTGCAGTAACAGATGTGCTAATACTTATCCACGGCTCTTTAAACCCAGCTTGTATTTCCTCCTCCCCATTTAATTAGGATAAAGATGCAACTTCTTTGTGATGAGTCAACTATTACTCTTTTGATTATGTCTCCCAATATACAACGATGTGCCATCACACAACAGAATTTTCTGCATGTCTAAATATCGGTTCAAACATTGAAATTTAGTACTTCGCCAAAAAAATTCATTAGTTATTTTAAGTAAATGTAACATTCATATAATGCACCCCGCTTTTGTTCACATGATAAAAATAATAATATTTCTTCCTTAAAAAAAAAGAGAATGTGAAGTTTCTATTCTCCTAGGCCTAAATTTGGTTCATAGATCCACCAATTTAATCATAGTTCTAGTTCATCTCTCTCTCTCTTTTTTTTCTTTTTTTTTTTTTTTTTTTTTTGGGTCATTTCTAACACAACTCATCTGTTGTTGCAGCTTTCTTACAAGCAGTGTCATGGCTAGCCATAGCAATCCTCTCTGAATCAGGCATTTCAATTGGCACCATGACACTATATCTTCTCCTTAGTAATCTCGGTGCTTCAATTGCTGAGGTAGCCAATGATGCCATTGTTGCAGAGGCGGGAAAGCAGTCTAAGTCCTCCAAAAATTCTCAACCATCATCCTCGGGTGAGCTCCAATCATTTTTCTGGATTGCTTCAGCTATGGGTGGAGTCCTTGGATTCCTCCTAGCTGGTCTTTCCATTGACAGATTCTCTCCCCAGAAGATGTTCCTGTTCTATGGCCTTCTCCTTACCGTCCAGTTTTTTCTAAGCATTTTTGTCCAGGAGAGTTCTTTGGACCTTCCCAAGAGGACAGCCGACGTTGGGATTCAAGAGAAGTTTACAGAGCTCTTGGTTGCACTAAGAGAACCTGAGATTGCTTACTCAATTACATGGTTTGCGGCTTCTTATGCCATTATTCCTGCATTGACAGGCACCATGTTCTTTTACCAGACGCAGTATCTGAATATTGACTCATCAGTGTTGGGAATCTCAAAGGTGTTTGGTCAAGTGGCAATGCTTCTATGGAGTGTCATCTATAATCGTTACTTGAAGTCAGTCGCACCAAGAAAACTGATTTCTGCCATTCAGGTTACAATGGCTGTATTTATGGTTTCTGATGTGTTGTTTGTGAATAGGATTTATCGAAATTACATGGGGGTGCCAGACAATTTCTACGTTGTGATGTTTTCTGGCCTTTCGGAGGTTCTCTTCTTTATTAAGATTCTGCCCTTCAGCATTCTTATAGCCAAGCTCTGCCCACGGGGATGCGAGGGATCTCTAATGGCATTTGTAATGTCTGCAATAGCGGTTGCATTCATAGTCAGTGGATATCTTGGTGTTGTGCTTGCGTCGTATGTTGGGGTCAAAGGAAATGATTTTTCAGGGTTTCCACTTGCCCTACTAATACAGGCACTTCTCACACTGTTGCCTCTATATTGGTCATCTTGTATCCCCGATGATGTAAAATCAAAAACCAGTCGGAAAAAGAAATAGCCGAATATAGTACTGTACTACTGGTCCATGTCAGATAAAATCTGAGGATATTTTGATTTTTTAACTCAACTGTCCCTATGCTCATCATGTACAAGGGGAAGTTTTGTGTGCAGAAAACTAGTGGAGTTATAATATCTTTCACGTTGCGAATAGAAATTTTAACTAGTGGAGTTATAATATATATAAGATTGTCAAAGAAAAACATGTACACTTGCTTGCTTTATATTTTTCAGTCTCCCAACCCAAGCATCCTAGCTCTGTCCTCCATTCTGATTATAAGCGTTCGCGTTTTTATTAAAAACATGTACTATCCAACTATCTCGCATAAGTTGATCCCATGAAATTATAACATCATGTAACCCCTAATAACATAAAACACACTCTCTATGTGAAAGAGTTTGAGAAACTCTTGGGGGATATCCTTGTGAGTATAACCTAATTGACCAAAAGAAAAGAAAAGAAAAAAAAATGTAAAGCTTAATTTGACCGCCGCCACCCAATTTTGTAACAGAAAGTAATATTACATTACTTGAGAGATGAAGTATAAATTTGTAAAGATAACGGGTCCCGGAAGTAAATATGTAGTAAGACAAGGACCTATAAGGAAAGGAAAATGCCAATAGATAAACGTAGCGGGCCCTTTATTTTCATTTTCTGTTGAAGAAGAAAGGAATTCAAAATTTGAGAGAGAGAGAGAGAGAGAGAGGTGTTAAGGGATGGCAACAAGATCAAAACCAGGGAATACGAATATGAAAGGTTTCTACAGGCAAAGGAAAAGCAGTAGCATCGGCGGTGGTATCTCCAAGAAGAACAAATCTCAATCGACCGCTTACCCAGCTGCTGCCTCTTTCGGCTCGGATGTCACCCAACCCACCGCACTTATGTCACACGCTTCTCTAGACCTCAAAGGTCCATCTCTCTTCTTGGTTTGTATTTTTCAGGGTTTCTTTTCTTTTGTCTGAATATTCGTTAGGGTTTTCAGTACAGCATTTTCTTGCGATGTATTGTACCCATTGCGTTGCCAAATTCCTTCTTATTCTCCGTTTAATTGGGCGTCTCAACATTTAGGCGAGTTTTCATCTGAGGACTAAAACTATAGAATTTGGTGGATGATTCATTAGTTTTATATAATTTGATACAGATCCACAAATTACACCTATTGTTGGTTTTACTCCGCATATTATTGTTGTCTTTATTTGAATTGAAAGTTTGAAACCCCAATAGTTCAGAGTTATCGGCTATATCAATTTACCTAACGAAAATAGTTGATTGGTTGCATTTTCTTACTGGGGTTAACAGGATCTGTCCTACCAGCCCAATAGGTATGCTGTTAAAATTTTTGTATACCTAGTCCGTGCTTCCGGTTGAGATTTGGTATGTGTTAGATTTTTTTGTTTTTTTGATTTTGTTGTATTAGTACATTGTTATTATATACATAACGGAACGGTACAATTTATATGTATCAATTAAAGAGGGTTCATATTTATATACTTACTACAAAAGTGGAATTTCCAGTGTGAAATATAACACAAGGCAGGATTTGATTTCGGGTGTATTGAATGAAGTCAGTTTACATGAGGGGGAGGTGTGAATTCTTGTTTCGAATTCCAAAACGGTTTCTTTTTTAGGAATAGAAAAATTCACTTTTCAATGTTTCTTTTGAACTAATAAATCTTGTTAAGATGTCTTGTATTTGTTAATAAACTGTTTTCTTTTGTTTTGTTTTTGTGTATATTCTCAAAGTTTCTCCACTGTTGAATCAAGGGTTCAGGAAACCACATCTAATTGCATCACTAAACTGGATACGGTTCGAGTAGTGACAGATTTTTCTATGCAGTTTTATTTTTGGGTTTGACGCTTTTTCTTTTTTGGTTGATAGATGATTATGATGAGCAAGAAGAGCTGTTGAGGCAATTTGATATGAACATGGCATACGGACCATGCGTTGGGATGACCAGACTTGAAAGGTGGGAGCGTGCTTGCATTCTGGGTTTGAACCCTCCTAAGGAAGTCGAGAGTCTTTTGACGGGTGGCAAAGTTTGCCGTGAGTGCTTATGGGATGGTCGCATTTAGAAATTACCCTGATTTGTGTATTGCCCTTGTCTAATGTATAAGGTTAAAGGAAACGTTCAGCATCTTGCCGAAAACATGTTTTTATGATGGACTGAATCTCTTAAATCTATTTTGTGCACAAGTTTTAATTTATAGTGCTATTGATGCCTAACCTTATATATTTGAGATATTTAGTCATATAGATAAATTCTATACCATGTAATTTCTATAAACAAACTCCAAAAAAACTCAAAAAATGACAGTGGGCCTTATTAAATTTAATTTTGATTATTAAATTATTTTGATGCCTTATTGAGTGTTATGAATGTTTTTTTTCAATGAGGTTTTAGGATTGTGCTTGTTTTAATAAATCGATGACAGTTTTGTAATTTATAAGAAGTTAAAAGTTTCTTTGTTATGTTGTACATGAGTTTTTTTTTTGGTAAATACCACAAGGTGTCTCCACACTCGAATGGTGAGATTGATTCCTGTTCAAGATTCGACTTGCTCCTGGTCACAAAGCGCTCCCAACTGGTTTCGAACTTCTGCCATTGAGGCATAAGACAGTTCGTTAGTTGGAGGTGACAGTTTGTCACACCTTGTGATTAAAGGGCTTTGAGTGTGTTTTTAAAGTTCATTTCATATGAGGTTTTTTTTTATAATTTGGATTCCTATGTTGGGTATAGCAATGAATCTTCCTATAAAAACAGAAAAAGGGGTAAGCTTCCCAACGTGCGTTCCAACTTAAATGGAATAGAAAGCCCAGCTCATACGACGTCGTTCATAGAGAACTAGAAAAAAAATACGCTAGCTCTGCTCTCTATCCTCCTTCCTCACAGCGCCGTTCCATTCGTCCTCGCTCAACACCTCACACAACCAGAACGCGGCGCCTCAAGAGCTTGCTGCAAATACAGGTACGCCATATTCTTTCCCTCTCTATGGTGAGGCTGCGAGATATGTTCCAAACCAAGCACAAAATTTTCCAGATATGTTTAAAAATAACCCCTTGCCATAGACGACCATAGCGATGACCGTATCGGGGGAGTATCCGTTGGTCAACATGAATTCAACGATACGTCATACGTAAGTCGCCGTATCGGGCCGGAATCGTATCCGATACTCACATACCCCTCTTTGGAGGCGTATCCAGGGTTTAGGGTTTCACCTATACACAATTCAGAGTCTTTCCCCTCTCCGTCACTTTAGTCCCACTTGCCCCAGCACCCAATATTTCTTTAACCTTTTTAATTCTACAGTCCTTTCATCTGCTCTACCCAAAATCTCCTATTTTTGTGAATTAGGGTTCAATTGGCATCTCTTTGTAATCAACAGATCAGATTACAATCCTTTGCTGTAGGTTTGTCTCTACACGGTTTACCAGGCAAGTCTGCGCCCAAATTGCCCGACTCCCCCGGTAATCTCCCCCTCCCATTTCCTTCATATTCACCTTGCAATCTGATGTACATGTGTTGGTCCTACCTCTAACGCCAAGCCCATCAACTGAGCTTACTACCCTTACTGTGGTCCTTTATTTCTCTGTAGACCCTGGATAACATATCAAGATTGAGAACAAGAACAACTGTATTATCATGTTCTAAATTGATATTATTATTTTTTTCCCTTTACACTATGTTCGGTTGACAAGTGCTGTGAATTCTGTTTACAGGTGATTGCGGATGGCGGAGGTAAATTTGAATAAAAACGTCCCTTTCGAAGAAAATGAGACTTTAGAGCCCATAAATGGCAATGGCAATAAGGAGGCCGCCGAACAATCTAAAACTTTGCAAAACGATGAAGATGACGACAAAGGTGATTTTTTGATATCAAAATAACTGCCATGTTACTCTTAGAGCATCTCCAATAGTAAACTAAACTCTTCAAATAAAAGTTTGTTGACCTATGTGGCAATTTGAAAATGTTTATTTGCTACTTTAATAAGTTATGCCCAACAGACTCTTCAATTCAATTAATGTAATGTTATTGAAAAGAATGAAAAATATGAAAACATGTGAAGCTTTCAAAAGAGACGTTGTTAAATTACCTAGTCACATTTATATTTGGAATTTACCATATAAACAGGAAACCCCTTTGCATTTGTACTCTGATGTATTCAAGTTATAATTGTACTAAATCATCAGTTCCTCCATTCCTTAAGTAGTTCTGTATCAAAGAATCTAAGTGGTGGTAAAATCCGCTTCCCAGGTTATGAATTCGATTATGGTGTGCCTACCTAATTAGAAATGAAAACTTTTGGCAAATGAAATAATGTGAAATTTAATTAAATTATAAGTAATAATTTACTAGGGCATTTTAATGTGTTTGTAATGTATGAAGTTCTGCATCTCGCACCCTTCTATCTCTCTCTCTCTCTCTCTCTCTCACTCTCTCTCTCTGGGTTTTTCTTTTGGCAGACATTGCAAAGAAAAAAAAGAAGAAAAGTAAAAGCAAGTAAGGAAATTTTTATGGCATTACTTTATATATTTGTTTTGTTTTAAACGATTTCACTATAAATTTTGTTACTTTCTTTTCTTATCTGCAGGAAAAAGAAAGCACTGCAGGAGCAGACTAATCCACAATCTATGCAAGCGCAGACTGATCCACCGTCTATTCCTGTTGTTGACCTGTTCCCATCTGGGGAGTTTCTTGAGGGTGAAATTCAACTGTACAAAGACGAGTGAGTATATTGTATTGCTCATGCAATTTATGGCACTTATTTTAAGGTTTTTAGTAACTTTGGTAGGGGTATGTGGTTCAACATTAGTTCAATAGGTAATCCTGCTCTGGGGCAATAATTAACCCAAATGTCTCTAGTACCATAATTAAGAAGGTACCTGTTTCTTGACATGGAGTCGTGGGGAAAACTGGGATTATTTATGGCAACGTTTGATCTGTTTCTAGTACCAGCTGAAGGTAATGAGAGAAAAGCGAGGAAAGGGAAAAGTTGTAAAGGAAATAAAGCGAAGATGGAAGAGGGAATTGAATAATTTAATTGAAGTCTGATGTTATTTATGAGGGGAAGGATGTTGGCAGAGCAGGGTAGAAGCAGTTAATAATGAGGTGAATCAGTTGGAATCGACTTGGGAAGTCAAAGGAAAAGAAGTCTTACTAATGAGGCTTTGGTGAGGCTTCAGTGAATCCAGTCCTTGGAGATTTATCCTTTTCTAGTTTGGTAGGATAATGGTGATATGTGAGCTTCTAGAAATGTAGCCGATGCTTTTTTTTGGATTGCAGGATAGTCTGGGATTTATTTATTGGTATCAAGGGGAAGTTGGACCTCTTGTCCACTTTTTCTTTGTATTTTGTACAATAGTTGGTTTTAAAGTAAATTTGTTTTTCATAAAAAACATTTGAAGGCTAAAGCACCCTCGTAAGGTGCACATTTTTTGCTTGGATAATTGCTCATGGTAGAGTTAAAACCTATTATTTGATTCAAAGGAGCAGACTAAATGTCTCTCTTCAATAGTGCATAATGCTTAAAGTGCGGATCATCTGTTTTGTCACTCCTGTATAGCTTTAAGATTGTTTCTAGAGAAGTTAATTTGAGTTGGGTGATTCCAGCTGTATATTGCCCTCTTTTCGGTGAGACGCATAAGGCATTTGGCGACTCTTAGAAGGCAAAACAGTGGAATAAGCAATGTTCGTAAAATCGCTAGGCGGTAGGCGGGCAGCAGGCAGGGGCCTAGCGCCTAGAGGAGTAATTGGGGCCTAGGCCTTTTTTTTTGTTTTATAAATTATAAATTTATACCAAAATCATGCAAAATAAAAGGATATATAAATTAAGATAGTGAGGAAAAAATAAATTTATAATAGTACTACAAAGAAAAATACTTGAAATAAAAGGCTAGGCCTCTAAGTCTAACTCTTCCTCCTCTCTATATCACTCGAAGACTCTCTCGGTATCAGACTCAAACTCAACATCCTCGTCATCTCCCTTTCCTTCGCGGGTCACAGGTGGGCGAGGAGGTCACAGGATGTGACCTGGTGGTGGTCGTCGCAGGTGGAGGCTTGGTGGTGGTGGTCTGTCGTAAGAGAGAGAGAGGAGGGGACGACTTAGAGGAGAGAGAGGCAGCGTGAGGTAGGTTTTCTTTAAAGGCAGGAAAATTATTATTATTTTTCTTTGTTTAAAAAGGACCTGACTCGCCCTGGTGCCCAGACGCACCCATGCGCCGTCTAACTCCATGGTGCTGCCTAACTCTGTGGCGCCTACCCCTAACAATTAGGGTGAAATTGCAGCGGTGTCCTCCCGCCTAGCGCCTAGGTGGCCGCCTAGGCCAATTTTTCGAACACTGGGAATAAGAGGAATTTTGAGAATCATAGTTGGCATGGAGGAGGTGTTATGGGATAAAGTCAATTGGGTTTTCTCTGTCCTTAAATGTCTCCAGGATATTTCATTCTTCTATTTTGGCAAGTTGGACTGCAGCTTTCCTGTAAGAGATTTTGTTTTTTGGTGTTTTTGTTTCTGTTGGACTGCAGAAAATGTGTCTCAGTTTCACTTTTACTTATTCTTGTTATATTCCTGTGGTAGTCTAGTCTGCAAGTTGCTGTACTTTAGTTTTCATCAGGCATTTTGGGTTAATATAAAGTGCAGTGAAACTGAGAGCCAGTTTCTGGTCGAATTCCTTTGGAATGCATGAACAGGAGCGTTTTGCCCTCGGTAATGGAAAATAACCATCAATGGAATATGCTCTTAGTGTAATCATTTTATTATTTATATTAGGCCCAAGTTTCATTTGCATGATACTGGATCTGTGCTACTTATTGTATTTCTTTTGTTTGTATATTTCTTCAATATAGTCAAATTTGGTATTGTGTTTCAGTAACCTGTGGAGGTCTACCTCTGAAGAGAAGAGGGAGTTGGAACGCGTTGAAAAACCAATGTATAATTCGGTTCGTCGAGCAGCTGAAGTTCATCGCCAGGTGCAGTTTTACTATGTGAATGTACTGCTGCTTAAATTAACATAACTTGACCTGGGAGAGTAAACCAGCTGGAGGTTTTGTTTGCTTTTAATTAGGTTCGGAAATACATCAAGGGAATTTTAAGGCCTGGAATGTTGATGACTGAATTGTGCGAGACTTTGGAGAACACAGTACGGAAGTTAATATCCGAGAATGGTCTGGAAGCAGGCATTGCTTTCCCCACGGGGTGCTCTTTGAATTGGTAGACCTTTTATATTTGCCACCTGTGAATTTAATTTCTTCTATTGTTCGCCACATAATTCTATTTGTGTTCATTCTGCTTCTTATTGTCAGGGTTGCTGCTCATTGGACCCCAAATACGGGCGACAAGACAGTGCTTCAGTATGATGATGTAATGAAATTGGATTTTGGAACTCATGTAGACGGTAATTCAATCTCTACTTCTGTGTTTTAAATCCTGTGGAGAAGTCAACTCTTGGTGAACTCTAGTACGCATGGGCAAGTTGTCAAGCATGAGTTGTTGTTGACTTTACAGGATGTATAGTTGACTGTGCATTTACAGTAGCGTTCAATCCAATGTTTGATCCACTGCTTGAAGCCTCGCGTGAAGCAACAAATACGGGTATCAAGGTACTATACCGCCCCTGTTAAAGGTTAATTGCTTAAATACACTTTTTTATCCTATAGTTTGGATAAGTATCAATCAAGCAAATCTACTTATAATTTCCATGTGACCCTAATTCTTTACAATTGTATGGTTCGAGTCCAAAATTATTGCTAGTAAGTTTGAAGATTGTTGTTGTGACTTTGAGGATAGGATCTTTGAGCTGATAATAGAGTGTGACTTCAAATTTCATGCAAATGATCATAAAGTGAGACTGATAAGTATCTATTACATCTATTACACGATGCAACACAATTAAGTGTCATTCCTCAAGGTTGCATTAATACTTTATACTAATTGAGGTGAAATATATGAGCAATTGCGTCCTTAGTTTTAGAGGCTTTTTGTTATTATTGTTAATTTTGGTCTGTAAATTTTTATAATTGTAGCAAAGCAAGTCCGTTTAATGCTATCACTAGTTGTAAGACAATTGATATATATTTCCTTGAGGTTAAATCATTATTGATAATTTCATAATATCTATGAGCACATTACCTCTTACGAAACCCTTATGCAGAAGTGACAAAGAAAGAAGGAGCCAATTCTTTAGTTATTTCAATTCACTAATAGTAGTTCTTTGTTGAGCTAATTACAAATTACTACCTGAGGTTTGGGGTGTTCTTCAAAGTCGGGGATACAATTTCAATTTTTTCACATTGCAACCTATTTTATCAAACTTTTAGACCTTCGGGTGGTTATTAGTTACATTGCTGACATAGCAGACGAGAGACCTATTTATGGACTGACGTCGAACCCAAACTTGTGATACATAGCACCTGCTTCAAGTTGCCAAACCTTCCCCTTTGTCATGAGTGTATGCTGCTAATCCTCCAATCTCCTATATTAAGAGTTCTAATGGTTTTTAATTACCAATTAGCTGCTCTTCATTTTCTAGAGTTCACCATCAAAGACTTTTCATATTTTTTGGAGTTCTCCATCAAAGACTTTTGGTCTTTCTCTTGCTGGAGTTTTCTAGAAGGCTCTTGAATTTTCTCTATTAATCTACTTAGTGTTTTTTTAGATCCTCTAATAAAGTCTTAGTGCATGCACTCAGAATGATTGGAGTTACCCAACTTAGGTTTTTATTAGGAAAATTGGAAAAGGCTTTGTAGTTGAGTCTTAAATGCTAGTCTTGGCTATAAATATATGTAAGTGCTTAGGCAAAGGCATGAACTAAAAGAATAAATTAGTTATCAGAAATTTTCTGGTCTACTTTCCTGTGATGGGAATTTTGGTGTGAAGCCCGTCTCTATCTTTATTATTAATAGGTTTTCTGTCTTAATTTCCATTCATATGTAGAGCAAGTGTTTCATTTGTTTAATGTACCAACTTCCAATAAATTCTTCTTTCATTGCTTTGTCTCTAAACCTGTTCTTTCTTGAATCCTATAGATAATTAATCATAAGCCTACAACCTTCCAGAATTAGTACTCTATATGGGAATTAAGACTCACATTGGATTTTGAACAGACCCTAAACTAGAGGAATTTACACAATAATTGGAACTAATTAACTTCTGAATTTTGAGGAACATATTGTGGGAAGTGATGTTAACTAGTTTCATGCTTATTCTTACTGTGAATTTATTGTTATGTAGATGGGTGTTTATGCCTAGTGAGTTTCAAAGCTTGAATTATTCTAAAGTTGATCTTGGTTTGTAATTAATTCATATCTTGCGCCATCAGCTACGCCCCCTGCAGTTTATCATTTTTTCACAAAAATACCAGCAATTTTAGAAGTTACACAAACACCTCTTTATGTTTAAACATGTTTCGATGTTGCTAGAAACTATATTTGAGAGGGCGTCCGTGTAAATTATAAAGTATTTTGGATTTTACATTAGTTGACTTTCCTTACGGAGGAGGTTTTGTGCAACTGTATCATACATGAAGGGTTGTTGGTGACTTTTTAAGTGCAGTGGGCTTTGTGAAAACACGTTAAACCTCACGGGTGTCTGCGTATTTAGCCCTTGTTTTCAATTACATATTAGCTTAAATCAATGGCTACATATTTGGGGAAATTTATATAATGGTGCTTATGGATTGTGTGCCTGAGTAATGTTATGGCACCAAATTTGAGTCCCAAGTGGTGTGGCATCTGGGACATGCCACCTGATTAGTTTTATTTAAAAAATTAAGTGTCATGTCTTAATTAATTCAAAACTCAAATTCAACAAAAAAAGATGACATTTTAGTGAAAAGAAAACAAGGAATGTGACAGTCCCAACCGCAGTACCACCACCAAGCTGGATCGTGTACCTGGCCACATTGCTTTGTCGTCATGCTCCCCTCTCGTAGCAGTTTCTTTACTAGACACCCAAAACCAAATAACTAACTAACCTGGAAAACTACTTATGCAAAAACTAAGCTCTCAACTTTGGTTTCAATCTAAAGTTTTGATGGAAAACAGTGCAGTTGAACAAGTTCTTTGTTCATGATTTCAATCCCAGCCCAACCTTCCTATTTATAGGTAGAAAACTTGAGCTTATTAGGTTTGACTAGTCATCGTAGTAGACTCCTCATAGAGCAACCTGAAATCACCATGAACTGCCACCTCAGCTATAGGTTTGACACCGCACCATCTAGCTATTCCACCTCTAGATATTTTGAAGAGAAAGAAAAGGACGAAAATTTCGTAAATACTTTTATGCCTATATGACTAGTTGATCACTCCTAGTCATCTGCACTTGTTTTCTTTTGGGAAAAATAGGTCTTTACATATACCGGCCTAAAATTTAGCTCCTAATTTTTCACCTTACAGGTTAGCTAATTATACAATTTAACAAATGCCGCTTTATATTAGGATGGTGAGAAAGTAAGACCATAACTCATAGCATTTGATACCTCTATCTCCTTCATTGCTTCCAACTTAAAAAGTAGAGAGTTTTTGTGTATTTGATTTTCTTTTCCCTCTAGTTTAATGCTGCTTTTGCATTGTTTTAACTTATAACTTGCTTATGAATGAAATTATTTTCGTAACTAGCTTATGGTTGTTTATCATTACATGTTAATTGGATATAGTTTTTCACTGAATTTGTATTTAGTGCTTTAGTTGAAAGGTTAATTACTCAGAAATATGTTGACTTTGTATTTTTCTAGGAGTCTGGAATTGATGTGCGTCTTTGTGATGTTGGTGCTGCAATCCAAGAAGTCATGGAATCGTATGAGGTTGAAATCAATGGAAAGGTGTATCAAGGTATTTTTCCATGTGATGTGACTATCTTTTACACTCATCACAGAGTACATGTTATGCAGTTTACTTGTTAAAAAAGAATGGAGCCTTCACCTTGCAAATATTTTGAGAATGATATTTGTTCTTCATTATGAGAGTGTAAATGGTACAAGACACATTCTAGCTAAATCACATAACCAAACCCAAAACTCTTGTGCAGTTACACACATAATATCCATGACCAACTTGCTTTCCATTAGAATTTTGGGTATTAGATAGAGCAGAGCATGCTTTTATTTGTCGCGACCTTACAAGAAAACTTGTTTATCACTGTCTTGAACAAAATAGTTATATTCTGATATAGAGATATTTGTTATTCTGTCATTAAGAAGGCTTAAAATTGCTGCAACTAACCAAAACCAAATTGGTTTTTGTGATTGCTTTAAAATATCAATGCATAACACATAGTTTGCTGTAAACTACGCACAGCTTATACTGAATGCATCGAAACCAGCCAAGTCAAATATAGCTGCTAACTTGTCACTTTGTCGATCCTTGCACGGGTTTCTCATCAATCGTCTCACTGAGCTATCAATATTTTTTCAGAACTGAATTAATTGATGAATTTTGGTGGTGAAATAATGAATCTGTATGTGGTCAAATTGGTGGCTCGTGTTTCCTAGTAACTTCTACCTCTCAACTGATTATGTCAACCAGACTAAGCATTGTTGAATTAAATTTGTAGAAGAAATTATGGCTCCAATAACCGACCCTGTGTCATTCCCATTGACTTGCAATATTCTCACTTTTTCACTAGCTGGCCGAGTCAACATAAGTTTGGCTCATACCTGAAGAAGGAAAATATTAAAGGAAGGGCTAAGCATTATAACTGGCATTATTACAATATTCTCACTCTTTCACCATACCTTGTGTATTCTGCAACTGACTGTGCAAACAGTTTGTTTTGATTTTCTTGTTGATTTTTGTTTTTGCTCATCAAGTAATGAGTTTGCCACTTTTACTCATTTATCAACAACCTTTTTATGAGATGCCCTGTTGATAATTCTGTACATGTGAGGTAGACTTTGTCTAATGTTGGCAGTTAAAAGTATCCGAAACTTGAATGGACATAGCATTGGACGTTATCAAATTCATGCTGGAAAATCTGTTCCTATTGTGAAAGGAGGGGAGCAGACGAAAATGGAAGAGGGTGAATTTTTTGCAATTGAAACTTTTGCGTCAACTGGTAAAAGAAAGTTTTTGTATTTGGCAGGAATCTGATGTGAAATAGGTAGTAGTTCACTGTGACTGCTGTGCTAACTATCCCATGTTATGTAACTTATATTCAGGGAAAGGTTATGTCAGAGAAGATCTAGAGTGCAGCCATTACATGAAAAATTTTGAAGTTGGCCACATCCCATTGAGGATGCCCAGGGCAAAGCAATTGCTAGCAACAATTAACAAGAACTTCTCCACTTTGGCCTTTTGCAGGCGGTATTTAGACCGCCTGGGAGAGACGAAATATCTTATGGCGCTAAAGAATTTGTGTGATGCTGGCATTGTCCAGGTATTTTTCATCAGTTCATCCTAATACTACTGTGCTTCAACACCAATTTTGCATCACTATTTGGTATTATGAAGCGTGGCGTAGTTTGATTTTGTTATGTTGGGAAATAGGAATTCCCCCCTGAATTGCTTTGTGGTCACAGCAAGATGATAGTAATAGTCTTTGCTGCTATATAAATTCATCCACTCAAACGCTAGTTTTAAAGTGTTACATGGTAGTTGCATATGTTACGCTTCTGGACTAAAGCTGAAGTTGCTGGTAGTCAAGTGAAGGATTTAGATGGTACTTGCATATCTTTCAATTTGGTGTTCTGAACTTCTAACATGTTTAAGGAAAGGATTTATTTGAAAATTTACTAATTGAGATAAGTTGTCTCTGAAAATATTTGTCAAGTAAGTTTAGGTTGGAAATCAAGAATCCGGAAAAAGACACAGATTAATGAAAATAAGAAGCATTAAATGCTTGAATGGCACCATGAAACTATCAAAGAATAGTAATGGAAAAAATTCACAGATTAATCTTATAGATGATGGAAGTTGCTATGCTGGTTTGTTTTCTGGAGTAGACTAGTACTAGTGTAGTCAAGTGGTGCTGTCGTGTGGAGGTCAAATCCTTTTTTTGGCAGAAATCTAGTCAAAAGGCACCATCTTGAAAAAAAATCTGATTAATTGATGGAGAAGATGATTTCTTGAAGGAGACGGGAGTCTGGCTTACTGAATTATTTAATCGGTAGAGGCCTACATGAAACTTTTCCGTTTGAAGTTCCTCTGATGCAAGTAACACCTGCTTATTAATAACAAGTCATGCTTTCCTTTAGGAAACCTATGGTTAAGAAGACTACTGATCTAATAATAAGTGTGCATGCTAATTTATTGCAATATTAGTATTTTTATTTTATTTAGTTGAGTTATGTACTCATGTTGGATTTTCATGTTGGTCTTTATGTCAATTTCTCAGTAAACTGCCTAATGAGGAATTGAAATTAAGACCAACATGAATTTCTGTTTATGCCCCACATATTCAGCAGTCTTAATTGTTGCAAAGCCAGCACCATAAACCCTATATTATTTGCTTTTGTCAACCTATTCTTTATCTATTTGGTGTCATTCCGAATTTCTGAGATGTAAGTGCGAGTACTATTCAGTCAAGTTTTGTTCATCCTGTTGTCTTGCAAGCATCCTTGACTTCTACCAGAGATAAAAAGTGAATATTTCTTTGGTGCCAATCTGCATTCCTAAAACCGTAGTTTGCTACAGTGGCTCCAAAAACTCAAAGCAATTTGGGGCAAATGAGCAAAGACTCCCTGACTTCCACCAGAGTTATTTATGTAGATGTGTCAGATTGTAATGCTCATCTGAACTCAATATATTACAACATAGCTTTTGTTAATATGCTGCTTTGTTTCACTATATCGCTTCCTGCAATTGGTGCTGATGAAGAACCTCGTTCATTTTTCTTATGGCAGCCTTATCCTCCTCTCTGTGATGTTAAAGGCAGTTATGTATCCCAGTTTGAGCATACCATTTTGCTTCGGCCAACCTGCAAAGAGGTCGTATCCAGAGGTGATGACTACTGATATGGGCGACGATAACTTTGCCATGAAAACCTGCATGGTGGTTATACCATGTTTTTTGAGTACAAACAGGAATAAGTTTATTTTTGTGTTTTCCACATTTATCTCTGTTATCTTTAACTGCAATGAAAAATTTTCTCAGTATTTTGCTTGTCGTATGCGACATGTCTATTGAAAAAGACACTAGTTCCATAGAAACATTTGAATTTCAAATTGAAAAAATTCGGTGACCAAAGAAATCTATATATTTCAAATCCATAAATATAAAGCCTCTATTGAACGGAGAAATTGATTTACACCCAAATTACAATGAATTTTATACCCAGTTTCAAAATTATTCGAAATGACGCATTTGCTTGTCTACTCTAAACATGTGTAACTGGATAAACAATCGTTAAAGAAAGAGCCATGAAGTGCGAAACAGAGAAGGCCCTTGGGAAAGAAAAAGGAAATGAGATTTCGTCTTTCCCTCTGTCCTCTCATTCTTTCCTTTTAATCCCTCCCTTTACTTAATCCTTCCTATCTTCTTTTCTCCATTTCCTATTTTTATCCTTCCTCTCTACAGTAAACTTTGGCCGGGCATTGGCATCCCCCCTGGAGCAGACTGCGCTACACCTCGTGTCGAAACCCGGTCAAACAGCCCAAACCAAACCTTTGGGTTGGTTTGGATATTTGTTTTGGTCGCCTAAACCAGCGTCTTCTTTTTCTTCTCTCCGTATGTCAGACTCAAGATCCCACATTAGAAAAATAGTATATCATAGAGTGGTTTAAAAGCTCATGAGCACCCTTCCCTTACAAGCCCGTTTTTAGGGGCAAGTTTTACCTATGGGTTCTTTGTTTGTTTATTATTATTTTTTCCCTTCTTCTTGCTCTCTCTATCTCATTTTTCTAGTTTTTCTTCGGCCTAAACTCGAAACTGAACCAAAAAAATATGAGAATTCCAATTAGAGATGCAAGCTTCAAAGAGACACAAAAGATTTGCTAAAATAGAAATGAAACAAATTGAACTAGTTCAACCATACCAGTCTCTACTGTCAGCGAGGGTTGGCTGAGGCAAAGGCTTGGAGGGGTCAATTCGATGGGAAAAAAAAAGAGAAATCTATTTAGAGATAGAGGCTTCAAAGGGACACAAAAGATCTGCTAAAATAGAAATGAAACAAACTGAAATAGTTCAACGATACCAGTTTGTATTGTCATCTAGGGTTGACAGAGGCAAAGACTAGGTAGGCTTGGTTGAGGCGAACTGGTTCATTTTGTTTTATTTTTGTTTAGCACATCTTTTGTGTCCCTTTGAAGCCTCAATCTCTAATTGGAATTCTCATATTTTTTCCCATCAAATTGACCACTCTTAGCCTTTGCCTTAGCCAACCCTACCTCACGGCACAAACTGGTATGGTTGAACTCGTTCAGTTTGTTGCATTTCTGTTTTAGCAAATCTTTTGTTTCCCTATGAAGCCTCAATCTCTAATTTGAATTCTCATATTTTTCCCATAATATTGACCACTCCTAGCCTTTGCCTCAGCTAATCTTAGATACTGGTAGGGTTGAACTGGTTTCGTTTGTTTCATTTCTATTTTAGCAAATCTTTTGCGTCCCTTTGAAGGCTCAATCTCTAATTGGAATTCTCATATTTTTTCTCATCAAATTGACCACTCCTAGCCTTTGCCTTAGCCAACCCTAGATGACGGTACAGACTGGTATTGTTAGACTGGTTTATTTGGTTTCACTTTTAGTTTAACAGATCTTTTGTGTCCCTTTGAAGCCTCAATCTCTAATTGGGATTCTCATATTTTTTTCCCTTCAAATTGACCATTCCTAGTATTTGGCTCAGCAAACCCTAGCTGATAGCACAAACTGGTATTGTTGAAATCGTTCATTTTGTTTTATTTTTGTTTTAGCACATCTTTTGTGTCCCTTTGAAGCCCCAATCTCTAATTGGAATTCTCATATTTTCTCCCATCAAATTCACCACTCTTAGCCTTCGCCTTAGCGAACCTTAGCTCACGATACAAACTGGTATGGTTGAACTCGTTTAGTTTGTTGCATTTCTGTTTTAGCAGACCTTTTGTATCCTTTTGAAGCCTCTATCTCTAATTTGAATTCTCATATTTTTCCAATAATATTGACCACTCCTTGCCTTTGCCTAAGCTAATCGTAGATATTGATATAATTGAACAGGTTATGTTTGTTTCATTTCTGTTTTAGCATATCTATTGTCCCTTTGAAGCTTCACCCTCTTACCAGTAAGATATGGTGGTTGTAGAAAAATATGCTATTTACTCAATAAATTATGGGTAAGATGTTGCGTTCTCAAATATATAGGCATTTTACAAGATAACTTACCGGTACGATATGGTGTTTTTGGAAAAATAGGCTATTTACTCAATAAATTATGGGTAAGATGTTGCGTTATCAGATATATGCACTTTACACTATAACTTCGGGGTAAGATATGGTGTTTTTAGAAAAATAGGCAATTCACTAAATAAATTACGAGTATGATGTTGCATTCTCATATATATAGGCTTTTTACACTATAACTTACCGATAAGATATGGTGTTTTTAGAAAAATTGGCTATTTAGTCAATAAATTACGGGTAAGATGTTGCCTTCTCAGATATATAGGCACTTTACATTATAACTTACCGACAAGACATGGTGTTTTCAGAAAAATATGCAATTCATGCAATAAATTACGGGTAAGAAAGTTGCATTCTCAGATATATAGGCTTTTTACACAATAACTTACCGGTAAGATATAATGTTTTTGGAAACTTAGGCTATTTACTTAATAAATTACAGGTAAGATGTTGCGTTCTCAGATATATAGGCATTTTACACTATAACTTACCAGTAAGATATGGTGTTTTTGGAAAAATAGGCAATTCACTAAATAAATTACGGGTATGATGTTGCATTCTCAGATATATAGGCTTTTTACACTATAACTTAACGACAAGAAATGATGTTTTTGGAAAATTAGGCAATTTACTTAATAAATTAGGGGTAAGATGTTGCGCTCTTAGATACATAGGCTTTTTACACATAACTTACCGGTAAGATATGATATTTTTGGAAAAATAGGCTCTTTACTCCATAAATTATGGGTAAGATGTTGCGTTCTCATAAATAAATGCATTTCACACTACAACTTACCGGTAAGATATGATGTTTTTAGAAAAATTGGCTATTTAATCAATAAATTACGGGTAAGATGTTGCCTTCTCAGATATATAGGCACTTTACACTATAACTTAGCGGAAAGATATGGTGTTTTTGGAAAATTAGGCTATTTACTTAATAAATTATGGGTAAGATGTTGCGTTCTTAGATATATAGGCTTTTTACACTATAACATACCGGCAAGATATGATGTTTTTGGAAAATTAGGCTATTTACTTAATAAATTAAGGGTAAGATGTTGCGTTCATAGATCTATAGGCACTTTACACTATAACGCACCGGTAAGATATGGTGTTTTTAGAAAAATAGACAATTCACTAAATAAATTAAGGGTATAATGTTGCATTCTCAGATATATAGGCCTTTTACACTATAACTTACAGTTAAGATGTGGTGTTTTTGGAAAATTAGGCTATTTAACTTTCCAGTAAGATATGATGTTTTTAGAAAAATATGCAATTCACTAAATAAATTACAGGTATGATGTTGCATTCTTAGATATATAGGCACTTTACACTATAACTTAGCGGTAAGATATGGTGTTTTTAGAAAATTAGGCTATTTACTTAGTAAATTACAAGTAAGATGTTGCGTTATCAGATATATAGGCCTTTTACACTATAAATTATCGGGAAGATATGATGTTTTTGGAAAATTAGGCTATTTGCTTAATAAATTATGGGTAAGATGTTGCGATATTAGATATATAGGCTTTTTACACTATAACTTACAGGCAAGATATGGTGTTTTTGGAAAATTAGGCTATTCACTTAATAAATTAAGGGTAATGTGTTGCGTTCTCAGATTTATAGGATTTTTACACTATAACTTACCGGTAAGATATGGTGTTTTTGGAAAATTAGGCTATTTACTTAATAAATTACTTGTAAGATGTTGCGTTCTTTGATATATAGGCTTTTTATACTATAACTTACCGGTAAGATATGATGTTTTTAGAAAAATAAGCTATTTACTCAATAAATTATGTTTAAGATGTCGTGTTCTCAAATATATAGGCACTTTACACAATAACATAGAGGTAAGATATGGTGTTTTTGGATAATTAAGCTATTTACTTAATAAATTACGGGTAAGATGTTGCGTTCTCAGATATATAGGCTTTTTACACTATAACTTACCGACAATAATTTAATTATAAAATTATAATCTTTTATAAATCTTTAGAATTTTAAATATTATATAATCATTATTATTATATAATCTTTTAATCTTTATATTATCTTTATAATATATATATAATATATTTTATATTATGACTTGATAGGGCATAGAAACGATGGAACCCACTATATATGTGCATGACTGGATGAGGAATCCTATACATAAATCAGTTAATGAAAGAATAGAAAAAGCTTTTATTGTGTCGCTTAAGTGAAACCGTGAACCAGAATAGAAGAGCTTGCCCCACCCATGAGTAAATACTTCGTAGTAGCCTCATTAGACTGTAATATGTTAGACACCTGTAACTCGATTGGTGAAATAGTATCTCTCTCCAAAAAAACATATTTTTTTTTACCAAGATAAAGATTAAAAATAACTTGTTTATTCGTGCCAGGTTTATTAGCTAAATGGCAATTGGCACATACAATACGGCCAGTCGGTTCTCGTGGATTGGTGTTTTTGGAAAATTAGGCTATTTACTTAATAAATTACGGATAAGATGTTGAGTTTTCAGATATATAGGCTTTTTACACTATAACTTACCCGTAAGATATTAAGTTTTTAGAAAAATAAACTATTTACTCAATAAATTACGCTTAAGATTTTGCGTTCTTAGATATATAGGCACTTTACACTA